TCAATCCGAAGGGAAAGTCACAGTTGATGAATAAACAATCACTTCTTACAACGTTCCCTTGCAGGGAATGAGAACCTGGCAGAAGAAAGTGCGTGTTAATGTGTGTGGAGGAGGTCGGCTTGTGTGAGGGGGGGAAATAAGTTGAAACAGTATGAACTGGGGGGGGGGGCGACCCTCTGATGTCAAAGGGAGGAGGGTGGGGGTATTTTAACAGGACCCACCCACTGGGACCTCGGGCCGTTGATGGCTTCCGCAGCTCGGCTGGGCGGACAGAGGTGCGCTTTGTGTTACAAAGTCATAAACTACAGCAGCGCCCCTGAGTCACCACAATGCTTCTGATCACGGGCCTGTGTTTGGGTTACAATGTCGTAAGGCGAGTGAGATCATCGCCCCCCCCCCCCCCCCCCGAGTCATAACGACAAGTCGATTGTGATGAGCCGACAAACCGCGAATTGGTCACACGCCTTATTTGGCTGGAATATTGTTGCTTCAGAAGGGACGTGTGAGTTGTAGCTGAAGCAGAGCTTGAACGTTTGAGAATGACCCGTTGTGTAGTTTTGAAGAGTAGGACACTATTTCTTTGTCCGCTGTCGCCTTGAAATACAGTACCGGTAATGTTGACGTGAAACCACGACGCAGACAACATTTGATGGGAATGTTTTCACTGGCAGCGCTGCAAGAGAGCGTACGGACCAAAGAGAAGAGTTCATGGCAAGTTCCTGAAGAATAAAAGACGGGTTTCCAATGATTGCGTCGTCTTCTGTGCTCCTCGATACAACCTTCCCCTTTTTCTGACTCCCTGTTCTCATCTCATCTCCATCCAGTGATGGTCCGCCGTCCTCGGCAAAACCAGCGAGAAAAACAAGTCCCCTTTTCCTGTTCATTACTTTGTATAGAAACCCAGACAGCACAGAACCAGACGACACTCAGGCTTTCCCGCCCTTTTCTACGTTTTCCCTCCCTTTTTTTCTCACTCGTCCATTTTCCTTACCTGGAATAGCATTACATTGCCACCCACCTTTCAAACCGGTTTTAAAGGTCATCTCTTTTGTATGCTGCCCCTTTATTTATTTCTGTTTCTAAAGTTTTAAAATGAAGTACCCCCCCCCCCCCCCTCCCCCAACCCCCCACTGAGCCTGTGTTTTCTCTAATTTCTCAGGTCAGATTTAGAGGTAGGCAGGGATCTGAAAAAGAGGACCAACCCGATGGGGCTTGCTTTGCTTTCACGCTGACATAGTGTCCCGGCTCTCTGCTGTTTAACAGTGCTGGGGGGGTAGCGGTGCTTTTTATATAGACTGCTGTATTCAGAGTCAAGTCTGTAAACATGATGCAACAATGTGCCGGGATCGCTGTGCAAATATAACAAGCTTTTGTTGCGTTAAACACTGATTCATCCATTCATCATTGTGCGGTTTTCCAATTATAATAACATTTCGACGCAATAACTTATGGAAGCCAAGGCCCAGATGCTGTGGTAGGTCTGTAACCTAGATGCAGTAAATGCTGTTCATTTGCTCTTCTAATTACTCCCTTGTTGTCTCCAGGTTGTTCATTTTTTCCTCCCTAGAGGGAGGCGGTAGAGATGGTTTCGATTTCCTCTTCTGTAGAGGGAGATGAATTTACAAGTTAGAATTTTGTAAGCCAACCGCTGTCTAATACGCAAATGATACATATTGAAAAGAAAACAGTCCTTGTTTGATATGACGCCTGCAAACAAACTTCATGTACAACTTCTGTGTATTAGGATTCACACTGAAAAAACGAATGTTTATTAAAAGCTCCAGTGCTACGGACCCTTGTAAGTGATGTGATTGCTGGATGCGCCGTATGTTACAGTAAAGGTCATTTACACCAAAGGAAGCTCTCCAATCAGGTCTCCGGTTGACAACACCCTATCCTTCACGTAATGGTCTCCAGAAGCATGTCCTGTCGTAATAGACAGCAATGGAAACAAACGGCCAACATAACCACTATTTATAGTAAAGCTAACCACGGTTTAACCACGGGTTACACAAGGAGGTTTGCTTGGATTCTGGGCAGTGTTACCATGGCAATACAGTGCAGTTATTTTCTTTCAAGACCAACACAATAAGGGCGCCAGAAGCATCCCAAACACTCAAATCTCTTCACACTTACTTTAAACATGTCTGAAGTGACTCAACTGCAGAAGTCAAGTCACAAGATGCAAAGTCCTCCCAAAGGCTTCAATCTTCCGGCACTTGCGGTCAGTGCGTCTCTCTCTCTCTCTCCCGTAGATTTGTTTCCGGACATGTGTTGCTAGATTGAGACCAAAAGAGGATGGAGGAGGAGATGAGGAGGAAAGGAATAGACAGACAACAAGGGTATTCATTCAGGGGCTCGTGAAAGAGAGGAAGACTCGGTTTCCTCCAGCGTTATAAATACAAGCGCGGTCAGTCATCAAATCATAGCCATCTGCATTGGCCTGACACCAGGGTTCTGTTTGATGCAGAATAAAGTAGTTGTTGGGAGGGGTGTGGCAGCCAAAGGGCATAAAAAAAGTGTCCTCTTTGGTGGTTGAACCTGCACACACAGACGGACTCCCAAGTGTCGCAGCAGCTCCAGAGCTTCTGGAGCGGGATGGTCCTGTACAGATAGTGATGCCTTAAGAGACAACAGCAGTACTGTGGTGCATATTCTCAAAAAAACTTCATGAGTAGGATTTTTCTTCCTTCTGTAGGAGCGAGTGACTTTTTGGGGTCTGGGTGAAGCCAGGAAAAGGTCTGGGCCGAGGCGTAGGGACAAAAGAAGTGCGCTTTCCCCGCATGAAGCCTGTTCTATACAGAGCTATCTCCTTCAGCTTTTATCCCCATGCTCAGTGAACAATCCAACAAAAGCTGGAACCATGGAGCTCATTGCGATTGTCTTTGCCTGTAAGAAAAGATTCTGTTCCCCCATTTTTCCATTTCAGCCTGAAGGCTCCTGTGCAATTAGCACTATTCATTCATTTGGAATACTTTAGCCTTACCCAAAACTCTCTGAACAATGAATGAATAATACCCTCGAGCACAGTCAGTTAACAAAAAGGGACATTTTGAAAATGAATGATGTGTGACTGTGATAATTCAATTCGATTCAGTAGCACAAATGATATTTGCACTTCATCTCCATTCTTGTTTTGAATTAACCGGAAACATTTTATAGCTTTAGTTGTATCGGTTAATTTGGGTGAATTCACTCAGTAAGGCTTGCAAATATGTGATCATGTCAAAAACATTACATTCATTTTTCCAATAGGCCCCAGCATAAGTGTTTCTCTGGCCACAGGAGACGGTGCTGTGCAGCAGTGTGATTAAATATCTGTGTGTATCGGGTCCTGTGCTGAGAACGTTCATCACTGTCTTTGTTCATGACAGAGCAGCCCAGGAAGCAAACGCATACACCCTTTTCGTAAAGTCACAAAAACACGGGCACCGTGATAAAAGCTTTGCTTTCGCCCCTCGCTGACATGAAAATGGTTGTCTTTCTTCACACTTGTTCACAGTGTCAGATCTGGAGAGGTTCATTCACAAGAAGAGAAAGCAAGGGCCCAATGTTCCCTTCAGGGTTTCCAGGTATCAGCACCATTAATGTAGATGCAACACAGACACAAGCCGTCCTTGAAAGGCCGCATACGAACATTTCTTCTCCCGCGGACCCTGCCAAACAGAGTCTTGAGGAAATACCTTTTCCATTTATAGCTATGAACGCGAGTGTTTGGTGTCTTATTTACTCTGACTCAGTCACGTCTGAGGATTTAAGATATTTGCTGCACGGCAGGCCTCCAGATGCTACTGTTGATTTTGATCCACATGTTCTTGTAGGAACGTTCTTGACAGAGCAATGTCTCTGCTTCAATTTTCCAAAGCGTAAGCATTTTGTGGTACGAACACTGCCTTCTCGGCTGTGTTCCAACGCGTTTCTGTGTCTTGTCTCTTGTGGTGGTGAGTGGGTGGCTAATGGAAGGCCCTTCTTCTATATCTCTTGGCTAGGGACATGGAAAAGCCCATGCTGAGGAAACGGGGTCTTGGAGGTGGTCCAGTTTCATTTCAGAGCACGTGCACAGGGAAATAATTGACTTCCTCCCTGGTTTACATTTTGTCGAGGGCCTCGGAGAGCACAGTCCAAGGCAGGTGGCTGAATTAGCATATCATTGGAAACAAGACAGCTCATGCCTGGGAAATCCTGAGCCCCGAGAGTCTAACGGAAAACCTCCAGGAGTAATGACTGATGTCTCAGTGAGTGATTCCCTTTAAGGCCAGAGGAGCTCCTCTTCATCCAAGAGCAGCTGGAGGACATCTGAAAATATAGAAATCAGACCTGAGCGAGTTGCACTGTAACATGAAAAATTACTCATCAGTGGCAGCTGGTCCATAGAGCGCAATGGCGCGTGGCCACACCTTGAGCCACAAAAAAAAAGATTATTTTTTTTAATTTTTTTTAAATCATATTAAAAATACATTTTTCAAATAGTCAATATGTGTCTATTTGTGTTTTTGAAACATGGAATATACCCAGTATCATTTGTAAATTAAGATATCTGCTTAAAATGTCTCATTTCATCTCATGTCTCAGCTAGTCTCAAGCCGTGTCCCAATTTGGAATTAACTGCAAAGTAATAATGCGTGTTTGATACCATTTTTGCACTGAATCATTCTGGGATGTTTTCCTGAATCATGTTACTCATACAGAGCAATTACTTTTTTCCAAACTTCCACACAGTTGCTATCTAGCAGTATAGGATGGGTTTATATCGTCTTATGCATGTCATCTTTACGTTATCACAACGTAGGGATACTGTACTTACAAATAGTTTGATTAGGCTTCTTTTGTTGAAATGGCAAACGGATAAAAGTGTCATTATTGGCTCTATTTAAAAATGCACAATCAAAGAGAATAGGTGTATGTGTGTGGGGTTACATGCGGTTAAAACTGATTGTTGCAGGTCTAAGCCAAAAAGATGTTCTTTCTTTATCTTTATATTTGGTTTTCACTCTTCACAGAATCCTACTTTGGGGACAGCCACTGCACTTTACAAGCCGTTCAAGATGTCTCCACCTTCCAGCTGTCCCTACAGATCAAGACGAGTCGCCGAAGTGGGCTGTTGTTTCTGGCTGCAGGAAGGGAGGATTACCTGTTTCTCGAACTCCTAAACGGGAAGGTACAGGTGAGTGGTTCAAAATACAAATACAAAAACACATTCGGTTTTAAAGTCTTGCTTCTTACCATGTCCCACTAGAGAAGTGTGAGGAGTAATACTTGGACAATCAGTACCAGTTAAAGGGTGACAAAAAATACCTACCGTGTTACTATGTTTTCCTAATTAAAGTGCTTAAATGTAGCCGAGGCGACTCACTTTACATGTTAATATAATATATTAAATGTTGTTCTTTTTCCTCAGGCCCGGATGAACATGGGGGCTGGTGACGTGACACTTTTTTCATTCCAAGGACTGTCGCTGAACAACCTCGAGGAACACAACATCTCGCTGACGCTGCGCGACGACAAACTCACCATGACCATTGACGAGCTCTATCCAACATCTGTTCCTGTGGACGACGATGGCGAACTGCTCAATATCGACACAGGCATCTGGCTCGGAGGAACAGGGTCCCTGGATGCTCCTTACCTCAACAATTTCATTCCCCCTTTCCGTGGCTGCATGACTGAGGTCAAATTTGAGTCCCACCAGTTCGACATCCTCGGCGAGGCGTTCAAACAATGCCACGATACGAAGGAGTCCTGCAGCAGTGAGTTTGAGGCCGGTGATGGGGAGACGACTAGTTTCAGCACCCCCGATTCCTTTGTGTCCTTCCCTACCTGGAGTGGGGCTAGCGGTGCTCCACGAGTCTTAGAAATCTTAATGAAAACCACCATTGAGGACGCGTTGCTTGTTTTCCACCCTGGCCGAGAGTCCGACTTCATTGCAATTGGTGTTGTGAAAGGCTATCTCAAAGGAGTGCTCGACATCGGCAGTGGCTTGCAGGTTCTGGAGAATACCCAGGTTCAGCTGGATGATGATCAGTGGCATAGAGTTCGTGTTAAAGTCAGTCAGGACACTTTCGTCATGAATGTAGATAGCCAGTCTTCCTCCCTTCCTCTTGACTCATCGCACAAATTGGACCTGGTTGGAAACTTGTATCTAGGGGGCATACAGGGGATAATGAAGGACGTCTTTCGTGAGAGCGGGTCCTTAATACGTGCAGAGGAGGAAATGACAGCAGAATCCTTCATTGGTTGTTTGGGAGAAATCAAAGTGAATGAGAAAGATAGAAGCCTACGGGACGCTCTTGTGACCAAAGACGTTCATGTTAAATGTGAAGGAGAGGATTATGACTACTCAAGCTACTATGAAACAGACGCAACTACATCTTCTACACCTCGCATCCTATATTCTGATATGGACACCAACTACCAGCATTGCAACCCAACAGATGACACGCCAGAGATATTCCAAAATGTCACAAAACTCCTTGATGTCACCCCATTGCTTGTGCCCGAAGGTGGGGAAGCTTTACTTTCCATCCACAACCTAAATCCTACATTTAACCTCAGTGCCGCAGGAATGCATCAATCTCAGATTATCTTTACTATCGAGAACGACCCCTGGTATGGCTCTGTTGACATAAACACTAATACGAGACGCACACAAAAGTTCACTCTTCTCGATGTCATCAATAAGAAAGTTAAATATATGCATGATGGAGATAAAAGTCATGCAGATCAAGTCCGTCTGCAGGTGGTTGCTGAAAGTGACAGCTACCTTCCAGAATGTTTAAAGGCTTCTCATGAGTATGTCCTCTCAGTGGAAATTCTTCCAGTTGATGACGTACCACAAGAAATCCCCATCACGGAAAACGGCAGAACTCGATTGAGCCCATCTCTTATCAAAATCACAGAGTCTGACACCCGCTGTGACGAATCAGTAGTAACTCTGAGCTCAGAGCTTTCCATGGAAGTTGGTTACCTAGAAAACGGTCAGCAGCCAGGAAGGAGCATTACAGAGTTCTCTTGCAAGGAATTAAAAGACGGAAATATCTTTTTCATACACACAGGGGGTAGAGCTACTGAAATTACCTTCGAGGTGTTGGATGGACAGTCAATAAGTCATTCAACTACTTTTACATTATCTGTGACACAGCCACATTTGACTATTGTCGCCAACACTGGTCTTCTCTTGTCTCAAGGAAGCAATGCCTCCATAGGTGTTCAAAATCTGTCAGTGATCGCCCATCCTCGTAATGGGGATATTGTGTTTGACATTACACAACCTTTGATATTTGGAGAACTACAGATTATGACAAGTGATAGAAGGTACAGGCAGGTTACAACATTCCATCAATTTGATCTAGATCAAGACCTCCTTCGGTATGTCAGCACAGAATCTACTGACCAGGAAGATATTGTGACCGAGCGGATTCAATTCGACGCCCACCTGGGGCAGTACTCCCTGTGGAACCACACCTTCTTGATCAAGATCGTCCCTGCACAAGTGAAAGTTGCCATTTTTCCACTAGAAATGAAGGCAGGTACAGAGGAAACAATTGTACTCACAAAGCTTCATGCTGAGGTAAAAGGGAAAAATCCGGATCCACAAACTGTACAATACATCCTTGTCAAGCCTCCAACAATTGGTAGCCTCATGTTGTCAGACAGAGAGTTGAATGAGGGGGACACCTTTACACAAAATGACATTTTGGAGAATACTGTTAGCTACAGTTGCTACAGAACTGTGGCTAGTACAGACCAGTTCCAGTTCAGAATCCTCGCTGATGGTCAGTACTCTCCACTGTACACCCTTCCCATTACCATCCTCGCCAATGCCGATGCTCCTGTTTTGACCACTCAGAGACTGGTTGTCTTGCAGGGTGGGGAGAATGCTCTGAATGAAAACTATCTGTGGATACAATCTCCAAGTTCCACAGATTTTATGTACCGGGTCACAGAGGAGCCGAAGTATGGGCGACTTATGAGGGACACCCCACCTGGGCAGCCTAAATTTGAGGGAGCGATAAGGGTATTCAGCAACGAAGACCTCAAGTTTGAAAGGCTTATTTACAAGCACGACGGCTCCAAAACAAACAGTGATGAGTTCTATTTTTCAGCAGTTGATCAAGCGGCAGAAGATTACCCTAAGGACACAGTGGATGGAGTTTTCAGAATATCCATCCAACCAAGGAACGAGCATGCTCCTGTGAGGGTTGTGGACAAAGTCTTCAACATAGTCCGCCACGACCAGCGTCTACTAACAACCGATGTCATCCAGTTCAAAGACGACGACTCTGGTTTCAATGACACACAAATTGTGTACGCTCGCGCGGGAATCCTCTCGGGCAACATCGTCTCAACATCTAACCCCTCACAGCCCCTGTTCCGTTTCACACAAGCCGACCTGCGAGACAAGAACATCCTCTTTGTTCACCACGGAGCCGACCGGGAGCGGTTCTCCCTGCAGGTGTCGGATGGCTTCCACAGCACCACCGCACTGCTTGAAATCCAGGCGGGCGAGCCCTATCTCCGGGTGGCCAACAACACAATCGTGGTCATCGACCACGGAAGCACAAAGACCCTTAACACAACCCTGCTGAGCGCCGACTCCAACATGGACATCAGAGACGATAGCGAGATCAAGTTCCAGGTCACGTCCCCACCCGACGATGGAAGGATCATCGTGAGTGGTGTCGAGGCTGCAGAGTTCACCCTGGAGGACCTGAAAAAAGCCGTTGTGTCTTACGAGCATAATTCTGAAAGTCTGAGATCCAAGGACTCCTTTGGCTTCAGCATCCAAGCAAGAGGACATTCGGAAGAAGGCACATTCAGGATTAAGATATTCAAGCAAGGTTATCTCTCTGAGCCTGAGGTGATAAACAACAAGGTCATCATTTCCTATGAGGGAGAGCACACTGTGATCAACCAGGATCATCTCAAGGTGATGTTGACAGAATTTTTTTCAATTATTTTTTAATTTTAATTAAAAAGTGCATTTTTAATTTTTTCAATCCGCTAGTGATTATGTAACACACCGTTTTATTTTCTCTTTGTGAGACATATCTTTGGCATGACATTTCCCTGTCTCTAATCTACATTGTAACCAGATGAAAGCAGGACAATATATGACTGCAGTTTGCTGCTTTTAATCTAGTTTATGTACTAAATTACAGTCTATTAAATGTGGAAAACAGAGAATCAAGTATCCCCTGAGAAGCTTCCTGAATCCCACTGTAATTTGTAAGATGAGCCAGCCCGCACTTCATCTCGGCTGAAATTAATGAGGTTTAAAATTGCGGGCCATTCATAAGACATTCTCTGCATACATATCTCCACTTCTCTTTTTAAACTTTTTTAAACATTTCACCAAAGTGCACACAATCCACGGAAGGAATGGGGGTGAATCTACACAACTAGTACACTGAAAATATGTATTGAAGAAAGCCTGAGAATGGTAGTATGATCTTCTGAAATGCAGGCTGCTAAATACTCCCTGGCTTATTATTTGATAATTTGATATTTGATATTATTTGTCTTATCCACTAGTGCATTGTTGCAACCTTCTAATGTTGTTTTTCAGCTGTGAGGAGTTCCTCTATATCAATGATGCATTGTGTTTGGGGACAGCAGCGACTATCATCACCACACCTAAATTGTCAAACTATTTTCCTATCAATCAATTTTAGGTTGATTGAATTTGTCAGAAATGGTCATCTCTGCACTTGATACAAATCCTCTTTGATTATCATGACACAAACAGTATTATGACCTTTTCTCAGATAGTCAGAATGTCAAATAGTATTTTGAGGTTAGATTGTGAATAAACACTGTGTCCACTTGCCTTTTCAGGTGGAGCAAGCCGATATTCTTCCAATGGAAATGGTGTTCATCATTACAGGACTTCCTCTTCTCGGCCACCTGGTCAAACTGACTAACAGCACAGGCTCTCCGGTCCTCGACTACATCCACTCCTTCACTCAAGAGGACATTAATCGGGGACACGTCCTCTATGTGTCTGCAACCTTTGAGGTTTATTGTCCTTTCACTTACTCCGATGTGGCTGGTTGACAAAAAAGGGCCTCGTGAATCTGAGGCACGGGGTCTATTTTTAGTATATCGATAACTTATTTGAACTTCCATCCCTTTCAGGGCGATGACGCCTTCACAGTTGATGTCAGCAACGGTTTTACTACGGTGGAGGACCTGCGCGTCTCTGTGAACATCGTGCCTCAGCTCATTCCCATCCACACCTTCAACTTTACAGTGAGAGAAGGTCTCAGCAGGGCAATTGACGCAGAGATCGTCAACATCTCACATCCATTTTACACCTCGGAAAACATTGATTTTGTTGTGGAAGAGGCACCGCAGCACGGGGAGATCGCTTACCTTGCTAGAAAAGAAGTGATCAACTTCACATGGAAAGAGGTATGTAATGATGTGACGAGAGAAGCTGCATGTTCAACAGAAAATCATTCAGTATTTTTCCCTTTGGTCAAAACTTTTTCCCTTTTGTATTCCATAACTACGTCACAAAGTTCATTTTCATAAACAATCAAGTTATGTTTAATTTTGTGACAATATGGTAGCATGCGATCCTGCTGTTATGTAATTGGCTTGGCCGCAATAACGAGGAAGGTCATTGGCTCGTCGCCTCGTCTGCTTTTTATGCATTTTTTGATTCTTCTACTTATGTGAGTCTGGGACCAAAATCTTTCCAGGCCACCCCGAAAAACCCAATATTACACATTTCATCCTGTCTTCTCCAGGGAGTATAACATGCTCCTCTCTCAACCCAATCATGGGGGCTGTTGAGCGGGGTTACCACAGCGAGGCTCCAACATTAAACGTCCCCCTGGTTACTTCTTGCCGCTGTTTTGGATTTGTTTTTCTGTGCTGGACAGAAAGAAGGAGGGAGACACACGGAGCTGCTGCAGCACAGCTATCTAGTCGCTCTCCGTGCGGTTTGGAGGCCTCGGCTTTAGGAAAATATAAAAGATGCATGGGTATAGTTACCATTGAAAAAACCCACATACGTTCTGAACTGCCCGCATAGTTTACTGGAGCTTTGGAGGCTGTCTTGCAGCTCCTGCATCTAACCTCAACCTCCCTCTACTCCTCCCCGAGCTACTTTGCTGAAGCATTGTGGAAAAACTGACGATGTCTTTGGATCGCGTGAAGCCAAAACAAACTGGCCCCGGTATTTTCCTGTAATGACGTGTGAACGCACACTAGAGTCCCGCGCTTTGCTTCTGAAAGACTCACTCACAGAGTCTCTCAGAGAACCCAATGTGCAACTCAAAGGGGTCCAGTGCGTAGCGACGGTCACATTGGCAGCAGGGAGGCCAAAAGGAACATCGAAATCGTAGCTCACTGTACAGAAATGTGCTTTTCTTTGCACTGCTTTTTTATGTCTGTTGTAAGCGTTTTTTCCCCTCTACTGTTATACACAAATGAGTACCACATTGAAGAATAGATGTCTGGTCGTCAGTCAGTGGAGCATTGAAACCAGACAGTAATTGTTTCAAAATGATTTTTGTGTTAAGGGGTTTTGTTTAATGCTGTCGGGACGCGGGACTAAGCGCTGTGTGTTGTAATCTTTTGTGATAAAGTCACCAGCTTAGTTCACTGAGGTTCTGTAAGGGTGTTGTAAGAAAAAAAAAGCCTTGTGGGAGAGTGTCTACATGAAGACAAACCACATGAATGTCCTTCTACTGTATGTGCTGTGATGTGGCCCAGATGTTTGACATTGGCTTGAATCTGTGTCATACAATGTGTGGCAGGTTTCGATCCCACGGCTCACTGAAGACATGGACACATTATCTAATGGGATCTAACCGGTGAAAATATGGGAAATCCGAAGCACTTTGCTTTGATACAACTTCACTTTAATCATGTCCGGCTCTGCGTCAGGTCTTAATTAGGTCTCCCATCTGTGAAAACTGATTATAGTCCACACAGGCAACTTTCATTTTTGCAAAGTACAAAATGTTTTCGGTCCTCTGGTTCTTCTTTGAAAATACAAGATATACAGAAGCTTTAAAAAAAAAAGTATCTTAACACAATGCATCGGTTTCTCGCTGTAAATCTGAAGGCTTCATCTCATGTCCAACAGCCACCCACTGTTTATTGTCCCAGCGAAGCGGGCTGTCTCGCTGACTTTCCCCCGATCAGTAATAGCGATGGGGGTTGTTATTCTAGAAGGATGCCCGTCATATGGCATCCATTTGCCACTTCCTGCTCTCTGAAGCGGCTCCGCAAACTCACGGGAGCTCACTGGCTTTTGTCCAGAGAAAGTTCCAACCGTCCTCTTTGCAGAGAGTCTCAGTAAATTGGTCAATTCAATATGTTACATGATGCAGATTATTCTATCGAGAAACAAGAAAGTCAACCGAGTTGACTCAGCCACAGGTGCTGTTTTTCATCCAGCTCACTTGACACAGGAGGACTGACTTTTTTTGTGCATCTGGTTTCCCTCATAGTTTTGTCCCACATGGGCGATTCTCCCTGTTCACATGCTGCTGCCAGACTTCAAGATCTGATTATAGGCTTTATCTCAAAACTTTGAAGACATATATTATCTGTTCAGGGCAACAAGGGACAAGGGAGGATTGTGTTTACTGCACAGAAATAAAGGTCTGTTGCTATGTTTTCTCATCCCCTAAAAACAAAGAGAGGATGTATTTGACAGTCTGTTAAATACTAGGCTACAGTGAGGAGACAGTTAGCTTAGCTTAGCACAAATACTTTGAGTAGGCTGAAACAGAGGCTTTCTCTGTATAAGCAACCAAGGGAGGACAAATAAATATCACAGCATTTTGTGCATTTCCATAGACTTGGTTACAGTGTAGTTACAAACGGTGGTGTAGTTGGGCTTAAAATAAGCAATGTCAAACAAAATGTCAAACAAAAAGCAACATTGGCGGTGTCATTGCACGATGAATGACAAGTTGTCGCGTCATTCATTGGCCATTTGGTGAGATGGATGTGGTGAAAAGAGAAAGCCAAGCCAGCAGGTTCAATAGCACATATCGTCCTGTTTCTTTCCCCCCTATAAAAAAGGGACAGAAAGATATTGGTTTATATTCACTGCTTAGATCCCCCAGAGCCACAAAAGACATTAAATATTATGTTTAATATTCATTCATATTGGACCAGTTCAGATCATTTGTAGCATTGCTAACATTAGTAAAATAGTTGGAGTTCTCTGTGTCAGGGGAAGGACGGCTGTCTTAGAAGATGTTATGTACCAAAGCATTCTAACCAAATGGAGAAGTTGAGAGGGAGACACTGTCATGAATGTGAGTGTGTTTAGGTAGATCAGCACAAGATGCTTTGTTGTTGTTTTTTAAAGCAGCGTCGCTTGGATTTGGGCCTTAAGACACCGTCACAGACTAGTTGACCTCCAGCTTTTAGGCTCGACCGCTCTTCTTCATGTTGATTCAGAGTAGAGCAACAACTGAATCTTTTTTTTTTTGCCCCCCCGTAGCTGAAACTTGGACACATCTACTACGTGCACGACAGCACAGAGAGCACGGAGGACAGTTTCACCCTCTCTGCCTCGGCCTATGAGATCGAGCGCCGGAGCCTTCCCGTCACCATCAGGGTGACCGTGATACCGGTCAACGACGAGCCGCCGAACCTGGCGCGGAACACGGGACTGGAGGTAATGTTGTTGCTGCAGTCAAAGCGCGCCTGCTTTTTACTTTGAGCTCTCCTCCAACATGTCGGCCGTAGGAAAATCTTATAAAAAGTGAATTTTCAGTTTGTTGGGCTACTTTTTGTTTTCCTTTAGCACAAATTACAACAAGCAGACCACAAGCTTCTTTCCTTCACTTTGCGTGAAGGAAGGAAAGAACAAACTTTTTATTGAGAACTTTCAAAACAAGGGAATTTGTTATACTAAGAAGCAGAAACTGGTTCATATCAATTCAAGTTACCTTGTTCATTTTATTTGCTTATATTTTTGTGTTTTCCTCCTGTGATATGCTGGAGAGAAGAGCTAGTCCAACTGGTGATTGACGGGCTGTAAGTGTTCCCTGCTGCTCCTGACTTGCATGATGAATTATAAGAGAATGGCAGATAAATGGCTTTATAATGGTGCTGACATTCTGACTTTCTGAGAAAAGGTCAAACTATTTTCAAAAAGACTACCTCGTCGTACTTTAAAGACTTACCGCTTTGCAGCTCGTCTTTCTTAACATTGATTCGCTGACAAAACGTAGGAATTTATGGTTTTTCTTAGAAATCCCAAGATATCCAAACAATCAAAAGACCTTTTGTTCGAAGGAACTCTTTCCATTGAAGCTCAGACTTCACTTTATGCTGCGAGTACAATGAACGTGGTGGATTCTTTCCTAGATGCTGAAGGCTACCGACCTGCAGGCGATGACGCACGCTGCATCAGCACAGCAGCGGCCGCCACTGCTTATTTGTTGTTTTATAAGCAGCCGTGAAGTGGAAATACATTTGCATATTCTCAGCTTGACCGCTCCGAAATGTGATCATACGTGTCACTGACTGGTGAATTCACATTTTTTACTCCAAGCTGTATATTTACTGAACAACGTTTCAGCCCCTGTTGGATCTTTGTCAATTTCAAGGTGGAAAGCGCACTTTAAATCAGTGGGTTGATGGCTGGTGAGAGGAGTGGTCAACCATCCAACACAAGCAGGCTGGTAAACCTCTCAAATCAAGTACACAAAACAAGTACACAATAAAGGCTCCATCAACACGCTCAATCCATCGATCCCATCGATATAAAATATATGTTGATACTAAGAGACTTCAAATGTGTTGCGTGTACGGAATCTTTTTACAATATAAAAACGTAAAGTTTACAGTCATGATCTTGATTTCCAGTAGCCTTCGAGGGTCATCGTGTGTCCCACTGCATCTGGATCACACTTAAACTTCTCCATCCGTGAACACCTCATTGCCTGTGATGCAAAAAGAAAGCTGTTTATTCAGTAACATCTTTATGTCATTCTCATGCAAAGTGTTTCCTCACTGATTCATCCATGAGAGATGAAGGATCAATTGAATAGATTGTACACTAAAGCCATTTGGAAAAAGCCAGCAGTAATAAACTCACGGAACTACAATACCAACCGTGTCATTCGGCCCTCCCCGCTCTGCCTGCGGCTCTGCGTCTCCCTGGCAACCCGTATTTCTGGAAAACCAAAACGGTTGACGAGACCGCGGCTTTCTGGCAGAGTGAAGGCGGGCATCCGATCCATGCGCCTCCTCCTCTGCTGCGGCTGCAGAAAGTCACCGAATGACATGTGTCATGACAGGTCTCCCCGCACACAGCCAGGCCCACTTGGCTTGATCTAAAGCAGGAGCTGTGTGTGTGTGTGTGTGTGTGTGTGTGTGTCTGTGTGTGTATGTGTGTGTGTGGTGACCTCTGCAGCAGATGATCCGACACGACGATGAACACGTGATCGGACTCTGTTGAAGCTCGCCTTGATCCCAGTTGGCCGGGTCTGTGGGATGCAGCTGGTCTCTGTCCCGTAGTCTGGTTCTAATTGACTTCACTGTATTTTAGAAAAGTTGGGCCAGCTGTGTAAAACAGCTGGTTCACTTTGTCCATCGGCTCATGTATGCGCATGTTTAGGCACATCGATACACAATAGTCCGTCCGGTGGTCGACTTCACTTCTCTACTCCAACAGAGTTGGACAACAGTCTGGTGTCCCCTCTACTTCCAAGATCAACCAGTATTTTGGATTCATGGGCAGTGTGGGACACGGCTTCAGACGTCTGGCGCAAGAGTCCAGAGTCCAGAGTCTCCACCGTTTGAACGATGGCGGTACCCCGTTGAGTCCTCAGCCGACCTTCGTTGCTCCCCCCAAATGAAATATCAGACATTGTGTCGGGTTCAAATCAATTTGCAAAGCCATTTAGGATTAGCTGCCCCAGATTGCTCGGTGCCTTACGGGAGTGCAGAGCGGGCCGACGGGGCCACCTAGTGGCAGGGATTGGATCATGCACTGTAACAAAAAATGATAATCATCACAACTTTGAGACGCATACTTAAACAAGGGATGTGACCTCATTGACTGTAAAATATTAAAACGGTCATATTATTTTAAAAGGCTTTCTTACAATGTGAACTGTGTATTCTGTTTGGGAAGTATTTTGTTTACTTGTCGGCCAAGTTGCGTGCGAGATATGTATGGAGCCCAGATATAGCTAAAAGCTCATTTTCAGAAGCCCAGCGCAGGTTCAAAGGAAACACGTGGTTAACGTTAACAAAAACCCTCGCTTAGGTTTGCCAAAAGAAACGCCAATGGTTGAATAAAACTTTATTATGCAAACTAAGTAAAACCCAGAGAACGTAATTAATTCATAAAAAAGGATCAAAAAGATCATTGAAGTAATTCGGGGGAAAGAAACACCTGCTTCTCCTGCTTGAAAGTCCCACTTTGACACGTCCCTCCAAGACCGACAAATTATGGGTTTCTGCTCTCTGAGGATGTAAACTTGAGCAAGTAGGGACTCCCCCAGGCCGGATGTCACACTGCATACAAGACCACCGTGTTTGTCAATGTAGGCAGGCGTGATGCTGCCGTCGCTGCTCCAAAATATCCACGTGAGGCCGCAGGCTGCAGTGGCACGATGTGATACCGAGCAGCTTACCCTTACATTTGCTGTCTTTTCATCTACGTCTCTCTCTCTCTCTGATGTGTCACAGGTTCTGGCCGGAGAGGAAGCGGACATCACCCCCAGCATGCTGAGCACCGAGGACGGCGACACTCCTGCCGAGGAGCTGGTTTACCACGTGGAGGGGCCGACCGGCGGCATGCTGGCGCTGAAAGAGGCCCCCGAAGAGGGCATCCTAAATTTCACACAGGCTCACATAGACAAAGGGGAGGTCATCTTCATTCACGAGGGTGCGGCCACTGACGTTTCTTTAGTTTCCATGAGTCAATATGGATTGAATGAGCAGTGTGAGCAGAATCAGCCACATCCAAACTCGTTGTCCTCTTTCAGGTGAGGAGTCTGGAGGTTTCAGTTTCACGGTGACAGACGGCGAGCACACATCTCCTCTCTACAGATTCGTTGTCACGGCCAGGCCTCTCACCATCACCATGGTAACGCAGGAGGAGCTGATGGTGTTTCCAGGTAAGGCATAAAACATCCTTGGGATTTCAGGCCCCGGAGACGGCAGCGATTGGAGGAATGTGACGGATTAGCCGTCGATAGTTCAACCTGTAACCTCACCACTGTTCTCAATTAACGTTACTTTTAGTCATTACAAAGGAGATGACACATTTTTGAAAAGCATGAATATTGGGAAACTCTTCTGCACAACAATGTGCAACAATTAATGTAACAGCTGAGGTTAACTTTGACAGCTCAACAACTTCCAAGAGGCCATTTTGCACAACACTCAGGGGACTGTGCGTGTGTGTTTTTACAGGAACAAGGCAGTCTATTACCAGCGCCAATTTGGGAGCTGTGACCAATGAGGATGGCAATGAGATAAACTACGCCATTATCCGCCTCCCTCGCTTGGGAAGACTGATCCTGGCCAATGACAGGAACCAGTATGAGGAGATTACCCGCTTCTCACAAACACAGGTAATTACTTCTGTGCGTGTAAAGAAAGTCGACAAAGGAAAACACATTTTTTGATTGATTTCTTTTATTTATCATTTGCATTAAGGAAGCACAGACGGACAGACGTATGAGAAGACATAATTCCTCTTTTATGCGTTAAACTGCAGCCAATCCTCCCTTCAACCCTCACTGTTGCTGAAGAACTCCCCGCTCTAAGTTATTTAAATCCCTGTGATTGCCGCTCTTGAATCCTCTGAAGACTTTTAAAAGTCTACTCTTATATCCTATTTATTAGCAGCATCGTCTAATATTTAAGGTAGAGTAGTCAATTAAATAAACTTGCAATAAAGAGCATTTAATCTACCCTAAACGGTTTAGTGTGTGTTTTACATGCACTGTAGTTGTTTTCCATAAGACAACATGTTCCTAAATGAAGTCCATATGCAGTCCACGTCGCACATGAGGCCCCGTTGCATTGGACCGTGAGCAATGTTAGATTTAATGAACGATGAACCCCTCAACTTAATCTTCTAGTGGCATTGTGCACGCATCTGCAATGGTTTCAATGTGTTCTCAATTTCGTTTCTGTCAGTACTCCATTGCCGACATCTGAATGCACTTGGATGAGCATTAGAATAAATTCCTTCCCTGCAAAATGCTTTGTTTTGAATGTGACAGAAAATCGAACAATAAGTCAAGCTTTTGTGCGTGCATGCACGAGTGCATGAAGACTTGCTTGCTTGTGGCTGTGTGTTTGAGGAGAAGAAGTTGAGTTCAGGACACAGTGACCTCTGAGAGCAAACTCAGGCCGCCACATTCCTGTTCTCTGACCCGGGTTCCAGTACAGCTCCGCCAAACCACTGCTGCAGTCACTTCAGGTCCCATTTTACTGTGGTTCGTGCAAACAATCAGAGAAAAAAGGGGAAAAGAAGATATTTCAGCAAACTAAAATATTCTTGCCTTCCAAATCACTCCAAACAAATAAAAAGTATTTGACAAGTTATTGAGTAATTGATGATACAGTAGGAATAACGATATATTTATTTATTTTCTCTCATCTTATGTCCCACTCGTTTGGTAAAACTGGCACGTTATTGAGAGTTTTGAACTGCTCGTCATCTTCTGGCTTTGTTGTCCTCTGGCACACAGCTGGAGTCTGGATTGGTCTACTACGAGCACCAGATACCCGAGGAGCCTTTTTGGCTGGTGAGGGACTCCGTGGAGTTGACGCTGTTATCCCCACCGGCCCTCGATGTCCATCACATCCTGCCCATCACCATCTCGTATTTGGCTCCTCACAGCAACCTTTCCTCGCAGCTGTGGAAGAACAAAGGTACCACCTCGTACCTACTTTCAACACATAAATAAGTGACTAGATGGAGACCCGGCCAAGACAGTCCACCAGTTACTGTTTAAATATGAATGAAACACAGGAGAAAGGAAAAAAAGAGACTGAAAGCAGCTAAAATGAAGCCGAAGAACGAACGTCACCTGTAATGCAGCATGGTTTTCACACTTATTTGGTTATCGCATAAATATTCCTACATATTTTAACTTGCAGAGAAGGGCGGCTAAGCCAGTGAAACCCATTTATAAGGACTATGTCTAAAATAGTAGGCGTACAGTTATAACGAAGACGTACTGTTTGCACCAGCTGCAGTTACAACATTTTAGCTAGAATACTTTGCACAACGAGGCTGTAAAGGTCGGCTGTAATCTTTTTTTTGTACATTATATGTATAATAATAACTTATATAAGTTATAAAGGGATTTATCACCAAAGCATAAAAGTACTCTGAATTATTACATATCAACAGAATACAGACAAAACTTAAATATTTCATTGTTTCTGCTCAGGTTTGGAAATTGTGCAAGGCCAGAGGAAAGTCATCGATGATTCGATGCTTGATGCCTCCAACCTCCTGGCTGACCTACCCGAAGATGATCGAGCAGATGTGGATGTGGTCTTTCACGTTGAGCGCTTCCCTGACCACGGTCGTATCACTCTGGGAGGTCGGGACCTGCCTCGTAATGCCCCATCCTTCATGCAAGAAGATGTCACTCAGGGAAAGCTGGAGTATGTCCATGACGGCTCAGGTTTCCCCAATGACGCGTTCTTTTTTCAAGCCCGTATAAAATCTGAGGGTGAGGGTTCAGCCTCAATCGCCGGAGCCCTGATGCTGGAGGAGGTATTTAAAGTCTCGATCAAACCACGCGGCTCCGACTCCCCAGAACTAGTCACTATAGACATGCTCTTGGAGGTTCTCCAAGGCTCCACGACCCTTTTGACTCAAAAGCATCTCAACACCCGAGATGAGGACAGTCCGCCGCATGAGGTGCGCTTCAAAGTGACCAAAGACCCGAGCAACGGCCAACTGCTCGACATGCTCACCATGCGCCCCGTCTCTGAGTTCACACAGGAGATGGTCAATCGTGGGCAGGTGGGCTTCTCCAGCGACGGCAGCCTCGCCAACGGCTTCATGGAATTCGTCGTGTCGGACGGAGAGCACCAGACGGAGGCGCACACGCTCCACTTCGGCGTCCTCGCTCGCACCTTGTTCCTCGACAAAGCTTCCGAGATCAAGGTGAAGCAGGGCGATGACGAGACCCTGGTGACCGAGGAGATGTTGAAGGCCACTACAGGGGGCCCTGTAGAGGAGGACATCCTCTACAAGATCACCAACGTACCCAAGTATGCGGCTGTCATGGTCGATCGGCAGCCTACGTCCGCCTTCACCCAGAAGCAGATCAAGGAAGGCAGAGTCAGTGTCCGGTTTGTTAAATCAACGTCACCCCGCGACAGCGTTTCCTTTGTAGCGCGTAGCAAGGCTGCTAATGTGTCCTCTGTCCTCAACATCACCGTCCAGCCTCTGGCCAACATCGCCCAGGATCCTCTGCTACCGCAAGGGGCCCTTGTCCAGTTGGACAGGAAGCTCCTTGATGCAACTCTCCTGGCAAACAAGACCAGATCGTCCCCCACGTTCACCGTCATCCAGCAGCCCCAGGGGGCTCACTTCGTGAGGTCCAAGGGTCCCGGTGCAGGTCAGCCAGTGGACACATTCAGCCAGAGGGACCTGGATGAGGGGCGAATAGCTATGGAAATCCTGAATAGTGCCTCTGGATCACAAGGCGGGGTCAGTCAGGACGAGGCCCGCTTCCTGCTAAAAGCCCACGGAGTTCCTCCAGCAGAATGCGTGCTTTCCTTCCAGACGGGCCCCTACAACGCCTCGGGGGTCTACCCTCTCACTCTGTTGAGGGTCCCCTCAGAAGCCCCGAGCAATGAACTCCCTGAAGCCGGGTCTCCTCGTTCCACCTCGGCCAGCCCCCGCTGGAGGGACGACAGCGTCTGGCCCCGCGCAGATGCTCCCACAACAACAACATCTTCTGGCTCTGGCTCCAGCGGGAAACCACACGTTTCCAGGCGCAACAACTTCTGGTCCATTCTCATTCCGATCCTGGTGCTCCTTCTCCTCTTACTGCTGGCGGCCTTCTTGGCGTACTACCTGATCCGTAAAAACAAGACGGGCAAGCACGACGTCCAGACCGCGGCATCCAAGCCCAAGAACGGGGAGGTGGCCAGTGCAGAGACCTTCCGCAAAACCGACCCGGCCAACAACATCCCCATGTCCAACATGGCCTCCAAGGACGCAGACCCGGAGCTGCTGCAGCACTGTCGGACAACGGACCCGGCCTTGAAAAAGAACCAGTACTGGGTGTGAGACGCGCCGAGGCAAGACACAGAGGGAGGTGTTCCTCGGAGTGTTTGGAAGACTCGAATCATTCCTTTCAGTATTAAAGACCTCTTTGCCGCACCAGTTCAAATGAAAATGATCTTTTGACGCCATTTGTTATTTACTTTTCTCAACGTAACTGTGGACAAATTCTCAGGCAATGAAACACTGAATACTTATTGGCAAAGAAGGAGGCCCCTCCTTATCTAAGGAGGCTCAGGCCAGGTCTATTTATTTTAGTTTTATCATTCCTCTCGTCAAAGGGCACAAATGAAGACACAAGCAACATGCCATGTGTTGGCAAAAGGTATCGTGGGTTTGCTCTGTCATTGTATTCCGTATGATATCACAGGTAAATATTATTCACATCAAAGTCTTTATGATTTGGTTTTAGTTTTTGATTCATAAGGAAAGTTGATAAACCTTGTACATAGATGACGAGCTAAATGTACGCTGTATTAATGAGAAGTTGAAAAACTGCCTCTTTGTGTTTTCGCTTTTATTTTCTCAAAATTGTACCATGTTTCTCAGGGCTAAATTCAGTTTAAAGGAATAGTACATTTTGGAAAATACATGATTTGACTTTTTTCTCCTTTATAGTCACTGCAGATTGGGAGATCTGTAACACACAAAGCTACAGCGAGGACACGTTACATCAGCTAACTCTGGGGGAAACATCTAGTATGGTTCAATTCAAATAAGTGCTTTCAAACTAAGTTGTTTCCTACGATAACGGAAGTCCATTTTGAAAGGACGGAGTACGGATTAATGAGAGGAGGTTGACATGTGGCAAACGGGCACTGGAGGGTTTGAGGTGGAGAAGCCGTCCCAATAGACAGGTTGGGAGTGAGAATATATAAATATATATATATATACAAATATAGTATGACATGTAATGTCTATATGAATACTTGGCTGTTCTAAACTAACTGTCTCTTGGCTGTGGCTTCACATTTTAACAGAGAGACATGACAGCGGTGTGTTTCGTCCTCATCTGAGATGTCAGCCGCTTTGTGTGGAAAGAGGATAAATTAATACTAACGACTGTTTCATATAAAAACTTGTAGCGACTACTCGCACAGGTTTGATGGAATTTAGCTCAGAGTTTTGTCATCATCCGTCGCATGTTATTATTTCTGCTTCCGGAGCGCTTGTAGATATTCCCGGTGGACCGGCACTCAGCACACCGCTTCAGACCCCAGGGGGGAGGTCATTTTGGTGGCGTTGGTCTTTGACACATGCGTGTTGGCCGACAGACAAGGACGAGGTCATCTCAAACTGGGAGGATTCCAGTTTCCAAGTCTGCAATTAAGCATTTATAAAAGCTGGTTGGTGCTGGGATGAGGATGATGAACTCTCAGTCCTCAGTTCTCCACTGTTACATTGGTTACATTGATGAATACAAATGGAGATATTTACAGTGTCTTTTCACAACTATTTTTTTATTTTTAAGCATTCTATAAGCTAAGTATACAAACTTTCATATATTGAAATTGTACGATTTATTTTACTCTTTATACTTCTTTTGTATGTTGGAGCTATGAGGCGTGTACATCAGCCTCCTTTTGTTTCTCTTTGCGTCTTTACCGTCAGTCTGCTGGTTGAATGTTGAACAAAGTGCTTAAGCTTAAGCAGAAAGAACAAAATCCGATAAGAAAAAAAACACTCAAATCTTTTGTTTTCTGAAAGGTATTTGCTGTACATTTCTTTTTCTTGTTTACCGATGACACCGTATTCTCTGTTAGTCATATACTGAATATACAATAGTTCCTTTGCCGTTCATAGTCCTTTAAACTTATATTTTTGTAGTTTTCTAAGAGCAGGAGATTGAGATTTGAACAGACAGCACAGAGCTCAGGAAGTGATGTGTTTCCAGTGACTCACTTACAGCTGAAATAAAAGTATTGGTTTCTTCTTCAGGACATCACATCCTCATCCGACCAGTTTTATGTGTAAATATTTGGGGTTTTTTAGTAAGACTTTCGGACTTGATTTATGTCTCGAAATACGAATCATCTTTTGGACATGTAACCACGTTTAATTAGAGCGATCAACTGTAACGTATTTCTTCGTCTATGTTTGTGTGTCTCTTTTTGTGTGTGTTTGTGCAACGGCTGTCACTCTTCTCCTCTCTGCCATGAACTCAGCCGTGAGTTTCATCACCACCTCCTCATTTCTCCTTATTTATTATTTCTGTCACTCCCCATACATCAAGTCATGTGCTTTGTAGAGTTTAAACTGTAATCTGTAAACTGCAGGTGCCTTTTAAAAACGATGGGAATACCCAGCGATGTTTAGATTACGGAACAAGAGAAATGTCTTTGCTGCAAAACGCCTCTGAGCTTTAATCTCGGCAGTAATGGAAATAAAAACCTTCTTGCAACAAAAACTGTGTTGATTATTTCCAGTCTGTGACCTTGTTCTTTTCTTGTAGAATTTTTTTAGACATTTCTTTATTTGCTTTTTTGTCCAAATAATGAGTTTCAAAGATTGAATATCACTAAAAAGCCCCCTGAAGTCGGTCCAATTTGTTGTGCCCTTGAGCCTGGATTAGTTTTATTTGTTATTCTCTGGAGCTCGAGTCATGTCTCTATTGAGATGCAGGGAGCACATTATTTGCAGTGTTGGCCTGTCTCTATTGCCCTAAAACTACATGTCACATTTTAGCCATTAATTTAAAATATATATATATATATATATGTATATATTTGGCTGTGTTTCTTGAAGAAAAAATATATACTGCATGAGTAGTATACATATATATTTCGGGTGGCATCTTTTGTTATGGTGAAAGCTTGGTGTTGTAAGCATTCTAGTTTCAATCATAATTTCACTACATGTTGGTGGGTTCATTACAATGAATATGTCTTAACTTTAACACACATGTCATTTATATAATAATGGCTTGAGACAGATTAAAATACCAATCCCCAGAGAAAGTCACATGGTTGTCTATTTTTTAAGTATTTACCGTGAAAGAAAGTGCTTCATCTTTCCCAGGGAAGCATCTTTTTTGTCACCCTTTAGTTACCGGCTGTCTGTGGGTGCTGTTCCTGCTTGTGACCACCAGGTGGTGTTACGGCGCCAATAAGCACCCACGGGGACCAGAACCAGGCCTGCAGACATCCGTCAGCATTTAACCAGGCTCTCTCCCCTCCGTCATTCTTTCCAGCGAATGGCCTTTGCTTTTTCTTGTTTCTTTCAGCTTTGTACGTGTCCCTGCTCTCCTGAGTTCTCCCGGTGTCACTAGATGTGACCCCCCCCCCCCCCCCCAAACACAAACTCCTCCCCCAGGAGGTCCCCTGGCTGGGTTCATAACCCACAGCTGTTCCCCCACATGTGTCTGCTAGTGTCAAGGTCAAGGTGTCAAACCGCAAACTTGCAGACTCCTCCCGATATAAAAGATAAAAGATGTGAGTTGTTGCCGAATCCAATTCCCACCTGAACATGAGGAATGCCAACCGTGCCTTATTTTATGACAACCTGTATTAAGAGGAGTGAAAAGGGAACCTGTGGAAGGACTTTATGTTTCGACAATTAGGGAGTGTTTGTGGTGGGGTTCATGTTGAGGGAGAAATGTTTCCTTCTCCTGGTACTGAACACTGACACCTCCCACGTCCACTTCCACAGATGTGCTTGTTGGACATTTCTTTGTGTGGCCTCTCACTGGATTTCTGCGGCTGGTGCTTCTTTTGGATGAAAATGTGTTTGTTGACACACAATCGTTGTGTGTTGTTGTGTAGTTGTGTTTGAGAATCACGTAGATCTCGTTGAGAATGTACATCAAACAAAAGGTGTCAGAAGTACCAAAGATGATGTTGTATTCTTATGAGAGACACATGGCAGATGTTTCATCACATCTGTGACACACTTGACTTGGCAATTAGGTCAGCATCAGTCTGCTTGTTAACCTTTAATATAAATGTGAGCCGGCTTGTGTTGACGTTGGGTTTTTCTCGTCGGAAGAGAAATGTTTGCTTTGGAAGTCGCTGTGCTGCGTTATCTACCGTCTCCCTCGGCCCCTCGACATGCAGCGAGGGGCTCATATACACATACATACACTCACAGCCCAACCGATACACAGCTAAGGAGGTTTGAGCAAGTAGCAATACGCCACAGGAACAAAAGCAACAGTTATTAATGTTTACTGGTTACTTGATTATTTTCAACTATGTTTGAATAAAAAGCTTAAAAGTCTCTGAGATTCACATGCAGCTGTCTGAGGAGGTGGAAGTCGGGTCCGAGGGGCCACACGTTGGGGTCAGGGGGGCAGCGTAATGACTCAAACCCCGTCGCCGCGGTCCGACCAAGAGAAACGGCGTCTTCCCGACAGGTGGAGGAGGGGAACGCGTGTGTTCTGCACTCCACCTGTGAAGACGTGAGGACGTTTATTTTGAAAGGATCGTTTGCATGCAATGAAGGGAAATTGACAAATCGAGAGTTTTAAGATACATTTTAAGATAAATGACACTGTTGTCTGAGGTTCGGTTGAACTGTTGCACCGATTTCTTGTCCTTTCGCATTGAGTGATTTCTACTGAGTGAGAGTTAATAAACACAACTCATTCCTCAGCAGACCCCCACACAGCGAGCCCCCTTAGACGCCAGCTTGCCCCTGAAGTAATTGCACAGCTTATCTGGTTTTTGTGGCCCGGGCAGCCGAGACATTCACCCGCTCGTCGTGGTCACCCGGCTCTGTGACTCCCACCGGCTGGAACACTATTGTCATGGAAATCTCTGTTGTGTTTTCCCTGTGTGTGTGTGTAATAAACCACAGTGGGGTGGGACGGACTACACAGAGAGCCAAGAAAAACACATGCGCACCGGTCGAATGTGGCCTCTCCTTTCATCCCTACGTTGCACCTCAACCTTCTCCCCTCGGTCTCCAGCATACGTCACAAAGGGAGGTCCGGGGGTCTGGGCAGGACAGGAAGTCCCCGGGGTGGACCCCCGTCGCCCCTCCTTGGAGGCTGGGGGGGATTGTTGCCCTCAGATCTAGCTTGTGATGTTTTTCCGTCCAGCTGACAGGGTGGAGCTCTCTTTCCAGGGTTTATTCGGTCAGTACAAAACAAATTCCATTCGTTTGTTTTGGGGTTTTTCTTCACAATTTCTCCACTCATTATAAGGCAGGTTTTGTTGATCAAGGCAGAGGGAGATGTGCAAGTTCTGGTTGCACAAAGATGTGCCGCGACCAGAGGCGGCCCTGAAGGCGGCCCTGAGGGCGCTCCATCCAGCGGAGGTGGTGGTCGGGTCGGGGGCGTAGAGGGAGGTATGCAGGCCCTAACTGGGAAGTTATTTTAAGAGAAAGCCCTTCTGGAAGTTCACTTAGAGCAGTCTGCGTCCGCTGCTTTTCATCACCGCCGTTGCTGAACAGAGGATTTAAAACTTGAACTCAACGTTTGGCTACAGCGGATTCTTGGCTCCTCGGTGGCAGCTAAGTGAGCTGTAAACATTACATTGAAATGCAAGTTTAAGAAAACTGCTATTGCGACCTTGTTAGCAAACACTAAAGCAAGAAGGGGCTTTTTTTGCTAAATCTTAAAGCGGGAAACACAAGACATGAACTGACCCCTAATTGAGTCCTGCACCTCAAACACGCGCCAACAACAAACTGTAATATTTTCCCCGCTGAATCAGTTTCACATCCTGCAAGTATTCACTCCCCAAGCATTGAGGGGGGGGGGGGGTCAGTTGGCTTCAATATTCTACAGTATTAACACTTTTACTGTAATTTCTCTCTGCTATACAAACACTGGTAATGTGACTTATTTGGTGGATTCTTTATTTGCTTGGGTGGAAGATTTACTGGGAACTGTCTAATTGCTGGTAATATCTGTTTGCAGTTTAGTCTCCAACCATCCAGGAATGCGTGAAACCACAGCCGGTTGGAGTTGGAGGTGTGGGGAAGAGAAAAAAAGGCACAAAGCTGTAGGCTGGAGGGGAAAATGTTGGCTTGCCTCCAAAGCTGAACAACCAACCAGCACACAAGCTTTTTGTCTTATCGCGCTGTGACATTTACACAGGGCGGAGTGTGAGCAGATTAACTCCCTCTGCCTGCGTTGTATGCCGCGCTCTTGTTTGTGCATTGTTTGATAAAGCTATCTGGGATCTGTATTTTCCTACTTTAAATATCACCTTTGAAGTGACTCCCGAAATGAGACGAGGGCTGGACTGCAAATTTCTTTGTAATTGTATCATCCTCTTAATCAAGCAGTGTTTTCAAAATCAGTGGCTGGGTGTAACTCCTATCTGGTCAAGGAATAGCATCAAGTAATGGAATATTTGACTTTATTTTAAGAAGATAGCGTGAGAAGTGAGTGCCATGCCTGACAGAAATGAACAGCTAGGCCTCAGACGGCAACAACCAGGGCTCCGACTAACGAAAATAGGCTCAATGTCTCATGGAATGTTTGTCCAAAAGTCTTTCTTATCATGCATTTAGGCCTTGCAGCCAGCTGCCTGGATTAAGCTGCATGCCACTCCACTTCTCAGCCTTTGAGTTTAATGATGGATTATTTGTCTCTGACATTGGAGCCACACGGTCAAAACTGCCTGTCTGCTTTGTCCATTTTCACGGATTGTCCCCGGGGAGAAGAGATGTTAGACATGAGGCAGTCCAAGATGGCCACATCCAAAAGGCTTCAGGCTTCTAAATGCAAATCAATGGTTGAGGTCCCAATGACTACGCCCTCTTTTCATATACTGTCTCCAAAGGTCGCCAGAAGTCACGTGTCTTTGTGGCTCCTGTTAGTCCCACGGCAGGAATGTTGTTTACGGGCATTGGACAGTGTCTCAGGAATGCAGACGGTTTTCTGAGGAAATGACTGTTGTCTCCAGAGGGAGCTTCCAGCCCGTCTGCAGACCCAGAAGGGAGAGGTTGACCGGGACATCGCGTGTCGCACGTTACCAAACAGTGGGAACGATGTAACGTACCTGTTTGTAGCCTCTCACTGCCAAAACACGAGCTCATTCCGAGACGATTAACAACGATGAACCTCCGGTTGAAGACGCCGCGCAGAGTGCTGCCGGTTAACCGGTTAACCGGTCTGCTCCTGCGTGTTACCCGTTAATGAGCAGTTAACGACTTTGGAGTGATCTGAAATCCTCCGTAGCTTCACATCGATCTACACAATGTCTTTTAACACATGATTAGTTAGGGTTAGAGTTTCAAACCCCATCTTTTAGCACATTTTGGGCACATTTGGCTTCTACTATCTCTGTTGGTGCAGCATTCTTCTTTTGAGCTCATTAGATGAGCAATCGGCTGCTAACAGGCCTTCATGTTGCAGGATGTGAGCTGAAAGTTCTTTTCTGTTGCCAGCCGTCGATGTTAGAACAACTTCTTCTCCTCCACGGCGGATCCGTCTCGACTCAACATAACTGTGATCCTATAAGCATTTACAAATGCTTTATGAACAGCTTTAGAAAAGATACAGAAGTGCCCCGATCAGAAATACCGCCACTGCAGGTTCCGTGCGATGACGCGGCGCTGCTTTTGTCCTGCTCAATCAGAGACCGGAGTCCGGATGTAACAGCAGCATTTTGTGTCCTGGAATAATGGTTTACAGGCCTCGTGTTCGTCTGATCCAAGCTACTCTCTTTATGTGCTCGGCAGCCCTGCAGTTTCCACAGCTACCTCCTGCTTGCTATCGTAAGATCTTTGGATTTCACAATCTCGCTCCACTCGGCAGGAATGGGACTTTGTCACGTGACGTCTCTGAAGCGCTCAGGAACAAAAACAATCAACAAATTTTTGTGTCTGTTGGAAATTCCTACAAATTGTGCAAGAGAGAACCGAGCTGAACGTAAGTATGTTCTCAGCATCTGAAATACACTCCACTGATAGCAAATACATGTAGTGCACACATGTTGGTATCAAGATATCTAACGTACTTTGCGATACTTGACACACTGTCCCACAGAGGAAGATGCTGCCTCCTAAATCAGTTGGATGAGTGCATAAAATCAGTTGTTTTTTATTCATTGTTTGTGGAGCGGCTCCAGGCAGTAAATCAGTTTTTTTCCTTTTGACAGAGGAATCAGTCGATTGATGCTGCGTGGGTCACCTGACGTGTCAGTATTCATACGCTGTGGTTTTATCGAGCAGCTGAGGGAATAGAGTTTTGTTTTTAACGCTACGTCCTGTCCTCCGTGGACACATCTGATGTCACAACTGCGTCATTTACTTGAAAAAACAAACTTCTTATTGAGGCTTTCCTGGAAGTATTTCAGGTCCAAGCCACTGGAATGTCCTCCAATGCAGTTTGTGCTGTAAGAGACCCGCCTGGCTTTGGGTCAGTATACAATGTTTTGGGCATTTGCACTCGATGTGTATCAGAAAAGAAATGCTACTACGGACCTGAGTTGGTTACCTTTGACCCCGAAAAGAGTGACTGCCGTGATTGTATGAAACATTCATTGCAACAGTGCGGACAGTGAAGTTATGACCTTTAACCTCATAGTGTTGGCCCCTCTCATAGAGCCACGGAGAAGTGTGTTAGAATTAAAGTCTTAATTGTATAAAGTCAAACAGTTATTGACATTGCCAAAGTGAAAATACTTCCAACATCCACCGGGCCTTTCACCATTTGAAGAGAAGAAGCCACATCAGCCTCGGCCCTTATCCTCAACAATGCCTGAGAGGGGACGGCTGGCAGCCAGGGGGACAGGAAGACAGAGACAGAGATAAAGGAACGAGTACCACAGAAGTAGGGTTCTATCTCATGCACATTAAGACATTTTGTGGGCAGCGCGTGTCTATGTTCCCTCAGCTCTGCCTCCAGGGCCCCACATTCCCTCAACTGTACTTCACCCGAAACCTTGTGTCCCATCAGCCTCCTGTCCCCTCGCACCCTGTGCTCCATAACGCCTGCGTTCCGTCCGTATGGCCATGTGGTCACCGACGGCCTTCAGTGTTTCAAAAATGGATTTCCTTAAAATCACAGAGTGGCTCCGCCATGTTTTCGTGAGCTTGACAACACTTTTGCTTCCGTGTGTTCTGTGACATCTATTAGTTAAACTGTTTGCTGACACGGCAAACACTGGCTGGATTTAGGCAGCACAAGTTATACTGTCAACATCTGTGTACTGGGAAGTGTTTATTATTAAAGGGCTCTGATTCAGGATGAAGAATGCATGTTCAAGCTGTGAGGAGAGCTGTGCTTTCCCACTTCCTGCACATTTGTGTTATTTGTTTATAAAGGTTTATAAATAGATGTTGGCCTACTTAGAAGCAGTTTTTGATTTTATTTGTCTCTTATTTGAAAATGAATGAGAGAGAATGTGACCAGGGTTTATAGTGAAAGTCTGGCCAGATGTTTAGTTTAAACCATCAATGAATATGAAGTTTTGCCCATAGAACATAGACACCTGTGTACTGTGTACATTTCTTCGTCCATCCACAAACTTTATGTCACTCTCACGACACACGTGAAGATTATAAAACATTAGCGTTCATTGGACCGGCTCTCAGTCTCATCAGTTGGCTTTTTATGTCTCTTTATATTAACTGTTGCTATTAGGTTGCAAGCTAAGACAGTTTGGAACATCTGCGATGAGGTGTTATCTGGCTAAATGTGTTTCTGCTTAAAACTGAAGGAGAAAATATTGTCACCATAACCTCTGTAAAAAGATTCAAATGTCTTGATCAAAAGCACATATTGGTACTTCAGCGAAGACTGCAGCACCACATTCCCTCTCCCAAAGAAACTCACCAATGTGCCTTTACAGACGTCGCAGCAGCCAGCGGGAGCAAAAAGGAAGAGGGATCACTGAAGCACCGTGTGTGTTGATTCCACCATCTGTGGCCTTTGTTTCCTCCACCGCCGAGGTCAAGGCCACTGCAGTCGACCCAGGAGGGGGGCAGGCGATCCATGGAAGTGAGAGTAACGACAAATGATGTGTCGACAAAAGCAGTAAACGGGATTCTTGAGTTCAAAAATCCCTTTTACTGCTTTACATACAAAGCAGATCCTTCCTCACAAACGAGAGGTTAAAAACTCTTGGAGTCTTGGCACTTTTGAGAAAGCGTGATTCATGTCGGCAGTCGAAGAGTTGAACCGAAGCACAGTTGCTTCCGTGCCGCTCAGGCTGATGTTGAATTTTTTAAAAACAACCAGTTGATGACTGTGGGCACGTCGTGTTCTCTGGCGCATCCCGCCCGGCGGCCATAAGACGTCAAACTGCTCCTTTCCTTCACTCAGCATCGTGTTCGTTTCATTCTTTTATGAACATCTGCTGGCACTTTGGGCCATAACACTTTTACCATGTGCCCCGGCAGCAACGCTGCAGACCTGAAAGAAACCCTCACTTTCCCCCCTTCAGGCGAGCCAGGTGTGTCGCACTGAAAGTGACGGCGCACGAAGAGAAGTTAAGAATAAGCTAAGTAATGTAAATGTCAGTCGCAAAGCACGACCAGACCAGTGGCATCAGGGCATTACGATTTCTTTATGACACAACAATTTTAGCCCCGAGCTGGATTCGTATCAACAACCGTCCCCTTCTGGAAAAGAGTTATCTCATCCAGGCTCCAGCTGTGTCTGATGGAAAAAGCCTAAAAGAAGGCAAAGTTGAGCCACCACTTCCTCGCGCAGACGAACCCGGGAGAAGTGCACAGCTAGCATTACTTTGGCAGCACCGAAAGGTTTTGGAACTTTTTCCCGAGGTGTCACTTTACGACCATTGAGGCGTTTTTGCTGCGCTGATTCTCTGTGGTGTACAGTACAGAAGTGTGTGTGCAAGGCAAACTTAATGAAGTCTGAAAGTAGAGTCTAAAACCACCACATTTAGTCTGCTGATTTATGGTTCAAACTCAACTGCAGTCAGTCTTTGGTTTTTTAAGTGAACTCGATGACGCCTTTCCTCATGAAGGTGACATCACTCCGCCGGTTTAGTTGCATACCAGAGCCGGCGAGAGCCAGAAACGTTACCATCACACCCAGGCATTCAAATAGAAACATCTGGATATTTTTCGTTTTAAAGTTGAAAAGATTGGGAGTGCAACTGTAACGGAGCCTCCTTTAGCATCACTGTTATGTCAACACAACAGAGCGGAACTGTGGACATATGACGGAACCAAACATACAGACGTGTTTTTAGGGTTAAAACAGAAGCGGTAGCTCATTGTTATTTTCAGCCATGCCAACAGAGCTGTTGATTTTGAGCCATTCAAATGAAAGGTTTTGCTCCCGAAACATCTGGAACAGATTAAAGGGGGAAGTCTTTAACATATTGGACCAGATTAAAGTTTGGCATTCATCAGCGGCCTCCAAGAAACAACACAGTCGGAGGGCTTGATTTATTTATTTACCCCAAACCTGTATTGCTGTGGATCATCATAGATGGCTTTGACCGTAGCTGCCTAGTTTAGTACATATCTAGTTTAGTACATATCTAGTTTAGTACATATCTAGTTTAGTACATATCGGCCAGACACAGATCCAACATGAAACTACTGTATCTGTGATTGTGGGGTGAACGGTCACTTTAAGTTAAGCAAACGTCCCAGTGATCCGTCCTGTGGTTATCGGAGTATTTGACAGAAAACCAAAAAGCTACGTCCCGAACCGGTGCCAGCTACAGCGTTACCATGGCTACAAACGCAGGGAGAACAGCTTCCTGCTCATAACACACAGATGGTAGACATAACAGATTGCCCCAACTCTCAATCTGAGGTGAAGAACTCTCCTTTCTTGTGACACATTCGCTTGCGTGTCATTTGTTTTGGTGCAACGTCACTGTTTACGCGAGCTCGTGGCCGTCCGGGCTTTGATTATATTCAGGACAAACTGTTTGTGTGTGTCATCACATCTCGCTCACAAATAACCTTGTCTACCAAGGAAGGTGGAAAATAACTGAGAGAACATGACAACAGAACGGAAAACCAGGGCAAATTGGATAAAAGTGGAGGAATGCTTCGGCCTCCCAGTTCCTTTGGTAAACTGTTTGTTGTGTGTGCTTAACAGAGGAGTTCTACGGGTAAATGTGAATATCAATATAACAATAAAACACTGGATTGGTGCACATGGAACGTCTGCATGGAAACAAACAAAAAGAAGAGAAGGACAGCAAGGGATCAACCTCATTGACTTTTATTAACAGTTTAGGTCCCCTTCCCCCTCAAGTGACATTTGACTTACGGAAAGTCGCCATCTGTTTTTTCAGAGACTGAAACTGACGCCTAGAGTTCCTCCAACGTCCCCTGTCACACACACACACGTCAATGATCACCTGTGTGAAATGCCTGGCATTCAACCTGTCATGCAGCTTTGGGGCGCGACATAGAAGTGTCGTTATGGAACCGAATTGAGCACCTTTTCGAATGTCTTCTTTTGCACCTACATCTCTTTCATTGGCCCAGAATCCGTCTTCTCATTTGGTGTCCGTTACGGCTTCGCTGTGGAATGTGTTTTTTTTTTTCTTTCTCCAAATGCGCCCTTCTCATTTTTCCCAAGGAACAGATTCAATTGCAAAACCAGAGACCACAACACCAATTTCCATTCACCTAAACAGCCCAGTTTAAAATGTCTGAGTTCTTTGGTCTCGGAGAAACTGCGACGAGTGCAAATGCTGACAGGAAAGAAAAATTGCTGATGTATGAAGAGCAAAAATAATGTTCAAAAGTAAACACAAACAACACCACATGTAGACGGCAAAGAGTCTGCACGTGTGGCCTGAACAGTAACTGAGACTCATATCTGAGTCACGCACACAGACTATTTGTTTAATGAGAACGCTGCACCGTACCAGCACTTTTCTTGCTTGGAAGAGAACCGTCTAACTTCTTATTTTGACTCTCACAAATCATCTACATCCAAATCAGTGTCCCACAGCCGACAAGTCCACACCGCCTCCAGGCGACGCACTTCTTGGTGTAATTGTAAGTAATGCTTACGGGTCTCATCAAACCGCAAGTTGCCACGAATTTAGTTTTTCTCTTGTTAAACCGAATGAGTAATGTAACTGGTTTGCTTGTAAACATCTCTTTCAAGCAGTGAAGAGAAGGACGCTGATCCTCAGAGTCACTTCAATCTCAGTCACTAAATGTGAGTATTAAAATGTTAAAAGCGACACGTCACTGTGGTCACAGCTGGAAGGAGAGCATTAAGGTCGTTTTAATAAAGGAATACTTCTACATTTTGGAAGCTGTTCCCTTTTGCTTTCTGTCTTGGCAGCCTGTTAGCATAGCTTAGCGTAATGCCTGGAAAGGGGGGGGGGAAGCTCGCTCTGTCCACGGCTAACTAACACCAAACACAAAAAACTTCATTTTTTGACTCCTGTTTGAAAACAGTTTCACTGGGTGTTAAACCGGCAAGAAAAGCCAAATTGAAGTTTTTACAATCTGCATTTTAAATGAGTGAGTATTAGATCAGCTTTGGCGTGAGCTAGGCTAGCTGCTGCCCACTTGGCTTCATGCTAAGCTAACATCCGCTAGCTGCAGCTTTGTAATCAACGGACGAAACAATTGAACGAAACCCAAGAAAACTAAAGTATTTTAGTTATTAGAGGGCTACAGATGATTGCAATGATATCATGTGGTTTTATTTGTGCATTAGATGTTGTTTTAAAATACTTGACATGAAAAGCACATCATGCTGCTTCTTCACCCAGACAGACTACATGAATGTTGATGTTCCGCCTCCCGAAACCACTCAATACAATTCAGCTTTATGACTTTCAATTTCATGATGGTTGTTTAAATCAACCTGCTGCAACATAAAAATAATATATATTGTTTTCAACCGTGAATAAGGGGATCGATCAGAGCAGTAGTTGACTCATTTCACTCGCTCACCCACTCATAACCCCCCCCCGCCCCTCTCCACACACACAAACACACACACACAAACACACACACACACACACACTAGTGTATAAAAACATGTGCAAACTTGTTTCTAAATACAACTTAAATGTAATAATTCCCCTCAATAAGACTCGAGCCATTAGACAGACAAACGGCCCATTTACAAATATTCCATCACATCCTTAAAAGGCACTTTAAATGCGTTAAAAGCAAGAAAACAAAGTTGATTTTTGTCTTCTACATGGTGCAATGTTAAGACAGAAAAGTGTGACTTGAATACAATACCAGTTTCAAATCAGGAAAAACCCAATCAGGCCACTCAGCACAATTCCATGTATGCAGTGTACTTGTTTGGCCAGAGATACGATCTTTTCAAGGTTCAAGGAGATAAATCAGTGAGTGGATTGTTCACCAGATTATGAGGGAGGGATAGAGGGAGGGTGGTGGGTTGGGGTGGGGGGGGGTGCATGATGTTGCCGAGAAGGGGACACTTTGGGAGCAGAACCCGTTTCGTGGTATTACACTTTACAACAATCAGCTACTGATTCGCTATGAATCTCGATCTCAATGTTACAAACACCTTAAATGATGTAAAATAAACAATATGCTGTGCCATTGTCTATGTGATGAGTATTTCAGGAATAAAAAGTAGTAGGTCTTGGAAAACAAAAAGTCCATTTGAATCCATCAAAGTAAAAGACTGTTTTTGTACCTCTTTCCGCAAACTATTGCTCAATTTATCTCCACGTCTTTCCCATCTGGACCAGACATGCCGAACACGTAGCGCCTCTGTGAAAGAGTCAAGCCTCGGGCCTTCCCTTCTCGTCCGTGTGTGCGTTTTTGGCATCTAGAACCGGGCAGCAGTCCCTGTGTCTTCACAGACAGTCGTACATGCGAAGTGTGCGCTCCAGCTGCTGGACGACGCGCTGGTAGAAGGCGATCTGCTCCGTGAGGTAGGCCTGCATCATGTCTTTGAAGTCCACCTCTCTCTGCCGGTGGAAGTGGCTCATCTCGGCCTGCAGGGCGAAGCCGACCGTCCGGCAGCGTTTCCTGATGCCGTCGGCCTCGTCCTGGTCCATCTTCCCTTCGTCGCTCATCCGCTGGCTCTCCTTCACCTTGGCGAAGGCACCTGGGTTATGGAAAGAAATGCAAAAAAAAAATTCAACGGCATGGTGTCGTTACACAAAGATAACAACGAATAATCCACAGATATAATATACACATACAAAATATATTAAATAGCATCGTCAAACCAATACCTCTTTACCCTCCGAAATCCACTCCTGTAAATCTGCACAGAAACAATTACTGTTGGTTTCTGTTGGATATCACACCTTCTAGTTGCAGTATGTTTGTTGACGGGTTCTGACCACGTTAACCCGGACTGACCGTGACGTCGCTTTCCAAGAAGGAATGAGGCGGGCCGATGGCTTGTTCCCACACTGCCTTTCCCAAGCAGACCATGGAGTCTGCCTCAGTCAGCCTCCAGCCGGGCTCGATCTCAGCAGGAAGACTGATTTGTGCCGCGCGGAAAGCCAGCAGCACTAGTTTCCGCCTGCAAGACGCTACGGCTTTTATGTATCTGCTGCAGGTTTTATCCACTAACTCTATTTTTGAGTTCGTGCTGCCCTGGATTTCAGATGGAATTCCTGGCAGAAGTCTGGGAAAGCATGAACAGCACTTTGAGTGTGTTTGCAAAAAGGAGGCATGTGCACTACAGTCTGCGGCAGTGACCTACATTCATGTATTCTGTTTTCCACATGAGAGGAGAATGTGCATCACCAGATAGCATGACTGTGGGACATAAAGGAAAGGCGTATATAGTGGTGTGTGTGTGTGTAGATATGCATGATGGGGATCAGCTTTCCTGGATCAGCTAATGCAAAATCTCATCACAAAGAAAGTTTCATGCAGCCTTCCTCGCTACATCTGCTACATCTGCTACATCTGCTTCCTAAAATGATGCAAAACTACACTATTAAAGCCAAAAATAAAAATGACAGAAAGAGAAACCGTGGCCCGATAAAAAGCAACGCTGTGTAACAAAAAACACATTCCCCCTTCCTGCTTATGGCCTTGTGTCTATTTTTACAGCGCTCGCCGGGTTTGTGTATCTGGCCCGACCTCTACGGCGAGAGAATCAAACCGTTTCACATGTGACAGCTTCACGGGTCTGTGCTGGTTAGATACAGACGAGAGGAAAGGGAAGAGACAACGGTGTGCGGGGGGGAGGAGGGATAACACGGGGGCTCTTCATCTATCTTCTAGCCCTCCGACCCACATCGAGAACGGAAGTCCCTCCTTCGATAATCTGTATATATTTACCCTGTGTGTTGTTTGTGTGCTTTTTCTCCACAAAGCTCCACGCAGCAGGGTTTAGTAAAGTGTCTCATCTCATTTGAACTCGTTGACCTGTGACCATGTTTCCGCTCACAGCTGATTAAATATATTCCTCCAGTTCCTCCGCGCGTCATTAAACTGCAGTTTTGGCCTCTTGAATTTGTTCGGATCAGCTGTTCAGACCGAACGTATCAGACAGCATGAGCTGCTTTTTACGGGGGATCTTACTGTAACGGGCGTCTTTAGGGAAGCCGAATGCAGCATGGCTTGAATTAAACGTCATTAATAAACACTGTGCGCCGGTGAATGTTTGTGCTGTGAGGAATTAGCTTTTATGACCTGTTGCAAAACTAATACTTTGGGAAACTGTTATTCTGGATGACCTGAAATGACTCCATTATTACAAAGACTTCAGAGGTTAAGTTAATCTATTGCTGATTGTATCACAATCTTCTCGACTAGAGTGTGTGTTTGTGTGTTTAACTGAAAGCACGACACATCCCATCCCAGAGGAACTGGCCTCAATGTGTCTCGGCGCAAACATGCGTTAAGATAATGTGCTACGTCGTGGTGCAAGAAGGGTCTGAAAACCGACAACAGAATAATCGGAATGAGTCATCGGTGTATTGTTACAAACACAGGGAGAACATATCGTGACTGAGAAAGATTAGTGGACTTTATTCACGTTGGACAGACGAGTAAACAGAAACGTTGTTCAGCTGAGGACAAATGAGGCTCGTCACCGCAACACACGAACCATTAGTGGAGGGCGGCGTGTGTGTGTGTGTGTGTGTGTGTGTGTGTGTGTGTGTGTGTGTGTGTGTGTGTGTGTGCCTGCTGATGTCTGAGTTGATATCTCAATAAGCAACAACATTGCAGATGGCGTCTTCCTGGAACCCATTTCCCCGCGTCCACACCAGACGGAGGAAAACAACGCCTGGGTTCATTTATGTGAAATACGTGGCGCGCTGACACCACGCTGCCTTCTAAATCCGCTCATGTTGACCACGCTAACGGTAAGAGTCCGTGTGGAGGACGGCAGAAATAGCAAAAAAGCTATTGAAGTATGTATTTACATCCGTTACAAAGACGTATGTTTATTTGGATGAGTTGCTGGTTTAACTGGGCCTTCTGGAAGAGGAGCAGAGTGCACGGCAGGGTCAGAAGGACTGTGATAACCTGCCAGTGTTTGACGTTAAAAGCCTCGACGGTACACAAACATGCGAAGGGCGGCTGCTGAGTCAGCTAATCGTCGGTCACGTACACAGATAAGCGCTCAAGGCCGGAGATAGAATATAAACCATTTGGGGCCTCTTGAAGTGTCTTTTTCCATTCGTCTTTGGGGCTAATTGGCTGCAGGGAAATGAAAGAAATATTTCCAATTCTGTCTCTTTTTTTTGTATTACTTAAGGGATGAGGAATGTGCAAAACAGAACCACCCTGTGCAGCCTGCTCAGGAGTTACCAGAGAAGCTTCATCTGCGACCGGGGCAATTTCCTCCGCTCGCTGCATATTACTTTGTGCGCGTTTGACCACAACTGCAACGATTACACTCAGAGAAATAAGACATTGAGCTTCCCGAAGCTCAGATATTAGCTCACAATGTAAGCTGCGCAAATAGAGGTTCAACAGATGTTTTTGGGTGGAATGGGCAGTGAGAATCGGATTTTAAACTATTATAAACTTTAGTTCCAGGCGGACGGTGTTACAAATCTGTGCATTGATCGAGATCAATTGCCACTCGGATCTTTCCACATACATCTGAAGAGGTTATTTCCTTTTAGGTTTGCTGCGTTTGTAAGAAAAAAAAGTGGATTATCACAGTGAAATAAAAAAATGTGGTGGATTTGGAGAAAAGTCATTTTTAAGCTGTTATGTCATCACCCATCAAGCACAATAAAAGGTCGTCTCAACATTAACTCTGACATCACAATTGTTTTGTGTAGTGACGTCCCCTCGGGGCCCTTGTGACTTTGATTTAATCCAAAACAGATTGTGCTGTTTTGTTTGGGAACAGATTGATGATTTCCTCGGAATCGTTTGCCCTGTTTGTCTACCGAGAAGTGCTGCAATGACTTGACGCGTGACGCCTGTGATGACGGATGTTGGGTTCCTGATACCAGATGAAACACTTGTCCTCTCTCCGTGCCGACCCCGAGCATCTCGTCAGCGTTACCATGACTACAGATAGATTGCCAGACACGCAGATGGGTAAATACTCCTTCCCAAGGTGACAAAGAAGATGACGTTTCACTTCTGGTTTGCTTCAGCTTTCGAAGGGCGGAGCCAGAGAGACTATTAATCTGTGAGCTGATGCCAAGAAACGTCGATCAAAACATGAGCAGATGCAGATGCCTTGGATGAATTATATTTTCCATTCATTCCTAACAATGCAATGAGTCAATCTCCATAACCCCCCCCCCCTTTTCCTGCTCAGGCTTCACATGGGACTGTAGCATATCCCAGCATGCATTGGGAAAGAGGAGCACACCCCGGATGGGTTGCGTGTCTTTCACAAGGCCACAAACATTCACACCCACAAGGCTTTGCTGGGGCCTGTCAGAGAGACCCAGGTAAGTGCTCTCCAGCTCCAGCATTTGTCAATTTGTCATATGATCTGTGTGTTGAGCAACGTTCAACTTTGCACAAGCGAACCAGCAAGGCAGAGTTCCCATTGAAACTAATGAGGAGGCTGACGTATTAGTAGAGAGACTGTTGCCATTGCGAACATGGCTTTAAGAGCTACAGACTACGTGTCTAGTCTTAAACTTCTTCGGAGACATCTGTAATCTCCTTCCATGTGAATCAGCGGGCCAGCACAGACAGGAATGCACAGGCGTGTGGAAGAAGGGGGCCCGGCCTCCTTTCAGGTGTATGAGCAAGCAAACGGGGGAGGGAACACGTTTGCTCTCTATAGTCACCGCAGACAAGGCCACAAACAATAGATGCTCAAAGGGAACGGGAGTGCATCCCTCGCCAGGGTGCACCGACTCGCCGCTTTGGTTACCAGCTGGCGGCGCAGGTTCTTAATCTTTGTCAAACAATACAAACATGACAAAGACGTAATTGTGTGCAGGCCCGATAAGAAGAACCCCTCCCCCCCCCCCCGCCCCCGTTGCGGATCAAAGGGGGCGCAAAACCGATGGAGCCTGCACGTGGTTTTGTAACGGAGGACAACTAACCTGTTGACCAGATTGGGAGTCTGGCTGGTGTCTGGGCAGCGTCCCAAAGGAGCCGGCTCAATGTCAAACTGAATAATGCTGCGCTCTGGTGTGGATCACAGGAGGTTCTATCCCGCTATCAGCTACAGCCCAAAGAGGCGGGGGGGGACACGTTCTATATAAGATTCAAATGCCAAAAAAACTTCTTCCCGTTGCTTTTATCATGTCATTTAAGACCTTGTACTTCGAACTACGAACTACGAGTTCCAGTGAATCATCCTGTTTGTGTGATATTCTGTATATATACAACAATCCGACCTCAATTGTTCTCCTCAGTCTCCTCGACGTGTCGTTCAGGCCACACAGGTGAGTCAGATCCAGCTCGCATGCAGAGGCAACGGATCATGTGATCCGATCAGCTGATACCCGCTGTGGGGCGTGTCGGTTTCACGCTATTGTGAACGCTTTTGTGTTTGGTCAAAGCTTCATGAGATGGTTTTGAGTCAGATTAAAAAGTTAAAATACCGTTTCTTGCCGTGTACAAAATGGACAGTACGTGATATCTGCTTTAATCTCAGGAATACGGTGAAAGACCTCCTCCTTAGTGGCTACACATCTAATATTCATTCACCAGAGCAGCTTAGTTTATGATAATGTACAATAGACACCAGAGTGCATGTCCAGCATTACCAGCAGGCACTTGTTACAAATGAACCTCTCGCACTAAAGCCACAGGCCCTTTTATTCTATAACAGTGCAAAAGGAATCAACCCTGTGAGTCCACATTTTGAGGGGTATTCAAATGAGATCAAGGTATTTGGGGATAGTTCTGGGAGAGGCTCAAAGTACAGCAGAGCCCTGTCAGGAGTCTCTGTGACAGAACGGGTTTACATTCCATCATTATTGAAACCGGGGCTGGTTGGAGATTGAGCAACACCCAAAAGATAATTTAAATCAGTTGGGTCGAAGCCAAAACAGGACTGACAAAGTAGCAGAAAGATATGCTCACTTTTTTTTCTGACAAAGCCTTCCTCCTCCCCGGATCCGTTTTACCACAAGGCCACATGCAGATTCCTGCCCTGCAGCACATCTCAGGGACAGTTAACATTCCTGCAGTTCACATGCTCACCAGGATCACAGTTAAAAAAGATCCCGAGCTCCTCCAGAACTCAGCGGAAGGACAAAGTCAGGCAGGAAAAAAGGCAACGGGGTCGAGGAGAGGAGGAGCGGTGCACCGGGAAAAGCTTGATCTCAGCTCTGTGTGTTCTGAGTGTTGCCACAGCTGTATGTGGTTCAGCACAAGTCACATCAAGGGAAGTTATTGGGCCGGCGGGGAAGCCTCGTCAGAGGAAAAAGGTCTCTGTATTCACCAAAACGCCACTTCACAACCTCCCTGCAGACATGTGTTGTTATCTTATGTTGAGTACTGTATAGTTTTATAATACCTGAGTTTTCATTCCCAATTTGTGTCATTTTTGTCTCATCTTTAAGCCCAAATTACAGATGTACAGAACATACTTTCTCCACTCACCCATGTTGGTGCATGGCCATGTGAACATGTAGGGGATCTCCACCTTATAACCAATATAATGGGCGGGAATGTAACTTCCCCTGCGGGGCTCCAACCATTCAACACTTATATTTCATTGCCAGATATCTCAAAACGTTGGCATGTGAAAGCGAAACTATCTCCTCTATCTGACACCAGGGCGGGTTGATAATAACCAAATTGTATTTTGTGATTTGGGTGCACTGGCTTTTTGATATCATTCAGATGACTTTGCTTTTCATTTATTTGTGGGTGGAGTGACTAAATGCGACTGTAACACAGATGACCTCCGCGATAACGATGACCGGCTGTTGGAAGGGACCACGATCACATGACCACATTTAGCAGCAGCCCTTTCCTTCTTACAGCTGGGGCAGAATATTATTATGCCCGTTCTAACAGGGCTCACACGGAAACAAACCGAGGAGAATTCATATTTCACCGTGACGTTCATGGAAATGAGACAAGAGTATTCAAATTGGTTGGTTACAGTGACAGGAAGATGGTTACTGAGTAACCACAATTACTCCATGCAGTGCTGTATGCAGCCAGCTCCACTCAGGGTCAGGAATTTAGAATTGGGCACCTTTCAGATAACCTGATAAAATATCACTTATCCATGAGCTGCTACCTGGACGGCGGATGTCACGCTGTCGGTGGTAACGTTACGTGTGTGTGTGTGTGTGTGTGTGTGTCCTGCAGGCTCACAGCCTGACACATCTGCAGCTTGCCTCAATTTAATGATGTTACAAAGCAGTAACAAGCATTAGCCTCTAATAATAATCAGTACATATGTCTGATGAATCACATTTCTGTGACATGAAGAGCACGATATGTAGCTTGATCACCTAAAATAGGAAGCTGTCTTTGGCCATTCAGTTCAAACCTGAATGAAGCGGCAGGAATGGAAATCAGATGTGGGGCCCAGGGTACATCCCAACATCTGCGCTGCTCATGGATGTAATCTCCTTTTAGCATCTTTCGGTATGGAGACATTTACAGTTTGCATGCATGAGGACAGATTGAAACCACTCGTGGAGCTTTACCTTTCTGTAGATGAATGATGTCGGGGAAGTTGGCGAGCAGGCCTTGGTAGAGCGACAGCTTGTCCAGCATGAGGAAGAGGTCGTACTTGGGTTGCTCCGCGAACATCTCTCCAATGTTCTCGTAGGTGCGGCCGGTATGGGAGATGGCTTTGTTGAGGGCCTCTGAACTTTGGGGAGGATCAAGCATGAACGCCTGGCTCACGGACTGGAAAGAATTTCCCAGCCGCTGGAACTCCTTCCTGAACCCGCCCAGGTGCTTGCGCACCAGCTCCGAGGCGACGTGCGTGAGCTGCATCACGCTGTCGTCCATCTTCTTGGCGAAGAACTTGAAGGTGTCGATGCGCTCCTCCACATCCTGAAGGTCCTGGTGCTCGGTGGGGATCTGCAGGGTCAACATGAAATGGGCTCCCACCATCTCGTCCTTCTCCGCCCGCCTCTTGCCGAGCTTCCACTGCTTGTCGTCGCCGCACATCAGAAAGTGCTCAAAGCCCTCATACTGGGAGAGGACCGGGTGGCTGGTCATGTGGTTCATCCACAGTACCAGTCGCCTCTTGCGCTTTTCGATGAAGTCTTCCTCAAATCGCCCCGTGGCCTGCTTCTCGGGCAGGTGAGGCACGGAGATCACAGTGAACTTGTGCAGCAGGCGGTTGTAGAGCCAGTCGAAATGTTTGTAGCGCCTGTAGACAGGATTCCCCGTGTGACTCGGCGTGACCCGGTACGAGATGTACGTCTTGATGCCTTTGAACTTGGTCTGTTTCGTGGGGTCCTCGATGGAGCAGGAGAACGGCTGCGGGCTCTCCTTCCACAGGGGCCCCAGGGGGCCCATCTCGATGGTGTACGACTCCGCGATCTTTGCCATCATGGGCACGTCGCCCAGCACGAAGGCCTCCACCCCTGAGCGGACAAAGCTGGAGAACCTGTTCAAGTTCCTGCCCACCATGCTGCCCTTCCTCGAGCTGGAGATGCTGTCCTGTCTCTCCATGTAGGGCTTGGCCCGGTAGTGCACATTTGGGTTGTTGGACAGGGGGCTCTGATGGGCATGCCCGTTGGCCCCGGGGCGGTCCCCGTCGTCCACCACTGTCGACCTGTCGTCCCAGTCATCCCAGTCGTCGTCGTCGTCATCGTCGTCGTGGTTGTAACTCTGCTGCAAGTGCAGCGAGGTGTTCGGCGTCGAGGGGAAATAGGAGGAGTCGTTTCCCAGGGATCCCGCCGGGCTGATGGAGCAGTCGGTCACGTTCGAGTTTGAGCGTGTGCGAAGAATCTCCACGTAGGACGCGGGGAAGAGGCCCCTCTCCCCGCGGCTGTTCTCCCCCTGAAACCAGCCGTCCACCGAGTTCTGGTCGAAGATGACCAGCTCCTCCTTCTCCTGGATGCTGATCTCCTCTTTGTTTTCACTCAGAAAAGTGTAGATTGCTTTGGCTTTCACAGACATGTTGATACTCCAGTGGGTCCTAAAGCACACCAGAAATCGACATGCACATAGCGTCTAGTTTCTGTTGATGCTACTGTCTCGCGTGCCGTGTTGGAAACATCAGACACTAGCTCACTGTAATATTTAAACTCATCTCAAATGACATGGCAAGCGTTGCATCAGGTGTGCAACAGCACAGTGTAAAGTATGTAAAGACCACAACAATTACATAAAGTCCTTCTATTCACAACCCCCCAAAACGTAAATAGACCCTCTTACTTGCATCCTCAGCCCATTGAGGCCATCAGTCTATTGTCCTGCTGCCCAACAATAAGGTCAAGCTACCAATGCTCCATGACACATTAACCTCACAACAGAAATACTCTCTTCCTCCTTTCACATCACAAACACAACAGGTTGAAGCACAAAAAAAAACTGGTTTCACCAAAAGGGCTCCTCCAAAAACCAAACAAAAGCCGGCCCCGTCGTTGTTTTTAATCCTCAGAAACAGCACTGCAGCCTCGCGGGGCGTCGGACGCTCCTCGCCGAGAAGCGGTCCCCGGTGTGGAGGTCTTTAGGTCCGGCGTGGAGGGGAGCGGGGGGGAGGAGGTGCGGGATCTCTGTGCATTGTGAGCCTGCTCCGCGCTCCCTCGGAATGAAACTTCAGCAGGGTTTTCCTTGTAAACAGGTTCTTGCGCATCTTCAGTGGATACTTTGAATTCACCTCCCCCCCCCAACCCCACTCCCAAAAAACAATGCAAAACTGAACAACGTCCTTCTACATCGGTACCAGCGCAGATCGCCGGTCAGCGCTGTTTCTTTGGGTTTAAAGTAGCTCTTTCCACGACGCCGGACTCGGACAATTGGAGGCAAGTTCTCCGTCTTTCTCTTTTTTTCCTTCTCATCAGCTTCTTTACGTTCTTTGTGGAGGAGAAAGTGGCTCCACGTCGCCCCCACCCGGAGGGACCACTCACAGCCGGAACACACGGCTTACAACATCAGGCTTCACACGATGAAGATGGTCACATTTTGCTGCGAGTATCATACTTACACACTGCATGTATTTTATTCAAATATCTAAATACGTTATATTTCTAATCCACAACATTTCAGTATGACCTTTTACTCCACTACATGTACGTGACAGAGTCTGTAACTGAAGATTTAAATAATGAATTGGAATGTAAAGTTATTAGTACCCAACAAATAAAGTATATCTTTGGTACCTTTCATTAGGTAAGATTCTAAATACAGGATTTTTACTTTAGCAAACCCTGAAGTGTTGTAACTTTTATTTAAGTAGAGAGTATCTCTTCGACAACTTAATAAGTCAATGAAGTGCAAAAGTTTGCTGTGTAAAACTCCGGGTTACTTTTCAGCATTTAGTCGGCCAACCAAATCTGTCCGTTGGTGGGAAAGATGACAGCGTGACGTCTTAGCAGCAGCCTCCCTCACTGTCCAAGGTATCTATTTAGCTTAATGACCTTATTACTGCTGATGTCTGACTGAACTCGCTGTCAGATCCGTTTTTTTAAGGTCCGATAGTGTAGCGAGTAGACATTTATAGCAGCAATGTAACGCTCCACAACGAGTGTTGCTAACGACTGGGCCCGGCTAACAGTACGCTAGCACGGTTAGCACACTGCTAGCAAGATGAATAGCTTAGCTAACTGGTTAGCTTTAGCAGTCGCCGAGCTTTTTAATAACTCCGCGTGGATGTAATATAACGTTAGGTAACGTTACATGTGCGAATATTATGGTTGTGTTATGCGGATAAAACGCTCCCCAACCCGATACGTCACATTGTGTTGTAGCGCCAGCTGACGTTTTGCCAATACGTAACGTTAATGGAACTGGTGTCACGTTATCGTTTAAAGTTAATTTCCTCTCTATTTCTAATGGAGCAAGAACTCAGCCACTTGTCGAGGCTGCAGATGCAATATTACACGTCGAAATGATACTTATTCTTGTGACTAGTTACTGTCACAATGTAATAATGATGGTATCATACTAAAGCCTAACGTATTTTCATAATGAATTGCTCATTCATCTGTGAATCTTTTGATTGTTTGAGCCTCTTAAAGGATCTGCAGATTATATATGCAGACATCAACGTGGACGTGATCAATCTGATATTACTATTAGATGCAGTCGTAATGTGTACACATGGGTCATTATTGTCATCCATAATATGGCAAAATTATGTTTAGAATAGCAGTGCATAATAATGTTATGTTTGTAGTCAAATGTCGAATTAAAAGGCAGCTAAGAAAACAGCTGCCACAATACTGAATATGGTTGCAGTAAATGACGGATTCAATCCGACTTTATTGCATTTAATTCATCAACCAGCTTTCCCCTTCAACAGAGTCCCCATGGATGACCTGACCAAAGCCCTCTCGGCCAGCTTCGCTGTGTCCAAGGAGCCCAACAGCACCGCCGCCCCCCACCCCCGGCTGGCCCAGTACAAGAGCAAGTACAGCGTGCTGGAGCAGAGCGAGCGCCGGCGACGCTTCCTTGACCTGCAGAAAAGGTGGATCTCATCACAGTTCAGTGTTATTTGACCCTGGAGTTTTTAAATCGTTATCTCAGTGTGGAGCAAATCCTTTCTTACATTACAGTACAGTACATTTTCTGAAAACTAGAGCCACTGATTACAGCTTGACAGAGCTTAGGATTTCGTGGCGTGTAGCTGCCCTTACGTGTGTTGTGGCTGCAATTGGAATGCGTGTTTATTTTAGGGCTGCAACTAACGATTATTTTGATAATCGATTAATTGGTCGATTATTTCTTCGATTAATCGATGAATCCGATTTTTTTTTTAAACGGCATTAAAAAGCTTTAATTTCCAACCCGAGTAAATAAAAACGTGTCTTAGTCTTGCTAACTGCTTTACTGCTGTTACTAGCGAGCTAACGCTAGCTTGATCAGCTGGATGACGAGTAAACAGGAGGCTTGTTACGTCCCTCACGTCAAAACGGGACAACGTGGACCGGGACCCCCCACGCTCGCACACCTTAGACGACTAGTCGAACAGACGTCTCTCCCTGCGTCACGTGACTCGCAACAACTGCCGGCTGCTCTTTCCTCTACGTTGGCTCGGCGCCTTTATTTTTATTTTAGCATCTCCGCAACTCATTGAGTGACGTAATAATCGCGCGACACGACGAATCGATAATGAAATTCGTTGCCAACGCTTTTAATAATCGATTTTATCGATTCGTTGTTGCGGCCCTAGTTTATTTCAATGTGGTGTTAACACGTGGGGGATTTACCAAATGTTTTCATCATCAGTAAAAGGTTAAACTACGTTAACCATGCGCGGCGTCTGGCTGATGGGGACTGGACGGGGGCAGACAGCGATGGAGAGGAGGACATGGAGAAGAAGGAGGACGGGGAGCAGGACGACCACACAGAGGAAGAGGGGATGGAGATTGAGAGGAGGAAGCTGCCAAAGCATTATGCGAACCAGGTCAGTGTTTCATGTCACATTACTATAAAGCTATTATTCCTGTGTGAAGGACAACACATCCGAGCCAGCAGAGGGCGCACAAGCTTCTACAGTGTGAGCCTATCGAGCAGATGTGGCTGGATTCTGTGTTGATGCAGTTGAAATGTTGCTTTGATGTCAAGGTTTGTCTTCCTCCTCAGATCATGCTGTCAGAGTGGCTGGTGGATGTGCCGTCAGATCTGGACACTGATTGGATGATGGTGGTCTGTCCCGTGGGGAAGAGATCTCTTATTGTTTCCTCCAAGGTAAAAACATGTCCCTGCCTTTCTGTAGCTTCCCACAATGTCTTGCTGCTGTACCTGGATTTATATTTCTTTTTTTCAATTCACCGAGGGGATTTTTTTAAAAATTTTATTTATACTGAAGGTTCACCACATTTAGAAACACCAATATGAAAAAGCGCTTCTGCAAGCGCCTTTTTATTTCCTATGAGAAGTGGTTTCCATTTCTACCTCCAGCCCTGAAAAGTCTTTCCACTTCCACAATTAGACGGTCTCAACCAAAACAGGGTAACAACTCACAACTTATGTCATGTAAAATTAAAATTGTGCTTCTGCTTTTAAGATGACAAGGAGACTACGCTTGCATTTTTTATGTTACATTATGCACTGAATTTATTTATTATTTACCGTAGATTCCTCACTAAGCCACAACTTTTTTCCCACGCTTTGAACCCTGCGACTTATACAACGGTGCGGCTAATGTATCATTTTCTGGACGCGTGACGTGACTGCCTTCAGACGGGGGGGAATTTCTGAATGACCGTTCGAACGCTCTGTTACAACGATGTTGTTTCGTATCACTGTGCTTTTGTTGGTGGGTGTACAGAAATAGTGGGTAAATGGCGTATACCTGCGTATCACGTAGACTACACCACTGGCTGCACGTAAACTTGCCATTAATGAATCAATGGTGAGACGTTGGAGACGGCAATGTGAAGAACTCCGGCACGAACGACCATTTTTCTGCCGCGTGGACACCTGCGGCTTATATATGTACACATCTTTTGTGTGTGCGTGCGTGCGTGCGCGCGTGCGTCGCTTTCCATACTGATCAAAGTGAATAAGGTTATTCAGCTCATTTAAGAAGTTCCACCTTTCCCCAGTTCAGTGACATTAAAACACACACACACACAACTTTCCTAATAGCAAACATCATGGTTTTCAGAACCTCATTCCATTATGAGCTTGCATTTTATTTAAATTATAACGGCGGTTGGTTCCCCCCTTTGAAGATGAGCTACATTCTGTGCGCATTCGCACTCAAAATTTAATAATAAGGACGAACCGTTGGGAGTAATTTTCCCAAGCTGGTAACAAAGTTAGCAGTAAGTCTGAAGTGAGATCATTAAAGATTTACACGCAAAGGACCACTTCCTTTGTACCTTTTGTTCTTGTCCGTATATAAGTATTGTTGTTATTATTACCTCCATGATTTAAACTAGCGGAATTCTGAGTTGATTAGAGGCGGTTTTATGAAAAGATACATCGTGCAGACGGATTGACAGCCACTTCTATACGTTTTATTCTTACACTTAAAAACGTAGTTCACAGGGCTTCAAGAATATGATGAAAAGGGGTTTGGTCTTGACACCTTTTAGAAGTGTTGAGAACATCTAAAACAAGAAGTACCAAAAGCACACGGTGTCCTGCACATCTTGTCATGACGACACCGTCTCACCATCCAACACGCCATTAGACTGCAACACGAGAACAAAAAACTGGATCATGAGCAAAAAGAGTAGTGACATTTTGGTAGTCTGCTGCAAAGTCCTCTGACGAAAAGAGGTACAATATTTTATTAATGTTACATTAAAAAAATGTTTTTGTGCCATTTTTCTAAAGCTTGATTCAATAAGGAGGTGGATTATGGGAAATTCAATGCACACTATAAGTGAACCGCTTAATAACTTTCTGAGATTGGACATTTCTTTTTTCCCAGTTCACCTTTGCGGCACAGCGTGTGTTTTTCCCGTGTTAGTGTTAAATGTTAAACTTCATTTATGTATCACCTCGTATTGTAGCCGTTCGGTGGTTGACTGGTGATGAAAAGGCTCAAACGATCAAAGGTTACCCGGCCTGAAACCTTTTTACGTTCAGTGTCTCCGTGGGACCTTCAGGCAAAAAGTGAATGCACAAAATATCCACATGCATGATGCTATATTCCTATTCAGAAGTAAAGTCCTCATCATACTATTTATTGATTTATTTTTGGGTTTCTTTCCCAAAGGGCTCCACCGCTGCGTACACTAAAAGTGGCTACTGTGTGAACCGCTTCCCCTCCCTGCTGCCCGGTGGGAACCGACACAACTCGGCCGTGGGGAAAGGTAGGTGGGCCGGCTGTATGTGGAGCGCAGGAGTACCGAATAGCAGAGGAAGGAACCACACTTTAAATGTAGTTGACACATAAGAAGAGGGAGGGGCTCACATCAAGAAGAAACTCTACTTCCAATACATCATTCAGAACCTAAAAGTAATTTTGACAACCAAATAAATTCATTTTTAATACTATGAGGCAGTATAAGTCTTAATCCCTTGTTTTGTGAATAAGAGCTGAGATAAGTGGTTATTGGTCTGTAAACGCCCCCCCTGTGTGTTCCCCGTGCAGACTACACGATCCTGGACTGCATTTACAGCGAGGTGGACAGAACGTACTACATCCTGGACGTCATGTGCTGGAGAGGCCACCCGGTCTACGACTGCCCGGTAAGACCGCCGGCTCCAGCTAATTGCTCATGCAGCACAAGCTGGCCCCCAGATGTGCATTTTTTTTCCCCCTTTTCTCTTTTTGCCACGTTGCCCATCTTATTGGCTCGGTACGCACACAGCAGCTTTCCTTTTTTTCTTAGTTGACAGTGTTTGTTTCTCATCAACAGACCGAGTTCCGTTTCTTCTGGCTCCAGTCCAAAGTCCAGGAGACGGAGGGCCTATCGGAAATCGCCAAGCGAAACCCTGTGAGTGACGGGAACAGAGGCTCTTTTCCTGTCTGGATACTGGAACAGATCTTGGGTTTCCGCATGTTGTGTTTCCTGTGCTTTATGCCTTCCTGCACCTGAAGCTTGTCTCAAAGGACGATTAAAGCCAACCGTCCACTGCGGCCTTTGAAACTAATTGGCCACTAATGTGATTATTGCACATAGATCTGGATGATTATGTCGTGAACTTTGAGTTCCCCTTCTTAATCTGTGTGTTCGGAGTGGTGCAGCCAAGCAGGAGCTAAATCAGGCTTAGTCTTTAAAGAGTAAACACTTGGAATGCAGCTTCTCTCATTTGACAAGGAGACAAACTGTGTTTGGAACTAACAGCGTGGCGCTCTGGCTTTGTTTGGTCCAACAGTTCCGGTTTGTGAGCCTGCAGAGCACAGACTGCACGGCAGAGCTGATTCAGAAAGCACTGGCTGCCGAGTACAGCTTCAGCGTAAGACACTTCCCCTTCCCTTCTTTTTGTGACTTTTTTTCTGCCGCTCATCGCAAGTTTTCGAGTCCGACGGTTCAACTCTTCAGGAAACTGACAGACGCTTTGTTCGCTTCTCATTGTGCTTCCATCGGCCTAATTCTGAATTTCCGGGGGCCACAGGTGGACGGCCTGCTCTTCTACCACCGGCAGACCCACTACACCCCCGGCAGCACCCCCCTGGTGGGCTGGCTACGCCCCTACATGGTCACCGACATCCTGGGCATTGAGGTGCCGGCGGGACCCCTCACCGCCAGGCCCGAGTACGCCAGCCACCAGCTGCAGCAGATCCTGGAGCACAAGAAGCCGTCGAGCGAAGTGCGCCCGGCCAACAGCAGCGGCGGCTACGAGCTGGAGTACCTGTCCACGCCGAGCCAGGACAGCGGGGACACGGTGAACTTCTCCAACCAAAAGCCGAGAGGCGAAGCCACCATGGAGGTCTGAGTGGGAGGCTGAACGAGGTGCAAGTTGCTCACTCTGGGTGCGAGTGCCGGCGGCCCACATACGCCTCTTTAGAATGTCTGCTGAATGGGGTCTTTGCCGATCCGACCGAAGCGCGCCTAATTCTAATCCGGCACTGATCGGGACGCCCTCGGAGTGCCAACTAGCAGAGCTCTGCCTTGCATGTGTTTTTAAACTCTGCCATTTACATTTTGTACCTGTGGCAGAACTCTTGTCTAGTCGCACAGTATTTAGCCCCGAAAGTACGATATGGAGCTTCCAAACCATCGCACACCTACAAAAATGAAGACGAGCGGTGTGATAGAAGTGCAGCAGTCAATATTGCGGACAAGTTTTATTTCTCCTCTGCACTTAAAACAAATAATCGGAAACATCCTTACTGTTTGTTCTCAGTTGTTTGCAGACTGCAACCTTCTTTGTTACGTAACCACCACAAATAATACCGCAATCGCATTGTGGAGCGGCTCACTCGTTTGGACAGCCAATGAGGGCTCTGTGTTTTATAAAGGGGGGGGGGCGCTCACTGGGCCCCTTCCCCCAGCTTCGATCGATGCAGAATGGCAGCAGTCACTTGGGACTTTTACAATTTAATGTTAAATTTGATTATTGCTTCAAACATGTTTTTAAAGTGTAAGTTTCTAAATAAATACTTTTTTATTGGCCTTCAGCGTGCCGTGTCTTCCCATGTTTGTTTGTTTTTTAAAAACTTTTTAGGGGCTTTTTCTGATTTGATTCAATACTCGGAAATGCATTTAATTATCTTTTCCAAACTGTTAAAATTGCGAAATATTTCTTAAATTAGATTCTGATGGTTTTTTTGAAGGCAATAAAAATATTAAACCGATTCCAAATAAATACATCAAAATGAATATTTAAATTTCATCACAAAACTGGGGTTCTGCAATAAAGAAAAGCTACATACACACTTTTGATTAGGACAAGCTACATTTTTATATTTACTTTATTGGAAGTTCCTTTCAACCGTGATTCTGCAGGAACACCTGAGAGCGGACTGCGCGTGCACGCTGACTGGAAACTGCTGATGTTCACAGTAATGCTCAGACGTGACTCATTCTGCTGACAGCGGCGCACATCAGCAGGATTCTCGAGCATCTCTCCGTCTCCGTACCGACGCTGTGTGTTGTGAACTGGAGCTTTCGGTGACGTGTGCCAGCATCTCGTCGGAGACAAGAACTGAAAGCCGAGCATCGCTGCCTCAGGCTGTCACATCTGTGCTGCATGAAGTTTTATAATATCTGCTAGAGAGCCAACCTGATTTGCTTTTTGTTGCTCTGTTTTTAATGAGAATAGTTGTGAAGTAAAATGTGGTTTTAACTAAAAGTGCACAGTCAGTTGGGCAGTGTGCATTTAAAACCACAAACAATTTTAAAGGAACTACCCACATCCTTCAATATTTATCTCGCACCATCATGACATTATAAACTGACATTAGCATTATGCCTCATCTGTACTTGTGTTTAACGCCACGCATGTGATACCAATGCTGACATTTTTGTATTTTTGTGTCCCTGTTACACACACTTGACAAAAGATTTAGGTTGGCTGGAACGACCATCATTTTGTGTATTTGACAATATATTTTCCACCAAACAGTCCAGAAATCCGGCAGTACAAACTGATTTGGCTTCAGCGGGCTTGCGTGCGCTGCAGCAGAACCACAAGTTGTTTCTTTTGTGTTTTTGCCACTGCTCACTTCATCTACGCTAGGAAAAAAAAATCGGGTTTGCTCCTTTTCTTGCTCTTTCGATGGTATCGCTGTTGCTCTCACCACCTACACGGAACATAAACAGGTGAAAATACCACATTCACCACCCGTCTGTGGGGGATTGTTGTAACTTATTCTGGGAAACGTAAGATCTCTATGAAGCAGAGGGAGGTGCACAATTCTGCTGAAGGAAACTTTTGTTAAACCACAATTACAAAGACTGATTACGCGATAACTCCTGAAAAGCGTTAAACATACCTGATCCGAACAGTAAAATGTTTAGATTTAATAGCTTGCAGGTTGTTGATATTTTATGCATGACTGTTATGTCAACGTGAATGTGGTTTGGGATAAATCACATACCTAAAATATGAAAGTATCATTAGGATGATGCTTCAGAAAACACGATATCAGCGGTTGCATGATGATGGTTACATCATCGATTGTTTCATCTGTGATGGAAATGTGCGCAAAGTCAAATTCCTGCAAAAGCCACCAAAGCATCTGACTCCTCTGGACTTTTAGTAATGAGAGAACAAGATGTTTTACGAATGCATTTCATCGAGTACAGTCGGATGTTGTTTTTTCCTTTCACATTCAGTCACCGCTGTCAAAAAGAGCCAAGATGGGCACGTGGTTACTGCAGGAATCCAGCTATTAGTCAGCAGCACCGATCACTTTCCAGGAACTGAGCACCTGTCTGTCAACAGTTGCACCCTTCAGAGCGCACTCGGTCTCCCACGCATTCACGCGTCCACACACTCGCGATAGTGTTGCTTTAAGCTTTAGGGGTGCTTGTAACAGGATTGTTGTGACCACCCCCCCCGGCAGGCACGCTATCAGTTTCCAGTCTTTGTGCTAAACTAAGCTAACTGGCTCGCTAAATATTTAAAGCGAAGAAATTGAAGTTGTATTCATTTTTTCATCCAACCCAAGGAAAGGTGGCAAAGAGGCATGCTCCCAATCTTGACCTGTGACCTTTAACAGGCCACTTATATTTCTTGATACGAGGTTTAATGCTGGTGAGCAACGTGTGTCGACTTCGTGAGGCGTTGAAGCTCGCAGACACAATACTGAGCACATGACCTTCTTCTCCTCCACACGACTTTTGGCCATTGGCCATTTGTGATTCTTACAATTTAATATGATTGCCATGCAGACATAAGAATATATATATTTGTTATTTCAGGCTTATTATATGAGGCCTGAAGTAATGTATGTTTAACCAGAGGCATCATCTCTCCAGCTTATGTTTGACCAGTACTGTGAGTTCAATCGAACACATCTGATGCATTTAAAGACTTTTTTGTGTGCGGGTGGCCGGTGCTTCACTAGCCAATCACATTTCTCCAAATGACATGAGGTCAGCTACTTTGACCGGATGTCCATTGTTGTCCACTCCCTTTTCCCCTCCACCTTTCAAGTCAAACTTTCTCACGCCTTATTATTCACAGTTTGCCTATTGTGGGATCTATTTATTTTTGTTGAAAGAAAATATAAACAGTGTGAGTGTACCTGTAACTTCTGAACTCTTCTCACCAAAACACTGAAAGTCAGAAAGCTTTTCCTTGTTCAACTATAACAAAATGATGCGAGGGTTAACACAGCATTGAGGAATCTTACCAACTTCTCACACACTTTTTCCCTATTTTGCATCAGATTACTTTTACGGCACCATTAAAAACACATCGAGGTCTGAATTAAAGGCTCAATAGTCCTGCAGGGAAAGGAAATCTCCTGACTGCACATGAAGTTCTCTGCTGAAGTATATTTGCAGCATACAACATTTCAATGGAGACCCGCAGTGTGCTGGTTTGCAGCTCGTATTACAGCGATTTTATCATACGGTTGTGTATTTTCAGTTTCCTGTGATGTCATGCGATTCCTGTAAAGCACACTGGATTATGATGTAGCCTGGGGGATGCATGACTCAAGTTTCACTAATTAAATTGTTATTCTTGCAACAAACTATTGCGGAAAGGCCCTGCTCCTATTAGTTATTTCCTCTCGTTATGTCATGCATTAGTAATGTGTAGTGATAGGTTGGAGATTGCTTTTGTGATGTGCACTGGAAACTAATTCTCATAGTCTGCACAAAAACAGTATATTATAAGTATGTCGCTGAAAGATCAACATGTTTCAAGACAAAGCATGCCTTTGTTTCATGTGCGTCCACTCTTTAAAGCATGCTTAACACGCTCCCTCTTTGAAGAGGGACGGGATGAATCTGTGAGTATACACATCTTGTCAGTTTCCAAATATTTAGCGGACTTATTTCACTTATTATATTTACAAGAAAAAAACTTGACCACTGTAGCATACTGTTGCCCTGAGGCAACAAACCAAAATTAAGTTGTGGGGGTCGTGGGAAATACATTTTATGGTTGATATTGTATCAGGGAGCCCAAAGCATCCCAAATATGAGATGAAATACCCCCCCCCCCCCCCCCTATAAAAGGTCATGCCATAGAGGGTTAATTAATTTATTTACTTATTAAGATCAGATACTTCCTGCAACATCTCACTGGTGGACCAGCAAGTTGCTCGGAGGTTTGTCACATCGGCCTCATGTGATACATAAATAACATTTTAACCAGTGAGCTTTAGAAGTGGCTGAAAGTGGATTGTTTTTCCGAGCCAAGCAAACAAAATTTCCGGTTACGTTTCTTTTCTTCATGCTAAGCTAACATGCTACTAGCTAATATTAGTTAGCCTGTTAGCTCGCTGACGCAGCGTTAACTTAAAAGGGCGAACATCAGACTTTTATTCCGTCTTCTCATGTAACTCTTGACAAGAAAGCGCTGAACTGTTGCATGAAGAAAATAATAAGTGCACATTAATCTCTATATTATAAGTTAACAACGTTAAGAGTCAAACACGACGTGAAGTAGTGCTAACTAACTTAACGTTATGTTACGGGGTGGCGCTGACAATCCGGCCGACGGGGGTGGCGTGGACTTTATGATGGCCGACAAGGGGGAGTATGAAAAAAAAAAAAAAGCACAACGGGCTTCTCGCCTGTCAGAAGCGTCCGTGCGTGCGTGGGGACTTTTCTGTAATTCTCACAATAGCAAAGTCATCCGGCGGGCCGGATTTGGCCCGCGGGCCGCGAGTTTGACGCATGTGCGTTAGGTATTTTCTATAAGTAGCTAATCCTCCTTGAACGGCCTCCAAGGTGTCAACTGACACTCAAAATGGTAATTTTCTCCCTGTCTCGTTTCCTATTTTTATGAATGAAGGCGGAGGGTCGTGAGCCTTTGTTATATTCCGTTCTTCGCCGCCAGGGGGAAGAGCACCGTGCGGAATGAATAAGCGTCCTCTCTCTCTCTCTCCGGTCGGGGTGGGTGTCTCTCTCTCTCTCGCACGCGCTACATAAAGGCGAGGTTCAAGGGTAGAAGAAAAACACAAAACTTGCAATTCATGGCATGGAGGAGTCGGAGGGGGTCGAGCAGCAGCAGCTCGTGATCTGAACCCAGTTAACGTCGAGTCGAAGCGCTGCCTCGTCCAAGCTTCTCCAGCGCTGTCCTCGGTGGTCAGATACACCACCAACGGGGATTTTGTGTACTTTAGGTGGCGAGAGTCAAAGCAAATTGTACCCGTCTGCGTAATGTGCGTTTTTTTAGAGGAAAAGAAACCTCCAACTTACGCTGCAGCGATTCATATGCCTTCCACTTTGGGCAAAAGGGACAGCCCCTAACCCGCCCCGTCTTTTTTTACACGAGGGACCGACACACACACACATACAGACATCTTCGTCATCTTCCACTTCATGAAAAAGGACTCTGTTTAAAAAAAAGGAAAGAAAAGAAGGGTGCCCAGACAACCGACGGGGGATCATGGCAGCTACTTTATCGGCGGAAGAAGAACAGGTAGGCCTTTTACAATCTGTTCCCCTCATCCTCTTTCCGTGTTCCTTCGCCCTTGGTGTCCCGGCCTCGGCCCTACCTGGAGGCAGGTACGTGAACGCACCGCGGCCATGGCCGCGCGCAGCGGGGATTGTTGCGAAATGAACGCGTAGCGGAAACATTGTATCCATTTGTGCGCGGTCGTCACGGCTCGCGTCCACACGACGTCGGGTCCTCTCTCCCGCCGGCTTTGCTGAAAGTGTTGCGAAACGAGTCGATGTGATATAGAAACTTCGTTCCTGGTTCTTTTTTTTTTTTTTTATCTAGTAGGGTTTTTTTTCAGTCGCGAGCACGCAGCGTGTGATTTACCCCGGGAAAGAGCGCTCATTCGGGGATGTTTACAGTAGAACCCTCCTTTATGCCTTGTTGCCTGTAATAAACCTGCTTAATCTGAAGTGCACACACACGTGTTTCAACAATAAGAAATGCATTGTCCCCTCAGTGAGTTTCACCAATGCGTTGCTATAATGTGAAACTTTAATTTAAGCTCGATAAACTGTCGACTTTGTTTCGAGGTGTTTCAATTTTGTATACTAAAATAAACTAAACATCTTGGCATTTGACAGAGCCAGAGAAAATGTAACCTTCAAAGTGGTTGCAGATTAACCGTTTTTTATTGCTTACCCGAACAACAATTTCAGCTCTTACAACGTGTAGCTGTATTCTGCTTCAGTGGTTTAAGGCCCTGAAGATGAAGCCTTTTTAAGCGGTCCTAACTTTTTGTTAACATTTTACTTTTTGCGGCGGTTTTAACTTTCTGATCATTTTTGGAAGCCATACAGTTGTAACTTGTTACAGTGATCGGTCTCTCCAATATTTCGTCCACCTACAGTTAACCCCCCCCCCCCCCCAACCTCTAAAACAGTTTCCACAAAGCATTCCAACATGTGTGAGGATTTAGTGGGCTCTTGTATCACACTGCAATCGCCTTCCAATGTGTACCTGCACACATCTGTATTTGTACTTTTAAAAGTGTGTGTGTGTGTGTGTGTGTGATCACTTTGCAGTATCTACATTGTGAGTCTTCTTTGGTCTCGCGCCTCCTCTTCTCGGTGGCTCCTCTCATCATCTGGCCAGCAGAACGCTTTATCTGGCTACTCCACTTCCTGTGTGAGCCACGGCCCCCGCTGGGCCGCCCTCATTACAGATGCATGTGCGCGCGTGTGTGTCGGGAGCATACACGGGTGTATTGGAACTTCATTCTGAAGGCAGCTGTTAAAAGCATTTCCACTCCACTCGGGGGAAGGGAGAGTTTATGAGTTGTGTGTGTGTGTGTGTGCCCCGATCATGTGCTTTAGAGGGTGTGTGTGTGTCTCTGTGAGTCTACTCCCAGGAAGCAGCGGAGTGGGAGGAATTGGGGAATAGGGAGAGCGTGACATCAGACTTCCTGTTTAGGTATTGACTCGTGCCAAATGGGACTCGCTGAAGCACCGGCGGTCCCACTTTTATAAACAGGTTAGCGAGGCACCTGTAATCAAACGGGTTTCAGCAGAGACTGAAGTCCAGGTCCGACGCAAACCCCCTTCCGTGTATCGGAAAGATAAAGTACTGCGTTAAGCTCTGTTAAGGTGTCGTCATGGCGCGCGCTCCGCTCTGCATCTGCCACGCTGCTCGTTCCTCCCTCACGGAGATCAAAACACGACAACATCCCGGCTCTTGTGTGTGTGGGGGGGGGGGACGGGGGGGGGACGAGCGCTCTGACATCAGGACCGCAGAGAGCCGCCGGACACTAAAGCCACGTCTCCTCCGACTCTACCTCGACTAAAAACACTAACAAACCGTAGCACTTAAATTCTACTTCTAATGGCTCTTATCTAGAGCAAGTTGTTGTTGTAAATTTAATGAAATTGCACTTGGGGAAAGATCTCCCTGATTTTTAATTAACTACATATATTTTGGACGTGGTGCTATTAGACCAAACTAGTTGGACAAGTGTCAAGAGAAGTTGAGATTGGCTTTTTATCTCCCTGATACGGATTCTTTTCCCTGAACTTCAGCAGTTTATACGAAACATTTCTCCATCAAAAAAACTGGCGTTATTCAGGTTTGTTTAGACCGATCATAATGTTAAAGTTGACTTAATCCTCCGTAGCGGTTAGCAGCCTACTTGGCTAAATGATTGAGCTAACGGCTACCAACGCCTGCGGGGGTCCAGGGGGAGTGGGGATGGATTTTGGAGACTGATGATGCCATCTCTCTTTGGAAGCCATTGTTTTGCTAATGTCATACTTCTCTGGGCCGGGGTCTTTTTGGACCCGTGGACTTTTTTTTTTTTTTTTTTTTTTTAAAGCGCTGTTTTGGAAAAGGACCAACTCCAACGTCACAGACTAACTACTCTGGGCACAGCGTGTTCCCACTGCAGTGGACCTAATCAATTATTTATTGACCGTCATTGTCAACAGCACCAATAAACAACCCCTGATGACCAGCTGAATTGTGTAAGGTCGGCAGTTCACTGTTTACAATGTCTCCCTCACCGTTCTGAGGACCATAAAGGCCCGATGGGATAATTCTGTTTAGCTTCACGTCAAGCACTTCAAGCCAGAATTGAGTGTCTCAAGAACTTTGAGGGAAAAGTATCTCCTGCCGTATCGGATCTGGAGCAAGTTAAGCAAATATTTGTCAATCCTCAGGGAATTGATTAAGTCACTCCTCCGCACTGAGCCTTCCAATGCCGTCTGGTGGGGCTGCCACAAAAACAAACCGGTTCATCCTCAAATTCCACTCTGGCAGATGGGGCCCCTAATAAACCAAATAAGACCAGCTTCGCCGGGAACGGAGGGTCACGGGCCGGATCTGGCAGCCTCTCCTTAAAAGGCGATTTGATTGATTGATAGTTTGACAGCTGATCCCTCGCTCAATCAATCTATCGAGATCTGGCACCAGGATGTAGTTGTCATTGGCCGACAGCGAAAGGCCTCGCGGCTTCACGGCGCGACAACAAAGAGCAGTCGGATGCGCTCGTCAGAGGACGGCAAACAGCTCCTGGCCATCGACTTTGACCCGTTGATTTAGGTCTTCGGTTTAAGGATGTGGTGGTGACTTTTACAACAAGTAGTGAACGAGTGTATTTGTAAAAGGCTGAAAGTGTGTTCGTATCGGCAGCATTCTGCGGTGGTTTAGTTGTAAGCGGTGAATCAGAGATCCTTTCACCACGGCGCTGAAAGCCCCCCCCCATGAGAATCGGATATGAAGCGACTGCGGCCCCGTCAGGTGCAATCTGCCTTCGTCCCCTGCATGCTGCCCCCCCCCTCGTCTGTGAAAGCACCAGCTCTCCTGGGGAGAGACAGTGGCATCCTGTGTCGAGGCTCGGCGCTCCTCACTGATCGTTTTTGTATTCCTGAAGAGCGCGCCCCCCCCCCCCAGAAATTGACTTCCTGTCTCCCATGGCCCCACCAGAGAAGCGGTACCCTGTGTTGTGGAGCGCGGGCTTTCATCACCTCCTGTGTCGCCTTTGACGATTCACTGGGTGCTGACTCTGCGCGGGGGGGGGGATCCTTTAGAGAATGTCTAATAAGAGCAGAGAGGAGGACCGGAAGCTCTCGAAAGACTCTTGCAGATGGGTGGACGTTCTCTTAACTTGAAATTTGTAAAATCACTTTTTGGTTCAGTGCCTTTTTGATTTAAGTTGTTAAATTCATTAGGACAAACATTTCGTTTTAATAAAAATACACATTTTGTGCGCTAACTCGTCATCATGCAGCATGTTCCATTGCGCACGTGTGAGCGTTGCCATCAGAAGTTACTGGCCAACTAATCGTCTGCTTCTCTGAGAGGAGGAATAGAAAACCAGAATTGGGTTCAATAACAAGTCCTACTTAAAAAAAAAAAAACCCGTGTGTGTGCTTTCTGAAACACTTCGATAGGCGTTTCACTTCAAACATGCCGTGAAGCTGCAGCGCTTCCTGTGAGAAGGACGTATCCAGTTTTAAAGGGCAGTTTCACTTCCTCTGTGTTTGATCCGTGACCACATCTGTGTCTGTTTCAGGCGACCAGGCAGTTTCTGGAGGAAATCAACAAGTGGACCAGTCAGCATGGAGTGTCGCCGCTCTCCAGGGAATTGGCCGTCAAGTTCCTCATGGCCCGCAAGTTCGACGTCCTCCGAGCCATCGAGCTCTTCCACAGCTACCGGGTAAGAGCGGCGCTCCCCGGCGGCCATGTTGGCATCCTCCCGCCTGTCCAGCAGATGGGCGAGAAAACTGGAAACTGTGAATTGTTTTTTTAAATATGCAAAAGAGGGCGTCATTGAGAACATTGGGATGATTTTCAACAAGTAAGCAAATTTCCGGCTACTGGAATTTGTGCACTGCTGAGTAAACTTGAGCCACCCGTGTATATAAACTATGCATTCGGGGAGTTTGAATTCACAAAAGTGTTAAGTCCTCTTCGAGTGCAGCAACCCAACCACACAGCGGTAGAAGGACTGAAGTCTCTGAGCATCTTCTCCTGGCCCGACGGCAGCGGCACACAGGGCCCTTTTCATCGTGCAAATGTCGCGACAGATGCGCTGAAAACCTGGTGCCAGAGACACACACACACACACACACACACTGGGGGGGGACACTGGAACGTGGGGACGTTGGCTCATGCAGCGTTCCGGAGCGCTTTGAGCTGATCACGAAATAAGCATTGCGGCGTCATCAAAAAAAAGCTCTCGGGTTATGAAGTTCTCCTGAAATGAGGAACATGACGTTTGACCGCTAAACGATATTAAACACACTGGTAGAACTTGACATTTCTACACTCCTCTTATGTAAGAGTGGGCCAAAGGGAGGTGGGGGGGGGGGGGGGAAGTCGTAGCCGTCGGTGACCTGGGTGAGATTATTACAGAGCAGCGGGTCAGACTGCAGCTCTCATTAACGTTTCTCACCTGAAAATAACATCCCTTCTCCTCTGATCACGTGGCGGTAACGACCACCATGGCGTCCACGAATGTGTTCCCGTTGTCCATGAATGGTCCGTACCGCTGACGACGTTTGGTGAAATGGGGTTTTTATCTGCTGCAGCAAAGGGAACATTTCACCGACGTGCCGCCGACTCGAACGACCCGCGTGGCTCCGAGGAAGAGAAGGCTCTGGCCTCCTACTTTATTATTCTTAATTTATTCTGTTCACACTCGAGCACCGCAGTGGAGTCGTGATCTCTGCAGTGAAGAGTTCCGTTAACACGGATCGTTCGCCTTGAGGAGGAACGCCTTGATTTGAACTTTCAGTCTCATTTAACTGTTAAATGCGGCACCAGGCCAAAGTAATCCGTCTGAACGACTCCAGGGGCAAAGTTTCCAGTGACTGTTTTGTTTCAGTGGCATCAATTGTTCAAATTAAATTTCGCCTCAAGTCGGGCACACGTCTTGTCTCACGTCTTCACATCTGCAGTAGTTGGATTATTTGGAATATGGCCGCCCTTTTTGATGTGTGTATCAACATCTTTGTCATATTGGTTTGGTTGTTACTAACGACACATGACTGTATCAATAAATGTAGCTTCCACGTGGTCTTATTGATCAAATAAGCCTCAAATTCTGTTCAAAATGAAGTCAAGTTTGGTTCTGGTGACTTCTCCTCCAGGTCTGTTTGCTTTGTTCTATTTTCACCGCCGTCTGAGGTTTATTTGCATGGCCCTTCGTCGCAGTTAAGGCCCGCAATATTGAAAAGATGAATAGAACAGGAAATGGAAAAGACTCTGGTGTGCGCGCGCTAACCTTGCAGGCAGGAAGGTCCGGCGGGTCGCTCCATTGTTCTCAGGGAGGAATTCGCCTCGGAGTGGCGGCCGGCTGTAGTTCCTCCTCCGCGCTGCTCACCTGCTGTGATGTGTGTTCTCTGCAGGAAACGCGTCTCAAAGAAGGAATCGTCCGGCTTCAGCCGCAGGAGGAACCTCTGCGCTCCGAGCTGCTCAGCGGAAAGTTCACCGTGCTGGTAAGAGCGCGTCGTTAATGGAAACGTTCACTCAATATTTGGTAGAAAACTCCAGACCTGGTGAAATCACAAAGCCTCCTTTTTGACCCGTTTTAGAAGAATGTATAATTCAACAAATGCTTTAAGATGGATCAGTTATTAACTCTCGCCTCCCTCAAGTGATGAGCTCAGTTTTCATTGACAAAAAAGGTTCAGGGTACAATTTCTGAAAGCAACTTCTCGTAAGTTATTGATCGATTTGACGGATCTCCTGTGGCAGATATATTTAGTCGCCCCCCCCCCCCCCCTCCAACACTTCGCTTTTCCCTCCTTCACGTGCCACAGTGACGTTGATGCTGCACATCCTCTCGTCTGACGTCGGAGGTCCGCAGCTGGCTTCACATCCTGCAGGTATTTTTAGCCCCCCCCCCGGACCCCAGGAGCGCGGCTTTAATCACTTCCGAGTGAAGAGCCTCTAGTTCTCTCTACACCAGCTGCCTGGGCGCTGATCCCCGTCCCTCTTTGAATCGTTGACAGCCAGGAGCCGGCGTGTGAACTTGAGTGCCCCCCGGTGGTGGTGCTTCACTCTTACTTGTTATTGCAGAGCTTCCGTTTGTCCCACGTTGTGCCAAAAAACATCTAATGAAAATGCAATCATTTTTTAATAGGAAGTGCAGGATGAACTTTCAAAGTGATCCAATGCTAATCGACAGCTCGGTGCGGCCCGTCGTTGTCGTCTAACCTGCTGCTCTTGCGTCTTCCAGAGTGTGCGGGATCCCTCGGGGGCCTCCATCGCCTTGTACACGGCCAAACTGCACCACCCGAACAAGACGGGCAACCACGTGGTGCTCCAGGCCCTCTTCTACCTCCTGGACCGGGCCGTGGAAAGGTGGGTGGTAGAAACAAGTTGTGCGTTTGTTTTCCTCGAGCGAATCCCGAGCATCTCCCACAACTATTAAAAGACCGCTTCTATTCTTACGACGTCCAAAGCGTTCACTGAGACGTCTCTCCCACAGCTTTGAGACCCAAAGGAACGGCCTGGTGTTCATCTACGACATGGCGGGCTCCAGCTACACCAACTTTGAGCTGGACCTGAGCAAGAAGATCCTCAACCTGCTGAAGGTGGATTTACAGTGACATTAGAGGATTTTCTGAAGACGAAATGAGGATTTGAGGCCCGTTGGGTCGGAGACACGCGGTTTGTCACAAGTGGTGTTCCGTCTCTCTCCACCAGGGGGCGTTCCCCGCCAGGCTGAAGAAGGTGCTGATCGTCGGGGCCCCCGTTTGGTTTCGAGTGCCGTACAATCTGCTCAGCCTGCTTCTCAAGGAGAAACTGAGGGAGAGGGTAAACACGGGCGCTCGTTTTATTCAGCCGGCATGTCCGTGTCGTCCCTTTGTTGCAAATTGACCATTTCAACACAGATTGATTTCTAAAGAGCAATGTCAGCCCCTCGGCCAAGGGATGTGAACTCATTCACGTCGGTTCCCCCCCCTCCTCTCTCCTGACTCCAGGTTCAGATGGTGAAAACGGCGGAGCTGCGGCAGCACCTCCCCAGGGACTGTCTCCCCGAGCACCTCGGCGGCCTGCTGCCTCTGGAGTCGTACAGCTGGAACCAGCAGCTCCTGGCGGGCCAGAACGGCCGCGTGGACCCGGTGGACGAGCTGGTGGGCATCCCCGTGGAGGACGCCTCCATCCACGTGCCGGGACCCGAGGCCATGCGCCCGCAGGAGCTGCTGGCGCTCCTCGGCCGGCTGCAGCGCTCGGGCATCCACCAGGAGTACGAGGAGCTCCGCAAGGAGCCGCCGCCGGGAAGCTTCCACTGCGCACAGTGAGTCTGTCGGACGCGCTTGCTGCTTCGCCGCGGCTCGCACTCTGCATCGATGGCGCAGTTTCTGCTTCTTGTGCCCGTGGGCTGAATAGTTGTTGCCATCGGAAGCACGAAAAGAGAATCCGTTTCGTCGGTGCTGAACTGATTCGATTTCAGTGACGATTTTATTATTATTATTATTATTTGACTTTTTAATCCAGCTATCGGACTGACTACTGGAAACGTCGTTGGTACAATTTGGTATTATTTGTCTACAGATTAGCTTACAACCAGGAGAGGAACCGCTATGGAGACGTGCTGTGCCTTGATCAGACGCGAGTTCGTTTGAAAGCCAGGAGGAACGAGGTGGGTTATTAGGTTTTATTTTGTTTATTTGCAAACTGAAGTGGTCCATTCAAATGGAAGGCGAGCGGCAGCCAGTTCCTCTCTTTAGCGTGGTGAAATGCTGGTGTTTGCCCAGAGAGAGCGAAAAATTATTTTCATTGGTTCACTTTTGTCGAAAAATGTGTAAATATGACCACTTGTACGACGACTTTCTAGTCTGTGGTTGGTGTTCTTTGTTTACCTTGTTTACTACTTTACAAAGGAAAGCTTTGTTCCTCCAGAGATCCGACTACATCAATGCGAGCTTCATGGACGGCTACAGACAGAGGAACGCTTACATCGGTACTCAAGGTAGGACGGGTGTCACATGTCGTTAATGCTCACCTTTTTAAAGCGACCGCACGCACACTTCATTTGCTTCATTGCACTGAACTGAGGTTGTCTTAAAGTGCTCCGAATCTCATGTTGCACTTGTGCAGGACCACTGGAAAAGACCTACGGGGATTTCTGGAGAATGGTCTGGGAACAGAACGTGCTTATTATTGTCATGACAACCAGGTAATGTTTTTTTTTTTTTTGTTGTTGTTGTTTTTTCATTTAAGTTTTGGAATTTATAAACATGATTTGTAGTAGTTTGTGCAAGTATCTCTGTCCGTAAGAATAAAATGGTCCCCCCCCCCCCCATGTCCTCTCTCCGTGCTGCAGGACCGATGAGGGCAGTCGGAGGAAGTGTGGACAGTATTGGCCTCTGGAGGAGGGGGGGCAGGAGGTCTACGGCCACATCGCAGTGGTTAGCCAAAGGGTGGACCACCACACCCACTACAACCACACCACCCTCGAACTGCACAACACTGAGGTGCAGCCATGGGCCGACGATAGGAGTCACATGGGGGGGCGGGGGGGGGTTGTCAGGATGTCAGTTGTCATTCAGGATGTAAAGCAGCGCCGTAGAATCAGTTATTGTTTTTGTTCTAGTTGAATCTTTCACTGTTAAACTGCCTTGTCAAACAAATGTGTTAATTGGCTCAATTAGAAGTTGTATTTGTTGGACTTTTATTTTCAACTTTAACAAAGCAAATCTGGTTTCCAGGGTTTACCTTTATGCTAAGCTAACCGCCTGCTAGCTCTAGCCTTGTTGTAGCGCACAGAAAGGAGAGTTGGGTGACTCAGTCACTCGAGTAAGCCAGTAAGGGTATTTTACTAAAATTGAATATAATAAATAATGCAACAAAAAAAAAACCTTTATTTCATCCCTACAGACATGTGAGCAGAGACAAGTGAGTCACTTCCAGTACCTCAGCTGGCCCGACTACGGCGTTCCCACCTCAGCGGTGACGCTCATCGACTTCCTGGGCGCTGTGAAGAGGCAGCAGAGGAAAATGGTGAAGAGTTTGGGTCTCCAGTGGACGGGCCACCCCCAGGGCCCCCCAGTGGTGGTGCACTGCAGTGCAGGGATAGGGAGGACAGGTGAGACCCGGAGATTGTTTGGGCCTGAATATGCGTCGCGTTTGTGTTCTTTCATTACAAGAAGGCTGAAAACGGGCTGATGGCGATTGAACGGTAGCGCGTCTGTTATTTAATAATCCCCCCCCCTCGTGGCCCCCAGGTACCTTCTGTGCCCTGGACATCTGCCTGTCCCAGTTACAGGACGTGGGCTCGCTCAACGTCTGCCAGACGGTGCGCCGCATGAGAACGCAGCGGGCCTTCAGCATTCAAACCCCGGACCAGTACTACTTCTGCTACAACGCCATTCTGGAGCACGCCCAGAGGCAGGACCTGCTCCCGGCCAATCAGTGAGGTTCCGCCCCCAGCCCCTCCCCGATTAATCCACGAGCGCACAGATTTGAAGATTCCAATTGGCGAGACCGGGGAGTTAAACTAGAGCGATTCTTCAGCGGCGGAGACGAGCTGGGACAAGAAAAGGCTGGAGAGACGGCGTTGTTGATTTCCAGTCTCTCTTCCAACGACGGGACATTTTTGTTGGTGCCGAACATCTCCGACGACGCGGGGCAGCATGAGCAGAGCGCTCCTGGTGCGTGGTCGAGGTGATGTTCATTAACCTTTTCTGCATATTTATTTGCCACTTTTTAACTGACTGTTAAGGGGACCTTTTATTTGAAGGACTAGTTCACCCCAAAATAAAAAAAATTTCCACTTCTTTGAAACGATTCAAAGGCCCATAGTTATAACTACAGAATCTTAAACCAGGCATAAAACATCTTTCAATAGTTGGCCAGCCTTTCATTTATTTTTCTTCCGGAATATGCATTTACAAATTCTACAGCACACTTTCTCATTCAATTGAACTTTTTGACTGCTGCTGCAGTTATTTCAACCAAAAATGAAGTAAGTCTCAAGTTACTGACATTTTTCATTTTGGGGTGAAATGTTCCTTTAAATTACTACACCATTTTTGTTCCAAATAGGGAGCATGATCTCCACCACCATGCGCCAATGATGTGATGTGTTATTGTGGATTAATAGTTTTTACAGCCGGTCCAGGACGCCGTGCTGGTGGCCTTTCAGCACCTGGTTTATGTCACGTAGACGGTACGAGCTGGTCTCACACGGAGCTGAAAAAGCTCCACTCAAAACAATTTAGTCATTCGCCAAGAAGTCAGTCTTTTTTTTTTTTTTTTTTTGAAGTTGCATTCCCCTCTGCCTTAGGAAAAAAAAAAACTCAGTAAAAAGGGGGTAAAGCACATCCGAAATGGCCGATACATCTCCACTGTGATCACTCGTCAAATTGCTGTGCATTTATTTTATTTCTCACATCTCCTGCCGCCCTTCCATCAGACTAAATGCACATTTTCTAACTCACACAGACAATGACTAGTGTCTTCTTTTGCTCACTAGCGGTGCCATCATGCTTCAGTGATTGTGGGAATGTATCTTTACGCACACACACACACACACACAGCAGTCTGCGGTGACTCCGCCATCGAAGCAAACACCCGTGGAATCTGTTAAGACTGCAGGAGTAGTGCAATACTTGTTTTGGGTTTTTTGTTTTTTACATCACAAACGTTTAGATGGCTATTCCCAATGTGCTCCGGAGAGCAGTCGCCATGGTGATAGGACGGCGTGCCTCTTAAAACGTAATTCTGTACGTCCACATGCAAACTTGCTTGTTAAATTTAGTAATGCGGAGATGTGAAACGTTTAGGGGCGTTTGAGATTCAGTGTAAACTTTTGCATCCAGGGGGATTTTTGGGCGTTTGAGATTCAGTGTAAACTTTTGCATCCAGAGGGATTTTTGCAGGGAAGCCTGAAGTTAACGACCCTGAAGAAGCGAACAGGCATCCACAAATCCGTGCCTACAACCCAGTCCTTCTGGGGAACTTGAGTCTGACATTTTGTCTAAAGTATTTTCTCATTCTTATTGTGTTTTAGTTCTACAGACTGTGGTTGTAATAAGTGCTTTCCTCCAGTCCCAGAATCTCGCCATTATTATACTGTACAAAACCGCAGTGTCTGTGTGTCCTACGTCGCATTATGTTGTTGCCGGGTGAAAAAAGTGTGTTCTTTGCTGCAGAATTCATATTGAATTTGCTTGTGGTGAAGCTTTTTTTAAGTCTGCCATCATCATGCACTCTGATTTTAGATTTTTTTTTTTTTTTTTTTTGTTTTTTTAATTTTTTTTTCTTCCTTTCAACGAGGGACTCAATGTGCCCTTTTTTTTTTATTATATTCAACTACTGTTTTCATACGATTACCCAGGATATACAGTTATCTACATTAATTTTATATTTGTGCTATTATAACCTATTACTTTATCATTCGTATGACTATTGAATCGAGCTATACTGTATTAAATACAAACTGTCAATGTATACATTTTGTAAAGCTGTGTTTATTTGCTTAGTAGGCTATTTTATTTTTAATTTAATGTTACTTGTTTTGGGTATTTTCAGTTTGTCAATCGCAGTTCGACTGTCTTAATATCTTAGTAACTATATCGTAATAGTTATGAGATTTTTTTTTTTGAGCGTTCAAGTCTCCTATGAATTAAATGTCTGTTCCCTGGAGGGGTGGGGGTGTAACTTTGACATGGATTTACAAAAATAATTTGTAAAAGTACTTCATGGTATTTTTGAATGATTTAAATAAATGAATACTAGAGCAAGAAGTCTCGGAAGCAATGTTTTAACAGCCCCCCCCCCCCTAATTCTTCATCAAAGTTGTATTGGTCTTTGGAGGGGATTCTGATGTTGGATTCTTTCCCAAAGTACTTTAATATTATTTGTTCATGAAGATTTACTTAATCCAAAAATATTAGATCTATGAATTACCTCTGGGGGAAAAAGGGGATTGATTAGATTACATTACAGGTCATTTAGCAGACGCTTTTATCCAAAGCGACTTACATTACACCCATGGCTTTTTCACATTTTTCCCCCAGGGAGCAATTAGGTTACATGTCTTGCTCAGGGACACTTCGAATGGAACATGAGGCAGCCTGGAATCTAACCAACAACCTTGTGCTTCCCAGCACACCTTCTCTAACCCCTGCGCCACGACGACCATTAGATTATTATATTCTCCGGATTAGATTTAAACATTTGGATTATTTTAAAAATGCAATAAGCAATTCATGTTATTTTTGTGAAAATCGGCCCAAATAACTAATACGCTTCACAGCATTCCCACTCCGCAGCAGCTGGTGGCGCTAATGAGCAGTAGTTTACCAGCCGCCGGGAACATCAAAGAAAAGGAAGAACACAACCAGTGTGGTGCAGCTAGCAGCTAACTGTCAGCCCGCAGCCTCTGGCGAAAACGGGTTCCTGCTTAATATAAAAGGGAGAAATTCTGTCATGAACTTTTACATCTGCAGTCTGATACTCAGCTGCTGTAACTCGGGAAGCGGACGGAGAACCGTTGTTAGCATGTGGCTAATGGACATTTTGAGGGTTTGCTCATGTTATGAAGGTCTTGAGTTTTGACGTTCGATTTGCACAAACCGGTCTTCTAACCAAATGTGTGAACGGTAATAATGGCCTTTCTGAGATGTTTACGCATCAAGAAAGAAAAGTAAGCGTAAAGAGGTTTCTTTACAGCCGACCTACACAAAATAAATCCACAGATAATTAAATGCACACACAAAAAAAAAAAAATATATATATATATAGGTGGGTCATTGCCAGAGTCTCAGAACTGCAAGAACTACCTAAACTGATCCCAGACACACGCAAAAATAACAATGTTCACCAGGTCCCTAAAAACACAAAAGAATAAGAAATGCAACTGACGTGCACTATGACAAGTCAAAGAATAAATACTCTACCAGGCCCCTCCGTTAACCCTGAGGCAACTGACCCCAAAAAGGCATTTGGTGTTCCATTGGCTTCATTGTCACAAACCGGAAAAAAATACTGCCACGTACTCCACAAAGTATTCAATGATATCAAGAGACTGATTTAACGGACTCTGAGAAGTGCGTTTTGTCTGAAGGTTATGAGCTCATGATGAAGCGGCGCCTGGAGGATCAGGGACGCCGCGCTGGCGACGCGGAGGCCTCTGGCCCTTCCAAGAAGTCAGTCGGTGTGTTTTATTTTAAAAGATTCTTAGTCGTCACACCCAAAGGAAAACCTGCAAATGTGAAGGGATTTCACGGCAAACTCTTCATGCTAACTTTATAAGCATTGTGAAACAACTCATTTGCACAATAAAGTACTAACAATAGCAATGAAAATGTTATGTTTGTTGGCAACTCGCAGAAACTGAAAGGATAACACTGTTAATCTCAGATTCGTGGTTTATTGTCGGATTAATTAGTGAATGTACTTCTAGCTTCTCTGAAGTGAACCTGAACCACACTCATCTCTCATTTCAAGGCCTGATGATGAATCGCTGTGGTTGCAGCTGACAGCTGAAGGTCCACCGCATCACTTTTCTCCTGATGTGCAGAGCTGGCTGCAGTAACGCTCCCCCACTGCAGCACACTTAACAAATGCTGTGAATTGGTTTCCCTTCACACCAAAGGGAGCAGTCTGAAAAGGGAGTACCCCCACAAAACGACGCGCTGCAACCGTGAAGCATGGGAGCTGAGTTTGAGTAAACCATCAGCCACTCTGACCGTGTTAATTGTTTCAGTTCATGTTTGTTTAATTGTATTACAGTTGCATCTATGAATGCCGTACTGCTTACAAAATGAAAACAAATAAAAAACAAAGTATTTTCTTGTTGTACTGTAACTTGAATGAAGAGATTGTGAGATTAAAACGATATAAACAATACAAAGGCTTTGGTTATATTAAATATACAACATGCTCCACTATTCACAATACACGAATTATATTTTTGATTCTGATATTATATCTTATATTATATTCTCATATTTCATCTATGAATAAAGTCAGTCATGACTAAGCTTAAATGTTTACTTGGTAGGTAAATGTAAAAAAGTAAAATCACAAAAAACTTTTAAGTATCAAATTAACAGTTCTGATGATACCAAACGACCCCTTCTGATATATATCTAAATGTTTTTTATGTAGATCTCAATTTAATGATGCTAATTAACTTTGAACTGAAATGTTACAATTATAAAAATGAATCATATTTGATACGTCTTAATAATAATAGTAACATAGTTATACATTTAATGTTTATAGCACTTAACATGGTAAAACAGAAACAATAAAATCAATTATATTACGATTTAATAAACAATCATATCGTTGCATCAGCAACACTGTTGATAACAATTACAATATAATTTAAGATGCGGCATACATTGTTTGTGTTAAATTCTGCCAACAGCTGTCAAAAGATGCGGTGGCGTAAAAAGCAAAGTATGAGCATCCGTAATGTTCTTAATTACTGCCCGCCACTGTTCCAGTGGTTGCCCCCCCGTGCAGATGTTGAGCTCTGCCGATCGTCATGGAGACTCTGCTGTTTCACTGGCGATGCCTCGCTTTTAGCGGGTGATATTCAAAATAAAATGACGCGCCCAGCAGCACGCGCCAATGCCAGCGGAGGGGGGCGTGTCCAACTATTTTGTTACAAACACGAATCCGGAGTAAGGAGTCTTTTTCCCGGGTATGTAACAGCTGGCTAAACTAAATCATTATAACATTATCGCCGATGTTCCGAGCGAACGATTGTGACGTTGAAGCGATTCGCGGGGCGCTCGCGCCCCTTGCTTTTGTGTCCTTTAAAAGGGGGGGGGGCTTTCTTCAATGGTCGACTACAGAACAGCCCTCCCGCCTCCAAAAAAGAAAAATACATGTCAAAATATGCAGGACGTCATTTTTCTCGGCTAGTTAACAATGTGTGACATTAGGAAGCATCCCGCGGTCTGCAAGTGGAAACCGTTCGTCTGCAGCGTTGTGCATCTAACGCTAAAGGACCGGGGGGGGGGGGTGCTGAAGGGGAGGCGGGGGGGGGGGTGTTGTGGTTAGACCTGTCAGGGGTTTTACTCCCCGACTTTTGAAATAAACAAAGAATATGATGTATATTACGCGCGGCGTCGTCCAGAGGGAACGGGGGAGCACTAACAACTAATAAAGAAAGTGGCTGCGCGTCTGTTTGGGGGCGGCGGGAACATCGGCGCCGTGTTCCCAGATCCGCACAGCGGCCGACGCCGTAGTTCCCGTTCCGTTTGACTTTGGCATTGTTTGGTTAAGGGCAACCGGATCACCTCTTACCGCCGCGATCGCGGGGGTTGGGGGGCAGGTTGAGCCGACTTTGCACCCCGCCCCGCTTCGCGGCGTTCATTGCGAAAGTGTCGAATTGCCACACGATGCATGTTGGTGTCTTTTGTGTGTGGAGTGCAGCTTGTAAATACACACGACGCTGATCTCAGGAGGAGAGGGGGTCGGGGGTGGGGGGGTGGTCTTCCTCCTAACCGTGTGCAAACGTGTAGCTCGTCGTCGTCGTTGTTGTTGTGGGTGGGTGGGGATCTCCACAGCCTGCAGTGCGTTGACTTGCACGCTTTTGCGCTAAAGTTGACAACAGCTGAAAGGTTCGAGATACAAACTGAATGGTATATTGTGCGTCTGAAGCATTGTGGGAAAACATATGTTTCGTCGGGGTGAAATGCCGGCGGGTCGGTCGGGTGCATGTTATTTTTGATAAAGTGGTAAAGCCTCGGTTGATAGTGGAGAACTACGTGTCTGTGTCGCAGCAGTCTACGTGCGCGGCTGCGTCCTCCGCCCGGGCTGGAATGAGGAATCCCGGGTCGCCGTTGCAGCTCCGCCTGTCGTGGGCGATGGTTTATTTTGGAAGTTCCACCTTTTTGGGATTTGCAATGACAGTTGGATGCGTGATTGGTCGATGTGTCCACAGGGAGGAGGGGCCTGCAGACTCCCTCCTACAACGTCACGTGTTACCAAACTCCAGGAAGTAGCTAGTTGTAGATGGATCTCGACATGGATCCGAGGACATTTGAATAGAAGCAGTCCTCTTCTGGTCATTTGATGTGGTCTGCATGGTTAGTTTGAGTCAAGTAGATAGTGTGTTATGTTGTATTGGTACAGAAAGTGGCTTGGTTGAATAAGTGAGTGTTGATAGTAACTATGTATTGAATCTAAATACACAAATTGGTATGTAATATACACCGGTATCGATTACCAAAGGGGTCACGGTTATGATGGTCTGTCGTGAAGAGACCATATGGGTCAAAATCTCATTTTTATTGTTTACACATAACGACAGAAGAAATACAGAAAAAAGTGCAATTGGGCGGTTTCTAATATTGAATGAACAATTTATAGATACAATAGCCCTGCAATACCAAAAACAGACAAAGTCTAATTTGAGTAAGCATCCACATTGCACGGGGTCTTCCACTTTAATTTAATGTTATGCTGTCCACACATAAAACAGGCGCGACTCTTCACATCGCCGGATTGTCGCGCTTCAAATCAAAATGGGCGTGCATGGTGGCAGTGCGAGAAAAAAATATTGATTGACAGTTTAGACTCTCAACCCGAGTCGATTGCCCCGCCCATTCGTGGATACTCTAAACGAACTGACCAATGATGCCTCTGTGGGGGCGGGGCCATATGTGGAAACCCCGCCTCCCTTTCAGACCAAACCGAACGGAGATTGTTTTCCTCTCTCTGTGAGCTTTTCACTTTGCAGCTCACCGCTTGAATTGTTTATTTTTAAATCACACGCCACTGATCAGTTGCTATAAGAACACACTTTGGCATCTTCCCCGGCCAGAGTCGTAGCGCTTACACCAGAAATATCGGATTATCGAAATATCCGTTGGGATCTTACGTTGCTATTTGGGAGAGGGGTGAGTTCAGCTGAATCCATTCAGCAAGCTAACGCAGCTTTGGCTACATCACTAACGTTAGCGGACGTTTTGAGTACACCACACAGGGAATCGGCTTTTATTTGGGTGGCGCTCACTCGAAACTACATCCGATAGGGGTTCCCTTATGAATCGATAGCTAAAAGTGGCTTCAGGTAGCTATATGCTTTGCTGAAACAGGCTAACTGTTAGCTGCATGTGCGTAGCCCCGGACGTTGCGCGGCGTCGGGACCACTCGTGTTGTTTACATTAGCTAGCTAGCAGCTAACTGGCAGCTCGCAGACCGAGTCGACAAAACGAGTTCCCGGTGTCGAAAATAAGAGCGAAATGCTTTCGTACACCGTGAAGCTGCATATGCGGCCACTTCCTTCCCTCCTCCCTGAGGTGGGGTGTAATGTGCGGCGGTCTCTGCGCCACGCTCTAAATGGCGGGCGAGGGGGAAGCGTCGCGCTGTAACTCGAGGTCGGTGCTTCGTCAGGCCATAAAAGTGGACGGCGAAGCGCCGTGGTCAACTAACGGTTGTTAACGTGTGGCTGACGGACATAAGTTGGGCGTATTAGTCTGTTGCGTGGCTAATAGCGTTACGGCACCGGGTGAAGTCGAGGCTTCTGTGAATGCTGCAGCCTGCAGACTTTTTGCAGAAGGCCATTGTGTCACTTCTGATCGTAATGGAACGTAATACATTCTTGCTCCGTTGGGTTTCTATCGATCTGTCTTCTCGGAATTTGTTCCGATGCTTATGAAGTTGTGGACGGCCGGCCGACCGCGTTGCTCCCACAGCACCTGTTTGTTGCATCGATGACGTAGGCTGTGTGTTGAGCTCGCAGTCTCAGCAGCCAATCAAATGCGTTCAGTGAAGTTAACAACTCGATCAACTTAGCGCGTAACTTATATATGTTATACATTAATAATAATATGTATTAATCACCCTACAACTGTTGTGAGCAGCTTTAGTGTTTATTGCATGTTATGCAGTTCCAATATGTCGAGAATCGATTTACACAAAACAAGTCTAGTAAGTAATTAAACCGTTATTTATAACTAGGAGTATAAAATGTATGAAAATAAAACAAGCAGCAACTCGTTTTGCCAATCGTATGCACACATAAAGTTGATCTGTTTTGCATCCTGTTGCTCCACCCTCTCTGCAGCAGCCTTTTGCCTGATGCTGCTGCTCTGTTGTTCCCTACATAGAAGGATGGAGCTTCAGGTTTGGGGGCCGGGGCCACACAGCACCTCTCAGCACATCTCCTGAATGTCAAATTCTAGGTTTGTGGCTGCCAGAAAGTCTCAAGACTTAAAGTTAAAGTTGAATCAGACCCACTCAAACCTAATCTTACATTGACCTAGTACGCTATAGCACAAAGTAAAACTGCCATGCAGCATCACACGTCAATGAATCAATACGCTGCCATGTAGTTGACTTTTGTAAACCCCGGGGCATCTTTGGGCCTCTAAATCCATTTGGGGGCTTCAGTCAGTCACAACAGAAGTGGAACAGCGTGCATCAATGAGTTGAAGAAAAAATGTCTTTCTGCCGCTAGCTGTATTTATTTTGGTATTTAATAACATCAGAAAGCTGATTTACTAGATTCCGATAACTGCCAGTGTGAAATAAGATGCCTGTTCTCGTTGGTTTGCAGGTCTCTCGGCTCTCACCAGAATGAGTTCATAATGAAGCGGCGACTGGAGGATCAGGAAACGGTTTTTGCATCCCAGCAGCGGCGCCTAGCTGGCAACGCGGAGGCCTTCCAGCACCGCGTCCTCGCCCCCGCTCCTCCCCCAGCGGTGTATGAGGCCGTGTCTGACAACATGCAGCCCACAGCAGGCCCCCAGTACTCCGTCCCCCAGGCATACCAGGTGAACTCTGAACTTTTCAACCTGCAGATCAGCTTTAAGCTTAAATGCAGCTTTAAGTCACAGGCCACAGATTTACTAAAGTTTTAACTTCTTCCCATCGTTGTCATAGGTGTCTCTGCTCTCCCAGGTTTCTAACGTGGCCCAGAACAGCGGCGGGCATTCGCACACCCCGAACCCCGCCATCCACGTGGGGTCCCACCACCACGGCCCGGCAGTCCAGACCCTTGGGCCCTCGGTGATGTCCGGGCACAGCCATACAGCTGCTCCTCAGGCCTCCCCACAGGGCCAACAGTTCCAGAGGCTCAAGGTCAGTCAGCCCCTTTTTATTTTTTATTTTATTTAAAAAATCACATTGGCAGGCTGTTGAAACTGACTTTTCCTCCTCTCTGTCTTAAAGGTAGAAGATGCTCTGTCTTACTTGGATCAAGTGAAACTGCAGTTTGGCAACCACCCTCAGGTCTACAACGACTTTCTGGACATAATGAAAGAGTTCAAGTCTCAAAGGTGAGGCCACCTTTTGATTTTACAGAAAAATACGGTTATTACGATGTGCTCTCAAAGTCATTCTACTTAATGCTCAAAATGTTCATTCATTAAGTTACAACTTGTTCTGTTCTAACTTGATCAGGTTTGTAATGGTACCTATTCGCACGGCACTTCTAGTGAGTAAAACTATGCTTCAAGTGGAAACGTACAACAGTTTCTAGTTTGATTAATTAAGAAGTGAATGTCTCGAATGAGTTTAGAGGCAACACTCCTTCACTGTTCTATGAATCAGTTCCTACTTAATGGAACAGATGAGCAGTTATTGAGTTATTTCTATTCCCATCTGTCCTGTTGTTGTTTATTCCAAACAGCATGACTGTCAGGGTGCATGTGAATTGATTTACTCTATTTATCTATCTATGTTTCTCCCAGCATTGACACCCCCGGGGTCATCAGCAGAGTGTCGCAGCTCTTCAAAGGTCACCCCGAGCTCATTATGGGCTTCAACACCTTCCTGCCACCTGGCTACAAGATCGAGGTCCAGAGCGCCGACCTGGTCAACGTGACCACGCCCGGTCAGATCCACCACATCACCCCGCATGGCATTTCGGTCCAAAACATCCCCATAACGGGAGCGGCGACCCTTCATCCGCCCCAGCTCCCGGCCACCACGGCCCTGCCCCCCCCGACGCAGCCCCCCCCTGCCAAGATGAGCAAGGTGAATGTGACAGACAATGGAGTGACGAGCTCACTCCGTATGTAATGTTAGTCCCGCCTCCACGGGTTTAAAACGTTTTCTAATCGTTTTTTTTTTTTTTGGTTGGTTAAATATGTCTCAACGCTCTTCACTTTGTGGCCCCTCCCAGCCTCTTCCGCCCCAGGCATCGACGCCGAGCAGCCAGAGCAATCCGTCCATCCCCGCGTACACCTCCCCTCGCTCCCCGCCCATGCTGCTCCTGCCGCCGCTCAGCGGGACCCCCACCGGGACCCCCACGGGGCCGCCCACGCAGAACAACCAGCCGGTGGAGTTCAACCACGCCATCAACTACGTCAACAAGATCAAGAACCGCTTCCAGGGCCAGCCCGACATCTACAAAGCTTTCCTGGAGATCCTCCACACGTACCAGGTCAGTGATGCGATGGTGTGAGATGCCTCGGTGCCCTCCGGTGTTACTCACGTCCAGCGATGAATTCGCCGTGAACGCGTGCTTCTCCGCTACAGAAGGAGCAGCGCAACGCCAAGGAGGCCGGTGGGAACTACACCCCGGCCCTGACGGAGCAGGAGGTGTACGCTCAGGTGGCTCGACTCTTCAAGAACCAGGAGGACCTGCTCTCAGAGTTTGGGCAATTTCTCCCCGATGCCAACAGTTCGGTGGTGAGCTTCAGTTTAGTTTCCCTCTCTTGTTTAGATACTTTACACCATTCAGCATACAACACTGTGACCTGCTGCAATAATCCCACTGCGGAGATCCAGAGTCAATTCATGTACCCCCCCCCCCGGGTCTTAATCAGCGTTGTGTATTCCTTGTAGCTGCTGAGTAAGACCACAGCTGAGAAGGCCGAGTCGGTACGGAACGACCACGGCGGCACCGCCAAGAAGCTGCAGCTCAACAACAAACAGAGGCCCAATCAGAACGGCTGCCAGATCCGCCGTCATCCGGCTCCCGGGACCACGGCCCCTGCCAAGGTGCACGCCAGCAATCCTCGCTTACCGCCGACGCCACAGTCCCCTCCGGCTTCCTCTTATCTTCCCCTCCTGTCTTGTTTTTTGTTCTTTTAAATGACTCAACCGATGTCTTCTCTCTGCTACTCTGGTGACCCCACAGAAGAAGCCCAAGTTATTGAATTTGAAAGACTCCTCCGGGCCGGAGGCCAGCAAGCAGGGCATCGGAACAGAATCTCTCTTCTTTGAGAAGGTGACTTTTGTTTTTCATGTGTGCTGTGTCTCATGTTTGTGTGAATGTGAAAGAAAACGTTAACCAGATGAATTCGAAGGCAGGAGGAAATAACTAAGAAAGAATTACAAATGTTTTACAGCCATTTGTCTCATCACGTGTCTAATAATTGGTTATCTATAGTTTGATATTCGTACGGCTTCGGTCAAGTACAGTTTTCCGCGATAACTACGACTCAGTTTTGTTGCGGTACTTTAAATGTTTTATGTAACACACATTATTCTTCATTTTGATTTGTCACTTTAGGTGCGCAAAGCCTTGCGAAGTGCAGAAGTCTACAACAACTTCCTGCAATGCCTGGTCATCTTTAACCAGGAGGTGATCTCCAGGGCGGAACTAGTTCAGCTGGTGTTGCCCTTTTTAGGGTGAGTACGCCGTCCTCTCACCTGGAGAAGAATCAAATATTTAATTTCTTTACAGTTTAATGTGTCTAAATGTTTTCACTTTAATTTGTCAAACAGGAAATTCCCAGAGCTGTTCAACTGGTTCAAAAACTTCTTGGGATATCGGGAAATGTCCCACGTCGAAGCGTACCCCAAGGAGAGGGCCACCGAGGGCATCGCCATGGAGATAGACTACGCCTCCTGCAAGAGACTGGGTTCCAGTTACAGAGCTCTGCCCAAAAGCTACCAACATCCCAAGTGCACCGGCAGAACTCCACTTTGTAAAGAGGTGAGCGGGAGAAAAGAAGAGAAATATCGTCATTAACAATGTTGCGATTTGGGTTTTGAATCAAATCCTGTGACAGTTTCACTCATTACAAGATGAGTTGTCTTGCTGTTTGTCCAATTCGACTTTAAAGATGACACCGTGTTTTGTTTCTGCTTTTCCCAGGTCTTAAATGACACCTGGGTCTCCTTCCCCTCCTGGTCTGAGGACTCTACATTTGTCAGCTCCAAGAAGACTCAGTACGAGGAGCATATCTACCGATGCGAGGACGAGCGCTTTGAGGTGAGAGGGGGCTTAGACGTCTTTCTTTTGGCTTTTTCATTTCTACTTTAAAATTCCTCAGTGGTTTACGGTAATAGATAGCAATGTTATAGAGCATATTTTTCCCCATGGTTTACAACTTCGGGGGGGTGTAGTTGTCGGGCAAATGGTTCAGCCGACCGGGGGGAGGGGCGTATTAGTTGGCCGAACAGGGTAGTCACTCTCTGCCACGCTGCTGCGAGCGCTACAGGGACTCATTCGCGACATATTAATGTCAGTGTGGAACTGCCGTGCGTGGAAAAATAACAAGAAAAAAAATGTGTAGAATGTTTTTCCCAACAAAATCTTAATATATAAAAATAAATATATAGATATACGGGTATATATATTTTGTGGTTGTTGGATTTCTTTTTTGTGTTGAATTGCACATTTTTTTCAGGGGGGGGCGGGGGGCGCCCCCCTGTTATAATGGTAGGGGAAACACTGAGAGTAGCACTCTAGAAGCTCCATCTAGTGGACAGCGGAGGTACTGCCAAATGGTTTGATTAAATTAAGAAAATCTTTTCATTTATAATAAATAAAGCTGACTATTTTTCAGCAATTCTCTTTGAAACCAGCTGCAGGTCAAATGCAGCACCACTCAATTGAATGGGTTTGTGAGTCAGAAAAGGCGATGTGGTTGCCAACCCCGCCCTTGTTAAACCTTTATTTTTTATTTTATTAAAGATAAAGGTCACGCACACACTGCATTGGATGTAAAAAATCTCCCTGTTTTCTCTCCCTCAGTTGGACGTGGTACTGGAGACAAACCTGGCGACCATCAGACTGCTGGAGACGGTACAGCGGAAGTTGTCCCGAATGTCCGCGGAGGAGCAGGCCAAGTTCCGCTTGGACAACACGCTGGGCGGCTCTTCAGAGGTCGTGCACCGCAAGGCCATCCAGAGGATATACGGAGACAAGGCGCCCGACATCGTCGATGGCCTGAAGAAGAACCCGGCGGTTTCTGTCCCCATCGTGTTGAAGAGGTGCGAGTCCCCAACTCACTCCTTTTCCAAACGTCCTTTTAACAATCCGATTTGTGTATTTGGATGCAGAGGCACACACGTGATTCGACTCCCGCCTTCTTCCCCGACCAGGTTAAAGACCAAGGATGAAGAGTGGCGGGAAGCCCAGCGAGGCTTCAACAAGATCTGGAGGGAGCAGAACGAGAAGTATTACCTCAAGTCCCTCGACCACCAAGGCATCAACTTCAAACAGAACGACACCAAAGTGCTTCGATCCAAGTCGCTGCTGAATGAAATCGAAAGCATCTACGATGAGGTGAGTTCCTGTCTTCTGTACCAGCGCTGATACAAAAATGTGATATCGTAACTCTCCGAGAACCAGACTTGCCTCAAGGTCGCCGTCACCAAAAACTGTCGATTTGTTCTCGCTCCGCAGCGCCAGGAGCAGGCGTCCGAGGAGAACGCCGGCCCGCCCGCCGGCCCCCAGCTGACGCTGGCGCACGAGGACAGCCAGATCCTGGAGGACGCGGCGGCGCTCATCATCCACCACGTCAAGCGGCAGACCGGCATTCAGAAGGAAGACAAGTACAAGATCAAACAGATCATCCACCACTTCATCCCCGACATGCTGTTCTCCCAGAGGGGCGAGCTCTCCGACGTGGAGGAGGAGGAGGAGGAGGAGCTGGAGGAGGAGCTGGAGGAGGATGAGGAGACGCACCCGGAGGGAGGCGCGTCCAAAAAGCACAACGGCGTCCCCGGCGGCGGGAGCCCCTCCAAGTCCAAGCTGCTGTTCAGCAACACGGCGGCGCAGAAGCTGCGCGGCTGCGACGACGACGCATACAACCTCTTCTACGTCAACAACAACTGGTACATCTTCCTGCGGCTGCACCAGACGCTGTGCTCGCGCCTGCTGCGGCTGTACGGCCAGGCGGAGCGACAGATCCAGGAGGAGGTCAAAGAACGGGACTGGGAGAGGGAGGTCCTGGGACTGAAGAAGGAGAAGAGCGACAATCCGGCCACCCAGCTGCGACTGAAGGAGCCCAGTGAGTGACGACCGGCTGTTTCTCTCGTGTTGTTAAAGGGACCGGAAAGAGGTTTTCTGTTTGCTTGGGTCGTTATTTCCGCGATTAAGCCGACGTCACTACGGCCCAAATCTCCCACAACTGCCCCTTTTCAGCATGAACCAGACTGAAGCGTTTTATTTTGCTTTCCAGTCAGAGGTCTTCAACGGGGGGTCCACGACCCCCAAGGGGTCCGCGAAGGTACTGCGGGGGGGGGGGTCGCGAAATTTTTGGTTGATAAGACAATTTCTTCCCCCACAAATGTAAATGTCTTCAGAATCAGAATTGTATTTATGGTCTTTAAATACACATCAACATGAATCCAACATATTGAAGCGAGCGGATGAATTGATGGAGAAGACGTTATCTGTCAGTCTGCAACTCACACACTCAGCTTCCCTCAGCAGCTCTCAAGCTACTGACATCTGGGAAACGTTTTTCTGAGAGAAGGTCTATATTTGAAGGGTTTCACTCGTATAAATTACATGAATTCATTTAGCGAATGAAACTTAAAAAACATACCGACTATTGAGCTAGAAATCACTCATTTTGTGAAATTGAACTGGTGCCTTAATGAGCGCCGCCTACTGGAGACGGTTGATGGAAATGTGCCGATCAAAACAACCTTCTGCTTTTGCTCTTCTCTCCAGTGGACATCGAGGTGGAGGATTACTACTCGGCCTTCTTGGAGATGGTTAGGAATTTGCTGGATGGAAATATGGAGGCTTCCCAGTACGAAGACTCCCTGAGGGAAATGTTCACCATTCACGCTTACACGGCCTTCACAATGGACAAGCTCATCCAGAGCATCGTCCGGCAGGCAAGCATCCCGCGGTCCTCTCCCCCTGCAGGGCTCTCGTGTCACACGGCTGTTTTAAAACCATTCCTTCCCTCCACCCAGCTCCAGCACATCGTGAGTGACGAGATCTGCATCCAGGTAACGGACCTCTACCTCTCGGAGAGCGCCAGCGGCGCCAACGGAGGGACGGCGTCCACCCAGTCCTCACGGAGCCCCGCCGAGGCCACGTATCAGCGGAGAGCCGAGCAGCTCATGTCGGATGAGAACTGCTTCAAGGTAAACGCAGAAAGCTCCTACGGTCACTGGAAGATTCGGGTGTGGGGGAGGTGATGCAATTGGACTTTGGATGATGACACCACGCGCAGAAGTTTTCGAAAATAGCGAAATTATCGTTCATTTCAGGAGAAGTTGTTCTGTGAGTCCTGAAAGTGTGAGGGTTTCTTACATTTGTGCATGTGTGCAACCAATAAATCTCAAATTTAGATTTTAAAATATTAACAAATCAGCCGGCCTGTTGAATGTCAATGTGAGGTCTCACTGATTATGTGTAAAAGCAGCTGCAGGCCAACTGCCCCCCACATGCATATACCCCTCCTGATGTCATGGGGGGGTGCATCCGCATAAGTGAGAGATTTACAAAGAACAGAAAGACAACGTTCGCCTTTTAAAAAACACTTTCCTCCTCGTCACTTTCTCAGGTGATGTTTTCGAGGAGCAGGTCGCAGGTGCAGCTCACCGTGGAGCTTCTGGACACCGAGGAGGAGAACTCAGACGAGCCCATGGAGGCCGAGGTGAGAAACCGACAGTCAGGAGTGCGACGGCTGGCGGAGGGGCCGGATTAGAAGGACTTTTTGCTTTTGACTAGTCCTGACTTCCCACATTGATGTTTAGTTGCAGCGAGTGATTCTCATTGGCTGTGTGTTACATTTGAGTATCGTCTTCATATCAATGAGGAAACTAAACATCCAGCGGAATAAATGCAAATAAAAATCTGTTTTGTCTGGTAAGAGGGTCTACTTTTCCAGCTGGAGTGGAAAGACTAGTCAGGATCTACTGCCAACCTTTTGGTGATATTGTTTGATTGTGCGTTGCGCCTGTCCTTTGTCCTCAGCGCTGGTCGGATTATGTCGGACGCTACTTGAACCCAGATTCCACCACACCCGAGTTGAGGGAGCACCTCGCTCAGAAGCCCGTTTTTCTTCCCAGGTGAGTTTTCATATCGGTTTTGGTCAAAAATCGCAATCATACTTTTGAATTGTGAAAGCAGTTTTATGTCTTTTGACGCAGAGAACATAGGGTGATGTTAATGGTAAGGACTTTTTATTTTACTGCATAACATCAGACAGTGTCCCAGTAAACCAAACGGCACTGCTCACGTAAAGGTCAGGTGCCAAAGTCGAACACGAGTCCTCCTCGTTGATCGGTTGGTTCTGACACGTTCCTCTCCTCCCGCCAGTCGCTCTCATCACGTTGTGTCTTTGCACTCGCGACCAGGAATCTGAGACGGATCCGGAAGTACCAGAAGGGCTGCGAGCAGCTGGACAAAGAGGCGCTGGAGGGCGGCAAGAAATCCCTGGAGAAGGAGAAGATGGAGTGCATGTTCAAACTCAACTCCTACAAGATGGTGTACGTCTTTAAGTCTGAGGATTACATGTACAGACGCACCGCCCTGCTGCGAGCTCACCAGGTACTGAACAACCCGCTCTGGATACAGGAGGATTTATTATTTGACCTTTCGTAAAACCTTTTTACCAAGAGATAAAAATGTTTCATATCAACATGTGTGTCTTTTCTTTTTAAACAAGCAATCCAATAGTACCATATATTACAAATATTTCAGTCTGATTGTTGCCTGTTCAAACGGTTTAGTTTGCTTTATCGATAGTGACTCTCACATCTACACATGCAAAACGCAGGTTGAGCCAGCAGCCGCCAGATGTGAGCGGGATCCGTCTCTGCTTCTCACAGAGACATTGAGGACTCCGTACAGTCCGTTGAGCTTCAGTGTTAAAGATGGTCTCTGTTAAAGTCACCGTCCACCTTAACGACCTCCCGCTTCCTTCCGCAGTCACACGAGCGGGTGAGCACGCGGCTGCACAGGCGCTTCCAGGCCTGGGTGGACACGTGGGCCCAGGAGCACGTGACCGGCGACATGGCCGCCGAAACCGACAAGTGGCTGATGGGCGACGCGCGTGAAGGCCTGCTGCCCTGCTCCACCAGCCGCCAGCCGGAGGTCCTGCACTTCGTCAACATCAACAAGTACCGCGTCAAGTACGGCCCGCCCGGCAAGGCGCCGTAGCCGAGGGGGGGGGTTTCGACCCGGGAGGGAGGTTGACGTGTCTGAAGTCGAAACAGGTTCGGGAGTGGAGGTCGGGGACGAGGGCTTATTAATGTGTTTTTAGGGTCGACGTGGGAGCACAGTTAAGCTGGCTGCCGTGTACGTTGCACCCGGGGCGGCAGGATTACTGATTTTACCAGCGTTTTTAGCTGGGCCCAATTTTTTCCGCTGGGCCTTTGGTGCCAAAACGAATATGAATTGTCACTACCTAGTCGCAGGCCGGAGCTCGTACCAGCACTCTGAGCCGCTCCTCACATCCCCCGAGCTTCTAGCCGGCTGCCAAGTACACGATGGGCACATCGGAGGTGGAGTGGTGCTTTTTTTTGTACTTTTGTCACAACCGAGCTTCGGTTTTGATTTCTTTCAAGTGACAGATTTTGTCCGTCAGAGTACGAAGCCCCACCGAGGTGAAACAATCATACAGGGATTTCTTTTATGTTTAGTGTTCTTCTACAGTATCCGTGGAGAAACAATATGGTGGACAAGTGCACTTATTTAGAAAGGGTTTGGAGGGTTTTGGATGGGAGCACAACAGAGCGTGAGAGATGTGACTCTGACATTCCTGCCATTACGTTCGTATCACAAGACGCAACGAGGCTCACTCTTCCTCCTCGGAAACACACGGCAGCATTATTAGAATCGGTGCCTGAGCCTCAAACTGGGCGGTCGGGTTTACGTGAAACAGCACTGTTACAAAAGCTAAAATAATAATAATAATCACAACCTCACAACACTGTTTGGTCTCAGACTGTAAGGTTGTAACCTTCCTGTATGTCAGATACTGACGTGTATTCCAGTATGTCTTGTATGTGTATATATCTATATAGATATATATATGTATAGTTCTATTAACACGAATGATCCTCGCCGCCCTGGATGTCAACCTTTTTAAAATGCCCTCTGCCAACACACCAGCTTGTACGCGCACACACACACACGCGCTGGTCTCATTCTGGGAGGACTGTCCACATGCCGCTCATGTTGTAAATACACTGTATATAGTCTCAGACTTTTTATGACAGATCTGTGTTGTGCTAGTAAACTTTCCAAGCTTACTGTGGACTTTAGTGATGGATGACTAAAGTTAGTATGTACATGAAAAAGACAAATGCAAGACCATTTATTACAGTTTTTACCAAAGGGAGTTGTTTATGAAATAGCTGTTTTTTTTCACCCTTTGTGTGTTCCTTTATGTATTTACTTTTTAATTTCTGTAGTAAAAAATGTGGAATAGTAGAAATGTATCCAGGTCTTTCAGTTTTTAAACTGCAAATAACATGTTTTCTTCTGAATGTGAGATTTGGCTGGTTAAAAAAAAAAAAAAAGAAGAAGAAACCCCCCCCCTCTCCCATTTGACAACCAAGAGCGTCCGTGATGATGCGGGGATTATTTAATCTCATCACGTGAATAGACTGGATAGATTTCTGCTGCAAACGTTCAGCCACAGCATATTTTTGATAATGGAAGAAGTCACACGAGCATGTCTTTAGTCCATTTATTTAGACGTTATTTAAAGTAATAATAAAAATGATATTTGTAGCCTATGGAGCGCTCTGTGCAGTTGTTGATTGAGTTTCTTCTTTCCCCACTTTACCTTCATTCGTTTGTGTTTCAGTGGACAACAACAATAACAGGCCTCCCATCAGTGCAAACCAACATGTTAAAAATAGCAAGGAAGGAAGAAGCGCAGCACACCGATTCAACGTGTGTAACACACAATATTTCCTTTTTAATAACTAGTCTTTGTATACTGAAACCACCAGTGTGCTCATTGTACCAGTTGTACAAGATTGTTCAGCTTCATCCTCTATGAAATGCATGAGGCTTAAATCTGTCATTATGCATTCTTGAAAAGCCTTAAAAACACTGACGTCTTTTTTTAGAAGGTTTAAAGAGTCATGTTTCAGTTACAAAGGTCTGATATTTTCCTCATGCTGCTAATGCTAATGCTGGTAATGTTATTAAATTTTCTAAACTAGGTTGGAATGGACTTCATATTGTGGAGTTTGTCCGCTGTGATGCACCGCCGCGTTGCTACGGTAACCCAGAACGGATGAAACAAAGCTCTATCTCGCCACTAGATGCTGCCAAAACCTACACATTGGAAGTTAAATGCGTCATAGTGAATTGGTTGGTTCATCCATTTATTCTCTTCTCAAGATCCAGTTCAGTTATTTATCCAATTACTTTGTATCAGAAATCTTATTTATTCTGCTGTTTACTGAAAAGTCGAGTCCAGGCTGCCCCATGTTCCATGTCGAAGTGTCCCTGAGCAAGACCCCCAATTGCTCCCCGGGCAAAAATGTGAAAAAGCCATGGGTTTAAAGTGTAATGTAAGTCGCTTTGGATAAAAGCGTCTGCTAAATGACCTGTAATGTAATGATCGCAATGACTTCAGTTCCCAAATCTGTGGAGACTGTTGAGGTCAAATGAATCCACAACAAGACATGTAGAGACGGAGAAAAAGAAAGCTTCAAACAATGTTTTCCCCTCCAGATCTGTCCTCCATCTGTAATTGTGCACCTACACGTTTTGTTTTTTTACACTGGTGAATATTAAGCTTGACAATTCAAAACATCTAAAGCTTTAATAACTGGTTATTAGTCAGCCTTTCGAATGAACTTTTACAAAATACATATTCAATTTTTCAGAAACAAAGTGCATTCTGGGTACGACTATGGGATGCAATGTTAAGCCATATTATCTTCTTTCCTTTTTAAAAGTCACTCATACGGAAGTCAAAAGGTCCTGAAGAGTCAATGTAACTATATGTACTTTATCATAACATTATGTGTATAAATATTTTAACTTCTCAAATTGCCAGTAGAGACCTGAGACTGTGCTGTTGAGAGATGGACACACACACACACACACACACACACACACACACACACACACACACACACACACACACACACACACACACACACACACACACACACACACACACACACACACGGTCAGGTCTCTGTGGGTGGTCCCACACACATTGTACGGTGAGAGCAGAGGGACTGAACATCTCCCCAAACCCAAACACCACCTCCTGTACAGTACCTGCAGCCTCAGCCTCTTAACAAAGCACTCAGAGACACACACACACACACACACACACACACACACTCTTTACCTTCTTGGCCGTCTTGCTGCTGAGGCCCTGAGGAGCAGTGAGGCTGTCCGATGCCAGCAGAGCCCTTCACGCCTCCCACTGGCAGAGCTGACAATAAGTTCCTCTAAAGCACCCCCCCCCCCCCCTCCTCCTCCTCCTCCTCCCACTAAAATCTCTCCTCTGCGTAATTCCTCCCTTGGAGTGCACACTCCTGAACTTCCCACAGCTTTCAGCTGGCGGCCCTTCTGCTACTTCTGACTCGCAGAGCGGAGCCATTGTCGGGACTACAGAGCGCCGCTGTCCCTGCAGCTCCACAGTGCAGAGCCATGACCTCACCGAGCGGGACCACCTACATTCCTCTACTTCTTTCTGGTGTTTGGGGAGTTCTGTTCTTTTTATTTTTTTTAAAGTGTTTTGTTGTATTTCAAAGTTCAACAAGCTTCCAGTCTTTTAACAGAAGAGTACAACATCTTGAGTTACTAGGCCGGTACTTCCTGTAGAAGCTCTCCTGATTAAATAAAACACTAATTGCAGGTTCTGCTGAATACGGACAGATAATCCAAAATGATTTTGATTTTTCAAATGGGTTCATAAGGTTTTGAAGAGCGACGGGTTAGAATAATAAGCAGCACGAATTGGAGCAGCTATAAATAACACAAAGCGCTAATCTCTTCTTATTTCACATATCTTCTCTGGTTTGCATCCATCCAGAGGCGGTTCTCCGGTCCTCGTGAGAGCATCTTTCTCTGCACGGCGGCGGATGTCGCCCAGCTAAAGTGTCTCGATGATAAACCCTGCAGGCTCCTCTCCTCCTGTAAAAGGATTAGTGACGTCTGGCACTCTTTCACACATACACCTCTCCAACATCTGTTTGAGTCTTTAATGTCCATTTTACACGCAGAGGACAAACACACCAATGTCCCTTATCCTGCCCCCAGGGGACCCGGATGGATATCTTCTGTTTTTAAACCTTTATTAAAGGTTGCGGCGTCTGAAAGGTAGAGAACACAACGCACCACGTGGCTCCACAGATGGAGCAGTGTTTTGACAACTGTTGCACGGATAGCAGTGAAAAGGATGGCGTGGTGGGAGCGGGACGATTTGGGGGAAGGACGCGGCGGACCTGATGAGACCCAACCAGGATTCAGTGATCAAACCGAATCACAGGCCTTTCCATCACGGGCTGCAGCGCATTCAAAGAGTCCGCGGTTTGAAAAGATGATCAATCCTTCTGTATTTATTACATCCGTCGCTGTGGAAGGCAGTGAAATAATCGAGTCTAGCAGCAAGTCTGCACTTTGTACTCTTCTCACACAATGAAAGCATCAACATTACCCATCGGGACGTGTGTTTAGAATAACATTAAAACTAACCGGTGAATAATGTTCGGATTAGCAGAGGCAGACTGCGTGACGAGAATAATGTGATGTGAACTGTCGCTGGTCGGCTGAAACTGAAATGTAGATTGTCCCTGAGTGACAAAGGGACAATGCCCTGCGTGACAAAGGCGGCAAAGAAATGTTAGAGAATTAACTATTAATATCTTAAACGGTGCAGAAATTAAAGTTTCTGCACCGTATAAAAGGTGAACCTCGCGTTTAGAATATTTATCCCAGAAATGTTAATATTATAAAGTATAACCCTGTGTTAGCCGTGTAATACAGTCAAAAGGTGTGAAAATGTTGTGTTTTGCGTCGTCATCATGTTTGTTCCGGTCTTCTCTTAGCAGACATCTGACGGATGCTCTGAAGATGTGCGTGTCGCCTCCTCAGAAACCATTCATTGAGACCTGAGCGTGACTAAATACTGTCTATCCCAAGAAGAGTCTTTGGGGGACGTGGGAGGCACAAAGCATGCTGGGAACTCACTCTGCTGTGTTCATGTGCAAGGTGGACGTTGCGTGCGCTGTGTGCTAAACCTTCTCCACCAGCGTGGAGGGTTAGTCAGCACCACCTTTTAGGCCTCACTGTCTAATGTTACGGTTGTATTGCCTTTTTAATTACGTCAAGCAACGGATTAAAGCGGATTCTGGGTTGCCAGGTTGTAAAGGAATCTCATAAGCAAATGTTCATTGTTCTAATTTCCTAATAATGTCCTGTGTGTCAATAGGACGGGTCACCAAAGCTAAGAAAATAAGTTGCACTAATTAGTCTTATTTTCCAGGACATTCAATGGGCCTTTTTTCCGTGTATGCGTCACAAAACCCACTCAGGTCGTAGGAGAAGCTGGACTGGGACACCAAGTGGGGACGAGGAGGGACACTTTTGTTTAGTCTCTTGCGAGCGGCGTTGTGCTCCGCTGTGCTCACAGAGGCTCCTCTGTTTGGGGCCCTGAGGAGAGCGGTGAGACAGGCGGAGGGGCCCCTTCCCGACCAAATGGAGCACAAACACAACAATCCCTTTATCCGGCCCGCTTGGACCTGCCATCTGAACGGCGGCTTGTCACCGAATTAACATCGCAGCGGGCGCGCGCCCTGGCCCTTGCTTCCCGGAGCATTGTGGTGCGCTCGGGAGGAAACTCATCCTTTCACAGGGTACCGGGTCAAAAAGCAGGCCGGCGTAGACGCGCCCCTGCAGCCTTGGCGCGGAGGAATGGGAACCGTCGCCGTGCCGCTGGGTCGGTCCTTTTTAATCCCTGGCAAGCCGCGAAGGACACAGACAGATTGGCCTTTTGGTTTTTGATGTTGTGCCACTTTCTCGCCATACTCAACCCCCCGCCATGAGGACCAGGACTAGTCCACGCCAAGGGTGAGCCACTACACATTTGGCTGCAGCGAAGGCCGTGGGTGTGTTGGCCTGCGTCGGGCACCTACTCCGGGGAAGAGTCTTGAATAATGGTTTTCCTGTTGAAGGATTTTGTTTGGCTGCATGAACAAGGGTTCATGCAGCCAAACAGTCAATTAGCTCCCAAGCGGCAAAGAACTGCTTGAGCGAAATAAAAAGCTGAATTATTTGTAAAGAGTAAGTTGAATATATTCATTGTTCACAACCTGTGTGGATGGTTCTTTTCAGCCAATGCGCTTCACATCCAGCTTTTGCCAGTGGAACATCAGAAAACAAACACTCGGCCCGGGCAGAGAAAGAAAGAAGGAGCACTCCAACAAGCACATTAAGGGGAAAGTAAAAAGATGCTCAAGTGAAGCGTCAACAGCGCGGAGAGATCGGGCCACTGGAGGGCCGAAGGAAAACAGCTTTGTAACACAAGTGGATGGACGAATAAAGGCCACACAAAACGTAGTCTAAAGCCTCAGTAATGGTTTCTAGATTCATGGTTCCAGTGTCTCCTCAGTCGCTCTCCTCTTGCACCGTTCTTACTTTCTCTACATCACCGGATAGGAAATCAGGATTATGGAGAAATCAGTTCACGAGCAATCGAACCTCTGGATGGAAGATTGAATGGAGTCTTTACGTAAACGTGTTTTTCATTGCACCTCGCCGCCTTCCCGTACCCGCTCCCATTCCCACCAGCCAGTCCACCACCTGCATCAGAAACATCCAACTTGATGTGACCAGGCAGCTGGCCACAATGAGGCAACCAGAAAATACCACTTATCAATAGGTTTATTTTTCTTGAGAAGAAGGGAGCAGAGAGGTGAATTTCTAGTTTTAAACGGTGTCCAGTTTCATTTATAGGTAAGTTTCATGTTTGGTAAAGAAGTCAGTTTAAAAAGAAGGCTTTTATTACAAAATATCTTCTCTATGCCAAAAATGTCGCTACACTGAGGTGTTTTACCAGCACAGGGTGACTGTATGAGGGAGGCCTAAAGGAGTGGGGGAGTGAAAGGGAGAGGGGTCACCACCTGGTACCGGAAAGGAAAAGTCACACGGCAAAGCAAAAGACACAAATTAGAACACCTCAAATATAAAACATGCCAAATAAACAAAGAATGAGGAAGCCCTCCACCTAGTGAGCCACCACCTATAGACCCATGACCAGCCCACCTGTACTGGTAGAGAGTAGGACTCATTCCAGTTGGTTTACGAAGGAAAAGAAAATAAATTAACGATTCATAATCAAAATACTAAATAAAACAGCGTAAAATATATTTGCAAAGGGGCAAAAACAGCAGTGGCTACAGCACCGCTAAGGAGCATATTTAAACAAAACAAAAAACTTCAAAAACAGACGTACCTGGGAATTGCACATTATACAGCCACACATGGTGAGCTGATGGGGTGGGAGCTCCATGACTCCCCTTTAGCACCCAGTCCTGCACCTTGACTAGATGTAGTCGTCCCTGAGACCAGTGCGGAGCTGGGAAAACCGACATTTATGGGGAACCAAGAAGTCATCTGGCCTCACCTGTTGGGAATCCCTAATTAGGGTGGTGGAGGGAGGGGGAGCTCTAGCCATCGCATTGAGATGGAGTGACAGGTGGTGGGTTCTTCCTCCTCTCTGGACTTTGTTCAACCTTCTCGTTAGGAATGACTGCTGAAGGTCACATGGACGAAGGGACAATGTCCGTCGAGTCACACGAGGAATGCTTCCCTCGTTTCGCACCTCTTTTTCAATCCCAGAAGACCGAAAAGGTGCAAATGTCTCTTCACTTGGTACACTGCGGAGGACAAAAGCCCTTAACGTGGGCCGGCCCCCGTCAACAGTCTTAATGTGAGCGGAGCTGCAGCGACGGGGCCCCGCCGGTCCGTCTCGGTCTTATCTCGCTGTTCCACGCCGCCTCTAATCGTGTTGCTTTGGAGCTGCATCAGACACAAAGACGCGTCCCTGGTGAAGTGACAAACAGCAGCAGGGAGTGTGAGGCCGGACCGTGACGGGATTTGTTTTAAAAAGGGGGCAGTTTGGGGCTCTTAGGATGTGGGATTGAGTACATCAGAAAATGGGAGGAGCAGTATTGTCAAGAAATATGACCTTTTATAGAGAAAATGAGGGGAATGAGATTTTTTTTTATGACAAATGTTTGTTTAGCTTCCACACTCAAAAAAATGCTGTTGGCTGGTTGTTACATTTACTTTAGTGCAACATGTATTTCGAACGATATTAATTCATGTTTCCAATGTGAACGTGATTCAGTCATGTAGGACTTGCATGAACTATTACACCCTCCCACTGCAAGAGTGTCCTGGTCCACCTCACTGACTGCACCATCCCACTGCAAGAGTGTCCTGGTCCACCTCACTGACTGCACCCTCCCACTGTGTCCTGGTCCACCTCACTGACTGCACCCTCCCACTGCAGGAGTGTCCTGGTCCACCTCACTGACTGCACCCTCCCACTGCAGGAGTGTCCTGGTCCACCTCACTGACTGCACCCTCCCACCGCATCAGCTCATCACATTCTTGTTTTAATATTTGTGTTGGTTCAGTTTGGCTGAGGGGATGTGGAGGTGTACTCTGCATTTGCATTTCTGCACAAGATCCCGGTAATCATCAAGAGAACAAGCCCCATTTAGATACGGAGAGAAGATGAAATCCCTGAAGTCAAGTGCATCACTATCAGTGTTCGTCACACAGAAAGGTAAGCAAAATATTTGCATCTTCATCTTATGCAAATGAAATAGTCAATACTATGATCAGATGTTAGTCCGTTCATGTTTTAACACCTGTGGTGTTCATTGTAATGTTTTGGGGGATACAAAAAGGTGTGCATGGAGTACAGGGGGTGCGCTGGGAACTGCAGGGTTGGTGGTTTGAACCCTGGCTGCTCCATGTCCCATGTGGAAGTGTACTTGAGAAAGACAGCCAACCCCTAACTGCTCCCATGTGTGTGATGGGTTATACATGTAAACATGTAATTTGAACTCAATTATATTAAGTTCAACTAACTTAACAAAATGTAGTTGAAAGTCATTAAACCATTCATATCAATTCAACTCTACAAAACTATATTAACCCAACACAATAACATAGTGTTAGAGTAACGTAACTGTTTAGCATAGAGAGATTTAGCATAGAGGCCCCACTCCTTTGTTTTTGAAAACGAAGAATCAAAAGAGTCAACTTGCTCAAATTTAAAAATCAAAAAGTATTTAATAACTAAACAAATTGATAAGTAATACAGTTACAAAGTGAAATACAATGCGAACAGTGAATATTTCGCGGAATAGAGAATTCTCTGAGCAAGTCTAGTGACTTATCAAAGCGGCTGCAGGAGAATTCTTAATGTGTACAGTGTTTATATGATTTACATGACAAAATTATATAAATTGTGTTTGATTCATATTGCATTCACTTCATCTAACATGCTAATGTAATAATACAGGGCTGTAGTGGAGGGTAAACGCAGTAAACGCCGTTTACGCACCTCTAGAATTTTGGAAATAGCGTTTACGCAGCTATAAATAGCGTTTACGCACCTCTAAGTGGCGTTTACGCACCTCAAAGTTCCCTGCGCCTTCTTTTCTTCCGTTGGAATAATCCGAAATAAACTTGGTGTAATTTTAAAACAGCTAAGACTACGTTTCCTATTGTTGAACATATAAATGCCGTAGTCTGAATCATGTTCATCTGCGCTGTATTACGGTCTGTGAGCATCCAATCAGTGCCTTGCGCTTCCACAGGCGCCCACTCAGTTCCCAGGAGGTGGGTAACCACTTTTTGTGAGTAAACCCCAGTGGTCCCCAACTTTTTTTTTCTCGCGGGCCGGTTTTCTTTCGAGCCAATTTTTCCCGTTCAAAAAGTTCCACCGGGGGGGGGGTGGGGGGTAGTAGTAGTCGTTGCGGGCGGAACGACCGGCGGGGGGGGGGGGTGTAGAAGTCGCGCGCTCTGTGTTCGCTGGTCGTGCACGGTAAAAGGACAAGAAAAACGCCTGGTGACGCGTAGATTAGAAAACAAGTCAGTTCTCAACGTGAAAACAAAACATGCTGTAGGCTATTTATGATGACGTAGGTAGTACATGAGTGTTCCTTTAACTTATGTTGTCAGTGTGATTGACAGGCTGCTTAACTGGTTAACTCTTAAATCAACATATTTTTTCAGGCAGTGATAGGACAGGCAATGATGCAGAGAGCACAGGGAGAGGAGAAACACCAGGTCGAATAGAGAGAGAAGCACAGAGGAGCCATGAACCCCAGAACGCATGTTCTGGGGTTCATGGCTCCTCTGTGCAAGGCAGGACCTGACGTGGAGGACAAGGAGGCCCTCTGGGCACTACTGTGAAAAGGAGACTCCGTATGTAGATAGTTCTTAATCTGCAATTGTCTTGTTGTGTTGTGTTGACATACTTTTCTTTACTGTTTTCTTAAATTGAATAAACTACAAACTACTAACACATGTATTCATTGTCATTGATTGTATATGACTTTTACTGATAACATAATGCAATATAGGCAGGACAGCCTTACAGAGTCGCGACGCTTTGTGTTGCGTTGCTTCGCATCTCGTCGAGGTCTGTATGATCACAAAATTCAGAGTTTACCCACCTCTAATTTTACCACTACAGCACTGCTAATATAGAATAACACACAAACTACAATTCTAACACTAAACATTATTACACGTATTATAATTTCCACCACTAGGAGTGCACTACTTGCTTAAATCCCTAACAAAACCAATTTAATCGTGTGGAAATCCTTTCCATGATATTTTTAAATAAAGCCAACGAGTCATTTTTTTCAGTGCAGCAACGTGCACATGTGTGTTTACAACATAACTCCTGGGGGGACCTTTTAGCACATAGACCAAAAAAATAGACTCTGCTGTTGTTTGTTCCTTGTTTTTATTGTTTCCAACATGAATACTCAATGCAAACTGATGACTAAATCCTACGTACACAGCTGACATTGCAGATATTATTGTGTTCAAAATGAATAAATGCCGAACGGACAAAGGACATCGCGGATCAAAAGGTTAAAATCAAAAGTATTTAATAAAAGAGATGGTGTTGTGTTAAAACGAACATCTCAGCTGAGGAGCCGCTGGTCTCTGTAATCAACAGGCCACAGGGCTCATTGACCCCCCATAGTGCCCGTCTGTCACCTCCTCCAGCGAACTCCAGAACAATGGTTGGCTACAGGTATTTATACCGATCCAAAAAGGTGTGAAAGTTAGTGTCCACTCCTCTGGGAGTGGTCTTCTGGTGAGTTCAATGTAAATCTGATTTCGAATGACCCTTAGTCAATATCAGTTGTGGTCCTATCAAGTATTACATGCATGCATTTCAGTTGATTACATTGCATTAAATACAATCATAGCTGTGCATTGGTATTATTCTATTCATTACAGTTTCAAAATTAGTGTTTTACAAAATTGTCATTACAGTTTTGATTACACAGCTCCAGAATCATGGCTGTATTCTGGTGTACACTAGATGCATTGTATTTATTTATGAACCAGGTCATCAGTTTATTTCTAATATCCTACAATATGGACACTGAGATATCCAGCTACTGAACTGCAGACACACAACACTCACTACGAAGGACCAGACTACAGAGACGTTGCTGTGGCTTGGGGAGACAATGCAAGCCGGATGCGGGGAGGTTACACTGGACACTTTGCAAGCGCGTGTTAGCATGACGGAGTGTAGGTGGAGTTTAACGGGTTCTTGTGGTCCTTCTGTCCTGGCGGAGGTCCCGCGGCTTTATTCCCGGACGTAAATCCTTGTGCACAGGACGTCGTCTGCCCCGAAGGTCTAGAGGGGGAAATAAAGGATAATTGTGTTTCAGACGCTTGAAGTGGGAACGGTTGCAGAAAATGTTGAATTAGCTGTACATTTTAAAGCTGTTTTGCTGTATACAACAAACACGTGTGGCAGGAAGCCTCCGAGGCCTCGATGGTTTCACTGAAGAAGTCTTCGGATAGTTAAAGCCACTGATCCGACTACTTTACCCAGCGATTGGCCGTGTGTGGCGAGGGATGAAAGGGCAGAATTTGTTTCCCCCCTTTTCTGATTATGAATGAGTAGAGATCCATTTGTAGTATCATCAGGTGAAGACTGCAAAGAGAGAGCTTAGTGACGCAGTGTGTGTGTGTGTCCATGTGCTCGTTTTCTAGCGCCTGAACCTTTTGAGTCTCGGCTCTTGTTGGTTTCCCTCCTTCAAAGACCTCTTTGAATTCACTCCTAAAATGCACAAACACAAGTTGTTCTGAGACTTTTGGTTCTATTTGACCTTGTTATTTGCATAATGTCAAGGAAATCCTATTAACCAATGATGTGTGACACAACATCACGGTCAAAAGAGTAATGTAGGTCATCCTTAAGAATTGATGGGACCAAAAGAAACTTCTTCATGACGGATTCAAGTGTCTCCTTGAATCCACAAGCTTGAAGTCATTGAGTCCAACCCACTGACGTGCCGTCGTCTTTATCCGTTTTATTTCAGGCTGATGTAGCTGGAGAGAATCGACAGGCCTTTCCCCTTAAAATGTTTTCAGACTGAACCAATTAAACGGATCATGCAAATCGTATGGAAATGTGCCCCACTTACAGCGTGAACTGGCACAGACCATCAGACCGTCGCTTTATGATCCTTTGATCCATACGAGTCCTCCTGTGAGTTTGTGTCTCTGTGTCCGGAGGCTTTTTTTGGATACAGATAGATATGATTCAGTTTGCTTTGGCTTTTCCCGGATGCTCGTCTTAAAAGAAAAAAGGTTGTTTGGGTGCAAAGATGATTCATCTCTCTTTTCCGAAAGAGGCATTTTCTTTTTGTGGATAATTTGTATGCATTAATGCTATATTTAAAGAAAGCACTCAGGTGCAGGTTTCCCTACAAAACCTAACTAAATGTAAAAAGGTGTACCTCCACTCTGGTATAATCATGATTTAACACAGAAAGTGTGTATGAAATATAACATAAGGTCGGAAGGGAAATGAAACGGAACGTATTTGTGAACATTTAACTGGATTGATGCTGCTTAACATAATCCAGGCAGCGATTATATATCTTTGCCACGCAAATCTAATTGGGAAAGATATAAAAGAGTCATTTTAGGAGACAGGACTTTTCTCCTTCACTTCCCTAAGTGTCCGTTTCTTTCTGCAGTTGTTTGATGTTACCTGTTAATTTAAATGCTTTTCCTATTAACAGTGATCATAAATGTCCGGATGGAGACTCCACCCTCTGCACTGTGAACATGGTTCATCTGCAGGTTGAATGATGGTGTGGCGACAGGGAGCACCGAGGTGAGAAGAGAAGAGCAGAGAAACACAGACGCTGTCACAACTCGGCCGGATCAATCCTGCTTAGTGCTCCTCCGGGGCCAAAGTGTCACCAGAGAGGCTGTAACACGGTCTGCTTTCAGAACCTCAAATTCCCTTTTAAAACTTTCTTTCCTGTAAAACAAAAATATGTATTGTGCTTAGTTGAGCTGTTGGCAACCAACTACAGCTAATAATATCATGACGCAGATCAATTAATCAATCTGCAACATGGAAGGCCCGGCGTGGCTAAACTCTAGGCCCGCCCACCTGTCAGCAGCCCAATCAAATGCAGAGGATGTCATTTGAATCCCTCTTGTAAATGTACACGCTGCTTCTCGCCGACACTAAAGCCGATCAAACACCCTGCGATTACTTTTTGGGCATCTGAACTTGTAGAAAGCCGTTGAGTCTTTGAGAACCGACCGTCCGCTCCATTAGGTCTTGGACGGCTCCCCTGCACGCCGCTGGAGGGGCTTTAGACGCTTTGACTTCTGCCCATTTTAATCTGGCTAAAAACGAGGGGGGGTATTACTGCGACGTCAGCGTAGCGGCTCCTCTTGTTCTCCTTTCAACATCTCTCCGCGGGGAGGATGAAAGCCGGGCTCCTTGGGAAATGGATTCTCTCTCATTTCCTTTACGGATGAATCTCCAGGGGAAACTTCATGCCCCCCCCGCACCCCTCCACCCCTCCCGCCTGGATTCATTAACTATTACTCAAACAGAGTACACTAGCTGCTCGAAAATCCCATCCCCATGCATGCACCTGCTGCCTCTCGAGTCTCCATGAGAACCAGCGACCTAACAGACGACCCATACAGATTAGCTGTCCGTCAACTCTCTGTTTACTGAGGTGGACTTTTTGTCTTTGTTTCAACTGCACAGAGTTTGTCTTTGCACAGAAGGACTTGTTCGAGATGACGAGTCACGGCCGGTGAGCTCACCAGTATGAGCTCATCGCCGTTGAGCTCTCGGGTCCAAAAGTTTTGGGGGCCGTCTCCGTCCACCAGAGTCTGCTTCCAGTGCTTCTTGTTCTCTGAGATCCAGGTGGCGAGGCTCTGGAATGGGGGGGGGGGGGGGGGGGAGACAAGGTGGGAAGGTCAGTGTGATGCTACTGCAGGGGAGAAGTTAAAAGGAGGCTACAATCAACATATGAGGTGTCCATCTGTGTTTATATCACTCCCAAATTTACCAAAACATTGTTTAATGGATATTTTACAATGATATTACCCAATTACAGTCTGTAATGCAAAGATTAGTTTTGTTGGCCATGCGACTCTGATCATATTTTCCCACACTGCTGATATTGTTTTTTTCCTCTCACAAGCTAATGATCCCGTTCCAAAAGCCCAGAACTGATAAAAACCAAACTGAACTAGTAAACTTTGTACTAATGAGATCCCATCATGTTTTTCAAGCATGTTCTCGCATGTTTGCAGCGTTGCCCGTGTACTTTGTAATTTGTTGGCAATTTGTACAATTTTTGTATGTGCCGGAGCCCCCCTGCTCAGTGCTGGACGGATCGGTGGCCTTTTGTTTCTCAGAGGCAAATGTTAATCACCATCTCAAAGGTAAAGGAGAGTCATGGTGGATCCCCGCGGGCGTCCGTCCACATGGCTTTGCCAAGTTGAACACCAGCGGGGCTTTTCCACGGCTCTCTCTCTCTGTTTTCTTTCTCCCAATGCAGCCAGAACCCAGCGAGTCGATTGGCCACGGCTGTTGTCTGCGTCTCAGCATCCGTCTCAGCCTCTGACTGGGATGGATTTTCTCCCATTCTCCCTGTTGCACATTAAGTCGCAGACAAATTCTCCCACATCGTCTTTCTCTTCCAAATAACACAGCAGAGCTTCTGCACACACATTTCAGGCCGAGACAAATGCACTCTGCCTCTTCTTTGTTTTCTTTAGCATTTCACTTATCAGAGCATCTGCTGCCTTTGGCTTTGGTTCAGTCTCTCACAGATTTTCCATGGCTTATCAGACACAAACAGCGTGTCTAAAAGGAAGAGAACGTCTCATTTCCTGCTTGGCCAAAAGTTTTTATGTTTGATTTTAACATCAATAACACACCTCATGGACTCACATCTGTTATAACAGATCAGGGCTCTCACGTCGGTGTTTTTTCATCACCTGTTTCCACTCTGTAGCCTCACGTTTGGGACAAGTACTTTTGAAGTTGTAGGTATTTAACTATTAGGCCACACCCCTTAGAAACTTCATTGGTCCATAACTTTTAAATAATGAGCCAATAGTGATTTCCTGGAAATGTCGTGAGAATCGGACACAGTGCCTAGTTTGCAAAATGTTTGCAAAAATCTAGTTAGGTGCATTTGCATACCATGAATGACTTTTTTGTAGAACATGTCCAAGAGCCGCGATGGAGGCAAAGCAGCGAGTATGGGAATTAACTAAGGAACTAAGGAAGTAACTATGGAGAAGGACTTTCGGTCGGCACCAAAGTGCTTCTAGGAAGACCATCCGGCACCTCAGGAGGGGGAAACGGGGAACCATCCAAGCTGTGTACAGTAAGGATGGGACCCTGTTGACCGCGACTGAGGAGGTCATCGGGCGGTGGAAGGAACACTCTGCTTTTTGCAGATGATGTGGTCCTGATGGCATCTTCCGTCTGTGACCTCCAACTCTCACTGGAGCGTTTCGCAGTCGAGTGTGAAGCGGTCAGGATGAGGATTAGCACCTCTAAATCTGAGGCCATGGTTCTCAGCAGGAAACCGATGGATTGCCTACTCCAGGTAGGGAATGTGTCCTTACCCCAAGTGAAGGAGTTCAAGTACGTCGGGGTCTTGTTCACGAGTGAGGGGAAGATGGAGTGTGAGTTTGGGTGGACAATCGGAGCAGCGGGGGCGGTGTTGCACCCGCTTTACCGCACCGTTGTGACGAAAAGAGAGCTGAGCCGGAAGGCAAAGCTCTCGATCTACCGGTCAATCTTCGTTCCTACCCTCACCTATGGTCATGAAGGATGGGTCATGACCGAAAGAACTAGGTCACAGGTACAAGCGGCTGAAATGGGTTTCCTCAGGAGAGTGGCTGGCGTCTCCCTTAGGGATAGGGTGAGAAGCTCAGCCATTCGCGAGGTAGAGCCGCTGCTCCTTTGCGTCGAAAGGAGCCAGTTGAGGTGGTTTGGGCATCTGGTGAGGATGCCCCCTGGGCGCCTCCCTAGGGAGGTGTTCCAGGCACGGCCAGCTGGGAAGAGGCCCCGGGGAAGACCCAGGACTAGGTGGAGAGATTATATCTCTGCACTGGCCTGGGAACGCCTTGGGATCCCCCAGTCAGAGCTGGTAGACGTGGCCCGAAAGGGAAGTTTGGGGTCCCCGGATAAGCGGTTGAAAATGGATGGATGGATGGATGGATGGATGTCCAAGAGCACTTGTGTGTCAATCGGTGAAACTGGGTAACTAGGGGGCGCTAGAGAGCCATTTTTTCATAACCCTAAAATATCAAAAATGTTCGCACTTCTGATGTGCACGGCAAAAAAAGTTTTGGAATATGATAAAGGCCTCAAAAGTGCAAAGTGGCGAAGGAATAATAAGAAATCTTATCGGCTCTCAGTCGTCTCAGGCCCTAATTATTGCAGCCTGTGCACCGATCATCTTAGTGTCCGTGTCTGTAGATTCAATCTGCATTAGTTGTTGTGAGTTTGAGTACAAACAATGAATGGGAAAATGCTCTTTAATACGTTATCATTATCACATTATTTATTTTAAACACAACCTTTAGAAACTATATTTCCCCACATTCACAGGTGCATCTCAACCCAGATGATAACTTTAAATGTGTTGATGTCACAGACTTGTGCCTGAGGACCAGACTTAATGAGCAGGAATCTTTCAGCCTCCAGCGTAGATTTTACAAATGGGTCTGCAAATCCAGAACCTAATATGAGTTTAACAGCATCACCCTCAAGTAATCGGTCTTCCCACTCTGCTCTCTTCCAAAACATTTTTCATTTTCCTGTCATTCGCCCGCAGGTCTGTTCCTGCCTCTCTGTGCTAAATGTAACTCTGTCAAAAGCAGAGAAATCACTTGAGTCCCAGCCGCCCCGTCCTGGAAATACAAACCCATTTTAATACATTTACTCCAAACCTCTCCAAGGCCGCAGCTCACATATTGCCTTCCCCGTTACATTATAGGATTACGTGTCAGGGGTAGAATGCCCATCACTTGGAAATGAATATGGCATCTTATCGTTTCCCTTTGTGTGATCAAACTATTGAGCGGATGCTACATCTATTTCTTGAATATATTTTGTTTTTAAAGACAGGCTTTGTTTCTGATCCTTAACATCTACACTCCCCATTTTAGCTCCATGGCTTGAGACTTGTGTCTCCATAGCAACCAGCTGCACCGGAGTGACTCGGCTCGTCCAGCGATGAGAAATGAAGCTTACGAGTTCATAGACGTTGCTGCACCACAGATGCTGTGCTGCTCAACCTCCTGCAGCAAAAGCAGCAAAAGCTCAAGTTTCTCTGCTACCTAAACACGTCCATCCATCAGAGCAGGAGGACGACGCCTCAGAACGCCCGTCCAGAGTCTGTTTCTCTGCTGTCTCTGAGACTGACGGGTCTCTAATCACTGTCTCCTGCTGAAAGTGAGAGGAGGCCTCAGATCAGCGTGGGATCCCTTTAACCACTTTGGGTTTTCGCTCCACCTGAGAGTCACACTGTGTCGTTGGGCGCCGCCTCCTGCCGGTTAAGCATCACTCGTGCGTATGATCGCCACACAAGAAACAGCTTTCTGATAATGATTTTCATTCAAAAAATTCAGTCAGTTCACCCAAGGAAGTGTTTTCTATTGAATCTGTCATCCAGCTTTCATCAAACTATTCAGCTTTCCTTGAGAATAACTTGTAGCCTGTTGGTGTGTTTCTTTTCGTGTGAGAGCATAAAAGTCGTTGCCGGAGAGGGACTTTTATTTATTTAGGATTTTTTTTTTTTTAAGTGCGGAAGGACAGTTATTTGTTCGTTTAGAAATAGGTTACAGGTGTTATATGGACTGCACTGTCTAAACTAATACACACTCTGCATGCAACAAACGGGCCACACTGCAAATGATTATTACTGAATGTTGTAAAATATCAAACAGAGAACTTTAACTCCAGTGTTCTGCAGAGACGAAAAACATGTCACTGTCTTCACACCTTTCTGGTGCTCAAACCCAAACAACTAGATGTGGCAAGTGTGCGACTTGAGGTGTCATGTGGCGAAAGGCCGCACTGAGAGCGGTCCAGCCCCGCCACCACTACCCAGCATGCCTCAGGGCACAGACAGAAGAAGCCAGACTGTCTCCCTGAAATCAGAAATAGGTCATGTGTGCTCTCCTCCACTGCAACGCGCCGTTACTATGAAAATAAAAAGTATTTTTCAGACTAACGGTTCATTTCTGTTCTTCAAACATTGTTAGATGCAACGTTGCATGTCATTGTGGCTGAAAGTGACTCTCGTCTCTAAATTCTTGAACTTAGGATCATAGTCGATGTCTCAGTTTGTAAGTAAATCAGTTTGTGCATACAACATTTATGTAAGTGCTTGAATATTTTAAAAATCCTATTTCTTGTTACTTGCTGTTACGTGCTCACGATTTGCTGATTCTGTGTTCTAGCAGAATTTGTAATGAGTCATAAGGATTTTAAAAACCCTTGATGTTCCTGAAAAAAAAAGGAAATAAAAAAGAATACATTTCCGTGCCTACTTTCCAAACCTGTCCGATCTCTGACTGTCTGCCAGGATGAGAGAAATCCCCCCCGGGGCCCGAAGAGGTTCAGAGAGAAACCCAATCCCCCCCCCAACTCAAGCTGCTTTAATCCAGCTGCACGGACGTGAGGATGTTACCAATGCAACACCCTGCAAGGAGGTTTTCACTGTTCATCCGCGTGGCGGCTTTAAGACCTTTAATAAATGCAAACACAGAGAATACCGAAGGATGGGAAGGTTTAGCTCTAGTTTGCTGATTAAAGCGATGTTTGTTAATACAGGAACAGATTTAATGGAATTACTGCAAAACGTCATCCAAATGTTGCGATGAAATAAATGTCTCAATCTTGAATCTTTTTACCAGATGGGAGTTGAAGGTGGGAACAGATATTACAGACAAACGCTTCTAACTAACTAATAACTAACCCTTGTTGTTTATATCCAGGAGCTGGATATAAAGTAAGCAAAGTACTTTATGCCATCAGTTTGTCTCCAATTCCACCCAAGATGCATTGCAAATAAATACTTCCTCAATACTACCTTGCACTTTCGCCCGTCCACGGTCTCCTCGTCGTACTCTTCCCCGATGTGGAAGTTGATCTCGGTGGTGCGCACGGTGGTGGACGTCTTGATGTAGAACTTGTCGCCGTCCTGGCGGATTTCCACGTGGGGGTTGGAGGCCGCCGCCACCGCCACTTTCCTCAGCATGGTGTTGACTCCTGACCGGGATCGACCCGAGCCCCAACAAAGACACGCAGAGAACACGCGTCAGAGTCGAAAACCGCCACAACATTCATAAAGTGGTTGATGCGCTGTTACGGGGACCGTGTGGTCTCGTGTCCAGTGGACGCGACCACCAAGGGAGTGACTACTGGCTGCAGACGGGGGTCGATGCCAGTCATTGATTGCTTAATACACAAGAACATCATCTTTAATAATCAGATTCCGTCATAGAAGAAAAGAGGGAAATAGGCCGAACGTTGTTATCTGTCAGGTACTTAAAAGATGAGACATGCATGTGTATATTTGTGTCTGAAATGTAAGGCAGAAACAGAGGAAATAGAGCGAGGAGGCTTTTGTTCTGTTGGTAATCCATTTCTTGTGTTCTGTCGTCTTTCTATTGGAGCCCCTCGACCCCCCAAACCGATTTAGACTCTCCGGGTCCTCATGCCAGCTTCCATCAGACTCCAGACCTTAAATGTAGGAGGCTGCCTGCACGTCTCCTTGTATCTCTCTGCATGGTGAAGAGGAACAATCTCCGAGCTTAAATTGTAACCAAGCATGACAAGAAAGGCAAACTACAACAGCACAATGAATGATTTGGGCTCTGGCAGAAACCTTAAATATTTCCAAAATAAATCTGTGAGAGCGCTGGTCCTGCTTGTGGCACCGGCCGGGCTTTTATTGGCTAAACCTTCACTCTGCGAGGCCTGCAGAACGTACTCGTTTGACCGCTCTCACTCGACCCCACCCATGATCTGAGGGATCCCGCCATGTTTTTCAGATTTGTGTGAGCATCAGTGAGCCGAGACGTCAATGCCTGTTTTGAACGATCGACGTATCAAAATGTACTTTGCATGTATCGTATGATGAACAGAAAATTGGCAAACGAGTATTACAAGAAGCCTAAAGTAAGGAGTACGCTGTTACAGAGGAAGTAAAGAGAATTTCCACATTCAGAACTAAAAATCCACACTTGAGTAAAATTGTGCGTAAAGCCTGCACTATTCTCACACTGCACACATGCCGGCTCTCAATTAGCAAACTGTGAGTCTGATCAACTCGTACAGCTCTGTTCACTCTGCTATGCACAACGATCCCCTCCTCCTGCAGGGAATCCTCACAGTCGACGCATCATTATAAGGATGTTGATGGAAAGCGGCGGCCCTGCAGCCCTGGAATCGCCGCTCCCCGCTGACAGGGACCGTGTGTGAGAGAACAGCTGGACGCTGTGGTCTTCAGACAAAGTAACTCCAATAGGAATCATTTGTGCATTTACTTGGGACTATTTTCAGTTGAGGATTAATACACATTTTGTATTTGGGGCAGCAGTGTTTATGGGGACTGTTAATTGTTTCAGCTTTACTGTTCCCTTTTCAAATGAACTTTCCCAGATTGTGCCAAAACGAGCCGTCCGTGACTCAAAAGTTGTGTGTGAGTTGTCGAAGCAGCTCCTTGCGCACACAGCGAGCACTTCTCCCTCCAGATTACTACATTATTGTAAAGACGCGGCCTTTGATGTGTCCGGTCTGTTTTAGCATGACGAAGCGCCGCGACACATCTGAGTGACCCAGTTACACTGGTTCCAGATCTGAAGCATCACAATCATCGGTTAAGACTAAGGAGGGTGAAAAAGAATGAGAAAAGAGAAAAGCACTGGGCTCCAGAGACCCCCCCTGGCATGGCTAATGCATGCCCTACTTAAACGCTTAACATGAATAATGTTGTGCCCCCCCCCCCCTCTTCTCTTCATGTAACAATACCACGTCTGTTTGCATCCCGTGTTTGATATCTCCTGGAAAAGCCGAGGGATTTTCCTTCTGCAGCATCTCGTCTGCCTCCTTTTCCCAGGCAGCTTCTCCGAAACAAGACGAGGTTGTGGGAAGCCGGGCAGCAGCAGGCCGTCCAAGAACAAGAGAAGCCTTTTTTTATATGGATGTGATGGATAGTCGACCTCATGCGGGGATGGAGCCCTGGCTATGGATAAGGGGGGGGAAATAGACTGGAGAGCGCTTACCCAAAGCTTTGAGAAGTTCATCGAAATTCTCACTCTTCTTCATCTTCCAGGTGCCGGCGAAGTTAGGCATGTCTGCTTGGAGGTTGAGTCCGGAAGGCTGGCGAAAGGACCTCTGGTGCTTCCCTCTTTCCTCTGTCCTCTGTCTCTCTCTGACTCTTTCTCACCCTCCTTTTTCCTTCTCTGTGCTCTGCCTCCCGTAGTGTTTCTTTTCTTTGTTGAGTTGGCTCCTCGCGCTCCTGTTGGGTCCGTGTGCTCCGGTGTGCCGGCTGCAATCTCGTCTTTAGCTGCTTTATAGCGACTGTCTTCAGTGGGAGACGGCTGAGGTCCCTCCCACTGGAAGCTCTGTCCCGTTAACACGAGGGAGCAGGACTGACGTGTCTGCGGCCTCTGGGGATCAAAACGACTAAATGTGTTCTTTGAGATGATATTTATAGTGTTTTACTTTGCCAACAACTTGATTAAGAATTAATTGGCTTTCAAAGATGCAGACGTATCGTCTGTGAGATAATGCAAGAAACTTTTGGAAAAGAAAAAGAAGGAGCTATATTTTTTAAATCAAACCATTATGTTCTGAATGAGTAGTTCAGCGAATAAAGTTTATGATAATTATAATTCAAAATAATAAGATTTATGAGTACCTCCCTCAAGCTGTGATTTGGAGCTTTTATGCTTATAAATACATATATTTTTTGTGTTTTGAGTGTTTCTGTCAGTTTGTTGAATAACAGAAATAATGGCCGGATATTTAAACATTTAGTAAATTAGTTTTTCCCCAAATAGTTTCACTTTTTTTGAATTTACAATTTTTCCATTGCGCCAAGACAAGATCCCATAATCAGGCTGGACTGATCATTTAAAAGCCAAAGGAATTAAACTGAGGATTACATAAGGAGCTAGAATTTTCAAAGCTCTCCTGCAGTTATATTTCATTCTTGTGTCAAGCTGCTTAAAGAACAGCGCAGAGACAAAGAGGCACTTTTATACATCCAGAGAATATAAGAAATATGTGACGTATCCAAAAGTTTATTTGTGCATAACATTTCTTTATTTCAATATTAGTATAAATATATCCATTCATACATACATGTTTTGAATAAAAAGAAATACGCCTTTTAGGTTCTGTTTATGTCTTCATGTAAAAATAGACTGAACATGATAGATAAATGATTATTAGAACCTATATTGTTTTCATATCAATGAACTTTATTTTTGGGATTGACATGGGATTGACATTGTTCATGTAATTGCTTTTGGAACGTTAATTTTTCTTACAAAAAGTGCATTAACAAATGTGGATATCACAGAATTTGGAGTACATCAAAATTTAGAAAAACATTTTCCTCTTCCAAGTCTTTTCATCTTCAGTCTTCCCCACAGTATGTCTACATTTATTTATTTATATATTGCAGTTTTCAGTTCATTCAAGATATATCTTTTCTTATTTTCGATAGAAGTGATGGGTAAAAACCGCCAACATGTTTTATGTATTTAGGGTTTATTTGGGGTTTTAGCATCTTGTGTCTTTACTGGTATTTCAGACTGAGATGCTGAGTTTTTAGAGTAGAGGTTTTCAGACTCAAAGGGTTTGTAACACAAACACCGCTCTAAATAGGACGTCTCTCATCTTCTTCACTCAAGCTGTCAGGACTGCTGTCCTTTTCTACAACACAGCTGCTCATTTCAGCGCTACCTCACGAGTTATTTAAAACACACCTCTGTATTTGTTTTTCTCAACCTGGAATAAAATACTTCGCTTGAAAGTTTATCTTTCTGTTGAGTGTGTGGCACTAAGACTGCTGCTGCAACAACTGTCAAAATATTGGACCATTTGTCTCCCTATTCATCTGGCTGAGGTTGCCTTCTCCTCTGCACAATAGAGGTTTTAATGTAAAAGAGACAGGCAGGGAGCTCATTTAAAGTCAAATATGAATTGTAAGTCACCGCCAAAATGAGTTTTTTAAATCACCTCCGTACACACAAGCTTCACATTTGTGTAAAAGTATACACAATACCAGTGATTCTTTATGACTAAGTTTAAATTAGGAAAGCAATAAAACACTTAATTAAATTGGGGATATTTAAGGTTCATCCACACAATAATAATTCCAGTTGTCTGTCCCACTGTTGTCTCAAGCACAAATTTCATAAATAGCTATATCATAATGACTGTTTTATTCACTCAAAAACCTAATGTATATTTTGATGTTTCAATTTTTAAATACTTAATACATATTATCCAACCCCAGTAATAGCTTTTACCTCCACAGCACCGCCGGTGGTGCTAACGCGATTTAGACGTTGTTTACCAATTGCATTCCTATGAACGAAGAAGAAAAGAAGCGGAAGTGACGTAGAATGTTGTCATGGCGTCTCACATGTAAATGGCCGAGTTTTAAGAAATTGAATACAACATATTATTAGGAGATTTGAAGGTACGTGAGCGCATTTTATAACCGTATCGTCAATAGATGTAATCTAGTAAACTTAGTCATCACGCGATATCTGGTAACTGTGTTTATAGAACAAACTTCACTTTGTTGTATTGGTAACCGCCAATGATTACCGCTGCTAGCCACAGCTAGCTCCCGTTAGCCGTTGTCATTTCTCAGCTTTTTATTCTGCAAATACACAAATTATTTTACTATTAACCTTAAATTGTATTTATTAACTTGTCTGTTTTCCCATTAACTCTTGTAGTTCTACACATTTAGGCTAAGTTTCTTGGTGCTAATTTTAGCTGGTAACAACTAAGTTTTTCTTTTTTAAATAATATTTCCTCTTTTGTCAAAGTTAAATCACTCTGCTCTTGTTTTCAGGTTAAAGTGACATAATCTTACTGAATCTGACTTCCAACACCACGAAAATGAGCACTCAAGTAAGCAACCCGTTTTAATATTCTCACATTTACATGTAACCTTTTGTTCTCTCTATTTGTTTTGGATTGAAACAACTCAAATACTTACGAGACATGTGTTTTGATTTCAGTACAGCATTCTCTTCAAGCAGGAACACGGTGAGTAGCTGCCTGGATCAACAGAGCTCACTGCAGAACTGTCAAAACTGGATTACTTGAATACATCAACAGTAGTTTCCCATAGACCAGGGTTGGGCAAACTACGGCCCGCGGGCCGGACCCGTCCCGTTAGGCGTTTTGATCCGGGCCGCCGAGTATTATGAATTATAAATTAAGAGTAACGACCGCTGTAACAATTCTCCGTTTCCGACTTGAGTTAAGAAACATCTTATTAATGAGAGAGGACTTCATGAATTACAGCACGGCATTGTGCTGTGAGCAGTTTCTAGCATTAAAAAAAAGATCCAAAAAGGGGGATAACTTTACGCGTGTATGCACAGGAGATTCAGTGCAGCGGATGTCAAGTAAAACTTGACACTTGAGGTATACACAATGAAAGTAGTGCAAATACTGGCCAGTTATGGTTAGATGATTGAAAGATGTTCAAGGGTGCGTGAGTTCAGTTTGAGGTGTCTACCGGTATTTAAGAGATAGAAGGTGGCACACCACTGCAGTTAACTCCTTTTTGAGTAATGTAACCAACCGAAGTGTTATAATCCTTTTTTTTTTTTTTAACATCTTCAGTAACTAACTGGCTTGAAGCTGAGAACAACAGGCAGGCCGGGAAAGTCAAATAGTATTTAGAGACATGCTAACAAAGCAGTGGGTCTGGTGTTTCCATCAACAGTAATAACTTGCTTGTTTCAGGTATCAAATATCACCAACTATCTTCACAGTTTAACCTGTTTGTTTCCGCTCAGCACATGATGACGCTATCTGGACAGCAGCGTGGGGTAAAAGTGAGTCGGACGGGTCAGAAACAATCATTACCGGCTCACTAGATGATATGGTGAAAGTCTGGAAATGGTGAGCGACTTTTTGCACAATATTGTATTTGTATTATTTTGTAGCACTGGATTTATCCAACATCTAGATTATTCTTTCAACACTCACCAGAGTCTTTTTATAAAACACCTTTTCACATTATCGCAGAGTTGCTGTTGAATTGTAGGGGTCGTCGTGGCGCAGAGGTAGAGAGGGTGCACCGGCAACCGCAAGGGTTGGTGGTTGGAGCCCCGGCTGCCCCATGTCAAAGTGTCCCTGAGCAAGACACCTAACCCCTAATTGCTCCCCGGGCAAAAATTTAAAAAGCCATGGGTTAAAAATGCAATGTAAGTCTTTGGATATAAGCGTCAGCTAAATTACCTGTAATGTAGACATTTATTCTTTTTTTCTGAGCACTTTTAAGAACTTGTTTTCCGTGTCTAATTAAAAAGTCTAGATGTCTTTATTTGACTCAACATCAAATAACCGAATAATCCCCCTATGTTTCTGCAGGTCGGACGAGAAGCTGGAGCTGCAGTGGACTCTGGAGGGCCACCAGCTGGGCGTCGTGTCAGTGGACATCAGCCACAACGGAGCGATCGCCGCCTCCAGCTCTCTCGACGCTCACATTCGTGTCTGGGACCTGGATTCTGGAAAACAGATCAAGTCCATGGACGCCGGACCAGGTAGGACTGGTCCTCAGGGGACATGTGACATTTGGGGAAATTAGTTACGAGCAATTTGTACACACAATTACAGTTATACACCAACAAAGAAATACACTAAGGAGCTCAAATAGAAAATGCTCTCTGCTTCCCAACAGGTTTTGTTAGTTGCAGAAATAATCTTTGAACAGATCCAGGCCAAAAATAATTTTCTTAATAGACAAAGTCAGATGCCTGTAAGCAAACTCATTTTGATTCACATTGCACAAGGTAAGGCAGCTGATCTTACCTTGTGCAATGTGGTTCTGCACCGTGTTGAGTCTTTATTTAGCTTCCATACTGTCTTAACACGCGGCAGTAGAAGAAGGTCAATTCATCCCAGATTGGGGGATGACGGCTTGTATTATTTCCTACTCTCAGCCACACACCCACAAATGTCCCTTGTTGTGGTTCTTCTTGAACCAGGCTGTACTTCATCGTACGTCTTGCCACCTCCCATCAGTGACACTCCCTCAGTGGTTGGTTTTGGTCAATACACAGTAGGAAGACTTATCAAAAACACATTTTAACTAAAAGATACATGAATTCTGTTGTGTTTGCTGCTGACAACATAGTTGGAATAGACGTGTGTTCAACCGTCCCCCTCTTTCTCTCTGCTCTCATTTCTAGTTGACGCTTGGTCGGTCGCCTTCTCCCCAGACTCCAAACACATTGCCACAGGAAGCCACCACGGCAAGGTCAACATCTTCGGGGTGGAGAGCGGCAAGAAGGAATATTCTCTGGACACTCGAGGGAAATTCATCTTGAGCATAGCTTACGTAAGGAACCATAAATTGTCCTTCTGGCCGTCTGGGTTTTAAGGGCCGAGACCTCGCTGTCATGTCTTTACGGTTACTCAGCTTGATTAATGACTCTTCCCACTCACAAGGTTTCATCCTTCTATTAACCTGGTTGACCCTTTTTTATCCAGGACTTTAGAACGGGCAGCAGCTTATTTAATCCCACGTCTATATTTAGAAGTTGTTTTTATATTCGCTAACATTGGTTTTATTCTGTTTGGCATTTCAGAGCCCTGATGGAAAATATTTGGCCAGCGGAGCCATCGATGGAATCATCAACATCTTCGACATCGCCACCGGGAAGCTACTCCACACACTGGAAGGCAGGTTCAAATACTAGTTTTTATTGTATGTCATGTACGTAGTAAGTACAGGATGGTGCTACACTGTTTTCATTACTATTGTTACTGTCAATTATTTCCTCGTGGAGTAAACGTAAATTTGTTAAAGAGAAGCAGCAGCAAATACTGGAAAACGTTTTCCTTTACTGAATAAATGGATCCACCACATTTAAAGACCTCAGTGAGGAAGCTAAATAAGTGGGTGTCCCCTCTCCCTTTAGGTCACGCCATGCCCATCAGATCCCTCACTTTCTCCCCCGACTCGCAGCTCCTGGTCACAGCCTCCGACGACGGTTACATCAAAATATACGACGTGTGAGTGTTTGGATGCCGATGAGTTTGTAAAAATAGAACATACACACGTGCAGCGCGGGAGGTGAACGACTCCAGACATCCAGACATGCTCCAGACGCGAAGAACTACACACACAAAAATAAGCCGTGCTGAAGGAAAACTGTGATTTGTTTCAAGCGTTTGTTTTTTTACAGGCAACACGCCAACCTGGCCGCCACACTGAGTGGACACGGATCCTGGGTTCTGGGTGTGGCTTTCTCTCCAGATAACACCCACTTTGTCTCCAGGTAAAAACCTGAAACAATACATTTAACCACCAGAAGAGAATGTTGGTAGACACGAAACATTCGGAGCTCTGGAAAATACGCTTTGCTGTCGTCACCTCTCACGGGCAATATGAACAGAGCAGTGTGATCGCGCTTTCAACTGTTAAGAAGGCGTCTTCTCTGCTGTGCTTCCTTCAGCTCGTCCGACAAGAGTGTGAAGGTTTGGGACGCCGGCACCAGAGCCTGCGTCAACACTTTCTTCGACCATCAGGACCAGGTGACGAACAGAACCCTGTGTGTTTTTATACTCCGTTTCCCGGAGAGAAAACCCGTCCGCTGTAGGTGATGTGTTGGGAATCGATGAGGAGCGCCCCCCCCCCTCACACGACCCGTCTGAGGCCTCCGCTCGGACTGAACCAATAAACCACGCTGTCATTAGATCCCTGGTAGCAGACGCCAACAAAGCGTCTACATGAAACCTCACGGCTGCTCAGAAGAGATCAGAGGTTGACAGCTGTATTGTTTGTCTTTACGGCAGAAAATGTATGAAATCTTTGTGGACAATTAGCAGATAATTAATTGTTCAGCTTTCTGCCTCACCTAGTTGCGTGTGTATATGAAACAGCCTCCGTAACCTCTATTTTTAACTTTTATACCTGCGTGGTTTTGTCTTTATGCAGACAGACAGAATGAAATGTATAATTCTGTGAGTCAACAAAGAAAAAATATCAATGTAAATCTAAGAGCATCCGCTCAAAGTGTTGATTCTATCAAGCAAAGACATTTGATATCCTTCTTTTTTTCCCCTCAGAGCTCAAAGCATAGACCCTTTCACATGTCTCTCTAATCCCATTCTCGGCCTTTCTGTTCCGTTTTTTTCTTCAGGTGTGGAGCGTAAAGTACAACAGCAAAGGCTCAAAGATCATCTCTGCCGGAGACGACCGCGCCATCCACATCTACGACTGTCCCATGTGAAGGACGGCGGCATGTACAAAGGGCTGCTCTGAAAATCATGGTGTCAAAGTTTTTGGGTGGTTTCACACTGGTCCATTGCAGTCAAATGAAATGTTTTTTGTACTTTTGCTTTTATTTTATGTGCTGGACTTTGTCATTCAGTGGTTTCAATTAAATCGTTGAATGTTGAAATTCTTAAGGTTTCAGATCCAAATGTTGAGCCCTGAAAGAGACGCAAGGCAATAGAAGAGCATCAGAGGGATCCAGTATAACTACTTCGTCATTTGGAGACACTACTGATTTAGTCAAAGGCAGTGAAGGAATGAAAGTTAAGCACTTTCAGATGAAGCAGTGCTCCCTCCAGTGGCCAGACAGCCGTACTGCAGCCTCATTACTTGAGTTACAGTAGTTTTGAATTTTTTCAAAAAAGGTACACAAGTTAAGTCCAAAACAAACTGTACTTTGATTCATTTATTGCACACACTGCAATAAGTCAGTAAATACACATGTTTCACCACAAATACAGGTCCATTCACTTTTCAGAACTAATCACAAAGAGTCAACCCTCAGATGTTGTGTGGCAATAACAGTCATGTCTAAATATGACCATGTCAATGTACCTCACACGCTTTATGAGTTCAGTGTCTGCTGGAGCGATTGCTGCGGTCTTTACTCTTTAGTAAAGACCGCTTTAGTAATAGTTATTTCTACTTCACTTGGGCCTCAACTGAGGGAAGATTCTGAGCGGATGTTTCACACCTCTGCCAAAGGTGGCACGTGGCTCAGGGTAAAGACGGCATTCCCCAGACTTTGCACATTGAAAAGTCGTCGGACCGTCCTGGTCGCAGATTTTCTTTAAAAAAACCGAGCTGTTTTCTCTGGAGTAAGTATTTATGGAATCAAATAGCTGCATGAATTGATCAAACTTCAGCTGTGGGAAAAGGTCCTTGGGTTGATGCAGTCATTTCATATTGGTAAAATATACAGTGCATGTGACAATTTTAAAGGAAACGTGTTACTATTATTCAAGAAGCAGATTTTCAAATTTAGTATGCAAAATAATAGCAACTGTTTTCACTTCCATCTTTTAAAAGTGTTTAGCATAAAAAAGGCCAGGAGACACAAATCTGTCAAACGAAAGGAAACAAGATGAAAACACCAGCTTCTCCTCTGCGGCCACCACCCTCTCCTGACGCACCACAGGCGTGCAAAGGGTGTGTGTGGAAAGCAGCCGGGTCCTTAGGTCCTGCTCGCCACAGTGGAGGTGAAGCCCGGTACCAGGCGCTGCTGGTCCATCACCAGCGTCTGGACTCCACTAGATCCGCCCGCAGACTCAGTCTCTTCAGGGTCTCGTATCCCACCACGATGAGGACCGACGTGGGCAGGGAGGAAATGATGCGGGCGGACAAACCTTTGGTCATCGCCCAGACGCCCTCCTCGGCCAGCAGCTGCTTGAACGTCTCGCTGACGGACGAGCGTCCCTCCACCTGGGACGGGGACAACATTCAGGAATCATTGTTTAGTAGGAAAATACATTTGACTTGATCTATTTAAAAAAATCCCATCAGTAAGACGTGTGATGGATCCCAAGCAGCCACTAAATGGATTGTTTAAATTCCATATGTACAGCAAACGCACTGAATGAACCAAAGTGATGTGTATGTGCACAAGAAAGAAAAAAACTGCATCTACAATGACAACTTGTTGTTGCGCTGCAATTTTAAGGAAGTTTTGAGTAACATGAGGAAGTGAAGCAAGAGAGCGAACGAGCTGACTGGCTGCATTTGGCGTTTAGAGGTCGCCGCATTGACGGCCTGGTTGTGTGATGCTAATTCAATGCTGAATTCAATTTAATTAAGCTTTTATAGCGCCGACAATGCTGACATTCCCCAGACGGTTTACTTCAGGGTTCTGTTGATTTCTGGACGAGTTGACAGTTCTCCAAATGTTACATGATTCTAGTTCAATAAGTGTAAATGCGCTTTCTGGATTCAGAGACACTTGTATTGGTGAATTTGTTCTCATTCTGTATTAGTAGTGTCATATTAGCATAACTAATCAGGGATCTTTTTTTGGGGTCCGAGGACCCTGCAGGTTAGAGAGACTGTTCCTTTAACCCTGGACGCATGAAACAAAGTCGCAGGTTTTATTTGTTATCAATCACATGCTGTATTAATTAAAACATACACTTGGTCGGCCATCACCACGTCCGGATAGAGGGTAGATGGAGTAGTAGTAGAGTAGTAACCTTTTCATGTCACATACTGGCTGACGTTGAGTCACATCGTCCAATGCAGACATGATTAGACTTCGCCTCATGGAGCTCCAAATATATTAAAGTCCAAAATGCTCCTGCTAAATAAACGTAAACATCATCTAAAAATAACAAATTACAAAACCTCTCAAATCCTTTCAGTTCCTAAATGTGAACGCGTGTGAAATATCAGCTCTCGTGTGTCTTTGGCGGTTTACCTGTACTCTCGCACGAACCACATCCATGGGGTTGGTGATGGTGGAGGCGGTGGCCGCCGCCATTGGTCCCGCCACAGCCTGCAGAAGTAGATGGGGACACTCACTTGGCGCCATCAACGACAGTTGCTCTGAGAACCAAAAGGGGATCATGGAAACAGCGCAGGGCAAATGCATTTAGAGCACATGGCTAAGAACAGCTACCGTGAACCACAGATGGCAATGTGCTGACTTACCTGCGTAAAAATGATAAAACGGCCACCACAGTGCGCTGTTTGGGATGTACGTGAGAAGCGATGCCACGTAGCCCCTGTAAAACCCCTTGAAGCCATCGGCTGCTAATATCTGCACCGTGATGTCCCTCGTTTGCCCGAACATCAGCCTGCGCTTTGTCGTGGCGAGCATCACTTTGGGTTTGGCCCTGAAACGCGTCAGGTGCTCCCCCTGTCCCTGCATCATCAGGTGCTGGGACACCACGTCTATCGGCACGGTGATGGTCTGGGCCACCAGGGAAGCCGCCCCTCCGGCCACCACCGACTTTACCGTGTTGCTGGGCGAGTACTGGGCCACGTGCCTGCGCACCAGCTCATAGGTGGTGATGTAAGCCTGTCCCGAGATCAGGGTGAAGGTGTTGACCATGAAGCCGCGGTAGAGGCCTCGCACGCCCTCCGCCCGCAGGATCTTGCAGAAAGCATCAAAGGTGCCGGAGTAGAGGGCCTTGCCCTTCTGCACCTGCAGCCGGGTGCGGACGAGGCTGGCCGGGTAGACGGTGGCCCTGGTGGTCAAGGTCATGAACACACCCAGCGAGTAGAACTTCCTCTTGTCCAGGTCCTCCCATTCGATGATTTTGATCGCACCTTTCTGCTGCATGGTGAGATCGGTGCTGCGCCCCTAAAGCCCGGGATCGACAGTAATCAGGCCTCCAACTGCCATCGCACCTGCAAAAGAGAGCATTCTGCATTAGTAATCTGCGATCAAATGCCAGCACCTTTGCTACAATATTCATTCTCTCCTTGAGAATTTGGGCGGATTCCAGGAAAGCGGGACAGGGGCATTGCAACACCAGATGATACACTAGATCAGTCTATATGTGTAGCAATAGAGGGCGCTCTAGAAATAAATGGCTAAATAAGGCTGCAACTAATAATTACTTGCATTATTCATGTTTCAGTGAAATATTTTCCAGCTCAATTGATTCATTCTGTCTATAAAATGTCAAAATACACAAGTAAAAAGAGGAATGCTGAAATATACCAGCAGAAAAAAATAATCCTGTTCATAGAAAATCAAATTGCAACGCTGTTGCATTTTAGATCTTGAATTTTGTGGACCACCACAATAAAGCAGGTCAATTTCTCTCACCTACCCTTTGCATCAACAATCTGAGTTGGCTGGTTGGACAGTATATATTTTTTGTTATGTTTCGAACATTATGCAATCATTATATATTATACAAATCATGTTTTACAACCAGCATACCCGAGCACGCCAGAATTGCATCACAGCATTGAACGAATACACAGAATCAACTAAATGAAAGGCTTATTTAGAGGACTTGTTAATGCTTTGATTAAATGTCATATTTAAAAGTCAAAGCTCTTTGAGTAATCACTTATACAAAGATGGACATCTGCCTCAGGCTGTGACACGTGCTGCCTTTACACACTATACTGACGACGTGTGTAAGTTTTATTTATAATTCCTAATGACCCACAGAGTGTGACCTCACAGACTTAGAGATCATTTTCTGCTGCTAGTCAAGAACAAACTCTTTATCCGTCTCTAAGGTCACCCTGTTAACGACGCATGAAGGTGTGTTGTTTTTGTTGTTCTTGTAGCTATAAGTGAGGGGGGGAAGGGAGCACGTGTGAATTCACACACTTCGCTCGCGCTTTATGTTCGCTAACGTTAGCTAACACGAGCGCACCGAAGACAGAAATGTAACGTTCAAACCGGTGATAAACCTACTTGTTGGTCGAGTCGTGAAGCTCGGGTTCACCTTCCCGGAAGCTGCTTTGTTGTCAAACTCTTACGGCCTGCTCTGCGACGAGGCGGCTCGCGTCTTCCGCACATTATCCGCTCCGAGCAAACTATCAAAGGTGAAAGGTCAATGGTGTGTGTTTCCACTTTAGTGGCTTGTTATTGTTACATAAAAACAAACGTTACCTTGATTCAAAAATGTCTTAAAGGTGGCTTGGCTCTCGCATATGTTGCCTGTAGCGGTTAATGGTTACCGCGTGCTACCTAACGTTAGCAAGTTAGCGTGTTGTTTAACTGTCGTGGTGATGCATTCATGGCACGATGAAACGGTAGGAATTTTGAAGAACGAGCACGCCCACTGGGCAGACGGCAGCAGGTAGTAACAGGGAATTGCAAATGTATCCAAATGCATTCGCCATCAGCTGAATTGTTAACTAATTAAAATACTAGTTGTTTTTTTGAATTATTCTGCTCTCTATGTAGCAAAATGGGAGTACAAGCTGCCGTTTGTTGTTACATCACACTAAGCGAACATTGAACCTTGCATCATTATACATTTTCACAAAGTGATCATAGGTTTTGTTTGTTAAATCATAATAGTTCTACTAGTTAGTAAAAACAATAGTGAAATAAATGGAGTGAAGCAATATATAGTATAGTATTATTACTATAGCTCAAATCAGGACTTGGCGGTTGGTGCATAACATCACAGTAAGACAATCATAAGACACATAAGACAACATAGTGCAAGAACGGTATAAAAAAATGTAAGGCTATGAGGATATAGAATAAACAATTTAACAATAAATAATAATATATATTATCCATCCATCCATTGTCAAACCGCTTATCCTGCACACAGGGTCGCGGGGGGGCTGGAGTCCATCACAGCCAACTTCGGGCGATAGACAGGGTACATCCTGGATTGGTCGCCAGCCATATTAATAATAATAATATATATTATAAATATAATATATAAATTAAAAATAAAAGTTAAACATAAAGTGCACCTGTGAACACAATCATACAGACCTGTTGGCTCTAGGCAAACTCCAGGAGGGGGTCAGTGAGGGTTTTTATGTGGGACAGAACAAGGCGCTTAAAAGACTTCATGACCACAGATGTCAGGGCGACGGGCCTGTAATCATTAAGTCCTGTGATCCTTGTTTTTTTGGGGACGGTGATGATGGTGGAGGCCTGAAGCAGGCTGGTACGTGGCATGTCTCTAGGGAGGTGTTGAAAAATTGTACTAGTGCTTATTAATACTTTGGTAAAGGTACTTAATTACATTTGTATTTGTTAAAGTATGTAATCTTGCTGATTAAGGGCAGTGCAGCACACCCTACTCCCTAAGGTTCCTTCCCTTTTTACCCCATCTTTCCCCATTTTTTGGGGAGTTTTTCCTGTGCCGATGTGAGGGTTTCGGGACAGATGACTGTGGTGGAAATTTGTGGATTTAGCCCATGTAAGAAAACAAAAGTATCTTGAGCTTGCTTTGTGATTAAGTATTTATTACTAACTAGAATATAGGAAAAAGATAAAGAATACAGAAATCATCAGCACAAGTCGTAAGCACAGACAGAAGTCAAATGACTACAATTCAGCTGAAAAGGGACAGATGTTCCTTCCCCCAAAAGGAGCAGGAAGATCTGACAAAGTTGAAGAGGAGAACAGGAGCTTATATACACTTCAGAGAGGTTTGTGGTGCCTCAGGACAGGACAGCCCACCCCTCAAAGAGGAGTGTTGGAAAAGTACCAGATGATGTAGGGGTGACCCTGTGACCCTCCCTTTATGGACCCAGACAATCAACATCTAAAAGGTCAGCCAGGGCACGTATGGTTTCATCTGTGTCTTATCTCACCCTGGACTGCCTTAAGTCACCGGCTCACATCAAAGGTCACATTCCTGAGAGCCTCACCCCACGCAGGCTCAACAATTTTCCCCCAACAATGACGTCACATGTGTACAGACTGTAAAGCCCTCTGAGGCAAATCTGTATTTTGCGATTTCGGGCTATACCAAAGTGAATTTAATTGAACGTAGTCTGAGGTGCTCTGAAGGCAGCACTGTACTGTCACACAGGTACTATTCACAAGTAAATTATGTGTGTAAAGAACGTTTGCATATGTTTTGGAATAAACACCCCATTGTTTTATTTCATTCTAAAGCATTTCACTTTTATTATATATTTTTTCCTTATTTTTTACAGCAAAACAGTGTTAGCATGATGACTTAAATATTAAACGGATTCACGTCTGAAACCTCACACACACAAACCGGAGTGTTGGCTTCAGCTTTGCATAATTTGTTCATTTTGTCAGTCATGGACGGATGGGCGTGGCTGCACATCTCTGTGCTCTGATTGGTCGGCTCGGTATTGCCAGTACAGTAGTGAAAACCGGCCGTGTTGATTTCAGAAGTCATCATGGCGCTTACACCGCCAGCCAAAGGTAAAGAGCTGTCTTCTGCCAACCTTACCTAGTTAGGCGTCATCTCATCCGCCGTTCGCTTCTGAATTAGCGAATCGATTACCAAAAGGCCCGGGCCTCCCTGAAAGAGGCTGCCGTTTGCTTTTAGTTGATATTAAAGTGTACCCGACGTCAAACTGTTGCGAGATATAAAAGCTAATGCTAGCAACCCATATTCGCGTTACAACTTGGAAAGAGCTGTGAAATGAACAGTTAGCTAACACCGAAAGCTGGATGCCGTCTTTGCTCCGCTCATAAACGTCCCAACCGTAGCGTACGCGTTAGATAGAGATATCTAACGCGTACATTGCGTGTTAATAGTCTTGTTCGTTCTTATCAGTTCAAGGCGTCCAGCCAGTAGAACGATAAGTAGCTAGCTAGCTAGCGAGAGAGCGCTCTACGATAACAGCTATGCTAGCTGAACGTTAGCCTTGTAGCTGTCTCACACAGTGTCACCGGGACACATCCGAGAGGATTTAACGTGTGAGGATGATAGCAGGCAAAACCGGGGTTATATCCACATGATCTCACTAGTGACCAGTCAGTGTCTTTGAGTTCATCATGTAATACTGAATATTTACCATTTGGCCCGCAATGCAAGTTGCTGACAATGGATCACAGTGATGAAGGAAAATGTTATGTAAAAATAAACAAAACACGAGAATGACCTGAGTGCACCCTGTGAATCATCTGACCATAGAAGGACACATTGCAATTATTTGATAATAATTTTACACACACTTTTGTTTTACAATCAGATTGGCTTTGTTTCTAAACTGCTGCATGCCTTCTTAGTCAAATGAAAGTAAATTATATATTTTATCAGTTGATAATAATCTTGTGGCTTTTCTCCACCGTTAGTGAATCTATTTACAGGAAATAGTGCAGATGAAGAAGATCAGACACCCAAAGTGTGTCTTTCACATTGGTGTATTAGATCTTTAAAACTCACTCAACCAGCTCTTAAATACGCTTTTCCATGAGTTTCACTTCTGCATGGTTGATATCAGCAGGGTGGCCCGGTGCTTGAGGTCCTTTTTGGATTTATTTGGTGAATGCTTGGTCGGATTTAGTAAACCAAACCTATTCTTTAATACAGACGGTGTATAGTCATTTTATTTGAGTTGTCTGGTGTGTTCTATGCATTCCGTTTCACATTCATCATAAAACGTGTTGCCTGCAAAGCCGGTAACCGGACCAAGTTCCAGCGTGTTGATGTCCTGTTGTGAGACCTGTGAGTTGTGCCAAGATTCAAAGGATGACTTTGTCTGTAGAGGCTCAGCACAAGCTGAGCTCATTCTTTACTCAGTTTTAAAGTAGACAACCATCAACATTTACCAGTAATTGCAGATATTTAGTGGTATTTGTCTTTTCAGCCCATCCAGTCAAAGTATCAATTTAACACACGCCCTTAAGGGTTTAGTTAAGTCCATCCAGCATGAGATCACTTTAATAGACTTCAAAATAAAAAAAGTACGAAATGTGAGCAAAGACCTACATTATTATTTTCCTCTGCATTTAGATTTTACACACATAATGCATCATTGTTCGTGGTTACGTTAATGTTTAGTGAAGTCTCATTTAAAGATTGGGCAATTCCTGAGACCTACTGCTCACCTACTTATAGCCACCAATACAACATGGGATTTAACGCGCCAATTCTGTGTGTGCACCAGTGTACGTTCACAAACGGCTCAGAAAATACTGTGTTGCGCTGCCGGTTCTCTGTGAGTTCCATTGTCTGAATGTTTGTATCTGGGTAGTTGACTGTATGATTAAACCAGTTAAACGTGTCCAATACGTCTCTCTTCCCTCTGCAGAGCACCCATATAGCCACCTCATTGAAACACTGAAAGATGACACGACCAAGTTCTTCAACCCACAGAAACTAAATGATCCACGATATGGTGAGTTCAGGCCTTCTGATTCAAAGAAAAGGGCACATATTTAGACTCCTATATATTCCTCTCTCGAAACCTTCTCCCGCTGGGATTTGTCTGACTCCGATCTCTCCATAATACGGTCGAACCACGTATTCATGTCAACGATATGAAAATCATTGTTGCATTAAGCTTTGGAAGCTTTTCTTCGGTTTGTAACATCATGGTCTGAATCCACTTGACACAAATGTACCAAAGACTTTGATCTGATTTAACTGGTGATTGTCTACAAAACAACACATTGTTTTTCTGTCCCTCCGTGTAGACAAGCTGCCTCTGTCCATCCGTGTCCTCCTGGAGGCAGCAATCCGTAACTGTGATGGCTTCCACACCAAAGAAGCCGACGTGGAGAACATTCTGGACTGGCAGCAGCAGCAGGATAAAACCGAGGTGCCGTTCTCTCCAGCGCGAGTCCTTCTCCAGGACTTCACGTGAGTTCCACCAGCGTCCGATCCACAGGGACTTTCAACAAATTGATAATATCAATACTTCTCATAGTTCTAAAAGACGAGTGTTCCGCTAAAGCCTTGAAGGAAGGTTTGGCTGATTGTATGTTTCCTCTCTCCAGCGGTATTCCTGCTATGGTGGACCTGGCCGCCATGAGGGATGCTGTGGCCAAACATGGCGTGGACCCTGGACTAGTCAACCCGAAATGTCCCACAGACCTCATCGTAGACCACTCGCTACAGATTGACTATAGCAAATGGTGTGTGTGTGTGTTTATATGATCCTATTTATACATTGAGAATGAGCTAAAGAGAGTGAGAATATACAGGAAAAAAACAGACATAATCTGTTGACCTGGTTTGTGTATTGATAGAAATGGGAATAAGTAAAAACGTACTTATTCCTCCTCTGTTGTGTGATACAACATATCTGCTTTTACCCACAGTGCCATTCAGAATGCCCCAAACCCCGGCGGAGGAGACGGCCCCAACCAGAGCCAAGGTCCCTCCAGGCGAGGCTCTCAGTGCGGGGGCCAGCGGGGCTCCTGCAGCAAAGCCTCGTGCAGCGACCCCCCAGCCTCACCGGGTCGACCTGCAGCCGTCCAGCAGATCGAGAACACTCCTCTGCTCTGCCCGTTCCACCTGCAGCCCCTGTCTGAGTGAGTGCGCTGGTACAAAAGAAAGGAATGTTCCGAACTTCTGTTTGGCCAATTAAAAGACGGGACGTTTTTAAGTTGATTTCACGTCCACAGACAAACGGTCAGAGGGTAATTTTACCCCGTCTAGGGTGCTACAGAAAAAGGGTGTGGTTTAGTTAGATCATTTGTAACGTTGGGTCTTTGTTCATGTTGCTATGGCGGTATTAGCATCAGGTAAATTACATGTAATGTAAACTCAGAAGAACAAGAAACAGGAAAGTGCAATTTCATCAAATTAGCCGATTTACAATTTGCTATAGATAAGAGCCATTATAAGTACAATTAGTTTAGCGTTGTTAGTCGAGGTAGAGTCTGAACAGGTGAGAGAAGATATGAAATAAAGATAAAGAAATGGAAGCATCAGGAAAACCCTGACGCTAAATGATTTGACATTCAATTTTTAGTAAATGGTAACTATTATACAAGTAGTACCAGAACCATAACATCAGTAACGTACTTGTGGAATAATAAGTACGCTGGCTAACATTAGACTTAATGGCAATAACGCTAAACAGGTTCGTTTTTGATGAATAAAAACAACACCGGACTAATTAATAGCCACAAGCGTGACACACCAATATGTAACCTGACTAAGGCTCTGATAACGCCGTATTGATGGTTGATTTGACTTTGCATCCCGTTTTAAATGATCTCGCCGATTGACAGAGTTCCCCTTCAGCAGGTCTCGTTCTGATTTGTTCTCTTTTCTGCAGCACTGAAACAGCTGTGAAGAATCAGGAACTGGAACTCGGCAGAAACAAAGAGAGGCTCGAGTTCTTTAAGGTACCATCAGACAGTCCCCATTATCATTCCGTTATGTTTCCTTTAACTATCTGACGGTCGACTTCCTGATCATGATCAGTAGTCCAAAGCAAAGTTGACAAATTGTCGCACAACTTTTGCAATTAAACCGAAGTCGTATTTTCTGCCTCATGGAAATGTTCTGTAGCTTTCAATGAAAAGCAAAATAATTTGGTGTCTCCTTTGTCAACCGAACAGTGGTGTTCAAAGGCGTTCAAGAATGTGAACGTGGTCCCGCCGGACGTCGGCGCGGTGCACCAGGTGAATCTGGAGTATCTGTCCAGAGTGATCCAGTGGCCGACGGCTTCGTCTACCCCGACAGCGTGGTGGGAACCGACTCGCACACCACCATGATCACGGCCTGGGCATCCTGGGCTGGGGTAAGCCGTCGTCCAACCTTAAAAAGTTCTCACCCGTCGCAGTCTCATTTTTCCCAAATCAGGCGCATTGATTAAATAAATACATGGTTTCCTCCACCAGGTGTCGGGGGAATAGAGTCTGAAGCGGTCATGCTGGGCCAGCCGGTGTCTCTGACCCTTCCTCGGGTGGTGGGCTGCAAGCTGGTGGGCTCCATCAACCCTCTGACCACCTCCATAGACATCGTCCTCGGCATCACAAAGGTAACAGCGCTCGGCCCTCCTTCATTGGTCAGTCCCACTCAGTGGATCCACCACTGAATTTGAAAAAGTTCCAGTCGGTAATTTTTGAATTCTCAAACAAAGCGTGTTACTGCAACAAGCAGAACTGAAACCGATGTCCTCTAGAGATGTGGTACCAAAATCCGCTGTGCACAGTCATGGTTCAAGTTGTAGTAAATGTCACCGGGAAAACACTCTTGCTTACGTAACTTCTGCGTTGGTTTTGCAGCACTTGCGGCAGGCCGGGATCGCTGGGAAGTTTGTGGAGTTTTTTGGCGCCGGCGTCTCCCAGCTGTCGGCCCCCGACCGGACCACCATCGCCAACATGTGCCCAGAGTACAACGCCACCGTCAGCTTCTTCCCCGTCGACCAAGTCACCCTCAGGCACTTTAAAAAGACGAGTGAGTCGCCAAAGGCGAGGCTGCTCACTAAGAGCTAAAATCTCCATTTCGGTGGTGCTGTTGTTGACCGACTTGTCGTCATTTTCCTTCCAGATTTTACAGAGGAAAAACTTGAACTACTGGAGGCTTACATGAGGGCTGTAAAGCTTTTCCAAAGCTACGATGAACTCACAGAAGAGCCTCAGTACTCTGAGGTAAAGTGTCAAACCCTGCAGGTCAGAGCTGCTGTGACGGACGATCGATATCGATGGTATGACAGGTTTTTTTTTTGTGTCTGTGAGCAGGTGATTGAGCTCAACCTGAACTCCATCGTGCCTCATGTGAGCGGACCGAAGAGGCCTCAGGACAGAGTGGCAGTCAGCAGGATGAAAGAAGACTTTCAGAGTTGTCTCGATGAGAAGGTAACGAACAGAAAAACGTGAATGTGTACTTCTGCCCTTCAGGAGAGGAACCTCCTGTGTTCCTCTCCTGAAGTGTACGTCCAGGCCATTGAAATGGGAAAACAGTGCCAAGAAAAAAATATTGTGTGTGAAAGTATTCATAAAAGAAACAACAGATTCAGATGTGGGTCAGAGTGTGTGTGAGAGAGTGTGTGTATGTATGTATGATATTAATCTTCAAAGTAATATATACTAATTGAGAATATGGATAAGATAGGGGTGGGTATCTATAAGCTTTTGCTTCCCTCTACTCCTTTTCTTGAACAAAAGGTGACTTTTCTAATTTTGTGGTCTACGTCTATGTTGATTTTTTTTATTTTTTAATGTCTACATGTTCAAGAAATAAAATGCTTCAAATCAAAATCAAAACAGGCGCGCAAATGACCCCCCCCGCGTGCATTTAACGGTTTACAAACGTGTCCTCTGTTCTCCCTGGTGGGGCTGCAGGTCGGCTTCAAAGGCTTCCACATCTCCAAGGAGAAGCAGGACACGTGCGTCCCTTTCCTGCACTGTGGTCAGGAGTACCAGCTGGCCCACGGCTCGCTGGTCATCGCCGCCGTCATCAGCTGCACCAACAACTGCAACCCGTCCGTCATGCTGACCGCAGGTACAGAGCCATGAGTCCGAAAACATTCGACCCGTATACCAGTTGGTTGTTAAATTCTTGCGTAATTATCAAATTCTGGGTGCTTTGCATAACGCGTCTGTTTATGGGATTGACAGGTCTGCTGGCCAAAAAGGCTGTGGAGGCGGGGCTTGTTGTCAAGCCTTACATTCGGACCAGCTTAGCTCCTGGAAGTGGCATGGTCACTCACTACCTCAATACCAGTGGAGTGCTGCCTTACTTTAGCCAGCTGGGGTAAGCAAGTGTGTCCGGCACAAAGTAACAGATTCAGACCCTTTTTATTGTTATTATTCTGCCGATGGCGTTCGTTTACTGACCAAATAAACAAAGCGTGCTCTGAAAACCAAAAGAGAGAAGGCTGGATGATTCACAGCGCCGCGTTTTCCTTCACGCTCCAGGTTCGAGGTGATCGGCTACGGCTGCGCCACCTGTGTGGGGAACACGGCTCCGTTACCCGACGCCGTCGTGGATGCAATCAAACAGGTCAGAGCTCCGTGGCGCAATACTAAGCTGTTGTGTAGATCACAGAGAAAAAGAGAGGGCCTCTCTTCTGAACCGTCGGCCTGCTGTGTTTCAGGGGGACCTGGTGGCCTGCGGAGTGCTGTCTGGCAACAGGCAATTCGAAGGGCGCCTGTGCAACTGTGTGCGGGCCAACTACCTGGCCTCCCCCCCCCTGGTGGTGGCGTACGCTCTTGCAGGGACCGTGGGAATCGACTTTGAGAAAGAGCCTCTGGGTAAGGGGGGCAGGCGGGGGGAGCCCTCTGAAACATCCAGGTCATTACAGGATTTTAGGACTTGGGCTGATTACAGTGGGTGAACGTTTAGCGATCGTGTGTCTTGTGCAGACATGCGTCGGCCACACAGCGAGGGACAAAGGAGCATTGTGGGTAGTTTGAGGTCTAAGCGCCTGTTTAAAGCAGGTGGTGATTATAAAAGTGTGAGGGTAACATGAAGCATCCTGTTGTGCAGGTGTGACCTCCGAGGGGAAGGAGGTGTATCTCCGTGATATCTGGCCATCCAGGGAGGAGGTCCAGCAGACGGAGGAGGACACCGTCATCTCTTCCATTTTTAAGGACCTCAGGGGAAGGATGGAGGTCAGGACAAGAGCCGTCTTTATTTGTATTATGTCCCTTTCCATTAAGTAAAGTGAGTTGATGATTATCACTATGCTCGCTGTCTCTCTCCAGAAAGGGAACTCGCTGTGGAACAACATCGAATATCCAGATTCTGTGGTTTTCCCCTGGAATCACAGGTCCACGTATATCCGCCCGCCGTCTTTCTTCAGCAAGTTGGTAAGTCTTCAGGCCTTTGGAGTCGTTATGTTGCACAGTCCTCAAATTTGACCAAATAGAGAAATGAAAAATATGACGTATAAGTGTCTCCTCTGCTTGCCTTCTTGTCTCAGAGTAAAGAGGTGCCCCCTCCTCAGTCGATAGAGAACGCTCACGTCTTACTGTTCCTCGGTAACAAAGTGACGACGGACCACATCTCCCCAGCCGGCAGCATCGCCAGGGCCAGCGCCGCCGCCAAGTACCTGCTGAGCAAACGGTCAGTTTCCCCTCAGACGGGTCGGCGAGGCTCACGGGGAAGTGCAGACTGAGTGAACAGCGTCCTCGTCAGCGGCCCAAATTCAATAGGACTTCTTATTTAGCCTGTCCTACCACTCGGAAGGACTGGGGGCGTCCCATGTCGAAGTGTCCCTGAGCAAGACACCCAACCCCTAATTGGGCAAAATGTAAAAACCTTTGGATAAAAGCGTCAGCGTCATAAAAGGTCAGCTAAATGACCTGTAATGTGTGGAAGAGCAAAGTTTATCTTTTAGTTAAACGTTTATGGAAAACTTTTGAGAAGAAAATGTCAATCCAACAGCTGCAGGAAATATACGTCAAAAACAAAGCTTGTTAAAGTGCAGTCACAGGACACACTCGTTTAGTTACATCTCACGTTGTTGCTCGTCACCTCAGCCTGACCCCGCGGGAGTTCAACTCGTACGGCGCTCGCAGAGGGAACGACGCGGTGATGACCAGAGGAACGTTCGCCAGCATCAAGCTCCAGAACCGATTCATCGGCAAACCGGGGCCCAAGACGTTACACATTCCTTCAGGCCAGACGGTGAGTGAGGACCTCTTCAAGGGCAGCGAGCCCCGAGGCGGCTTGACGCCCGTGAGTGTGTTTAGTAACGTCACAGCAGCTGCCATCATCCCGTCCGCCCTTTTCCCCGTCAGCTGGATGTCTTCGAGGCAGCTGATCGCTATCAGAGAGACGGCGTTCCCCTCATCATCCTGGCGGGCAAAGACTACGGCTCCGGAAACTCCAGGGACTGGGTGGCCAAAGGGCCGTACCTGCTGGTAACCCGCAGCACACACACTGTCCTGTGAACCTTTAACCCCAAGTAGTCAATTTGCATCCCATTCACCTTCTGCCCCCCTCCCTCCTCCTTCGACAGGGCGTCCGCGCGGTCATCGCCGAGAGCTTTGAGAAGCTGCACAAGAAGCAGCTGGTGGGAATGGGCATCATGCCGCTGCAGTTCCTGCCCGGCGACAGCGCCGACTCGCTGGGGCTCAGCGGGAAGGAGCGCTTCACCGTTGCCATGGCGCAGCCCGGCGGGCCGAGCCCGGGGCAGCGGCTCACGGTGGAGGTGGGCAACACCGGCGGTGTGACTGTCTTGGGAAAAAACACTTAATTTTTTTATTTATTGCAATAAAAACCCGTTGATCTTGTCCTCCTCCAGACCAGCCAGGGGAAGTCCTTCTGCGTCACTGCGCTGCTCGACACGGAGATGGACGTCACGCTGTTCCGACACGGAGGTCACCTGAGATACGTGGCTCGGACGCTGCTGTGAGACGTCTCGACTGCCGAGGATTTGTCCGCTTGAAGCTCTCCAGACTTTTGGAGTCGCGAGACGTCCCCTTTTCTGCGTCCTGGTCACCACGCGATGACGTTCACTCAACGAGGAGATGAAAACCCAAGACGACCTTCGGACATCGTTGTTTTAGTTTTTATTGTGTTGGAGGCCGGATTTTGCTGCGTACCGAGAGGACGTTTGAGCTAAGAAGAAATTAATCCAGTCCGCTTCAATCCTGCCTAGAAAGGCTGACATGGTGCGCGGTACAACGCCGTGAATACTTAGTTTTTTAGTTTGGACCCTGTTTTTACCAACATACCAAGTAAAGTCTCCGTGCGGAATTGACGTTTTGTGAGAAATGTGAACTCCGTCTCATGGCTGCATCATGAAGCTGCATAGAATGGAATGGTCTACAGTCCTGTGCATCCCATTAAAGTTGAACTATACAATACAAACGTTGATAATCCATTAGTGTTAATCCACAAAGTAGCAGATGCTTTTAAACGGTTTGATTCCTTTTGGTGCAAAAAGAAGTTTGTAACATTTCAGGCAAACTGGTGCCGAGGTGAGAAGTCAAAGCTGCATTAAGTGTAATCACATCGCTCCGTATCCTCGGTGCTCCTCACTTCTGTCAGATTTATCGAATATAACTAAAGCCCCTTGCATGAGATTAGCGAAAAATGACTGATAATAAATGCTCATTTGTCAGTTTATTTTGCAGTTTAAATTGAAGGAAAAGTGAATGGATGAACACCAGTACCGGCCTCTATTACAGTTTCCGTCCTTGAATGAGAACCTACACATGCGCAGGTACTGGACTTCTGACAAAGTATCTGCAACATAGACTGCATCCTTTATCCTTTTCTATTTTGTAGACAGCGTGGTTTAATACTGGCTGTGTTTTAAGAGAAGTTATTTATTGGTCACACCATTCTGTAACACGTTAGAACTCGGGTTTTCGTTTTAAAAGTCATTGTTTCTGCAGCGTGTCACGTTTTAAGTCCTTCATTCAGTCCCACAAAGCATGTGATCAAAGTGCATCGCTGCGTCTAAAGATCTAAAGACTAGGAACTATACGACTTTATTACATCATTTAAAATGGATTATGGCTAACAAATGTCAAAATAAAACAGCAAATACTCTGTTTTAATAAGTATTTTCTGTGATTTCTTGACATTTTAAATACCATGACATCATCGAATGCTTTTCACTGCATACTTTTGATCAACTATCAGATTTATTTCTATGGAATATTTAGATATACTATTCTATAGTATGACTTTATAACAAGTATCCAATATGATGCTAAGAAAAAAATAAGACTGAATGGAATCTCCAAGTGTAAACAGTGCAACTTTTATTGATTTGTTTTAAAAGAAATTTCTATGACACATTGCTTTGCACATTAACACAAACAACCAGTCGTATCAGAGTGCTGGCTAACAGAAAAACAGCCGGCTTCCAATGATCAAAAGAAAACGTCTGCATATTAAATGATTGCGTCGCTACACAACTAAAGGTGTGCAAACGGGAAATTAAAGCTGTAATCAAAAATAAGCTGTAATCAAAACAACTTGTCAGCATGAGGTTCATCATGACATTACGTTTAGTACTCTAATAAATTTTAGTACGTTGTGCCCATTTACTAGTCACAGTATTTAGTGATTAAATGAATACCTCATCAACACACACAATAAATCCAATAAAGTACTGATGATTATATATTGTCATGCAAAGAAAGAAAACAGTTGCTGGTTCCAGTTCCTCAAATGTAAGGATCTGCTTCATATCTGCTCAATATCATTGGAAATTAAAAATGGTACCCAGTTGATGTATATTCACCGTAGTGTATCAATCTGTCATGTTTTTGTGTGTGGAGCAATTTGAAATCTACATCGTCACGTTCACACACTCCCGATGGGACCCAAACTAAGATCGCTTCATACCGCCACAGTTAACCTAAATATAAAACAAGATTCCAACGGTTACTCAGATAAAACCATTTCAAGACGTCTCCTGGGCGTGGTGGCATTTCATAGACTTGTTTTTGACAGAATAACACACTGAAATGATCTTTTATTTGCATATTACCGCCAAGTACATCTTAAAGCAGAATTCACAACCCAACAGGCGGCGTTTGCGTTCCATCCATTTCACTTCCTCAGCGTGAACCTGCAGACTTTGAGACTTGCTCAGGAATGTTGTCGCACACGGTCGACGTGTCAGCTGTTTCTCGGTTTTTGCAGTTAGTCAACAGACCGGATGCTTTTTTCCTTTTTTGTATGTGCTACTTTTTCCACAGTTTTAAGCAGGAAAATAGAGAAGGGAAAAAGTTTGTAGTAAACAGGCATGAAAACACCAGCGTGGTTCTCCAAGCCCCAAAGTGGAAAACACCAAGAAACACCATTTGGACTGAAAAAGGCACAGACATGTGTGGTTATAAGAGTGAAGTTTGTACTGTGATTGACATCTCTGAAACATTGAGCTCACAACCTCTGACCTACAATGCAACCCTTGACCCCAGCTGTAGACACCGCCGCCGCCCCCCAGCATCAATAGCATTTCAAATATGAGAGACTTAACAAAACAAAAAAACATGGCTGGTACTTAAGTACTTCATCCACCTGGTAAGTGCTCATTTTTTTCCCTTTTAGTGGTAGAAAACAGTGAGAATCACGGCCACTTTCTTTCTCTGGGTCCCCAGAAACATTTGACGAGCGAGCAGCCTGTAAACAATTAACCAGAGCGGATGTGAAGAAGCTCCCGATCGCATCATCCTGAGGACGACGGACTCGCTTCCCGTCTCTCCTGGAAACTACTGGAATCATTCATCTATTCTCCTGTGTCCATATCGTTGTATAGGCAAACTTCTCTTTTAAGAAAATATTTGTGGAAGGTTAAATGGAAATATACAATTAGTAATACAATAGAGTACAGAGCTATATGTTAAAGGTGATTAAAAAAAACAGGTTGATTGTATCTCCCTTTACAATGCGCGCGTTTTCCTTGGTTCAAAAGGCAAGAGGTAAAGTGTATAAGAAAAAGGCCGCCCGTTAAGTCGTCCGAAAGCCTGCTGCTCGAGAATCAGGCGATCGCTTTTGCTTCTGGTAAGAAAGCCTCCCAGTACTTTATGAGCTGGGGAAGAAGGAAAGAAGAGACGTCAGTGTCTGACGGGACCAATATTTCCATATAGAAATGTGAAATATTATATGTTCGACACTCACCTGTTGCTGAGACTGCAGATGACACTCCAAGTAGTTAATTATCTCTCTTTTGAAGTTCTTGGCCTTTTCTTTCTGTAGCGTCACATAAAAGATACAAATCAGTCATGAGTGTCATTTTCATCTGTGCACGTGAATGCATAAAGAGGAGCGTCCGTACGTCAAAGCGGTTCACTTCCTTGCGCACAGTGGCAGAAACTTTGTCAAAGTCTCTCTCGTACTGCGTCACTTTAACCTCCCACTGTGGAGGAGAGGAAAAGGTCAAAGGTCAGCACAAGCACGTCAGGATATTGATGGAAGGAATGACGAACAAAGTTATGGTGAAGTGAAAATTGAGTTCTGTAAGTCAGAAATAAAACATCTCATTCTCCTGAAAGAAATTGCTATGTGCTATTCATAATGATGAACATCTTTTCGATGGAAAACAATCTGCCGCTTTTCTCCGCTGGTGGGTTCGTACCTCAGCGATCTCCTCTTTGGCCAGCTGCAGTTTGTCGGGCTTGTTGGCCCACAGCAGTTTGGCCTCAGTCTCCCTCTTCTTCTGCAGAGCGGCCTGAGCGTCCTGCCAGCGCTGCCACGCCTTCATGCGGTGATCAAACGACCCCTGCAGGACGCGAACGCACACGTTTATATTTGGACATTATCTTTTGTCGTGAAGCTGAGGCTCATGTTCAAAACACTTTAACTACGTGTCGCGTCTTTATTGTTTGTTAAAAAGTTATTTCGGTTGTTGTGTGAGAGATTTCTCTTCACAGGAATGCATTTTGTCTCAAAGTCTAATTGTGACTTTGTACAATGTCTTTGTATAGAGCAAATATAAATATAATCACACAAATCTTAAAAAAATTAAATCTTTTTGAGGTCATAGTGAATGTAGCAATAAGCGATATCGAAGAAATCGAAACTCTACATATCTAGTTTAAACTTTTTGAAGGGGAAGCGCTTTGGTTAATTAAACATTGAAGGTGTCTTTTTTTAAGTTTAAACTACTCAGCAAAGAGTTGGAGATTTTCTCGGTACCCTCACGGCTCCAAGCAGGCGGACGTAATCCGCGATGAGTTCGGCGAAGCTGAAAGTGTCGTTAGCAGCCTGCTCCTGGTGTAACTGCTCCATCTTGTCCTCCACCTCTGCCAGCTGGGAGAGAGCTCGGGACAGGGCGGTGTTGTCCTCTGCGCTGCCCAGCATGGCCGTGCTTTTGGCAAAACTGGCTGTGTTCAACGACAACTCTGGAGGGGAAGAGAGAGACCAACATCTGTGAAGCAGGCGCTGTCCAACTAAAACATGAACAATAAATGAGGGGCATCTGGAGCTCTTGCTGGACGTGGGTTTGTGTGAAAATGACACTTTCTCTGTAGAACATTGGTAATGAGATCGGATGAGGAGCCCCCTGCTGGCCATTAGAGAGAATGCAATCTTAGGCATCTCAACATGGGCTTCACTTTCAGACCCCGAGGTTGTGTGTCAAAATGATCCTCTTCTCTTTGCCATTAAAGTCAGAACAATACATGATCAGCTTTGGACACGTATTGAAGGATTCTTCTTCTGTGGTTGGAAGGGAGGCGACTAACCTTTCCTGTGAACGACCAGAGACTCGACCAGCGTGTGGAGCTTCCGGAACTGCTGGTCTGCAGACTCCACCTCCTGCAGCTTCTCTTCAAACCACTGCAACACACACACGAGTTTGTACGACTGTTTAGCTCGATTACATTACAATTGTATGCTTGGATTTCTTTACCACAGTTTCTTGGCGGTCCACCAAGGTGTTATTCTATCCAAATATTTATACTTTCACACGCACCTCGATGCTACATGTATGGAAACAAATAAAAGTGTTGATCTCAGAAAAATGACTAAATGCATCTTGAAATTCAAGCCAATGTTCTGATTAATGCCACTCAGCAAAAACTTAACGGAGTCCTTGAAATGTTCTGCTTTTTACTCGGATTTCATCACAACGGAAGAGATGAATCTGCTGCTTACAACAGTTTTCACTCCTGGGAAGCCGTGATGCAACAAAGCGTCCGATCACAGCTGAACTCACCACGTCCGACTCGTTCATCTTGATGGTCATTTTGCTGACGGCGTCTGTTGCTTTGTTGATCATCTTCAGGAAGCCGGCGCCGCTCAGAGCCTGTGTGCCCACTGCTCTGGGAAGCTGAGAGCATGGACGCATTTTACAATACAGACGATCAGCTAAGAATATAGCAAAACGTCAGACACTCAAAGGGTAGTAAGTATTTCTTTAAAAAATGTAAAAAGTACACATTTACAGTGGCTCACGCATGAACTAAATAAATGTTCATTTCATAGAGACACAACATCCCCACTGCCCTCCGAACGCAGCTTACTTCCTCTCTCTCCAGAAACTCTCTAACATCCGGATCTTGGAGAAGAGACGGGTGATTCACGACCCTCTGGAGATATCTGTTGAACGAGGAAATGCAAAGAGAGGCCTAACTTTCCATCGCCAGGCAAGAGCATCGTGGTTTTTGTGACTTAATTGACATGAAGCAGCTTTGATTGCCTCCCCCCTCCTTTACCTCTCCAGAGCGGCTCTTCTTCTCTCCACAAAGTCTGCAGATGAGGAATCTTCCTTTCCCACCTTCACCTTCGTCATACCTTTGCGAGATAACAACCGTTCTTAAAGCTGACAGAGATCACACTTAAACTCGCGGTATCATCAGTACAGCCGAGTCAGCCTACCCAGAATGCTCTTCTCGGGGGGCGGAGGCACGATGAAGCCGTTGGGTCCGTGCTTTTCAGACAGCTTCTCGTAGAGGCCGAGGAAGTCGCTGAACCGTCGCCTCACTGTAAAGGTCTTGTTGCGGAACATGGCCAGCTGGGTCTGAAACACGTTCACGTCGTTGGTCGGGTGTAATCCACCTAAGAGGCTTTAAGCTTGAGCTACTACTACTAGTAAAGTGTCACCACACATCCAACTGGGCAAACGTCCTCTGAATTGAAGATAACCAACTCTGGGTTAAATGTAATGCTCCATTCAACAAGTTTTTACCTGTGTGGTTACTTTGTAGGCCATGTAGGCATTCATCCCATCACCTGGACAAAGAAAACGATTAAAGTCAGTGCAAGAAATCACTAGTTTCACTAATTGAGGGCTTAGTCTCGAGGTTTGAAAAAATGTAATCAAGCATCTGAAAACAACCGGTGCTTGCTTAATGTTTATAGCCCATAGGATAGTGCATTGACCGATGACCAGCCTTCTGCATTAGTAATGAAGAATAAAGCAAATGAAAACAGAATTTAAATAAATAAGCTTCACCTATTTTTTCAGGGTCTTTGACAGAGATGGAGATCTCAAATTCGTCTTCCTGCTCTTCTTCTCCTCCTTCTTCATCCAACTGAAACACAGTGAAGAGAGAGTGTAACACCACCTCATCTTCATTTCCTTTAGACCTGGGATTTAGTGTATTTTTAACCAGTAACATAGAAAAGAAATGCAATTTACAGATATTATAGAAATCATCAATTGCCAAATCCCTGAACTTTGTTTTTCACTGGTTACTTGGTTGCAGTCGCTCTGGGAACGCCGCGCTTGGATTAGTTGGTGTGTACCTCTTCCAGGGAAGCCGACTGGGACTTGGCCAAGCTGGCAGCTGCTGACAAGGCGGAGGCGGACGCAGACGGTTTGGCCGACACGTCTTTCCGTCTCTCGTCCCGCGGACTGTCCAGAGAAAGCTCCACGGTGGCTTCTGTCAGAGAGGAAAAAGAAAACACAAGAAGCCAGACTGAGGTCATTACATGCCAACGGGAAATGTAAAGCGAGATTTGCATTATGTTCTTTGCATACTTGACGGGCCGGCACAAACAAATATGCAAATGCTTGCACAGACAGTTTCATTTAATGGATACTTTTAAATTACATGTGGTCTGGTGCTCGTCAACTGAAGTCACAAGTGTTTTATTGGGATTTTCCCATTAGTGCACAGTGAGGTCTGATTGCAGGTGTCCCTGTCGTACAGGTAATAGTTAAATTGTCTAAAGCGATGCCATGAGTCTGCTGATGTTTGGTCTAAAGACTACTAGTTTGAAAATGAATGCAAGTTGCATTGGCATCAGGTATTGCAAAAGAAAATTATTTCTTTCAGTCATGAATCCAAAGATGTATGTACACTGTGGTGCTAAATCATTTAAAGATTTTGACATGAAATTAGAGTTTCATCCTCCATCTGTCTCCATTAACTTCCTGTCAGCTTTCTGCTGTCCACTATCTCAGTAGAGATACTTTAATCAACTGAAATTAGAGGATAAACAATTGAGGTCTAAATGATGCAAACACTTACACAATAAGGACAACAACAAAAAAAAACAGTGGACCCACCGGCAAATATATCCGTCTCCTCCTCAGAATGGACCCCGTTAGTCTTGGAGTTGACCGTGCTGGCGTTCTTGATGCCAGGCACTGCAGTGACGGCTTCCTCAGAGAAGAGATCAGCGGCCTCCTGTAGCGGGCCGCCTGTGTTGCTAACGTTACTGCCGGCTTTGGTTGCGACGGGCTTTCCCCTTGGCTCCTTGCTGACGGGTTTCTTCGAGGCGGCCCCGAGCGGCTCGCCGAACAGATCCTCGTCAGGTTCACCGAAGAGGCTTTTCTGTGGCTGATGGGCAGATTTATGCTGCCGAGGATCCGCGAAAAAGTCGCTTCCCTCGTCTTCGAACAGATCGACTGTGGCCCGGCTGGGGATTTTGGCATCAGCAGCGGCTGGAGAATCACTTAGAAGGTTCACCAGTGGGTCAACGAATCTGTCCCTGGCAGGTGGCGGCTGTTGTGAGTCACCGGCTGGCAAATCATCGCTGAGGTCGATAATTGAATCTGTGGACGTTTCTTTTGCTTCCTGTTCCTCATCATTGCTTCCTGTTTTCCTGTCTCCGGGTGGATCGGTGACATCATCGGCCGCTTCCCTCTTATGTGCTGCTGTTTCAATAGTAACGTCCGCCACCACTACTTTCCCTCGCGGAGCTTCAGCTTCACCTCCAAATAGGTCAACAAAATCATCGGCGGGTTCGTCTAAAGGGATCTCAGTTGCGTCCGTGGCCGCGTCTCCGGGAGAATCGGTTATGTTGCCCGTAAGGTCGACAAAGTCATCCGAGGGCTCGCTTGCATCTTCACTCGTCGGTTTGTTTTCCGTTTGGCTGCTGAGGGGCTCGATTAAGGGATCATCCATGATGTCACGGGGAGGCTTCATTGAAACGTCGCTGGGTTGACTGGCAGGTGATGGCGTGCTGCCATGTTCAGTCAGTGGAGAGTTAACCTGGAGATTTGGGGGGGAAACGGGCAGAAGGGTGGATTGTTTTTAAACATGGCTGGACATAACATTCTGTCAATTGGTATTTCATCTGGATAATATAATGATAGGCACAAATTCCAATATTCTTCAGCTGAATGAGATGTTAATTGTTTAATTTGCCTGACAAACCGCTTAAACAAAAACATTCGCACACCATAGTCACAGCTTAACACAGATTTATATTTAGCCAGATCACAACAATTTAAATGGATTTTAGGAGACTGAAAAGAACAAAACAAGCATTTGCGAAGGAGACAATTAATCTACACTCAGGTTCAAGTTTATTAGGTACTTCTAGCTCAACATAATACAACATTCCAGCAATACATCTCATTTCCAAAGTTTTTGTAAAAAACGTTTATAGAAAAGGTGTTAATTAAACTTAAAAAGGTAATTTTGGAGTTTTATGGTGCTGTTGAATTGTTGTGTTTAAGAACAGAGGCGTACTTTTGATTTCTACCCTCACTGAAGAAAACATTAGATAAACCTCTCCGCTTTGAGAATCTTGTGAACAGGTAAAATAAATGAGATATTTCCTCATAGTGTGGGTGTTAAGATAAAGATGTCCATAATCCCTCTTAACCGGTTCCTGCAGCATTATCCAAACATGTGGTTGTAAAACACAACTTCCCCAAACTCAACCTGCAGTTAAATCATGTTGTTTTATAGTGAGAGAAAAGATGTGTGTGTGTGTGTGTGCGCCCCCCCCCCCCCCCCCGCGATAGCAACCACTCAGTGGAGGTGGAACGTAAATAACCCTACATCAGCTAAAAAGGTAACATCCAGAACTTGCTGAGTAGTGTCGTTTCAATGCAGCAGAGAGGGGGGGGGGGGAAATCAAAAGACAGCAACTTTCCAATCTCTCCTCTGAACTTTGAATGTGGGAAAACATCCGGGTTGTGACCACGTGACCACAGCTCACTCACATGACAGGAGGCTGCGGGAGCCAGATTTTTATGCTCGTTCGACCACAAAATAAAAAGGAAAAGTGCATTTCAACCACTGATCGTCGTGTGAATGAATGAATCCAAGATTATCGTCAACCTTCACTAACAAGCCGCAGACCTCTTGCCCGACATTGAGCTGCTGCTTTCCCAAAAAGGGTTGAAGAGGACACGGTCAGATTTTAGTGAAAGTTAACCTCGAGATGTTAGAAGACACCATGCACAGAAAACGTATAATTTGACAAATAGGAACTTCTGTTCGATGCATTAACTCGACTCGATAAAAAAAAAAAAATCACAGCTAGGAACTTTCCGAAGAAAAATGCCAAAAAATGCTCTTACCTAAAACAGGCTAAACGTGTGTCAGCACCCTTCCAAAACTTTTGCCCGCAGTGCCCCATTAGCTCTCTTCGTTAGCTTTCGGCGTCAGTTAGCCGAATATCGCCAGAAGGCTTTAGCTTAGCGCGAGACACGTACCGCGCTCGTGAAGAGCTCGTCCCCGACGTCGTCTTCGTCGCTATCGCGGCCTCCCACCTCCTCTGAGTCCAGCACATCGTGGTCCTCGGAGTCGGGGAACGGAGGAGGACTGCGCTCCGAGCTGGTCGCCATCTTCAATCTGCTTAAAACACACGCGAAGGGGAGGCGACGTCAACTGCTCCGCACACTCTCTCCCTATGTGTGTGTGTGAGAGTGTGTGTATGTGTGTGTCTGCCTGGCGGACTGACGTGTGACCCTTTCAGTAAAAAAGGATTTAAAAAAATCTCCGCTGTGGCGGAAGTTCACCAGAGGACCGGGAGCTGCGACTGACTGGAGGCGTCGGGACGTTCCGAGAGCACCGCTGTCCTCTTTTTACTTCCTGGTCCTCCTTCTTGTCAGGTTAGCTTCGCTGCTAGCCACCAGCCATGAGACGGATGCAGCAGTGAGCCGGACATAATAGAAACGTCCTATTTCTTTCTTTATTTCTTTTTACGGGGGTGGGGGAGATGTTTCGTCACGTGCACGCCGTAGACGCGGAGGCACGAGAGCCGCTTCTCACAGGTGCGCACGCGGAGCCACTCGAGCAGGACTCTGATGACGGTAAACTGGTTGTTGATGTCCACGCGGGACAATAGAACATTTGAACTAATTTGTAGTGCGTGACACACAATTTAACTATAACACTTATTTACTCAACGATGGCTGCTACTTCAGTGTGATTTTAAGGAAGTGGTTGCACTATATTTTACTGCACTACATTGTTTTGACAGCTAGATCCTCTTCATGGATCACATTTAATTCTAACAAAACATATGAAAGCTTAAATGCAATGCGTGGACATTGTGATGTTTTTTTTTTGCCACTATGGTGTCGTGTTTTACATAGCAAACAATCAATTGGAGTGCAAATAACCCTAAGAATAATTGATAACACCATTGTTTGTATTATCAAGTTAACTGCAGCCTTTCTTAATCCATCACTTGACGTTGTCTAATGTCAGAAAATACTGAATGACACTTTCAGTCAGCAAAGTATTGTATACCAACAAAATCCATGCTTTTTACATGGTTTAAATAATAGCTATCAGTTGCCAATACATTGTCTGTCAATCAAATAATCAATGAATCTACCAGCGCTGCTATTCCCAAATACTTCTGGCTCAGCTTTTCTGTTTGGTCATTTTTGGTAATTTGGTGAGAAGCAAAATATTCTAAAAAAAATTGTTTTTTTAAAGTATCTTATCCAACCGTGTAGTTCTAGATTACCTCATACTTCAAACAGGAAATCATCATTACATCATAATCATAGTAAGAACAACCTCTTGACGTGTAGCTTCATATGCACCACCACCACCAAAAACAACAACAACAAAACAACATCTTAAATATCCCTTTTATTGGGGACATCTGTTTCCTTTGACCGGTTTGTGTTGTTTTTGCTGCTTTTTAGGAGAAACAATTTTTGACAAGAGCGCGTCATGCACCCAACGTGATGATGGTGGGAGCGCAGAGCGACGGTTAACATTTGAGGAGGCGGTGGAGGAAACAGGTTTGATGCTTTGGTTTTTACCTTTGGCCAATTTTTTTTTTTGTTGCAAGTGAAACAAATTATTCAATATGTGATTGCTGAGGAAAGACTGTGACTCGGTTTTCAGGATTTATTCAAGTGTTTTGGTCTCTGCCTGCAGTTGTCTGTTGCCAAAGCAACATTATTCCAAACATCATTTGGTGGCGTCATTGTGAAAAAGCGCAGCTCTGTTTCTGAAGTGGTCTTTCAATGGATAACCTCCCTCCTTGTTTACTCGCTGTGCTTCTCTCAGGGTTCGGCTTGTTCCACTGGCTGCTGCTGCTGGTGTGTGGTTGGGCCAACGCCAGCGACGCCGTGGAGATTCTCTGCGTGTCTTTTCTCCTGCCGACGGCGCGCTGCGATCTGCTGCTGAGCTCGTCAGACATGGGCCTGCTCACTGCCAGCATATTCCTGGGTGAGTCCAGATCACTTCATCCATTGGTGTTAATCAGCACTCGCGTGGATCGCCGATTATCGCTCATGTTCTGAAACAAAAATGCCAATTGCCTTTTTTGGCTTCTTGAACGAGGAAAAAAATCGGCAGTGTATCAAAGACTTGTTCACCCCACTGTATGTTTTTAGAATTTTATGGACCAACCAATTGATCAAGAAAATAACAGATCGGCTGATAATGAAAATTATTGTTTGCACGGACGGCAGAGAAGATGTTATCCTACATAATAAAAAAAAATTCAATTCTAGTTGTAAAATCAACTCTAAAGGAAATGAGGACTCAGTTTTAGAGGTGAACACTGATGTCTGTGTGTTATGGTCTTGATTCCTGTCTGCCAGGAATGATGGTGGGGGGCTACACGTGGGGATACCTGGCGGACCGGAGGGGGCGCCGCAGGGTCCTGGTTGTCTCCCTGACCGTCAACGGGGTGTTTGGAGGGCTGGCTGCCGTGGCTCCGTGGTTCTGGCTCTTCCTTCTGCTGCGGTTCATCAGCGGCATCGGGTGGGCACACCGGTTGAAAACTATTTCACTTATTTCGTTATCTAGCTGACGAACAATAGAATGTTTTAGAGATCTTTTCTGCAACCAACAAGACACATTTCTTTTACAGAACCTGCATGGTCCTCCGTGAAGGATCATTTTTGTTTGGCCCACGTTTAAAAGTGCACAATAATAACTTTCCATTTTCACCTCTGCAGGGTCGGCGGGTCGATTCCTGTTATCTTCTCGTACTTCTCAGAGTTTATGCCCCGGCTGAGGAGAGGGGCAATGATCAGCGCTCTGGCCACCTTCTGGATGGCAGGAAACATCCTGGCTGCAGGTGAGAAAGCAAATCAATAAAACAATCATTTCACCAAAGTTGCACTTTGGTCGCACACAAGTGAAACTACAATTAATTTTTACATGGTTACAATTAACCACATGAAACTACAAACGTTTACACATTTTAATTCAGCATTTGTCTCGAAGCCAATAATGAATCACTTTGTGAATTACTTTGCTGGACCAATACCAAGGTGATTTGGTTCTCACCTTAACAACCTCAGTGGTATCGATGCGTCCTTCAAACACACCGGTTTAGACTTCTGAACTTCTGGGGTAAAGCGGGAACTTCCTCTGCTGGCACTATCAAAATAAGACACCGTAGTTCCATTAGCGAGTGGTTTCTGTCTGCAGGTCTGGCCTGGCTGGTGATTCCAAGAACCTGGGCACATTTCTCACTGGGAACACTGGACTTCCAGAGCTGGAGGCTGTTTGTGGTGCTCTGCTCTGTTCCCAGCCTCAGCTCGGCCATCCTCTTCCGAGTGCTGATGCCCGAGAGCCCCAAGTTCCTCATGGAGGTATTTAAAGGTCCCTAGTTCTTGTGTTTTCTCTGCTCTCGTGTTTTTTTTATTTGTCTTTACTTAAGTTCTTGCCGTGTCTTTGCCAGGCGGGACGAGAGAAAGAGGCGATCCGCGTCTTCCAGGCGATGTTTAAGATGAACATGTGGGGGAAAGGAAAGAATTTACCGGTATGGACTGAGCGATGTTCTTATTCTCATCAGTCATCTTTATTTGGTCGCATGGACACGTGCATCTTGTGTAGACAAGTATAAAGTCCATAGAAGTAGCAAAAGATAGAGGTGTAAATGACTGTAGGTGTATCGATTCTTGTCTTGAAGGAATTTGGTTTATGCACCAACTCCAAGCAAAGGGGGGAACCGGAGGAGACCAGAACTCACGGCTCACGCAGAGAGAGGCTGGCATGTGTTTTGAAAAAGGTAATCTCGCTAAACTCGACACGCACAGGCAGGATTTTAAAGGTTGTCTGACTCACAGGAGTCAATTATCAAAATTATTTTCTGTTCGTCATTTAATCGATTCATTGTCTAAGTTTACTGTGTGTTTGTTGGATTTTACACATTTATTTAATCAAATATTTAAGTTCTTAAAACTGTACTTTGACATTCATGGCCTTAATATTATGTTATGGAGGGGAACTACCATTAGAGCCTGAAAGTGCCAGTTATTATTTGGTTTTACATTTTTACATAATACGTGGGCATTTTGACCTGTTGGGAGAGAATTGTTATTACTCCTTTTATAATAAGGAGTATATTTCCCTAGTTATGCGTTGTTATGTACTTTCATTTAGAATAATTTCTTTGGTTTGACTTTCAGGTCTTTGGGCCTATTAAACAGATGTTTAATGGTTCGCTCAAATCCAGGAGCATCGCTCTGCTCATCGTCTTCTACTGCATCTCCTTCGGGTGAGAAGTCCCATTCAGACCAAAGAGCATCTGCAGCAACACTTCTGTTCTCCTCTGCGTTTTCAGAATTGTACACAAATTCAATGCTTCAGTTCGACACTGGTGGTTAATCTCACACTGGCGGCTTGCAGTGACAACGAGATAAGCGCTGTGCAAAGTTTATCTCCAACGAGCAGAAATGGTGACACCTAACTGTAAAAGTTCATCTTTAACAACCTACGTGACCTTCTGTCCCGCCACCTCCGTGCATTTAAGAATAGTTTTACATTAATAAATGTCTGGAGCGTTTGTTGAAAGGGAAAAACGTGTTTGTGTGTGTGTGTAGTTACTACGGACTGTGGATGTGGTTCCCGGAGCTGTTTGAGAGAATGGAGAACGGCGGCTCGCCCTGCGCCAACATGTCGGTCCCGCCGCTCCTCCAAAACCACAGCTGCTACCCGGTGAAGACTGCAGGTGTGTCACAACCTGACATGACGCACTAATTCCGAGTTGAGACACAGTGAGGTCTGAGGAGGATGTTAAGGCATTAGTGCAATTCCATTACAGCTCATGGGGGTACTTAGAGCGGGAGAGGCATCCACACCATTTAGAGAGGCGTTCAAAACAAAAGTGACATCAGGAAAAAAAGAAGAAATGAAGACCGATCAATTAAATCGCTCAGGTTTTTTTTTTTCTTGCAAACAAATGACTTGGTTATTTCATCTGATTTATAAAAGTATAACGTCTTGTGCTCCATCCCACTGCCTGCTGGGATAAACTCCAGCCCACAGAAACAGAATAAACTGGAGTAAAAGACCAATGTATGTAGATCTTTTTTCAACCTTCCTGTATCTCTTCCTCCCCTCACAGTGTATGCGGAGGGCTTCATCATTGCTGCATCAAACTTACCTGGAAACATCTTCTCCATTCTTATGATAGACCGACTGGGAGGAAAGGCTCTACTGTGTGAGGCTTTCACTATTTCTGACAGTTAATAACCTTCTAGTTAATAATCTATTTATGCTCTTCTACCCCAATATCATGCTGCTGATAAATGCCCATCAACATAGGCAGCTATCTTTGAATCCCTGAATGTTCCCCAATCTCTCCCTGATTTCTTTGGTGTGCCTCCAGCCGGCAGCCTGCTGGCGTCCAGTCTGAGCATCTTCCTCATCTACGTGGTCCAGACCAAAGTCCAGAGTTTGATCCTGTCCTGCGTCTTCAGCGGCGTGTCCGTCATCACCTGGAACGCCCTGGACGTGCTGGGAACAGAGCTCTACCCGACACAGCTACGGTAGCCTAGAATGTTATTTATATTTATATATGTATATACAGGACATGTATGTGGGATACTGGAGACTTTTTGGGGGGAGAGTTGTGAGGTCACACACTTGATGAGTTCTTTACTCACTCTGTTTCTCCCCCCCCCCCCCCCCCTGCCAGGTCCTCCGCTCTCGGCTTCTTCACCGGCGTCGGCCGAGTGGCGGCCATCATGGGTAACGTCGCCTTCGGCCGGCTGATGGACACAAACTGTGCCGTGCCGGTCCTGCTGGTGTCGGCTCTGCTGCTGACCGGAGGTCTGGTGGCGCTGGTGCTTCCACAAACCCGGCAAACGGAGCTCACCTGATCTCTGCTCAGCCCGCACGACACCCAAAAGACCTTCTCTTAACATCCCGATGTGGATGTTCAAACCACGAGCCTTCTGTCACCTCTCTGTGCCTTATTGTTTGTTATTTTAATTCCAAAAATGCCAACGGTGAGAAACATTGTCAAAAGAAAGTAGGGAGAGTCTCCAACGTTTCTAGGAATTATTATTCACTAGTATTATTATACTTTTAAGAGATGAGAATAGAGGATTATTTCAGAAGGTCTCGAGGCCTCTGACTTCTACGAGTCGTGTGACAGATAATCAAAGACTCATTTCGTAGTGATTTTAATTTACATTTTTTAATTTATTATCCATGTTGAAACGTTAATATATCACCCAATGGCAAAATGGGACCACGGTGTGGAAAACCAAAGATGACAATCAGGGAACAAATCACATCAGAGTGGGAAGAAGATCTGTCTTTGGAACTTGATCTTATTTTTTGCTCCTGTGTTTCACACATATAGTTTGTGTTTTAATATGCATTAATATACAGTCGCTAAACGGGCTGCAATGTGATGCTCATCACCATCCATAAAAGTACTTTCCAACGGTCAGGCTCCCATCGTTTCTTACAGCGGTTGAAAAGTCAGTACAGTAGTCCTTGTACTTTGTACACATTTTATGGAGAATGATTTGAGTAAATCACATGAGACACTGGAATGAATCTGTATTTTTTTTAATTTGTATAATAGATAAACTTGTAATAGCTCAGGACCACATTTCACAACCACACACAGTTGAAATGAAACAATTTAGGTATTTGAAAGCTGATGCAGGTAAAAATAAAAATGCAAGACATGGAAGTAATAATTTCCTGTGAAAGCCTTCTCTTATATCTTTACATTAGAAGCATCATTCTTACTCTTTACACTCTGCATCCTAGCTGATGCAAAAAGCAGGTCTCAGTGGTCTGATGGTAAACAAGCCAAAATAAGAGTCCCCAAGGACGGAAGTTAGACTGTCCTTTGGTAAAACCCACATTCCAACAGTAAAAGGATGAATAAATACATACAGATATTTTTCTTAAAAGATGAGAAACATGCAGCTGCTGCACATAAGGGCCCATGACAAAATAAAAGCCACATGACCTCTGACCTGAAAACATGAATAAAAGTCGCCTGACAAATGCCATCAAGGTAACACCGATATGATCAATAGGTCGTTATTTATTCTCATTAATTAAAACGCTCAGCTTGCAGCATTCGACCGATAGTGTTTATCATTATAATCTTCACGAGCATTTCAAGTCAAGTGTTTGAGTCTTTTAGAAAAGAGAAAATTAAATGTTCAGTGTCATCACACTCACACTTTATCTCTCTCTCACACACACACACACAGTTTACCTACAGTAGTACTGTATTACATGTTGCAATACATAAACAATATTTATACATCTTCAGTTCTTCTAAATACTTCACTTATTGTAATGAACAAGTGCACTATGACAGCGAGGCAGATGTTTATAATCACAGAAATGGAGGTGGAGATCCGTCTTTATTCCCAGGAGCAGTTTTTTGTGTGCTGTGGCAGAATGGAACGTCTCAGTTATTGGTAGTCGTTGTCTCGGAGGAGCCTTCTACATTCAAGCAATGACTTCAAATAACTGGACGCGAATAGATTAAGCCGATCTTGCGTTTTATTGTGGTTGAACGTGTCCGTGGAGAATTTGTTCCTAAAGAATATGAACCATTATTTATAATATCTACATTTTGAATGAGTCTGATTGCTAATAACATGTGTGACAGATTTGGGCATCCACATGTGAGAGAATTTTTATTCTCCTGTTTTATCTTCTTTTAATTTCTTAATAATCTTAATGCCCCGACCTATACGACCACATAGATTATTAGTTCCTACCCTCTAACAATCTACAAGTCCTCGTCCCTTAATTTATCTATCACAATTTTAGACAAGTGTGCAATGTTGGAAAAATCCGCACGTGTCTTAAGAGGTTTAACTCGCCTTCCTTCATCCGGTCTCATTTCATGACGAGCTCGCTGCTACAAATGCTGAGAAGACCACAAGATGTGGTGGAAAGCTCAGAAAACATCACGTAAGCCGACTCGTGAGTTTTACTCAACTGTTCCGCTCAATAATTTATTTTTTTAAAGTTGACCCAGAAATTGAGTAAAATGAATCCAATTGGCTCCTCGTGGCAGTAAAATAAGTTACAAAATAAATATTTTTGGATAACGACACGGGGGGCTTCAGAAGGAAGAGAAGGATTTTGTCTCATGTCTGATTGTCATTAATATCACGTACGTCCAGGAGCCATTTCTCAAAGTAACAAAACCACAAAGTGGAGTCCTGGAAATCTCCACGGCGACGCTGGTAACAGGATAACGGAGGAGATGCTACACGCGTGATGGGCGATATTTGACAGGGGCGCTAAGGGGAGGGAGGCAGAGGGCAAAAGGTCACAGGTCACTGCGTCAGAGCCAGGAGGACGTCCTTCACCAGCATGGTGCCGATCACCATTTTCTCACAGTTGACCGTCAGCTGGGCGGCTCCTCCCTCTTTGGTTGCCACGGTAGCCAACACCAGGCTGCCGCTGGTCACCGTCCGGCCCGCAAACCTGTGGACAAGACGATCAGGAGGAGGGACAGGAGGACTGAGGTCAAAGCAGTAAAGATCGGAAGTAAAAGACAAAGCCACAGAATGAAGAAAAAGGGGACAAAGGTGAGTGTCAATTCACTGTAGTCAAATTATGAACCAGACTCAATTGATCCCTAATGGTAACTAAGTAATAGAGTAGTAATATTTAATAGTAGTAATTAGAATTAGCTCCATTTACCAACTGAAACACTAAATATTAATGCATCAATAATGAATCATTTTGCATGATAACAACTATTACGTTACTTGAAATATAGTTTGATGCTGATTCATTTGTACTTTTAATGAATTCAAATGTAAATGGCAGATTACTTCCTCCACCTCTGGCCTTCACCACTAGTAAAAAAACAAACATTTTATGTGTGTGAACCAACCCTTTAAAGCTGAAATGTGATCCAACCACTGACAGTTCACACAGGTGCATATAGTCACATGTTTCACTTGAACAGGATCTCAGACTCCGGCTGTGATGCATTTCCCTCTCACACGGTTGAGAGCGGCCTCATCACAGCTGATCTTCTCACCTGCACTCCTTATCTGAGCCGCACGGCACTCTGCTGAGGTTGGCGGCGGTGGTCACCCTCTGGACGATGGTGTGTTCGTTCCGGCACTTGGCGTCCAGGGTGAGCTTCTCCGTGATCTCGTTCATTCCCATCAGCTGACCTGCGGAGGAAGGAGGCGAGCGATGGTCAAACTGGAACCAACGTTGGAGCCGCTGCTGTTTTTTTTAACGTCTCCCAGGGGCACAAAGTGCAAAGCGGTTATCAGTAACACAGCGCTACATAACGAGGTGCCGCTGACATCCGAATCAGCTTTAGATGATCTGTTATTTGACGATATTGGCCAGCTACAGACACATACAGTATACGGATACTGTATATAAGACAGTGATTTGATGTGACTTAATACATCCGTGGGTATAAAATGCTACTGGAACATAAACAGTGCTTCCCAAGTGGTTCAATGTAGGACATTTTCAAACAAAACACAAACATTAACATTATTTGAATTGATTTTGGAGATGTGCAGGTCTAAAGACGTTGAGACAATTTGGTTGTCGGTATAAAGAAAGTCCTCACTAATTCTGCAACAATAACTCTTTATCAACAACATAATTAACTGATTAATTAACACCTTTTCTATCCTCAATTCAAAAAAGCAAAAAGACCTAAAAAGCTTATAAGAAGAAAAAGAACAGGAGACGTGCAACAAGCAGACAAAGCTTCCTTTGAGGGTTCCTGAGTAAAATACAGCTGATTAAAGAAACAATTAATTCAGCAGACACATCGCTGGTGAAGTTGCACGTTGAAATCTAGAAACTGAAACCAAGACGTCTAAAAACAATGAACTTCTTCAACACCATTCAAGGCTTTTTTAGACGTCAAGACGTGCTTCGAACCTGCAAATCCCCCAAAACAATCCGCGCGTACGAGGTTTCAATTTGTGACATTGCGACACTTCAGATTCATCAGGTCATCCGCAGCTCCAAAGCTCAGGAAAGAGAAGCATGAACGGGCCGGATGTCATTGCTGTTTCTTTGTGTGTGTTTTTCCGTTCACACGCAGAGCGGCTCGGGATCAGCGGGTGAGCGTTTCGGCTCATTGCTGGTGGAGCAGCGTGCGAGCGGCCTTCGGTAGGATGCAGGTTAGTACAGGTGAGCCTGTGTGCAGCCGCAGACCCGGAGGTGCATGAAGTGTCGATTACCAAGGCGAGGGGAGGGGAGGGGGAAGGTGGGGTAGTCAGTCGGAGGCATTGGAGGAAGGAGGAGGAGGAGGAGGAGGAAGGGGGGGGGGGGTGGTCTGCGTGAGGTTGGCTTAAAGGCAGGTGGGCACACAGATGGCTGTGAAAAAAAAACAAATCTATCTACTCACCTAGTAATTGCTTCTCTACGGGGGGGGGTACGAAGAGGGAGGAACCGTGGATACGACACATGTTTAAAGAGTCACCGCGGGCTCGTTAGAGGTCATAACTCACTCTGCGTTATCAGGGAGGGGAAATGGACGCCGAACAACAGAAACATGCAGATAACTGTCGTCTGTAGCTGCTCAGCAAACACTTAACTCTTGCTGTATTTCAAAAACCTGGCACGCACGTCTCTTAATACAAAGAAGTATTCAGCGCTGGATGGGTCCGGTCTACTGATGAACATCCAGTGATCCCGTGTTGCTGGGAGAACGACGAGAAGTTGCTTTTGTGACCCATGATAACATTTTGCTGACTACTGATATCAGCTCATTGTCCATAGCAACCATCTGAAATAACAGACGGGAGGACGACGTCGCTGACCAATCAGAATCAAGTATAGCCTCCGGAGACGTTCTGCTTTTTAAGAGTGACGCGAATGACACTGTATATCTGACATAACAACATCAATGAATAACACGTTAATTGATCCTCCATCCTCTTGGATAACTCAATTAAAAGTTTTTACTCACTATTTTACTCCTCATGAAGGAACTTATTCGCACCTGTATGATTTCCCCCACAATTGAGGATATTAAAGTATTTTATCAATGTTACTAGAGTTTGTTTTCAGTTCATAGAATAAGTAAATAAGACGGTCTTTACAAAAGTAACATCAGATTTATTTTCTCTTTCTAAAGCGTCTATTTTCTGTCATAGGAATTGCATGTATTATACATGGTTCATTCTGTACACATGGCATCCATTGTAGTCGGTCCATCCCGGGAGTGGGATCCCTCCTCTGACGTTCTCCCTAAGGTTTCTTCCCTTTTTTCCCTCTTGGAAGGGTTTTTTCATTTTTTGGGGAGTTTTTCCTGTGCCGATGGTGAGTTTCGGGACCGAGGATGTCGTATGTGTACAGACTGTAAAGCCCTCTGAGGCAAATTTGTAATTTACGATTTTGGGCTATACAAAATAAAATGAATCGAATTGAATTGAATCTTGAATCTGACAAAAATGGTGTAGGTGGACGGCATGTGACTGATATCAACTCACCTTGCTCCTTTTTGAACTCATTTTCTGTCAGGAAGACGGGCCTCATCAGCTCCCCGACCGGCGGCTGAATGGAAACGAAGAATTTCCTGGTGTGAGTGCTGAAAATGGAGAGAGACCGTTGAAGAAATTGTTATCATATCTCTAAAAGACAGAGCAGAGGGTTGTCTGAACTTATTCGATCTGTCATGTTTGGTTTTCCCTGCAGCGCCGCGGGAGGAGCGCGGGGAGGAGCGCGGGAAGCTGCGAGGCGACGCGTTCAAACACACAATCAAATCTCACCAGAGCTGGAAGTTCGCCGCTTGCGTCGAGTCGCAGAAATCGATGCCCATCACGGCCGTGGCCGTCTCGCCCGCCGGCAGCAGCTCTGTCGGCGCGCAGGGGCGAAAAAAACAGGCGACAGCAAAACATCAACGCACAGCGTGGACACTAGGAGACACTGGGAGACACTGGGACGCAGTTTAATATGGTTTACTTTGTTCTTTCTTTGTGACCATCTGGCTTTTTGTCAAACACCATTTGCAGACACATGTGCACAAGAGAGATGATAAATATCTGTGTTTCTGACAATCCACAGCAACACACTTTTTAAGCATGACATCATCTGCATGTGGCTCATTCCACCCGACATTCTTCTCATTGTGAAGCACGAGCAGCGCTGAAGCTCCTCCTCAAACTCACCGATCTCTGGAAACTCTTTGACCCTCATGCCGGACTGCAGCTTCACGTCCTCCATGTGCAGGTTCTTGGCCTCCGAGGTGGCGTTGTTGGTGAACTGCATCTGCACGGCCACCATGTTGCCGTCGGGGCTGAAGGGCTGCCGGCTGAAGCAGTACTCCACCGACAGGCCCTCCCCTCGGATGCGGTGCAGCAGCTCGTAGCTCTTCAGTGCACTGCAGGGAGAGATGTTCTGCAGGCAGAGGACGAGGGAGCTGCATTATTATTATTATTATTATACCATCTCCGAAGGAAACACCCTCTTCACGGAGGCATCGCTTGGTAGGGTGCCGAGTCAGGAATTATAAGATCTTGTAATTGACTTTGCTGCTGGTTGTAAAATTGGGAAGACGAGTCTTTGAACGTTCAATGACTTTTATTTAAAAGCCCCGACAGACACAACGTTTTTTACCTCATGGGCCCTAAAGTACAAAACTTAAATGATTCATTTAAATGTGTAGCTCATCCAGTTCTCCACAGCAGAGTTATTACAACTAGAATGAGCTGAAAATGAGTGTGGGAGTCAAGGGAAACAATTTGGTCAAAGTTGGTGTGAGATTTGATCAAATTAAATACCGAGACAACAAAATACAATATAGCATCTAATCGGAAGGGCAAGAAGCAGTATATTGCATAGAGAGCGCAGAATATATAGAATTAATAGATCGGTAGATACAAATACGCTAACATATGACCTAAGAACAGAACAAAAACCACATTAACCAAACCGAATTATTAAAAAGATTAAGAAAGGTAAAGGAGTGAAAACAGCGATGCAGAAAGGATAAAAATGACGTCCCGCTCTGCCAGAGGTTCCCCCAGTTAGTGTGTCAGAAGAAGGAGAAGAAGAGGGACATGCGAGGTACGTACAGCCGGAGAGAGGACGGCGTCAGACAAAGACAGTCCCTCCAGGTCGGTCACCAGGCTGTTGGACAGGAAGCTGTTGACCGGCGTGACTTGAGGAGACGCAGCGGGTTCGACTGTGGAGAGAAGAGACGACAACCTGAGACAACGAGGACGTCCCCGATCTCCGCCGCGTTCGCCCTTTCTTTGTGTTGTCTCGCGTTTGTGTTTGCTTCCCTGTCGTGGTGTCTCTGCGAGAGAGGAACTCACAGTCGTCCAGGTCGAGCAGAGACATTTCTTTCTTCTCTTTCTTGGTGTCCTTCTTGACGGGCTTGGGAGGAGGTTTGGATTCAGCTGCCTGGAAGGAGATGAAAGAAAACTCACTTTAACAACGGTTGCTTTGTGAAGAGCTAAACACAGGAATGCTTGAAGCACGAGTCGATACATTTGTGTTTTCTGTTGTTGCAGACGGGGTCCTGAATTCAGGGTGTCTTTCGTTCCTGTACCTTTTTCTTCTTTTTGACGTCAGCCTCTGAATCCGAGTCGTCGGACTCCGATTGGCTGCTTTCGGAGTCGCTCTCCTCGTCGGACTCAGACTCAGAGTCGCTCTTCTGCTGGTCGCTCTTCCTCTGGTGTTTCCTCTCCTCTTCCTCACTGCTTTGCTCGCTGGAAAGCAAAGTTCAGAGGTCCTAATTCTGCAGGCGGCAGTTGTTTCATCATGAGGGACGAGGCGGGTTCTAACGAAACTACTATGTGTGACGTGGGCCGTGGGAGACGAGAATAAAGTCGCTTTCATTTGCCACAAAGTAAAAATTCAGTAAGAATGAGAGACGTCAAGGAGTCCAAATACTTAAAACACAGTATCTTACATTTAATATCATCACAATGTCCTACCTTTCGCTTTCTTTCACTGGCTTCTTTAAATCTTTCTTTATCTTCTTCTTGTCCTTTTCGTCCTCTTCCTCCTCTTCCTCAGACTCGGAGCCTTCCTCGCTCCCTTCGCTCTCTGACCCCGACCCGCTCTCCTCCAGTCCGCTGCCCATCTCCGACCCGCTGGCCGAGTCCGACTCTGAAAGGGAGAGACGATGGTGATCGGAGCGTCGTCGCGGTAACAGAACCACTCTGCTGTGCAGATGCGCCTACACACACGTACTCATCCATGTTCCACTTTTTCATCATTGAGGGAATGTGAATATGTGACACGCCATAGAAATATGCGACTGATAACAAACATCACTGAGCCTTTTTTTTTTTAGGAGGTAACAACACACTGGTGACCACTTTGACATGAAGACTCGTTAGAGCCAAAGGACGAGACGGCAGAGCCCGTTCAAGCTACCACTGTCCGCGGACTCCGTCGGCCCGGACTCGCCCTCCGAGTCCGAGTAGAACGGCTTCTCCACCCTCTTCTCCTTCCTCTTCTCTCGGCTGCTGCATTTGGTCCACTCGGGCACCTGGGGGGAGGGAAACCGCACAGTGAGCCGACCGCCCTCACCCCCCTCCCCGGACGGGAGCGAGAGACGCGGGCGGGTTGCGGCGGCGTGGCCACGAAGGCCTCCCTCGGCCCGGTGCAGCCGAGCGAGGCCTTCGTGGCCAGTGGCAGAAATGGTTCTCTTTCTAATACGGGGAGCGGTTCCATTAAGAGAAGTGATGTCATGAGAGTGAGTACCACCCAGGGATAGGGGATAAATTGATCCGCCATCAGCTAATGAGGGTGGACGTCCCCGCGCCAGAGGACAGCGCGTCCTGCTGAAAGAATCACGTCTTTAATGGTAGAGGCCGAGGGAGAGGGGGCTGTGGTTCAGGTAGCTTTGGCTGAGTTAAGCACAGAACAGCAACTACGTTGGGTTGGGGGGGGGGTCTAAAAGCTTTCTGGGTTTTGCCGCTATACGGGTTGAGGCTCAGGGAGAGGGGGGGGGGGGGGGGGGGGGGGGGGGGGGGCTCTTTGCCCTTAACGGACTCACACTCGTTAATGTTGTGACTCTTTCGAGCAGCGCAAAAACCTGGTGGATGCAGAACAGAAAAACATTGGGGTGCAGGTGAGATACGGAAGGAGAGAGTTTGGTTTTGTTTTTAGAAAAAAGAGAGAGAGAGAAAAACAAGCACAGGAAGGTTTTCTGGGTTAAGAATAGAAGACGTGTGAGAACAGTTTCTGAAATCAGAGACAGAATCTGGCATTTAGGTGCAGTAGCTTCTACAAGTATCAAGGGATTATTTTTCGTTCTGGCAAAAATGATTGCACTCCAATGTAACTTAATTATACCGTTTACACCCAAATGAAGAGCGAGACGGTGAACATTAACATTCACTACTCACTTATACGTCAACAATGCATTTGGTCCTCATCAGTGCCGAAGCATGATGATTCCTGGCATGGATTAAGATGGACTAAATGACGAGGTGGAATCACATCACTCAACAGCAAAACAACAACGACAACATTTGCAACACATTCACAAACTGTGTCACAAATTTCACGTGAGACCAGTTAGGTGCAGGAAAAGAAACAGTGAAGTGCAGTCGGCCTTTATGTGACCAGTTGGCAAAATAAATTCCCCTCAAGGTGCACTGACCCTTGTTCAGGGGTCTTTTGGATGCGTCGCATTCTTGCATATTATTGAATACGAGTGTTAATAAGAGAGTAGGTGGACCTTGAGTGGAGATTTTGTCACCTGCAAATGTCAAGTTTAACCGATAATAATGAAAAAAAGCCTCAAAATAATGAAATACTTATATGATAACAAAGAAAATGAAAACAAAGTTGGTTGGTACATCTAAGGATTCTTGATAACGGATGTGAACGATGTCGTCAAAAGGCAAATAAATGTATCTCGAGTTTAGAGACGCAGTCAAGCTCACCTTTCCAATCGTTTGGACTTGTTTCAGTTGACACATTACCATTTAAACTTAATTTGAATCTCTTACCGCATTAAACAACAAGCAGCACCGAGGAGTGAAATCGGTTTCTACATTATGACAACCAGAGAGAGACTATGAGAGGAAAGAGAGAGCAGTCTTCACAACAAACATCACCACACTCCCAAAGGGGGGTCGGGGGGGGGGGGGGGGGCACCTCTCTCCATTGTCCTAGCAGGCTGATCCGCCCCTCGCCGGTGGTCATGACCTCCTCTGTCTGTGCAGGTGCATAACGTGCAGAGGGAGAGCAGCGATGTGGTGACACACACCAGCGTCATTTTCTACCTAGCTTTCTTTTTCTGCGTGTAGGTAATCCAATTTGAATGGATTTTACCCCACTGAATATTATCTAACGTGAATCAGAACAGATTCTCAAGAGTTTCATCTCTCAAAAGAAACACTGTCCGCCTGCAGGCCAGAAAACATTCAGCAGTAATTAAACTTATATCATCATTTAGCTGAGAACGTGCTAAACTGCCTGAATGGCCTCTTGTTCACCACCATTGAATTTAAAATGTGACTCGATGCACCTGTGGCCTCATCCTGAAATCTGCATCACAAGTAAATGACAAGTTAACAGCGGGTAAGGAACATGAAGCCGAGAGTGAAAACAAACTACGCCACAATAACGATAATTAACAAATCTGAGACGACAAAATCAAGCCTTGAGGTTCCTCCCTTGGTTTAAAATCAAGTGATTTTACGAGTATTGATTTCAACAACGAAGTGAGTCGCTCAAGCTTTGATTTCCTGCCTTCGTTTAGATCACATTGCTGCTTATGGGCCGATGGCACATGGAGCGGATGGGATGGAGAAGAAGAGGAGGGACGTTGTTGCGCTGGGATGCTGCTCTATAAATACATCAAATGAAAGCTTGTTTGTTCAGCTATGCTCATGAAGAGCACAATGTAAGGGGGGGGGGGATTAATTAACTGCTTTGATGTTTGGTATCAACTATGCTGCAGCTGTATAGAAATATTGGGGTTATTTTAGCTGCCGTCCCTCCTTGGGGCGACCTTTAACCGACTCACAGTAAACAATTGTGCTCTAGCTCCCCAATCGGTTCCCTTCTGTATCGCATGTGCTATTGGCTCAAACACCGGCGGGGAATCACCCGGACGGGTCGAGTGAGCTGCTGTCGAACAGAAGCGGGCGCGCCAGAGAGGGCGAGGTGTTCACGGTGAATCAGAGGTTATTAAATCTCATCTACAATCCTCTTTTCTCCTTTGTTGGTTTTTCCTCCGCGGAGTCGGGGAGTGTTTGAGCAGCATCCTTTTGGGAATAGATGGAGGCCCAAAAGGATGTCTGTTACTGATGAGCTGTTAATGCTTATGAGCAGTGAGTGGGTGGAAGATGGAAGAGGAATCAATGTTAAATTGGAGTTAACGCTGCGTTGGAGGTGATGCTGTGGTGACTCTGTTCAGCCCCTCTGAGGCGCTGCTCTGGTGCGGGAGCAAACCCTCGCTCCCTTCCACCTTTCTCTGTCTCTGCAAGTTACTGTTCCCACTGCACGCACAGAATCCTTCACCTCCACGTTGCGCACGGAGGGATCTGGGGCGGCTTCAGGCCAGTCAGGCAACTCCTGGTAGCCGCCCGCCTTGGCATTCAGCAAGTGGGACAAAGAACCCAACTGGAAGTGGTCTCGATCTACAAAAAATAAATAAAACAAAGCCAATCCAGAATGTTCAGCTGCACGGAAGAAAGACACTTTGTAGCTACTGCAGTTATTATTATCATTATTGTTATTTTAATCATATGTCATAGACTCTATATTTTATTAGCTTTAGCTGAACAGGAATAACTAAATTACTTAAAGATTTGTGGATGGTAATTTGCAAGTGATGTCGGACATGATGTTATTCTGAAAGTGTAAATTACATCGAATCTAATGAGGTCTGTAACTAACTCCCTGTTTCATCCACCTGTTCCACTCAAACTGCTGCACTAGACCAAAGCTGTCGGTGAAATCATTTTAATCTAGTTTAATCAAGTAATCTCTATTTCACTGTGCGGGTTTATCTTAAGAACTTTAGTGTGACAGTGTCATCTGGTTAAATGGCTCCTGTCTCACTCTTTTGACAAAGAGTGCGTTATAAATAAAATGTATTATTAATATTATTATTACCTTTAAATGGAGACTCGAGGACCGGCGCGGGTTTGAGGGCGAGGAACAGCTTCTTAGCGTACTTGCTCAGAGCGCCGCTCTTCTCGGTGGGTACGATGAGCTGACGAATGAAGCGCGCCCGATCGCGGATGTCGTAGTTCTGGTCGTACTTGGCCAAGTTGAGAACATACTGCGTCAACAGTTTGGTCTGCGAGACGAGGGAACATGAAGGACACGCGAGATGAGGGGACAACAGAGACGAGACTCGGAGCCTGAGCGATGTGTTTCATGCATGGATGCGGCCTGCGGAGGAGGCGCTCTGCTTGTGGAGGTCCAGGGACTGATGTTCTACACTGAAGCTCAGTGGCAAGTTTTATAATCTTAATTTAAACATCACTATTGAGGAAGAAACACGGGTTGTTCACACCTGCTTGGAGTTGGTGAGATAAAGCTTGGCGGCCAAATTGATGATTTGCAGCTTGACGATGTCCTCTTCGTTGGTGAACGACTTGGCCATTTTCCTCAGGACGTCGGGAGCAATCTTGGGAACGTGCTCACAGTACTCGCCAATCAGCCACAGGATACTGGCCCGCGCCATCGGCACCTGTAGAACAATTCAAACGATATTAGACGGTGAACCTCCTTTGGCCCGTCTTGTTTCAGCACAGCAACCCATGATGGAACCAGTCTCCTTCTGACAGACGTTTTTCACCTGGATGTTGTCCGTCAGCTTGGCCATGTGCTTTATGATGTCGCTGTGCTTCTCCGGTTGCATCTGCAGCAGCTTCTTAATAACTACCACCGACTCCGCCACCACCAACTCTGCGCGACAGGAGAAAGAGTCCTGAAGGTGAAGCTTCTAGTCTCTGAAGGCTCGAAGCTGGAGGAGCCTCTGAGGAGCACTCACCGTCTCGGTTGGACAGCAGCTGCACCAGGCCGTTCAGACACGTGTCCCTCACCTCCCCGATGTTGGTGGCACAGCGGCCGATGGCTTGAATCGTGGCGGCCACAAAATCTTTATCCATGCTTTTGATGTAAGTCTGCAGGAAATAGATAACCACTTAGCGCAGTAAGCGATAGAGGAAGTACAAATCTGCACAATATGTATTATGCTACTTTGACAGGGGACAAAAAAGTGCTCTTCAAGGAGGATGTTGCACTGCACCTGAAACTCTCTGAGAATGGTGGAAATGTTCGTTTCGTTGGCCAGATTGGTGAGAACCTCCAGCTGCAAAGGACCATGAAAGAAACACTGAAAACTCCATTTCAAGAAGGGGCACTTCTTCTTCTTCTACCATCTACCGTAACTACTGTCACCTTCTTGATGATTCAATAAAATGAAACGCTTCAAATATACAGTACATGCTGCACTAGCAGCACAATAGAATAGAAACAGACCTTAAGGACTTTAATCTGTGTTGGGTCCGTGGAGCGGATGTAGAAACTCTTCAGGTACGGCTCAAACATTCCCTGTGGAACATACAGACGGACAGAGACAAACCACCTCAGTGAATCTGCAGCTCCACTTGCAGTGTTGGATTTCAAATGTCATTGTCAAACGTGGGAAATACAGCGGCAGGTTCAGCTCACCCTCCTCTTGATCGACATGGTCGCCACATTCTGGAGAACGACGTACTGGACTTCACTGGAGGGAGAAACACGGGAGATATTTAATTCCACTTCTTATAAACAACGTATGAATATTTTCATCAATTGAGGGGAAATTATTTAACATATCAGCTGGGTGATGGACGTGGGCCCAAAACCTTCAGTATTGTTGATAATGCATCACGTTTTAACACAAACTAAGATAACACTCTCTTGAACTAAAGGGGCAGTTTGATGGATCCTTAATCAGTGGAAAAGAGTTTAGCAGAGTTACAAAAAAGAGATTTTGCAACCAGCTGTCAGCTTTCTGAGCTTTTTGAGTAGCGTTGCTTTCTACATTTTCTAATTCCATGTGCAGAACATCTTAAGAAAAGTACTTAATGAATTATTTTTTAAAGTGATATTTGTTTGTTTCCTGAGTGAATAAAAGCAATTCATCTCCTTTCAAGGTCCTTCGTAGATGGTCTGGTCCACATTGTTTAAAAAACCTAATTGGATTTATTGTTAAAGATCATTATTCTTATAAGGCAGTAGTAAATCGATTTTAATCAGACTCCACACGACGATACGTGGTAATGGAACATATCGTACGGTGCAGCGGATTCAGCGGAATAATCCCGCGTGCTGTGTGGCCGCTGTTGAATGATGAACCCATTACAGCGCTCTGAGAGCCAGAAGAGCACTTGATCAATAAGGCGCTGACAGCTATGAACCATCATCGCTCCTCATGGTTTATGCCCCAATGTTTACCTCAGACTCACCAAGCTCCCTGTTTAATTTCACTTCCTGCTTCGGGGCTGTACAGATTTATTTTACTACCCTCAATTGTCATTTTTTTCCTCTTCTCATTCTGTTTTCCACTTTGCTGAGTTTCACGGCCATTAAAGTTCCCTCTCATCATTTCAGCTGTGAATGCTTTGTTCCTTTTTCATGAACTCAACGCTTCTCATTGGAACGTAGTGGGACCGCTGCTGGCTTTATTACACCTTTCGGAATACCCTGCTGCCTAAAATGTACGATATATCAATTAGAAGAGACCATTTATTTCAAATTCTAGACATTGCGGCCCACCTGTGGCTCCTCAGGAGACGGACCAGGGCCTTGGCAATCACCCCAACCTCCACTTTAGGGGCAAGATGGAAATAGAGCTGAGCCACAGCCATCACCACCTGGAGGGGGCGGGACAAAGGGAAGGCTAAATCATCACCAGCAGAAAACAGGTTGCACGTGATATATTTTCTGTTCATTCATTCAATGTTGCTGTAAAATGGAATAGATTTAATTTGGATTTATATAGATACTAGTGTAGCCTAAATAGGTTAGTTCATAACCAAATATAAGGAAGTCTGAAATATTTTAAATATAGCGGATTCTTATATATTTTCTTTTGATTTTTTATTAGATGGCTAAATAAATGTTGCTGCTGCTCTCGTCCACTAGTGCACATCACTTTGCTCCTGTGCTGTTCCTCCTGCCTCAGTAATAAAGCGACAGTAAATAAGTACCTCATACAAACTATCAGTTCATTATAAAACCAGACACTTTAAGTAGTACGTGTAGTGGTAGTTTCGTGATTCCAAATGCATCGCTATTTAAAAACATCAGAGTAACTATTTATTAATGACTTAATAAGTGCAAAACCATAAGCCGCATAAAGCACAAATAGAGCTCAATGATCGCCTGCTGTGCTACAAGATAAGGAAACACATGTTGTTGCCTGTAAACACGAATTTCAACGGCTCAACTACAACAGAGGCAAAATGAGGTGTGACGGGGGAACATCATTAGATCTTATACAAAACAAAACCGGCCTTCCAAGGTGACCACAGCAGCACAAATGCAGCGTGATGCTCTATTAATATCCGTTGAGAGATTGTCCCCATTTCAGAGTGAGAGGTCGGCTCTTATCAAGTGCTCAAGGGCACGTCGGCCGCTTGATGACGTCAACCGAGGCCGTGCAACTACCCGTAACGACAGTGTTTGAGAGAAAACTATTGTCTATCTCCACCATGGCAACTGGCTCAAGAGGAGAGTGAAGGTGCTGATGTTGTTGAGAGGTGCAGCGGGGCTCACAGCTGCGTTGCGGCTCTGCAGGAGCGGTTTGGTGTTCCTCAGCAGCAGCCGATGGTCCGGATCCATCACGTACGGCTTCCTCTTAGCCATGGGAGCCTCGGCCTTCTTTTCTTTCTCTTCTTCCTCCTCGTCCTCGTCTTCATCTGAGCCATAGAAGGTCTTGTCGCTTCCCTCCTCCAGCAGCGACTCCTGCAAAGACGGCGGGGATTAAGAACCGCGTTGCAGGCCGACGGACCGAGACAGAAACCTCTGTTACGTTGAAAGTGATTGTTAGTGTTAGAAAAATCTGCAAGTGGTCAACTATGGTTGGATGAATCAATTTGTACCTCTGCACAGTTACATTGGCAAAAGGGGAAAAATTAATCCAACAATATAAAACGCACGGAGCGCCACTGCTGAGACAACATGCAACTCGTGCAACTTCAAGCATTCAAACAGTTGCAAAAGAAGCAATGAAGCGAGAAGCAAGTGCAAATAGATGAGGGTCTCGACCGAAGCACCGCCGGACGTGATTCGAGGCTCTCTCCTTATTAACTTGCCCGCCCGCACACCAGAAACGCCTGTATTCTCACTCACGTTCATGTTTGGGTTGAGGAACTGGGTCCTGGCGTAGCGGGTCAGCATGTTTATGATGACCACCTGCCCCCACTCCTCCACGTCGATGAGCAGGTTGCACAACTTCCTGTAGTTCTTGTGGATCAGGTCGATGCGCTCAGGACACACTTCCTCGAAAGCCATGACGACGCTGCCCGCCACCAACTGCAGCGCACGGCAGAAGGCGGTGTTAGAGTTTCTCTTAAACGCACGTCGAGTTCAACAATTAACCGGAAATTTGGTTGGAAATTACAACGAAGAGGGAGACGGTTTGAACATGTGATGAAACAGCCGAGTCAGTGAATGGCACCCGGTGATCGGATAATTGTTAAATTGATAAACTTGCGTTTGTTTAAAAATGAAAAAATCTGCAAAAACCCACCGTGGTTTTGTCAGCGAGCAATTTCTCTATGACTTCGATAAGCTGGTCCTTCTGCTCTGGATCCAAACTGGAAGGAGAGAAGAATCAAATCATTAGCAGGCATTGAACAAATGCTGGAGAAAGAGTTATTCTGCATGCTACTGATTATAAAAGGATATCAATTACAAAGCAGTAACAATGCTGGTAAGTAATAACACTAGACCTGAGCCAAGTGCGTTTAGATTCCTACATAATGCTTATTTTAATCATTGATATAAAGCCTCTGTTCAAACAGCGATACCAGTAACTAACAACTGAACTACCAAAGAGGGGAATCAAGGGTCTGAAAGGACTTTGGTACCTGTAGAGTTTAGGGATTGCGTGTGCAGCCGTCTTCCTGACGTACGGAGACATATCCGAGGCGGCCTCTTTGATGGCCAACATCATTATGGGGACGATGATGGTGACTCGGATGCTGGAGAGGACTCGCAGCGCGCTGGCTCTGATCAGCTGGTTGGGATCCTGCAGAAGACACGTGGTGCAGTGAGTCGCTCTCCGACACTTTCATTTGGGGATTTTAGCTCATAGAGGCAAAGAGGTTGGAGACCCCTGCAGAGCACACCTGGGTGTGTTGTTCTGCTGTTATTTGGTAAAAAATAAGGGGGAATATCGTAATATCGTAACCCCAATCGTGTTAAATGTGCAAATTTCAAATGTGAAACGTCTAAATGTGAGGAAAATGTGGCTTGTGAACGCTGATGTACCTTCAACCCTCGCTGAAAGGTGGAAATGGAGAGCAGAGCGAGGTCCTGCTGCTCCTCGGCATAACGCACCAAGTAAACGTAGACGAGCTTCTTCACCTATTCAGAGAAAGGGAGGGGGGGGGGGCATGTTTAATCCAAATAATGTAGATTACTTCAATTTTTTCCGTTGAGATAAATCTGAAGAGACAAAGCGAAGAGATAACAACCTTAAAAAAACAAGACAAGAGGAAAATTGCTATTTAGTCGAGGTTAGATAAAGCGAAACCCCCGGGAACTTTTAAAAATGCGATAAGATGATTCATTTTATTTCTGCCACAATGAACCACACAAAGTGAAGAAAAGGATCGTGTGAAATAACACACGAAACATCATTACGAACCTCGATGTTTTTGCAGGCGACGTTTTTCACCACAGCAGGGAAGAGATCTGATGCGTTTTTACCTCGGGCGATCATCTGCAGAGAGAGAGAGAGACAACCGGAGAGTCAAATAAATGACTAACAGCGAGCAGTGAAGATTTCACAAGGTGACATTTTTCAATCATCTGCAAGAGGAGGTGCAACTCCTTTATATTTCCTCTCAGCCTGTTTTCAAGCTTTTCCTTTTCATTCGTTGTCCTGCTGGGACGATGACTGTGGAGCTTGAGGTTATGAATATTTAACACGCTTCGTTTCTGTAACCACGGAGGTTATATCATCTGAAACCTTGTCTTACCGCCTCAGGACCTTACAGCCTACTTACAAGCCACTTTGTATCTGTCATGGCCGCTTCTTCACCGTCCACATTATGTAGTAGAGTCCGTGCAGAGAACAAGCTTCGGCTCAGTGCTGCCGTCTGAATACATTTTTGAAAATGGACTCACGTGCACTTTTCTTCTTTATGATGCTACTTCAATCCCCACCGGCTGATCAGTGAAAGGTAAACCTCATTCGCACTCACCGCCACGATCCGCTTCATCGCCTCCAGCTTCAGGGAGTCCTTGTTGCTGTCCAGCATCTCCTTCAAGTCATCGTGTCTGAGAGAGAGAGAGAGAGAAAAAGCCTGAAAATAAGCACACCGTTTTTCATTCAACGCTCATAATGTGTCAAAATGCACCGGCGTGTTCGAGAAGTTTTTTCTCTTTGAAGTCTGAAATCCAGCTCGTATAATATGGGAACCTTTGAAACTGCAGCACATAAAAGGGGAGTAATTGGAAGGAGACGTCATCTCTAAAACATGTCGACTTCTCATAGAAATAGAAAAAATGTTTTGGAAGAAATGGAGAAAGAAACATTTTTTCATCAGAAGAGTTTTTTTTATATTAGAACTCGATAACCGACTTTTAACGGAACAAAGATTGTGGTGCGTAAATCAGCCGGGGCTGATAAGAGTTTGGTAAAGTATTTACATGAATAGTTAAAAAGACAGATCAGCTGCAACATAAACAACAAAATACTCTTATTGCCGTTTTGTGTTGTTACATAACATAATGTAATAGGCAAGCAATATTTAAGGCAAAACAAATTATACATTTATATCATTATATCATCATAATATATTTTTTAACTGTTTCAACAGTTTTTCTATTATATTCATAAAGAAAAACGGCGACGTCATTTAACGGGCGCAGAGCTGCAAATGATCACGGACCAGTTTCCAAGGCAACAGAAAATACAATATAACGATGGCAGGTGACGTCCTCCCCTCTGTGGTTTACTCCATATTCCAATATTCCATCCGTCTGGTGGTGTGACAGCAGCGAACGGAGCTGCACAACAAAGTGGATTTATCGTGACCGGAGAAGAAAGATTTCTGCTTTCCTCTCCATGAACACGCATCCAAGTGTTTGTGATTTAATTGCACGTATGACAGAAATCATTCTGTCACACGCTCCCAAACCAACCGTTTGTATAGAAGGCGGGGGGGGGGGGGGGGGGGGTTAAGGGGGTGTTTTGAGAGGACGGCCAAACCAAAAAGGTTTTCTGGGTTACAAGACCTGGGTGCTTTCCCAAACAGAATTAAGAGGAGAATTTTGAAATGCAAAGATAACTCTGCACAGACGTGAGGATGAGTCACACTAATGCTGATTTCCCACCGGTTCATCTCTCCCTGTGAAATCCTGCTGATGGGTTCATAACTCCGAAAAACATTTACATTTCTATCATCTAGTCTGTTTGATACAGACTGACAGCTCCTTCATGCACTTCACACTTTGAAGCCGCTAAAGGGACAAAATATTAAATTAAAAGTCAAAACCCAAGACACCAAAAATATATTTCAACGCAGGATTTGTTAATTCCTTAATTGAAATCCTGTCTACTTTGGCTTGGACAGACTTAAGTGCGCAGCATAAAACATTTGGATGATCATTTATGTTAGAACTAACGTACTAATAATCTAACGTACGTTAATTAAAACTCAATTATAAATTTCACAACTTGATGAACTGCAAACTTTCCACGTTTTTAACCTGACAAAGCGCCACGACGGATTAGAGAGAAATTTGCGCCTCCTTTTGTTCTACGGCTGGTGTCACGTTGCCATCGTGAGCAGGTTCCCTGATTGATGACATGACGGGGATTCATGTGGCCTGTTTGAAGACAAACAGGCTTTCTGAGGATCTAATTAAAACTGGACCCCAAACCATTGATTACATTTGCCGGTTGACGGCTCACACACGCAATGTTAGTAAAAGTGGTAGTAAGTAGCACCTTTGGATGTTGAATCCTTGGAACTCTCCTTTCTGTTTATTGTGAAGTCATTTATTAGAGTGTTTTCAAATTCTTATAGTACCTATAAACTGTACCATCCCAGCCAAAAGCTTATGTCCGTCCATACGTCACAAGAGTTGCTTTAAAAACATTCAAATTGTGTCATAAATCCTAGAACAAATCATCAAAAAACCTTTTACGCAGAACATCTCTTTAAACACTAAAAGACTTCTTACTCTCTTTTAATCAGAGCGTAGTGGTCCAGAAGGAAGATTCAATGGCTCAATGATAAAAAGTTAAGAATACAGCCATGTGTAATCTAAAGTTTAATGGCTTAACTGCAATTTATTTTATTTAACAAGCTATAAAAGGTGCCACGTCGGTGAGTTGTCATCCGGAAGGCCTGCAGGTCCCCGCTCACGCCCTGGGGCCCCGTCGTAACTCCACACCGGCCCCGCTCCTCTCGTTTCTCTTGGTTTCTTGTGTCCCGTCCTGACAAACAACGGCTGAATTTACAGACCGCTCTGAATTATTGAACCTGCCGAGGTCAGGTTACCCGGCAACCCGAAGACGAGAGATGAGCCGCGCACCTTCCGCCGAGGACAGAGAGGAGCAGATGTGGAAATGTTTTTGCATGAATCAGAAGGGAAAGATTTAAGAGTTGTAGCGTGCTGGCAGAAGTCTTTCTGCAGAGACCTTCAACTTCAGTGAAAAGCTCTGATCCTGTAAACTGAGAATAAGGAAAACATCCCAGAGTGTAATTATAGCTCTCTTTAACTAAATCTATTTCTGAAGAGAACTACTCCTGATGTTTGTTTTGAAAGGTTTGCACTCTAATTAATAGAAGAGTCCACCGGCCCCGACATGGACGTCATGATATCAGAGATCCGATTCTCGAAGGAGAATGCAAATACAAGTCTCCTATACTGTGTGTAACAGACCAAATACGTGTATGGACACGTTTTTACCTTGGTGAAGGAAAGTATTTCCTTTTAATCAGCACACTATGAAGTTCTATACTGGTGTACAGGTTATATACTCAACCTCTTTGACTTGTGTCCACCAGCCATCACTCATGTGTTGCATAAGACAAAATAACAATATCTCAATAGTACCGTAAGCCTGAGATGGCAAAACAATCCGCTATCCACGGTAAAAAAAAGCCATTTAGTGTTGAAGAAATATAGATTTTCTCATCTTGTGTCTTGCTAATTGTCTTACAGCCATTTAGACTTGTGTGGCACCTACTTGTTATTCTCTAAGTCTCATTTTTATCTGCCTCGGGAAGCAAGCAGCCAAACGCCCACACACATGACTGTAGCGCCCGAGATGCTGAATAAGTCTGCATCCTGCTGGAATCCTCCTACCGCAAAGGTTGTGTTTGGAAACCTCCGCCACCTCCACCGCCGTCGTCCAGTGGTGCTCGTTCCTCGTGGTCTCCTCCTCCTCCCCCACCTCCTCCTCCTCCCGTTCCTCCGGATCGGAGGTGGCGCAGCTCGTCGGGCTGCAGCGCGCTGTACCAGGCCTGCTGCACGCCGTCGGGCTCAGCACGGGGCTCTTGTCCTCCTCAGTGCCCTGGACCTGACTCTGCACCGACTTCACCATGTTCGCTGCGTTCACCGGCAGCTGCAGCAGCAGCTTCTGCATGGTGGTCATGTTTCAGACTCGCAGCCACCTGTGGAGGCCCAAAGGTGGGTGAAGTGGACGGACTGTCGGTCTGTGGAGTTCTGCTCAGCTTCAGTTAGATGCCGTGTTATGAAACTCCATCCCCTGAAGTTCGTCCGGTGGGGACAGAGCAGATGCAACAGAGGTCTTCTGGAAAGGCTCCGGTGCCTCTTCTTCCCGGGTGGATGCGCTTCGCCTTCCCGGGCGCCGTGATCCGGATTCACCGGAGCTCCGCGTGGCCTCGCTTTTTATTCCTCTCTGTACGCGTCCAGCCGGGCGGCAGGCATCAGCTGCTCAGTAAATGGATGCTCGGCAGAGAGGGGCGTGGAGTTTTATTCCCACTCTCGAGGAGGAGACTCCTCCCGCCTCTGCAGCAGCACTCTCTCCCTCTCTCTGTCTCTCTCTCTCTCTCTCCCTCCCTCTGTGTGTGTGTGTGCGCACTCCCGGCACGCACACAGCAGGGCGCGTCCACACAGCCGAGCTGTGCCACGACGACGTGGCCTCCCGTAACCTCCGGACACGCTGCCTCTCCCCTCCCCAGGGTGGTCGTCCTCTTCATTTTGACATCTCTCTCTCTGTCTCTCTCTCCATCACAGCTTTCTTCATCCGTCGTCGTGCCAACGAGACCTTTCTGGTACCTACGACAGAAGCTTTTGGAATATTTCTCACTCATTTCGCTCATTGTGTTTCAAAATGTCACAGTATTAATCATTTTATATTCTATTTTATATTCTGTGAGGTGCCTTTTTTTTGTTCTGGTCTTACATGACTCAGCTTTCTTGGCAGTCTCTCTCTCTCTCTCTCTCTCTCTCTCTCATTTTGCACAGTTCCCATATGTTCTTCCTGACACTAATACGATTTTTAATCTGTAATGTCACCGCGAAATACACCTTGGGGTTGCAGCATCAACAAAGAGTTACACCGACAGCGACAATGGTGTCACAACTGATGCCGTACGGAGAGAATATCATCCTGCTCTCCCTTCATGAAGTATTTTTGATCCCTTTATTCTCAATTTAGAGAGGGGACACATTTAATTATCTCGGCAACAAAACAGTCACAGTCATTATTTCAGAGATGATTCTCAATCCAAAAGACTGCCACGGCTAACTATTATTTACAATTTTCCGATTCTAGTTGCAATGCGGCGATATTCTTTGATGAAGCAGCTTACAGTAAAAAGAACAGATGAAGGCCGTCATGAATTAATCAACTATGAAAGCCGTGAAGCTGGATATTTCATATTCATCCACCACTGAGGCCACAATGGAAATACGCTGCGTGGCTGCTGTACATGTGTGTTATCTTTGATCCAGACGCATGTACATGTGGGGGAGGGAGGGGATTTTTTCAAAGGAATAGTTGGACATCTTCAGTCTTTACAAACTTCTAAAGCAACTTCCCAAAGAAAGGCCACAGACACCGAAGTCTCGTCCAATAAAGGGTCAACCATCACATAATTATAATACTTTGACATTTGATTTCTTGACCTGCAGAGCGCCGCAACAAGATAGTACCAAGAAATATCCACTGACACGGACCAGTGCCCCTTTTTAAATGGAATACTTATTCCACACTTACTCACGCTGAACACCTTTTGAAGAGGAAAGGTGTTTTTTGCTGCTCAGAGTAATAATAAAACAGAGGTTGACACGGTTTGAGGACTGATGCAACGTCTCACATATGCCGTGTTTCCAAGGAAACGGCAGCGAAGGTCGAGCGAGTGCTTTCACTGCCATGTTTACTGACAATCTGGTTAATCTGCTCTCACCGAGGAGACACGAGGTCTGCAAACACAGAGGCAAGGCGGCAACGCCCAGTCTACATCGGAATCCACTAACGGAGGCTGAAATGTACCATGCTAGTTTAAAAGCAAGAAAACATGCCGAGGTAAAATGTTCTCCTCTAGAACCAAAGGTCAAAGGTCATGGGGCATCTATGAACAATGAGCTCCCTCTGTTGGAGGAATACAGTGAAGCAGTGCAAGCTGTTCGTAAAGCTCACAACATGTTCTCAAACAGATGCACAGAAAGCAGAGAGAAAAACGTAGCTGACCCAACCGGAGACGCTCCGTTTAACTGGCACCATACGGGCGCCGGTGAGTCACACCAACGCATTCAGGAGCATTAGTCAGCAGACAGTAGCTAGCAGCAGGTTTTTGTTATGTGTTTTTCTTTTCGAAGAAGTAACCCTCACAATTTGTCAAATCAATGAGAAGCCATGAACCTGTTTTAAAGTACTACACACTAATAAGCCCCTCGCTGATGTTTTCAATTATTTTGAAAGATTAGCCCTCTTCTCAGGCCTGAGGATATAAGGGGGCGCGGATGGCCTCTGATTCATGGAGGGAGGTCTCCACAAACGCCGGTTTGCCGGTCGAGGGGAACAAAGTTGTGGAGGAAAATACGGGACAAATGTGTCCGCGATGAAAAGCAGCAGTGGCGATGCACGGGGCAATAAAGTCTATGATAAATAAATAAACAAATAAATAAATAGACGTGACTCTCTAGGTCGTCTTCAACAAAAACACGTTACTCCACCTGTTGTTCTGGCGGTGAATTGCTCTGCAACACACGCAGAACCATGAATTGAAACGAGTGTGTCGACGGTGCGTAAAGACGCAGAAGCATGCGGCAGCCTTCAGTGTGACTACAAACTATGTAATGCAACAGACATGTCTGTTAAGCTCTCATCCCCTTATACAGGAGGTCTTGGAATGGACCAAACCGAGCCTGTTATGGCCGATAGTTCAACTTGGACCAGGTGGACGTGCTCAGGTGACTCATAGAAACACTGATGTTAGATCTAGCTTTTTTTCTTCAGCACTGTTTGTACATGTTCACTCCACCAGACTGCAAACAGTCTGATCGCCGATTTCACCTGCGAACAAAATCCTGAATTCATCCCCTTCTTCGAGGTGCAGTGAGATGAAAGCCTGGGCGTATATTACAAAGCAGTAGTCAGGAATAAGGGCTGACAGGGTGCCAACAGCAGTCCCAAGCAGTCCAAACAGAAAATACACAGAGGGGCACACCAGATGCATGACTGTCAGAGAAGGAGTGGTGAGGGGCTGGTTATACACGGATGAGAAGCACAAACAGATGAGCGGAGGAATGAGAGCGACCGGGACAGGTGCGAGGTTCTGAGGGCATCTGGTGGATGGGTGGAGAATGACAATGTGGGGGTCTGGAGGAGGAGGCAAGTGTAGCAACAGCAGCAAATACTAGCATGCCCAAGAAAAGGGATTTAGCATGTTCCGATAGGTAATAAGTCAAATGCAGTGTGTCAATTGCAAGTCACAGTCACATTTTACAGTTCACAGGCCTGCACCGTTTTCTGGCTATTCTGATCCACAAACATAGCGGGTTTATCAGCAATCAGCTCGATTGAACACATAGTTCATGCGACAAAACATTCTAGCTGCCATTCTAGTGTATAAAAAATGCACGATTTGGAACACGTGTGAAACCTTCAGAGCAGGAACTTGAACTTCGTTCATTCTTCATTCGTTCATCATTCTCTGCAGCGCTTACGGCAGACCTTTCTGCCATGTCACTGGAGGAGAAGGTATAAATGGCATTAATAATGACGGCATGACATTTCGCGGAGCGAGCTCCAGGTCTTTGGTAGCGTGCATGCTGGCTCATTGTTAATGTAATTTGTTTTACCTGCTGTTAGCATTGTAGGACTGTGCTTTAAAAACACAAGTGGCAGTGGAGAGCCTCAGAGGAGGAATAAAAAGCTGTTTGATGAACAACTTGGAACTTTTCATGATTCATTCCGGATGTAGATTCTGCATTTCTTTTAAAGACATGACCGATTTGAAGCTATTTGTGTTTCTGCTGATTGTCTCAGATGCATCCTCGGTTTGTCTTCATAATATGTTGAGATATTAGGTAAGAAAATAGGTGCGACAAAAATGTACCAGACTTTGACCATTTTCAAAAAATATGTTATAATGTCTGCTGTGAAAAGTAGTTAGTTAGTTAGTTAGCTAGTTAAAAACTATTTAACCATATTTAGTCCTGCTAAGACCTTCTGTGGCGATTAAACATGTGTTTTCCTCCAAAATGATGAGTATGTATGTATCAGTGGCTGCAGTTATCTTCACTCGATGTGTCAGCTGTCATGTATTGCCAGCTTAAACACAGTAATTAAAAGTAATCATTTGGTTTAGTTTTCCCCGACCCAAATGTACTGTCTGGTACTAGCTTATTGCGGATACATTATGTTTTTATGTGACCATTAATAAATTAAAATCAATTACAGTACATGAAGTCAAACTATAGTTTTGAGGTCATTTAGAACCAAGTCTCCATTAGTCTTCATTATCAGGTATTGTGCTGCATGACGGAAGAAATTCAAAGGACTCACATGGGCCCTGAGCAAGAACAAGGAATAAGGCCACTCATCCACCTCTAGAAATGTGTGTTGTTTTATTTATACGGGAGTATCGCTGATAATTGATTTACTATTTACTGTCCTTATTCCATGTCGTTATAAACCGGGTCTGTGTGTCACGTGACGCTCGAGCCGTTCTGCCGCTGTCCAGCAGGGGTGGTGCTGAAACAGCAGCTGAGGCCTGGCGTCTCCTCCGACGGGCCTTTCACATCTCACCTCACAAATACGTGAAATATAAACAACAAAAACGCTGTAAACACACACCGGTGAATGCACGTCTATTACAAGTCAACACCCGCACCGGGTCACCGCATACCGCCGCATGCCCGGGCGACTAAATGACGGGGAGAGATTTAAAATCACGGGCCTATTTAACAAAATAACTTCACTCCGAGGATTTCTACGTTGCATTCAAAATAAACACTTTCTATGCATTTTAACAGACAGGAGACCGCATTCGCGCTGCACCTCCCCCGCCATTAGCTGCCCCAGTATAGCCCCCCCCCCCCCCCCCCAACCCCCCAACACCACATTATGACAAATAATAACGGCGTCAAGCTGCACCGAAGCAGGTGGATTCGCACCTTTTGTAGTCGGAGGAGAAAATCCCTCCGCTCGCCGGGTCGTGACCATATTCAGGCTCCCCGACGCTGGACGAGCCCCCCTTCTCCTCGTTGAAAGCGGAGCTGGCGGACATTGCTGCGTCTCTCGGGCTGTTTGTTGTTTCCTCTCTTTCTCTCCGTCGCCCTCGCAGATCAGCGATGGAGGCTTAGTGCAGAGGGCAGGGGGATATACGGCTCTGAAAAGGCGCACAGGCGCACACACGGTCGTTTATCTCGGAGATGCGCGGTGCAGAGGGGACGAGGGAGGGGCGGTGCGGGTTGGGGGCGTGACGCTCTGGTCACGTGATTTGTTTCAGATCGTAGTAGTCGTTCAAACAGGAAGTAATATTTGTCAGGTTTCTTTTCCAAATTCAATGCTTTCTTGTTTTATGCTATTCCTTTTTCTTTTCAAATCAAAAGTTGTTTTTTATTCGTATTACTGCAGAATATATAATATGTGGCAAACATATCTTTTCGTTATTTTTTAACGATGATGACTTTTTTGTCATGACATAAGGCTCTCAATTCATTTCTAATTTCACATTCTATTTAAAAAGAACTGCAAGATATGGAGTGAGACGCAAATTTCAGTGCTCCTGCAAAACCGACAATATTTTGATTAAAAAACAGAAATAGCAGGCTAAAAGATCGCCATGGACAACTCAAGGTGGCTAAAAGCTGACCTTTGCAAACTACGCCGTCCTGAATGGCAGAAAGGCTTAAAAAATATAGAGCCCTTCATATCTATATCTTTCTGAACTAATGTCACATGGTCAGGGGCGGACTTACCATTAGGCGAAACTAGGCGGTTGCCTAGGGCCCCAAGGCCCTGAGGGGCCCCGTAAAAATCCTCATACACTTATGGTCGATAAAGTTATTTCTTATTTGCGCATATTAATTATATTTATGATTAAAATTCTCTCGCTAAAATGCCAGCGGAATGCGTATCGGATTATGTGTGTGTCGGGGCCCTACCTTCAGTGTCCACTACATTGGATCAGTCCATCTTTACTGCGCATGTGCAGAACGGATCCAAGAAACGGCCAAAACGAAAATCTAACGGCGCGAAGTGGCGAAAGACAGTAAGAGGAGAGTATCACATGGATGAAGCCAAGCGACCCCAGCGGTGCTGAAAAGAGGAGGAAGAAGGAAGAAAAACAAACATTTACGTCAAAGTTGCAGAAAGTGACAAGTTTCTTCACTGCTCCTGCGGCAGCGGCCAGCAGCAGCAACCCACCACCTGCTCAACCGACGTGGACACCTGAGGAGGCTCCGTCCTGTGCAAATGAACAAGTGAGTATCAAGACTGTCTAAGGGTGATTTAGCTCTGAATGTGTAAGGTTATGCATTAAAACATAATAAACTATGTAAGTTATTAGAAACTATCACTCTGCATTAAAAGAATGATCCCTCAGTGTTATAACTTCATATTAATATCGTTTTAATGCGTGTTATCATTTACTGCTGTAGATATTTAAGATTGAGCTAATTTTGAATGAATTCCTGTACTGAGTTTTTGCTTTAAAAGTCACCCCACAAAGGAAGACTCTTTCAGTTTATCACAAATATTAGCATTACATCATAATTTGGAGGGTACATGGTTTTTCACGAGGCAGGAAAGGTTTGAAATATGTAACCAGCCATTTCATTGAATGTACTATAGTGGAGTTTAAAGTACAGTGTTTGCCTCTAAGATACAGCAGAGCAGACAAAATTGAAGTTGCATGAATTCCTCAAATGTCTACATTAGTAAATATACTGTACATTTCACCACTGGGTAAAAGCCTTATGCTGTGTTTTGTATTTGTTTTCAGAATGAGACAGGGATGTGCTGTGAGAGCTCTCCAGCATCATCCACTGTACTTGCAGAACATGATCCAGCACTCTGGCCAAAACAGCTGTCGGATAGTGCACGATGCTCAATAGTGGAGAGAGGAGCACTTCAGGTGAAGGACAGGATTTTACATTTGATACATTACATTACAGGTCATTTAGCAGACGCATTTATCCAAAGCAACTTACATTACACTTTAAACCCATGGCTTTTTCACATTTTTTTTTGCCCAGGGAGCAATTAGGGGTCTTGCTCAGGGACACTTCGACATGGAACATGGGGCAGCCTGGACGCGAACCACCAACCTTGTGCTTCCCAGCACACCGTCTCTAACCCCTGCGCCACGACGACCCCAGGATCTTATGAATGAAGACGGCCACAGAATTACCAGCAGCAACTACATGCAGATGAAAAATGGAGAACGGCTGTGCAGATCATGGCTTGTCTACAGTGAAAAGAGGGCCCCATGCCTGCCTTTGCCTTGGGCCCCAAATTTCTTAAATCTGCCACTGCACATGGTTGAGAAGCATTGAGGTGAAATGAGGCTGCTCTCTGTATATTGATCTATCAGACTTCAATAAGTTTATCAATATTTTCGATTATTTTAGAGCTGAGTCTAAACTGATGCTTCCCAGCCACATCTTTTAGATGATTTGTTTAAGGAAACGTTTCAAAACCCACCAAATCAACTTTGTCTTGATTGTTTTTGAGGATTCGGCTCAGGTGATTTATTTCTAAATCGGCTCAGGCACCGAAATTCTGTTGCATCGTATACGAACCGGTGCCCTACTTCTAAATATCTCTGCGTAAACATTGGATCGCTTAGTGTAACGAGAAAGAGGCCTCTCATAGCAACAACCTCACAGTAAGTTATCACCAACTACACACTCAAAAATAGAGGTACCAGTTTGTACCTAAATCGGTACAAATGCTTGTCGCCGGGGAGGTACCCTTTTGAGAGACAATTGTGTACCTTTCAGTCCTGGTCCATTTATGTACCTTATCAAATTGTACCAGTTAAAGTACAGTTGTGTACCCTGCAAGACATAAATGTACCTTTAATCTATAAGGTACAGCAATGTACCACATTGAAAGGGTACTTTCCTGTACTTTAAAAGGGTACCCCCCAGTGACAAGCTATTCTGGACTTTAAGGAGACAAAAATGTACCAGAATTGTCTACACAATAATTGCTTCTTTACCATTTATTAACATCAATGAAAATGTATGTTTTGAGATAAACATGGCAGCATTTATAGTGTAAAAATCTTAATTCATTAAATTCTATATAGCTACATATAAAATGAATCAATGTCAATGCATAACATTACAATATGTAAAGATTGCAGTCACATTAACATGAGGCAGAATACTTCAAAAAGTAACACACATTTAGATAGAACATACTTACACAGAATACCTCAAGGAAACATACTAACATCGACTAAATATGTGTCGAGAGCTTGATGGTCCAACTGATTTCCTGGACTGAGTCAAATCCAGTCATTGTCAACTTTGACGTGGTAAGCATGGAAGTGATTGTCATAAGAGCAAGGCAGTAACAGTTTCCCACACAACACCCACAAAGTCTCAACGTTCAGAATGTACTTAATTTTCAAGAATAAAGGGATGGCTTCAGTGTGTACATGACCTACTACAAAAACATCCTCAAGGCCGTATTTGACACCATTGACAGATAGAGATGAAACACGCTGAAGCACTTTATCCTGAAACTGCACATTTTTAAAACGTTGGTTTAATTTCAGAGAGTTCTGTAAATCACGTGGCAGAGATGAAAACTATGTGAAGAAAACTCCCAGCATTGCTTCATTTGATGACGGTTGCTGAGAGTCAGAGTTATGTTTACAAAGTTCCTACATTTACTGGCAATATTATTGAAATATTGCCAGAGGTCTTCAGATGTCAGAGTTTATTCCAAAAATACTCTTTTTAAGGTTATTTTATTCTGTTATGTTTTCAATGAAAAGTGCTATTGGAACAGAAATTCAGTTACACATGAAAGCATAAATATTTGCCTAATCAATAGAGCTGAAGTTGTCATAAGTGGGACCATTAGAAGAATTAAATGAGAGGCAGAGACTGTCAGGAAGGATATATATGAAATAACAAATGTAAACAAAAAGAACATTAACAATAAATAATATAAAAATGTAAAAACAACCTGAAAATACATTTGAAAAACTGAACTAGTCCCACTCTTTGAACAAAGCATTGACTTTGTAGCCCTTGTCAATAAACTGTGCCACAAACATTTCGTAGTCACTTCTGTACTGGAATTCCACGACAAAGACATTTATCGGTGCGTCTGCGTCGTCCTCATTTTCATCCATGGAGTCCTTGAGGTCTTGCAATGCTCGTAGCTGGTTACCTTTGTCCATGTTGGTAATTTCAGGCAAGGTTACCTTCCCCTTAAATGCTTTTGTCTGCAACTACTTTGCTGCCAACAAGGTGTGTTCCAGCATTTTCATTTTGCCATCATTCTGCATTTGAAGAAAAGGAGTATCATAAAAAAAGGCATACATTTTAAATATATGGTTATTTGCATACTAATAATAAAAACACAGTTCTAATGACAAGGAAATACACGATTTATATGATGGTGATTTTGATGCAGATTGCATCCAAACTGAACTCTGCCCACACCTCCCCATTCGAGAACTATGGTGGCCTGGTAATTAAAAGCTATTCAGATCGCAATTATCTCTAGAACCAATTCTATAATAAACATTAGAATTGTTGGTATCCACGCTGCATTCAAGTCCTGTGGGAATAAAACCTTCCCCGGTGAATTCCAGAAGTTGGAAGAAATCTGGTCTTATTGCCAAACCGCCAGTTCGTGAGACCTCCTCACACGAGACGGTGCTGTCATTAGACTCGCACAGGAAGTCCGGGTCTCGCTGTTACCCCCTGTGTGAATCCCTCCCAGTACTCCCTGAGCTCACATCTCCAGTCTGACCAGTTACCTGCCACAATCCAAACTGGATTAGCTTCAGATGACCCCTCTACTTCACGCGTGAGGTCAGCGCACTGTGTGATTTCTTAACGCACTACCTTCTGTGTCATCGTGTCCCCTCCATGTCACACCTTGCTCCCTCTGCTGCTCCTCCGACTGGACCATCCAGCTGTGGAGGAAGGACCTTTTCACCACCCCCCCCCCCCCCGCGGTGAGCTTCGCGTCCACCCAGACGCCCGAGACGGGGTTTTCAGAGCATGCAAGCTCCTTCTCCCACCGGTACAATAAGGCGGGATGTCAGTCACCAAGAAAGGTTCTGACTTCACAAACAAATCATCATTGGTTTTATTTTGAGGTGACGTGGCAGAATGTCAAAGCAGCCTTTATAGACCCGCTCTGTTCCAATGGGTGGCTGCATTTTAGGAAACATACGAGTGAGAGGAAGAATACAGCGAAACGAGTCGCGATGGTCAAACTGTCTCTTTTGCTCTTTTCTTCAGGTGAAAAGTTGGGAAGACATCGTTAACGCTGCAGACTTCCGAGGCCATTTGTTCTACGGCCAATTCATGTTTATCTTCATTATGGGTTAGGGTTCTTGAAAATGTTGTGGGTTGAATAAAGTAATTTATAAAGGCATTCTTTAAAAACTGTATTCAAAGAAGTTTGTTTCATATCCCAAAAAACGTGACATAAAAGAATTTGACTCTCCTTTTCAAAAATGTATTTGAATATTTGGTAATATAATTGGATCAATTATGTGAAGTTAAAATACTTAAATCAAGCGGGTCTTGTGGAGATCCCTTAACAAGATGCAATGTTTTTCACCGTGTTAATAAAAGGTCAATTTGGTTTAAACAATAATCAAGGATTAGGGAGACCTCTGCTGGCAGATCACTTGTATGGAGGTTTGAAACTAAAAGGCATTGAGAGTTATGTGCAGCGTACACTTCTCTCCTCAAAGCATAGAATACATGATCATTGATATTCTGCAATATCATGCCGTACAGCGGGGAAGAATTGTAATAATTACCTTGTCTCCACTCTATTCAGTGGAAATGTGGTCTTAACAGCAGATTTGAGGGAGATTTTTCAAGACTCAAATGAAATATTCATTTAACGTTACTCAGAGAAACATTTATTTTAATGTGATACTGATGCCTCTATAAGGACAGGAGTACGCATAAAGCTTTTGAACAGGGATTTTATTCACTCAGAATATTTACAAAGGTTTACAAAACTAAATCAAGCAAAGTGACCCCAGAATACCTAAATAAACGCAACAATAGTTGCTTTACCTTTAAACTAATTAACAGAAACTAGTTTAAAACAACACATGAGCCACCACCTCACTGCTGTTATATACTATGCTGGCCAGTCTACAGTTAATTGCAGGGGGTGAAGACATTCCTCTTCTGTTGTTCCGACCCGAAGGCTCCCGACAACCCCCCTCCTGCCGCTGCAAAATGGAACAGTCCACCTTTCCAATTAATCTGCTTCAGGACCTGTGATCAGCTGCTCAGTCTTTTGTCAGGAGGTCAGCTGCAAACACTTTTATCAAGGTGACTTAATGTTTGATTCTGTGCACTCAAACAAATATAAAATCCTTCAAACAACTGTCTCAATTTCCCGTTGTGTGTGACGATGATGCGTTTTTTTGTTGTTGTCCCCGAGTAGCTGCCTGCGTGCGGAGGATCTGCTGAATTCCAGTTTGTAGCAGCGATCACCGGAGTCAAACTGTGTGCACAACGCGAGAATGCGTCGGCTAACGCGGTTATTCTGGATGACAGTGCTTTCATTCATCCAGAGGACAAATTGCATCACGCTACCCAACCAGCTGGTATGTCGATGAGGGAATAAACCAGTGTGGGAAGCTATGGACACTCACCTTAACTAGAGTTTCAGAAGATGGAATTTAAAATGACAAAATATGCTTCCTTGTGTGCAACAGCCTCTTGATTTCAGCTTTCAAATGATCTGATTTAAACAAAATCACATTGAAATTCCAATGTCGTGATCGACCAAAGATGATTTGTGTTGTCTCTGTGAGGGAAATGCACAGGGGTCACTGAAAATGGCTCAGTCATGTACACAGGTCACGTATCCTCACACAGACCTGCTGAAGTCCGCTGCTTTTATTCCCACATTATGCTGAAGAGCAGTGAGCAGCAGCTGGGGGGATGAACCCTGTAAGGACGAGTCAGACCACATCATGGGATTCTGCTGGAAAAACTGTCTCTGTGCTTTTTGGAGGTTTGAAGACGGGGAAAAGGCAAATGTTTTTTTTAAGATGTAAAGAATCCTCTCAACAAGCAGCGGTCTTTAGAGGATGCGAGTAGTTTTGCGTTTTGTGGTCGGAGTCAAACATCCCTTTTTCATATGCAATGGATTGTTTTTGTTTTACTTTGAGTTTCAAGATCTGCAGGAAGTGAACGGGGATCTGAAAGCGGCTTGTTTTAAACCCGGTGGCCTTTTAGTTTGTTCAGATTTTCCCTCCACAGTTCACCCACCTCTAAAGGGCTGTTATGAACACGATAAGACGATAGAAGTTGTACGACGACAAGAAATCCTAATTCAAGGTTCACCACTAACCACCAAAATTAAACTTGTGTGTGTTGGTACTTTATGGCTGGTTTAATACTTGCCTGCCTTTGTTATTTCTGTATTAGTGAGACGGACAGCTGGAGGTCGTGTGGATTTCTTTGTTTGTAGAGCCATTCTTTCCTGGAACCGTCTTAAAGATAAGGATTGTTTTCCTGACCCGCTTCCTCTCTGTAAATGTGCTTTATGAGCTCCAACGCAACGTCCTGTCAAACATCGCAGTTTAAAATGTCTTTATTCTTTCATGCTCTGCAGTGAACATTTTAGTTTAGTAAAAGTACAACTAAGAATTGCCATCTAAAAATACTTTATTGCCAAAAGTGTTCACTATGCAGGCTGGCACATTACAGATGGATTATGATTGATTGGTCTGCACATCCCTTTATTATTGCCATTAAAGGCAGTTTGAATTAATTTACAAAGTATTACCATGTTCTCTCTCTTACACTACATCAGAATATGTTGTATTTGTAATCAGCAAACTAATAAGTACAAAAGTTTAATTGTGGAAGTATAAAGTGGCAGAGAATTAAATTAAGTAACCTCAACAATCTGCAGCCTTGTTGTGTTGTTATTGTTGTTGTGTCGGTCCAGTGCACCCAACATTCCGTTTACTCCTAAATGTCGGACTGCACCTTTAACGCCTCTGTGGCGGTGTTCCTCCAATTAGCGTGAAGGTGGAGCTCAGGGAGCGACCTACACCCGACACGCCGTCCGGATCGGATCGGATCTGCTTTCTGTGTTTTCTCCCGTTTCCTGACGGCGGAGAGAGAAGAAGTCAAAGCGCGTGAAGTCGCTCTGTGATCCCAGACCGCCGACCGGGTCCGGTGGCGGTGGAGGAGGAAGATTTCCCGATGATTGAAGTATCGATCCCTTCGATGGAGAAGGAAGTGGATGAGTCCGGGAAGTCCCGCAAGGTGAGGGAAGGATTCGGCTCTCTGCTTCTCTCGGCGGAGGGACACCGCTTCACCTCGGTGTCCCTCCGCGTGCACGCGTTCCTCTTCGGCTGCTGCGCGGTGCCGTAGTTTTGTTGCTAAAGGTGAAGTGCGCCACCGGGTGAGAAGAGGGGGAGGTGAGCCATGTGACCTGCAGGTGAGAAGAGGGGGAGGTGAGCCATGTGACCAGCAGGTGAGAAGAGGGGGAGGTGAGCCATGTGACCAGCAGGTAGAAGAGGGGGAGGTGAGCCATGTGACCTGCAGGTGAGAGAGGGGGAGGTGAGCCATGTGACCTGCAGGTGAGAAGAGGGGGAGGTGAGCCATGTGACCAGCAGGTAGAAGAGGGGGAGGTGAGCCATGTGACCAGCAGGTAGAAGAGGGGGAGGTGAGCCATGTGACCAGCAGGTAGAAGAGGGGGAGGTGAGCCATGTGACCAGCAGGTGGGAAGAGGGGGAGGTGAGCCATGTGACCAGCAGGTAGAAGAGGGGGAGGTGAGCCATGTGACCAGCAGGTGGGAAGAGGGGGAGGTGAGCCATGTGACCAGCAGGTAGAAGAGGGAGAGGTGAGCCATGTGACCAGCAGGTGGGAAGAGGGGAGTACATATAATCAACAAGTGATATTGTTGGATTATACATTTAAGATAAAACTGTATAGATGAATTTGTTTCAGAGTTAAATATAACTACGTAGCACCACATTCAATTCATTCATGTGGATTTACATAAATTACGATTGCTTAACTGAAAAAAAACATAATGCATGACTGTTTTATTGTTACTTCTTCCTCACAATAAATAATTAACCATGAGGAAGTAGCCACAATACATAAAGACTCCACTACAAGTAAAAATCATGCGTTCCAAAAATTAAAGTGAGGTTAAAGTTCAAACGTATTGGCAAAGAAAATTATGATTTTTTTTATATATATATATATATATATAAATACACACACACACTAAATTAAATCCATCTTATTGCAAAAGTGAATAAAGCACAGGACACCATAAAAACAAAGATGTTCCAAGTCATATCTCGATAATTATACCAATGTTTGAATCAAAGAGTCACGTGAGAAATCAGAAGTGCTCATATAAACGAACTTGAGGAACAGTAGGATGCATCTTAATGCTTGTTTGTCTGCACATTTATTTAGAATACAAATGAAGCTCTACACCTCCTCCTGCTGCACGAATGATGTCATGGTATTATGATGCCAACTGCAGAGGAATTGCATGCTAAAATAGTTCTGTAACATTTTAAGATTTGAGTCCTCAATTTTAAATGCTGAAATGTTTTTTTTAGTTTTTACACCAAATTTGTACACTAATTTTGAAGTTGCGTCATATGTGGCATTTATTCAATTTTATATTTAACACACATATATAAATATATAAAATACATTTTAAAAGCATTTTAAATACCCCCCCTGGCAAACAATAACTTTAATAAATGACAGATTGTGATTAAATCCTCTGTCTGCTTTCTGTTTGCAGCTCTTCAGAGTGGAAGTCTTGTTTAACGGGAGGAAACATTTTGTGCTCCGAAGAAACAGCGAATTCCAGACTCTGCACCGAAAAGTGAGCTTCTTTAAAGTCACCATGGATTATTATATGGACTATTTCCTGTACGGAGGGAACCCTGCATATTATGCTATGAGATGCTACAGAATAGTTGTAGATGGATGCACATTTGGTTTACGGTTCAGCTTTATTGGCATTATTATATTGGCATTATAGAGTCTTAACAGTGTACAAAGCGCTTCTTTGCAAAGATAATTTAAAGAATATTTTTGTTGTACCTGCAGCTTCGGAAGATCATCCAGACTCCAGATCTCCCGAGCAAAAGGAACCCCCATCTGAGGACCAAACCGCTGCAGCAGAGGAGCCAGGAGCTTGAGGACTACGTCCAGGTAGCTCGCCCATATCAGTGCTGCTGAAGTGCCGCTGAGCAGGACGGGAATCTCTCTCGATGCTTCATTTGTGCGCAACTTTTTCAGAACAGAAGCTAAAATGATTTATAAGATGAAAACCAGAGAGGAGGAGGAGGAGGAGAAGAAATAAATAAGAAAAGTAAAAGAAGACGAGTTGAGACACGGAAGACTATATAAAACAAAGGGAAAAAACAATGTAAATCTTTTTAGGAATATGTAGCGGCGGTCTAAGAGTCGAGGAGCAATAACATCAAAAGACACCAAAAAAACACAACATTCTGCTTAAGTTCTGACATCACACATGACACACATTTTAGCCCAAAAAACACATTTATTAAGGGTTCTTCTATGTTGCTTAAGGACATCATTTACCAAAATGAAGACGTGCCGCAGGTGCTGCTGGACTTCCTCCACCTGAAACACTTCCACACGGGGAACAAGGTCAGCAGCATGGAGTAAGTCCTTCACTCTGCTTACATCCTCTTTGGATTGGGGACAATACGGATACATAATAAAATATATATATATATATATATATATATAATTACAGAGACACACTTTTCTTCTCGTGTTTTCATTATTATCATTATTAAAGGAAGGCCAGCAGTGTGGTGTGTGTGTGTGTGTGTGGGATCATTTCTAAAAAAAAGGGAAGTTATACTTAAGTAAAGTACATAGTAAAGTAGCATCTGTACTGTTTCTCTGCCGTTGTGCACACGTATGTTGACCCTTTATTTTGAAAGTGTCTCCAGGAAATCTGTAAAAGTTCTGTTTTATTTCAGATCACTTGATGATTTGGACAGTCGAGATTACAGGTGAGAGCTCTGCAGCCATTTGTGTATTAGGTGCAGCTGATGTGGGAGGAACCACACAGCACCATCATAGTAGTGATGACACAAGCATTAACGACTGCTACATCAAAACGTTCTGCATATACTGAGGGATTTATTTCTTTTTAATCCAGCAGGTGTCATGATTTTTAAAAACTCAAGAGACAGGAAAAGAAACTACAGTAACATCCGTGTAAAGAGCAACACAAGCGTCAAACCGCTAACATGCACTGCATTTCATTCAAGCTCCGCATATTGACGAGGGAATTGAATTTATTAACCAGCTACCCTGATCTAATTTATTAACCGTAATGCCACTCGTAAAACTGTGAAAAAAGCAGCTAATCCTCCTTAACGTTATTATAAAGTATGATATTATTTCTCCTCTGGTATTGTGCACAGTGTAAAAGCATTGATGGAATTTCAAGTCAAGGCAAGTAGCGCGTAGTTCTACTTTTATAGATCGTCTTAAAGTTCGAAGGGTCGATGTTGCCCGACACTAACGCGTTACTTTTGTCTCCTCCAGTTATCCGTTACCAAATCAGCGAGTGGCGGGATTCTTTTTGGATCCGTACCTCTCCGACCGCGCATCGGGTAGGCCGACCCCGCGTCCTCGTGTAGCCGCGAGTGTCACAGTGTGACGACCTTGGTAATGACCTTGAGCCCTCGTCTCGTCCTGCAGGTCTCCCAGATGTCGTCGTGGACGGCGTCCTTCAGGGTCTCTATCCCCGCGACGTCCGGGTCAGCTTCACAGAGACCGACCCCGGCACGTCTGTGTAGGCCCGAAGTCACGGATAGGATGATGGGCGAGAAGCATGTACAATACAGCCAAACCGCCGTGCCTGAAAGGAGGAGTAAAGAAAAAAACAGCCAAAAGGAATCATGGAATTTGGTGTGGGTGTTTTTTAGTTTTTTTTTACTAGAGCAGTGTGGGGCTGTAGAACATGACTTGTAATCCAGGCAGCAGAAGTTTTTTTTTTTTGTTTAGGATATATTTTGTCAGTAGATTCAAACTTTGTTTGTCAAATTCGTATATATTTGTAAGGATTTTAGTTCATTAAGACTGAATTGAATGTATGTATATTCATATATGTCAGGGTCAGGTCAATGGTTAAGACTATTTGTCAGCGTAAACAAATCATTTGAGTTATGTACTTTTGTATCACGTTTATACTGAAATTATAATGATCTAACACGATGCCTCTTGTTTCTCTATCTAAACCTGAGCTGAAGAAGCATGTGATGTTTTTCCCATTAAAACATTTCTTACACATTTTAATTTATATTCCTATTTCAAAGTTTCCTTTAGTACGTCATTAACATACATGAGTGAATGTTGATTTAATAACCTTTTCATGAGAAAGACCACTTTTTCTTCATTTCATTTCTTTTATAACAGAAAATGTTAAGTTTATTTTTACAAAATACTTTCAAAAGGAACATCAGGAATGGAAATGCCAGAATATATACAGATTCTTAAAACAAATATCAGTTAAATCAATAAATTGTTCCATTAGAATAGAACTGCTTTCAAAAGGAACATCAGGCATCAAAATGAAATCCTCAATCAACTGGATCAGAAGTTCTTGAGACCTTTAGCGGACAGGGTGGGTCATACAGAAGAGTCATTAAAATACAGAAATAATTTCTTTAAAATGTAAACATTGGTACTTCAATCTGAAAGTTAAATATCCAGGTTGGCTCGTCTAATTTTTGGGGGGATTCTTTGGAATCTTTTTACATTTGTCATTTCAACACATCTAAATCCCTCGTGTCCCAATAATCCACCATATATACTTAACAGTTTTAATGGGGTCCTTTTTTCCTTTTTCCAACAAACGAAAAATAAACACGCTTTTATTTATTTTGCCTACAGCATCATCACAAAGCCTTTTAAATGACATTTTTAAGATAATGAAAGCTTTCTTGGGCTCCACATTATCTTTACCTTGTTTCTCTACCGCCTAGCTTGCACAATGACGGTCACAACAAGGATGGGGAGCACAAACTGGCCGATGACCACAAAGGAGATGAAGTATATCGGAGAGAGCCACCAGAGGTAGTGTGCACACTCTGCAGGACCGCACTGCTTCACTGCTTTTCTGTCGGGTGCTGATGCGTGCGTGCGTGCGTGTGTGAGTGTGTGTGTGTGTGTGTGAGTGCGTGCGTGTGTGAGTGTGTGTGTGTGTGTGTGTGTGTGTGTGTGCAAACCATCATGATCACGCCCCAGTCCTTCCTAGTGAACTCCAGCGAGAGGTTGAACAGGGCTCTGGCGAAGTCCTTGAAGTTAGCGTGCTCGTTTAATCCGAGGCACAGGACGTCCTCGGTGCATTCTGAGAAAAAACAACGTGCACTTTTTGAACATATCGATGGCGATAGAGAGATAGAGAGTAGACCTCAAATATTCTGTGTACTATTCCGTCAGGATGAGCTAAGACAACATTGGCCAACGACACTGAACTGTTTCTGATGTAGTTACTACTACTAGTTTAGCATTCTTGGTTTCCTTAGCAACAATAGGTTTTGGGGGTGAGCTCTGGGGCCGCGACCTTCGCTGTGAGCCTTCGTGCATGCGTTTGTTCTGCTGGCAGTGTGATTGACCTAGATGGCCAAACAACTTCACTCCCAGTGCAGCGTAGATCAAAATAGAATAAGATCAAAAGAGACCATTTTCAATATTAAACAACATTAACATGCTGGGTGTCGGATTGTCTGGTGACAGCCAATGAAATTGCAGCATTTATGAACGCTGTCTACAACGCTGCATGACGGTCTGGACACAGTTTGACGAGAGAATTTATTCATTTATTTTTTATGTATTTTGTAACTGGACTATTGGACGGGACTCAGCATAAACTCCTGTTTATGCAGAAACAAAACAGTCCAGATGGTGGCGGTAATGCGCCTCTAAGATGGTTTTCCAACCGCCAATAAACACCAAAGAAGAAGAAGCCGCCTTCGGTTTACTCCTCGATCCACCGGCGGCGCTGAATGCTGTTTGTGTGATTCACCGGGAAACTGGGTTCTCTTCCTACTAAACTTCGTTTTCGGTACGTGTCCGCTAACAGCTACAATGTTTAACTATGCAAGCTGTTATCCAGCTGACGTGTGTCGCACTTACATGAAAATACTTTTACCTGCTAAACTGAGCGAAGAGCTAATTGACACTGTCAGATTAGCTTTGATGAGCTAAAACCTACAATTCACCCTGCGTGCTGGTGCTAGCATGTTAGCTAACAGATTGTGTGTGTGTGTGTGTGTGTGTGTGTGTGTGTGTGTGTGTGTGTGTGTGTGTGTGTGTGTGTGTGTGTGTGTGTGTGTGTGTGCGCGCGCGCGTGCACACACGAGTGTACACGTTGGCAGTAACTGAACCCCTACATTCTGTACCATGAAGTACACACTGGCAGAGAGGCAGTTTAAAGTGTTGTGATATAATCCCAGTACTCGTCTGGCGTCATCAAGGTGTAAATGTGGAGCTCATCAACTGTCAAATAAGATAAATGAACAGCATTACTGTGTTTATTTTGTCTTTACATGAATGTATATTCCTAACTATAATACAACACCTTGTAAACTAACGACATTTGGTCTGGTCATTAAGTGCCCTTTCTTCCAACTGACATTTAATGTTCAATTTACTACACTGCAACACCAAGAAAAGTGGCAGATTCTCATATTTGAGAAACTGCCTCCATCAAATGTTTTTATCAAAATAAGTGCAGATTCAATTATCGCTCATTTTCAGCTTAATCATATGAAAATGTGCGGTTATGGTTCTACAAATTTCTGTTCATTTTTCCGTTTGGCTGCAGGAGTGTGTAGGAGCATCATGTGGAGGAAGGCTTCAGCAGCAGCGCTGCTGGCATTAGCTGTTGGCTACTTCTACCACGGCAGCCCGGACCTGCCGGAGCAGTTGCTGCAGTATGTCGGCCTGCCGAGTTTACGGGCGTCACCTCAGAGTGACGGCAGCCTGGAGCAGGTGATCTCTGCCGCCTGGGAGACTCTGATCACTCTGCCGACCCGCCAGTGGAGCAAAGTGGCAGTAGGGTGAGTGTCAGAGGGTTGTCTATAAATCTATGCAAACATATACATAGGATGATAACATGTTTTAATGTTGTGCAAGAGTGCACGAGATGTCAATATTACTTATTTTACTACTTACTACTTGCCTACAAAATAAGATAAACAAATTCTCAAGACTAATTTACAAATAAAAAGAGTGGTCCTCTGTATATGAATTTAAATCAAACAATACAGAAGAAGTATGTATTGTAAAAAAACAATAATTATCATTTTGTTTTGTTGTTTTTGCCAGCTTTATTCTAGTCCTTTTTCACAGATGCTAATTCCTCCAATTTGGCCAATTTCTTCTGGTCAGGCTACCAGCAGACATTGTAACGGGATGCAAGTTAATATTATTTTTGAGTAAAAGCCAGATGACGATGAAATGATAAACATTCGCAGGGTGAATGCCTGTGTGGACGTGGTCGTCTCGGGCGTGGGGCTGCTGCAGGCCATGGCAGTGGATCCCGGCGCCGGCCTGGATCACGAAGTGCTGCACTCCAAGGAGGACTTGAAGGAGTCCTTCATCCACTACATGGAGCGGGGGGCGGCTGCCGAGCGCTTCTTCAGCGACCCCGAGGCCTTCCAGAGGATCGCGCGTGCAGCAGCCGAGTACCCCGGTGCGAAGGCAAGGCGTCGCTCCCCAGACTTCTTCTGGTCGTTTTTATTAAGTCCTCTTTTTTTTAAATTGTGCTTCCTTCTAGTAAACTTTACTTTTGTCTCCTTCCAGCTGTATGTGGGAGGGAACGCTGCTCTCATTGGTCAGAAGCTCGCCAGCTACCCTGATCTAATGGTACAACATGCTTATACTTCTGTTATAGTGTCTTCTAGTCAAAGAACCCCAATTAAATAACGGTTACCGTTCAGCAAAATCGGTTTCAGCTACTTCAATCGTGTTTTGGGTGCCTCACTTTAAAAAGATCCATAGAAAACTGTACTAAAGAACAATAGAAAATGGGAAAAACATGTGTTTATCATCACTCAGAAACTCTGGCCTTTTAAATGATCACTTTAATGCCACAGGTGTTGTTATGCGGGCCGGTCGGTCCTAAACTTCACGAGATGCTCGACGAGCAGATCGTCGTCCCACCAGAGTCTCTGCAGGAGACGGACGAATTTCACCTCATCCTGGAGTACAAAGCGGGTAAAAGTCCAAATGCGCTGCATGCGTTCCACTTTACATAATTCTGTGGAGACGTGTTACTGCAGCAGCTGTGTTTGGTTCTGCTCTGCTTTTAGGGGAAAAGTGGGGTTCAACTCAGGCACCTCAAGCCAACCGCTTCATCTTCTCTCACGACGTGTCCAACGGGGCGATGAGCTCACTGGAGACGTTCGTGGCGAGCCTGGACGAGTTTGAGCCGGACCTGGTGGTCCTGTCGGGGCTCCACATGATGGAGGGCCAGGGCAGAGAGCTGTGGGAGGAGCGGCTGAAAGAGGTCAGTGGTTCAGAGCTTTTTGGTTTAACTCCACAAAAGTCATATTATACTTCATGGGTCATTAGTAAAAAAAAAAATCTCTCCGCATCGTCTGCGTTCATTGATGTCTACAATCTGTGTTACTGCAGCGAAAGGTTTTTACCCGCTTTGTCCCGGCAGGCCGTGTCAGCCATATCCGACATTCATAAAGACATTCCCATCCACTTGGAGCTGGCTAGCATGACGGACAGAGACTACATGAACAGCCTCATGCAAGAGGTACACGTGCGAGGATGCGTCGCGTCGAACCTCACGGCGGACAGTCTGCTCGAGTCCCACGAATCCGGGTCCCGTGTGTTTAATTGAAGTCCTTTGTCTGTGTTCACGTTAGCAGGTTATGCCCATTGTCAGCTCCATTGGGCTGAACGAGCAGGAGCTGCTGTTCCTCTCGCAGGCCGGCGAGGGGCCTCACTCGGAGCTGGCTGCCTGGAAAGGCGTCCCGGACGTGGGCCGGGTCAGCGACATCCTGCTCTGGATCCTGGAGCAGCACGGCCGCAGCGACCCCTCGTCCGAGGCCGACCTGACGCGCATCCACTTCCACACGCTGGCCTACCACATCCTGGCTACGGTGGACGGGTACTGGGGGAACCAGGCGGCGGCGGTGATGGCGGGAGCGCGAGTGGCCAGCACTCAGGCCTGCGGCCTCCGGTCCGTCGACCCGAGCAAAGTGGAGGTCAAGGCGCCGCTGGAGTTTCACAGCTCGCACGGAGAGCCGCGAGAGAAGCTAACGCTGAACCCGGCGGCGCCCGTGACCGCGTGGCGCCGAGGAAACGTCACCTTCCACCTGACGGTGGTGCTGGTCTGCAAACAGCCTCTGCGGACAGTGGGGCTCGGCGACGCCATCTCAGCGGAGGGACTAGTTTATTCCGAGCTAAAGACCCCGCAGCCCTTTTGAGGGGGTTTGCTTGAATGGGACGCTCCATTCGTGTGCGGAAGTCTGCAGTCGTTGGGTCCGAGTTCTCATTCAGGCCTCCGTCTCCCGAACCAGTTTCTGTGTCTTCCCTCCCGAAGCTCCAAGCTGAGTTTTAAGAATGTGAATCGAAGCTGATTGGTTTTCGGTCCTGCCTGGCGGCTCCTGCAGCCGGCTCCGGTCTCCTCGGTTCTCCCTCCTCGAGTCCCCCAGCGGACGCAGGAAACTGAGGCAGGACTTGACCTGTGACTGGGCGGCGCGGCGGCCTGACTATACGCACCGGCCGCGGCTCAAGGCCATCATCTCCAACTCCAAAGAGCCCTCCTAATTTACTCCAACCACATCTTAAGCAAACGGTGCCTTGAGAAAATAAAGTCATTTAAAAGTTATAGTTATATTCCTATTTCAAAGCCACCAAACTTAAAAACAAGCGTTCTATAGTAGAATCAAAGTGGTATTTTTGATGTTGTGTTTCTTTCACGTCAAATAGTCTTTAAGTCACTTGAAAGTTCAAGCTCTTCACGAGATGTACTTTACCTGTGACTGTCTGTACCTTAAGTTTGTGTTTTCTCAGCTTTTTGCCGTATGCACTCCCACTATGAAGATGTTTGTTAACTTGTAATCTCTGTTGATTCCCAGATGCAGCGTCCGTAAAATAGTTTTTTGTCAAATAAGGAGATTCTACATTTATAAATGCAGACCTTGTTTTGGATAGATTCCTTCTTTATGCAGTAAAGAGCAGTTTCTAATGTCGGGTTGGGTCATTTAAAGTTAAAGTCATTGTCATTGCATTTAAAGGTTAAAAGTCAAGTTTTATTTGCAAATGCGGCATATGTAATCTTTGTTACTGTACTGTTTTTTTTGCTCACTGTCGCGTTTAACTTACTTTTCCCTCACTTATGAACTGTGACGATGTAAAGTAATTGGCCGGAAACTCTTAAAAACCTCCTGACTCGTACTGGTACATTATGTGGTTTATTTCTTTATTTTTCACTCTGAGCTTACTTAGAAATGCCTGCTACATGCTAGATAGACAGTGAGCCGTCAGCGCTGTGTGTTTGTTTGCCTCACGTAGCCGCTGAGGGCCTGCAATAATTAATGGAAACATGCAACAAAGCGGTGTGTGTGGCATTTTGTTTAGCAGAATAAATTCTTTGCACTAGTAGAAAGTGGCAAGTGTGCCTGCAAGGGTGAATGTACCCTTAACTCCGAATCCCCCCCCCCCCTCCTCTTTTTTAGCAATTACAATCTATTCAACTTCACTCATTTCATAGTTTTTTGTTTTATGTTTTTTAACATTTGTAACTGTCAACCCATTTGAAGTGCTTGTAGTTTGTCATTAAAATATATTCGGAGATAAGAGGCTTTATTGTGGTTGTGCAGATTATTGTGCCAATTCTGAAAGATATTGTGTTAAATGATCAATTTTGTTGGTCGACTTTACATTCATTAGAAACAATTTTAGAATTATTTGTGAAGAAGAAAGTCTAAACAATCATGATCCAGTTTCTTCTTTGTATTTTCTGTTTTCATATACCTCTGAATCAAAAACCTTTTGGTTATTGGTTGAAGAAGTTTATATATAGTTGGCAAAGGGGACCACACTCTGTGTTTTGTCCTGTCCTGTTGAAGGTTATACATATTGGCATGATGTTGGTGTATATTGTAAAATATGTCAGTTTGATTACATTAAGTACACTTCTGTAGGACCCCTAAATATTGTCTCAAAGTTTAGACTCGTATGTTTTCAGTGGTATTTGTTCCTTCTGAGGTGTAGTGGGGTAGATGTTAGGGAGTGCCATGAAAAGACCAGGCTTAAAGCATGTCATTCGCTTTACAACGCGGTGTTACGCGGCTGCACCTGATTGGCTGAGAACGTTCAGTACGTGAACCAATCAAAAGCGTGTGCGTCTGTGCGCGGCGGAGGAGGAAAAGGGGGCCGCAGCGCAGCCTTCAGCGGCCGCAGCAGTCTCCTCCCCGGATACCAGTCTCCTTGCCCCGGCTCGTATATAAAGCTAGCAGGACCCTCACAAAGCCGTCCACGGCTGCTCTTTTCTTCTTGTTGATGGTCAGACTCTGCGAGCGAAGGATGAAGTTCCTTGTAGCCGTAACGCTCATTGTGGGATCTCTGATTTTTCTCGCTTTCCCAAATGGCTCCTCTGCTGACGACAAGAAGAAAGGCCCCAAAGTGACGGCGAAGGTAACGTTGGGTTCTACCGCACAACCACCGCTAGCTTGCATGCTAGCAGGACCTGCAGGAAAATCCAATATCTCCTTCCCTGTAGTCAATGCTAACCGCTAGCTGCAGACCGATGAGCCACGTCACACCACGATTAGCCCGTTTCCACAAACCGGGAGTGAAAGGCTCGTGTTTATCTCGGAGACTAGTCTGGAGTAGTAAGGCTCACGTTAAGCAAAGCAATTGTGTACATTTATCGGTGCATAAAAGCCAGTTAATATGCAGCTATGAAATGGGTATAAATTGCCGTCTCCTGGTTAATCCGAGCCGAGCTGGCTAACCTCGGTTCAAGCTAACGTAGCTAACATCAGTTGGAGCTAACGTAGCTAACATCAGTTCGCCTTATCGGTAACTGGATGTGTTTATTGCCTCTCCTCCATGTGACCTTGCTGTACAGTCTGAGGTACCGATGAGTCGTCCGTCGGCGGCAGCTCGGTGACGTGTTCCCGGGTCTGGCCTTGGGATCTCTGGGTGCATCACATTTGTCCACGTCTACAGTTGTGCGGAAGCTCTGAGCTGGTCAGCGTCTGACCCGCTTTGTTCCTCAATGCAAATCTCACTATTGCTCCTTCATCACATGGACGTACATATTATTGTGAACCATAAGCCCAAACCCACTCTTTGTATATAACGGACTCTTCGGGTAGTTAGTCAGTCATTTAATGTCTGCAAACTCGATTCAAAGCTTTATGTTGAATGCACAATATAATACCGTACAGACTCTTAAGGATTATTTCGTTAAAATGCTTTTAACTGCATCATATGAGAAAGTCTGCAGGCGATCGCTTCAAGAAAGAAAGGTCGAAAAATTAAACCGTATGTTGTGAGTAGCTTTTATATTAAGACTGATATCAATGAGGAAAAGATTGGAAAGTATGCACCTAACTATAAAAAATGATTTAAAGATGTATTCTGAATGATAATTGGTAATTGTTGTTACTACTAATGATACAAAATAATAAATACTATTGTGAGAATAATGAAATGCATTTGTTATTCCAACATGAGAGTAAATATAAAGGCTTTTCCTTTTATCCTTTTTCAGGTTTTCTTCGACATGAAAGTCGGCGATGAGGAAGTTGGGAGAATCGTCATTGGGGTGTTTGGGAAAACTGTTCCCAAGACCGCAGAAAACTTTATCGCTCTGGCAACAGGAGAGGTGAGAAAATCAGTTCATTTTTTGACGTTTTGCAAACTAAGTCATTTCTTTAGTTTTTTTTTTTTACAAAAAATAGTTCGTTTAGCTTGTAGTGTGTACTCTTACCTTGTGCTCAATATATAAACACACTTCAAATAAGTCCATTTGACTTTCTAAAGGAAATGACTGTAGCAGCTGAGCTCCCTTTTCTGTTTATTCCCACTGAACAGAAAGGATTCGGTTACAAGGGCAGCAAATTCCACAGAGTCATCAAGGACTTCATGATTCAGGGTGGAGACTTCACCAGAGGAGACGGCACCGGCGGTAAGGCGGCCACCGGCGGTTTGTCTGCAGGAACCAACTTGTTCATGCTCCTGTATAAGCACTGAAGATGATCTAGAACTTTGTCCCAAGAGGTATTTCACAGCTGGCACTAGTTGTTAGGTTAGTACATTTGGCAGATGCTCCCATTCCGGATGACTCCGAATGAGAAAATGTCATCAGATAACGTGAAGGGTAAACATTTGGCTGCAATCAGTCATCCAAGTGAAGCGCGACCGTCTCTGCAGGGAGGGAATGTTTGTTTGTGGAAGATATTCAATCAACTTTCACGGATTTGAAATCAAATGTGTCTTTGTCTGTCGTACAAGGCAAGAGCATCTACGGAGACCGTTTCCCCGATGAGAACTTCAAGCTGAAGCACTACGCCCCTGGCTGGCTCAGCATGGCCAACGCCGGCAAAGACACCAACGGCTCCCAGTTCTTCATCACCACCATTCAGACTCCGTGGCTGGACGGCAAACACGTCGTCTTTGGCAAGATTCTCGAGGGGATGGTGAGTGTCTGACCGCGCCGCTAACGCACAAAAGACCATGATGATGATTATAAAACACTAATGTGGCGCAGCGCTGAAAGGAACTATTCTGCCAATTAAGTACTTTTATTTGAATTCTGTATGTTTGCAGTACGTTTTACAAACATGACTGTCTAATATATAGTTATTTCTTTTACGTTTTGATTAAGCTGTTACAATTTACATCTTTTTAAAATGACTTTGAAAACTCATTCTGATCCTTTTTTTTCTTTTTCTTTTTCTTTCTTTAAATCTTCCAGGATGTAGTGAAAAAGATCGAAAGCACAAAGACGGATGGCCGCGATAAGCCTCTCAAAGACGTCGTCATCCACGACTGCGGCAAAATCGATGTGGATCAGCCATTCGCGGTGCCCAAGGAGTAGTGGAGATGCTGCTGGGGGAGACCAGGACTGGGGATGGGGGGGGGGGTGGGGGGAGAAACAAAAGAAATCTTGCCGGCAACCTTGTATTATCACTAACAGCCCCGTGGCCCCGGGTCACGGGTCACTGCGGGTCACCGACTGCCACCTCAAAGCGTCGGGCAGCATTCGCATGGAGAAATCCCGACGACACACTGGGTCCATTTACCAACGAGCATTCCAAGGTGCACTTCACTGGTCGTTGTTGTTTTTGTAAAAAGAGATCTGAAATAAAGGTTTCAATTTTTTGTTAACTTGCGGAGTTGTTCATTAGACCGACCGGTCACCAGCACCAAAAATAATTCTTTGCTGTATATGTGGATGTTCAGTGCTTTTTCCTTTCCCTCTTTACTCTGAATGTTGGCACAAACGCGTGACTTTTTGAAATTAGGCAACCGTACCTTAAACTGAAATCTAGTCAAGAAAACATTCTTGAGATTAATTTGCGGATATAGTGATTTTTTTTATTCTATCAATGCGGGTGTTTAGTGTCAGACTGGTACAACACTGGGAACCCTCCACTGACCAGTCTCATGTTCATCTGTCGTCCACTAGAGGGCGCCATTTGCCCTCGTATGTAGCCACTTTATTTAGCATTCTCTTCCAAAATGAGGAAACGTTTAGAAATAAAAGATCATTATTGGCTAACATGACAAGATGTGGAAAATAGCTAAGTGCATTTTCTATATGCTGTACTTAAGTAAAGTCGAAGTACATAAAAATTGAACTTGAGTACTCCTGTTTAATACTTTCCAATCTGCTCCAATTCAGTAACTAATATAAAACCATTCAAAAGCCTTTAGTATTTTGCAGATTTTTATGAATATTCCAAAATTTGATATACAAATCTGCTTTTACTATATCAATGTGCATTAATCAACCTGACCGAATAAATTATTTTCACCTGTGCAACATGCAAGTCATTCAAATATCAATGCCATTAATGAAACCCAGTTAAAAATTATATACACTCGTATAGGAGTTTTACATTACGCATCATATGTAGTATTCAAGTCTATTTTGATGCTTATGTATATCTCTATACGTTACCTATACCACGGTACATTTACTGTATCTAATATAGATCTTTATAAAGAGATATAGTAAATAACATTCCAGCTTCTTTTCTGTTAAAGCTACTAAATGTTCTGAACTAATTCATGCACCAGAGTTTAATCTGTACTTCTGTATATTTTTCTAAACTTTTTTTGTTAGATGAGTGTAGTGAAGTAAAAAGTACTCCAGTAAAGTACAAGAAGGCGGCCCCTCTTCCACTTGTTCTTAAAACTAAACATTTATCTTACATAACTAATTTAAATGAGTATATTTCCTCTTCATTTTGCAGAAAACACTGAGTGACATTAAAGCGACTGCAGGCGTAGACTTTATAGACATAAAAACTGCTCCTTTGGCTCCACTAGATTTGTTCCACACGAATGAGAAAAAGAACTCAAGCTAATGAGAAAATCTCCGGCGTTCCTCTGGCTTCCTTCTCGTCCACCGTGGACGCTGTGGTTTGATGTTGTCAGATACAGACAAGGAGACGTTTCACCTTCCTGTGATTGTCTGATCTTCCTGACGCACAAGGACGCGTCACGGGTGGTGTTTTTGAGTCGTAATTGGCTGCAGATTAAGGATTAAAGTGGCTCTTCACCTGGTTGGTATTCACTTAGCAACATATTAGAGACTGACAAAGAAAAGTGCATCAATAGAGGGTTTATTATTGTGTGTAAGCGTTGCATTAATTATATCCAACCTTACAATACATACACCATAAACACCATAATATCTACAATATGTTACAGGCTCCTTCTCCAGTGGCCACTGATAAAAACAGATATAATTGTAACAGAACGTGATTTGTTGCTATTTCCAGAGGCAGTGTCTGGAAACACAGAGAGGTCATGGGAACAGTTCATTCCCAAACATAACTGGCCTTGTGTGGCCGCTCGTCTGCAGACAGACTGCAATGTTAGTCCCAAAACATGTTTCCGCCTTCAAATCTCAAACTAAATCAGCGTTAATCACTGATTTGTTTGTTTGTTTCTGGACGTGTAAATAGACAGAAATAAAGTCCCGGTCACGTGAAGCAGTTTTTTCCTGCAGTCTGTGTTTCTACTCAAGATCAGAAGCAATGCAGGTTTATTGGAAATAAACGGAAAGGAAAGTGATTTCTGTAATAAGCGGAGGAAAAGTCCATACGTGTGTTTGTACTTCCTCAAAGGATAATTCTGGTTTGTGTCCCAGACTGTTCTGGGAATGAATCAGGCGGACCTCTCATCATAGGAGACGGTGACCAAGTGGCAGGAAGATGAGGCGAGTTCTCCTCTTATCCAGCATGAAACACAGAGATCAGTTGATGGATTTATTTACGGGATTGTGTTGAAGGTAAATTGAATGAGAATGACCGTGAGGTTTACGGAAAGTAGGATGTATTTAGAGGTACTTGTTTTGCCCAGATTCACTCCAGCGTGGCGTGACTCACCAGAAGGAAAATATGGCAGGAATTCCAAGAGTAGGCACAACTGTGGTGCCGGTTAAACCCCCCGTTGTTCGCTCGGGCCTTGTTTGTGACGATTGGGGATTGTGCGGTGATACACTGTTATTCTTCACTTACTGGCTTTGCTTGAAAAGCCGGACATATCTGACATAGCTTCCTGCAGGAGGCTTTGTCCACGAGATTAGAAGAACAGTGGAGAGAATCACAACACGGAGCGCGGAGGACTTTCTGTCACGCCGCGGGATCGATCGTCCGCTTCCTGCCCTCACAAACCGGCCCGCGTTCGTGCTCTGAGAGTCAGAAAAGGGACTTCAGAAAGTAGTCGCAACAATAGTTTCCTTAAAGCGGCGCAAATCAATATTTATTTTGTGTTAAGAAAAGGTCAAACAACTGAATGACTTTCTCTGTGGCTGAGGTGAAGGGCAGGTTACACTTCTTCAGGCCTCACTGATGGCGCCTGGAGTGGCATCACATGACGCGATTTGTCCTAGTTTGCGCAGCGACCTTGAAACCACAGAATTCACACATCACTTTTTATATATTTTGGAATATATTCAGTCATATTCCCCTCAGGAGTCGGTGGCGACCAAAGCAGAGCCAAAAACCCAGCTCCACCTTCATGCTAATGCTGTTTCCTATCTGGACGTGTCACAAGCTAATTAGTTGTTTGCCAACAACTTTATGGCCATAAAGTGTCAAAGGTGTGTGTGACTTTGGTTGGTTGAGTTCTGCCCACAAAATGGCCAAATTATTATTCTGCTTTAATAAAAGATGAAATGCCCTCACTCAAATCTTTCTTTTAATGTTGGCAGATATATAGACGTTAAGACATGGAAGAACAGGCTTACAGATGTGGATATTTCCTGCCTTTTTTGAACGTGGAGCATCTGTTGTATTGAGTTTAGGTGACAGGGTTCACCAGTGTTGTCTTTCTTTGTGTTTTGCATCTTTGTTGTGCTTAAATTTGAATCTTCGTCAAGTGAGCTCTCGCTCCATTCGGCCTCCCCGGCCTCGATCTTCAAATCAAAGGCCTGAGTGCTGAAGAGATCGATGCCTCTGTGGAGGAAGTCTGAGGTGATCACTTCACATGCTCGGCTGATGAAGCTCCAGGGAAAGCTCCGACAGGAAGTCCGTTCTCCTGCAGGCCTGAGCCCGGAGCTCGTTTCTCATGTGCCAATCACTCAAGTCACGCTCGACCATCACTTTGTTCCACCGGTCAGATCAGCTGGTCTTTTCTATCCAACGAGCACGGTGAAACAATCGCTGTAGCCGATCATGTCGCTGCTGTCTCTTTTAAATATGATCTCTCTACCTTCAGACTTCATCAACACATGTCATTATTAATAACAAGCAGGTCCCTTTCTTTATCAACTGTGTTTGTCAGGATTTCCAACTCAAGACTCTTCCTTCTTCCTTCCTGAGAGAGCTCCCTGACTTTCAAAACCCAGGAATAAGAAATACATTTCAATAGCAGGTCAAACAAATTAGTTTGGGAAGACATGAAAGCGTCTCAACAACCAACCAAACTCTCTGAAAGGCCAGAAAAAAGTTCAACACGATACGACCGAAACACGCCCACCCAGATAAGCAAACATGCAGCGTGCAAATCAGAGGGGAAACAGTTTGACAAGAGAAGCATAAATATACAATACGAGCAGCAGCAGCGTGGGAAAAGGTCGACGTGGGAACTGGGCCTCGTGTTATTTTGTCAATGACTCTGAGACTTTTGGGTTCCCACCCAGACCAATGGCCAAGTGAGCGCTGTCACGTCCATTTCTTCATTGTTCTACAGTTTCCTCTGTGGTCCGGTCCCCCCCCCCCCCCCCCATTCGAACCCCCCTCCAGTCCCCCGTTTGCTGAAGTGAGGAAGGAGCTTTTCTTTTCTGGACGCGTCCGAGGCCGCTGTGACACGCCGGGTTCCCACGATCTCCTGCCCTTCCTCCCGAGCGACTGCTCGCGCGCCGCTCTGAGCAGGAAGGCAGAATGTTCTAATTTTGGGCCCGACAGCGGTGGGTTTCTGTCTTAAATGGGAATTTCGTGAAACGCAGCGTGCTTTCTCTGAAGCTGATTAGCAGAGTAGTTGTGTGTGTGTGTGTGTGTGTGTGTGTGTGTGTGTGTGTGTGTGTGTGTGTGCGCTTTAATGACTGAGAACCTGAGACAGAACTTATCTCCATGACCACTGACCCACTCACACGGCCTGGGGGCCGTGCAGGGCCGCATCTCTAAGGCGATGCCGCATCGGTTAGCAACGTGGGGGTTCAGGACAAACAATAAGTGGCTCCTGGCCGGGGAACGCTGGTGCTTCACCACTTTGGTCCAGTCTGGAAAATCTCAACAGCTAAATCTTCACGAAAGGTTCAACACTATAATCGTATTGCACTTTTCTACATTTCAATTTGAATAAAATGTCTTAAGGCTTTAAAATAAATCTAAATCTCATCTTCTCTCCACGGCCTCCGTGGAAAAGTGTGGTTAATAAGTAAGTTCACAGGGGGTAATGGCTTTCCGCTTGCTCCGTACCGACAGCTGGCCTTAATGCTCCGCACACTCGGTCCAGGGCACTTGGCTAATTGAAGTCACAGCCCATGTTTTTGGGGACACTATAAAAGCTGTGGCATGGAGACGCCGTTAAGTGCTCTGCAATAGAGACAATAAAAGCGCTGCTGCATTCCTGCTAGTCTCGGGTAGCCGGGTAACAGAAGCTGCACTGGGTTATGCCGACTTCCTGAGGTTGTGTAAGAGTATGAAATATTCATTCTTACTGTAGCTCCTCAGGCTCTGCATCCAGATTTTTCTGAAATGGATTCTGGGAGAAATAGAGAAGGTCTGCATGTACGCAATTAAGTGTTAATTCAATATGCACGGGGACACGTACTGCAGGAACATGGGATTCCTTTCATTCGTTCCTCTGTGGAGCACATACAGAACGTGGGAGGAAAGTGGACAGCAGAACTTGTGCAATAAAGCGCAGCGCTGAGGGGCCGCCTGGGCTTCTTTTAGAAAAAAGCCACTTGAGGGGTTGGCATATACAGTTGGCCTGGGAGTTCACCTACTTACACCGTTCCTGCAGACTGCAAGACCATCCTGCAGACCGCATGGCTATCCTGCAGACCGCATGGCTATCCTGCAGACCGCATGGCCATCCTCCAGACTGCAAGACCATCCTGCAGACCGCATGGCTATCCTGCAGACCGCATGGCTATCCTGCAGACCGCATGGCCATCCTGCAGACTGCATGGCCATCCTGCAGACCGCATGGCCATCCTGCAGACTGCATGGCTATCCTGCAGACCGCATGGCTATCCTGCAGACCGCATGGCCATCCTGCAGACTGCATGGTCATCCTGCAGACTGCATGGTCATCCTGCAATGCAACCACTGCTGCTGCTCTATGGCTTCTACCTGGAAGCAGTGAGACGCTCGTGCAGGGCGGCGTTATGGCGAGACAATCCGCTTATGAACAAAAGGTGCTGAGTGGCCTTCAGAGGGAGAACAGCTCTCGGATGTGAACTCCAGCACGTGAGCTTCATCACGTGAGGGAAACTTCCAGAGAAAAGACTCTCCAGAACAGGGCAGCTGAATTCATAGGGCAAACCTTTAAAGGCAAATAATGAGTATTTCTTTTTTAAAGATTCTTAATAAAATCAGACAGTGGATGTTAATGAAGGTAATTAACTAGGAGCTGTAGGTCAGCCCCAAAACAACCCAGCGCTCTGTGGAGCAGCATCCGCCATGAGACTCACTAAAGTACACGCAAACAAATCATCTGAGGAACAAAAACGGGACGAGTTGTCCTTCCTTTGGACGCCAACAAGCTCGGCTCCATTGTTACCGAGGACCTCGCCCACAACAACCGCTGTCCCCATCACGGGGGCGGGGGGGCTGCTCTTTGTGCGAATCTTTCATCTAGTACTCACAAGAGAAGTGTTTCAGTGATGTATTCAGACATGAAGGAACTCTGGACGTGAGGTTTGCTGTGTCCTCGTGTTTGTCGCGGTCTGATTAAATAACTGTTCCCCAAACCGAATATGGATCAGTGCCGGAGAGGAACAATGGAAACTTTCAAACATGAGTCAATATTTATTTCTTTTGTTCATTCCTAAATACACAAGACTTTGTGGAGTTTAGAATTAGTGGGAATTATTCTCTTATGCTGCGCTAGCTGACATGATTTAGTTAAATGTTCAAAACTAGATTAAACTGCATCTATCAGGTTTCAGGTCAGATATGTTCCAACATTATTCTATATTACTGAATTCATCTCTAACTGAACCGGTCACGTATCAATAAAGTAGCATAACTAATCTCTATGCAACAACCATTCTGTGTTCCTTAAATCCAAGTTACAAACAGCTGCCTCCAAGTATCTCTCTGTCACAGTTATTGCGATTTAAGTTAAAATTCAGAAAAAAAACTCTCTTTTGTGGGTAAATAAACTTTGGTACTTTTGGCACAGACTGTTGATTTAGAAAGGTTCACTCGAGCCTGAATGTCCTCACCGCCTCATTCATAGGGACCTAAATAAGAATTCAACAAAAACAAATGTCTGCAATCGTGCATTAAAAGTGACTTTAGCACTAGTGCAACGTGAGTGCAGTTATTGTGGAGTGCATTTCTCTGAGCTTCACATTTCTGAAGTAGCATGTGAGACAAAGAGGGGGAGACGGGTAAATGTTGTTGTGAATGACGCTTTCCATCGGCCCTGACAAGTCCTCCCATCAGGCCCATTTCTAACAGCAAGCAACCCCACCGAGCTCCTGCTGAATATTTCATCCTGGAAGCCGAGCTGGAGAGCCTCCCGCCGCTCACCCGATCGGCCGAGACGAGGCTCCGTGGACGGAAAACGAAGCAGCAGGTCAACGGTGTCCGTCTCCAACGGCACCGAGGCGCCGAAACACGAGACGCTGTTTCTGCTTCTCATCTCGTGTGACGCTGCGCTGGAGGTCACGAGGCGGGAGGGAGGGGGGCGGGGGGGTCGGATTGCTTTGAGAGTGCTGCTGGTCACTGCACATCTGCTGCAGAGAGGGAAACAAATACAAAAAACATATGAATACAATTGTATTTGAAAAAATCGTTTCCACTCAACTGCGTTGCCAACCTCTCAAACGATTTCTGGCAGAAAAAAAGTTTTTGGTTGTTTTCCAGATGAAAGAAAAACTCCCCTCTGTCACCTTTTTTACATCTGACTCAAGGAAGACGCGCTGGCTTGAAATGTCTGACCTTCAACTCAATGTCACAGGACCAGAAACAGAGCGGATTGTACTATCAAATCTGCTCTCAGTCTAGTCTCAACATGCTGTCACTTACTGGTCTCCCTCACAGTTACATCACCATCAGCGTGCTGTTCCATGATGGCTGGCAGGTGGCAGTGACCCCTCGAGTCCCCTGCGTACCGAGATGGGACGGCAACATTGATGCTGTGATGTGCCAGGGTCGAGTAGCCGGGCTGCTATCTTGTTACTAATCTGCTAATCTGTTTGGCACAGGGACTCTTTTCCGTTCCTCCTTACATAACTGGGTCTATGTTCGGAGTCAAGCTGAGAAGATGACCACTGCGGAGGACGGACGGACAGTTTTAGAGTAAGAAAAGGACACCGCGGCCACTTCTAGGAAGCCACATAAGCTCGTTCCAAAACTCTCCATTCACAATGTTCCCTTCACAGGTTTTCTCCAGGGGGTCAGTAGTCATACGGGGCAGAACCAAAGAAGGAAATATTATTTAATATCAGAAAATGAAATAGGCTTTATTTATGTGACTGAAGACCCAGCCACAGTGTGCTTCATGTAACATTTGTTCTGAGAATGGTTAGGATCTATTTATTACGCATTTATACTGTGTTTATGGTGCATGCAAAATCAGAGAACAGATTAAAAAAACACATATCAGTGTGCAGAGTGCCTCAGTCTGGCCACAACTAAAGTAATTATGCAGAGCTCTGATTTAGAGGGAAAACAGTGCAAGTAGGTCAATCCTGGCAAAACATTATAGAAATACTAATGTATTATTATTGCATAATAATAAAGTTCTATGTTATTCATATGAAGACAACAAATTATGATACAAGTGAAAGTGCAAAATATGATATAATATTGCGTGTTAAGCAGTGATCCATTATGCGTTATGCAAGCATCTTAAATGTAACTTAAATAGCTTACAGCAGCACACTTGAGTTTATATACCTCAGTTACTTTCCCTCGCGTGAGTAACTGTGAAATACTACGGTAACACAATAAAACCCACCACTGTGGTAAATTTAAAAGCACACCTACATGAAACAGAGAGTGTTTTAACCCGTTTGTTTACCTTCTGCCGCGGCCTCGTCACCGCAGCCCAGGATTACCCATGATGCATCGCTGCATTATAAAGCGCGTCGCGCTGCCGCGGCGGACCGCAGACTCGCTGCGGCACTGAGGAGCGTCCACGCGCACCGAGTTCTTCTCACGGCCACCAGCTTTTCTCCCAATTTCACGGATGGTGAACTTGTCCGTCGAGTTTTTATCGAACAGTAATCGTTTCAGTTGTCAAAAAGGAGCCAAAGACCCGTGTTTCCTCGAGGCCATCATGCTGAACACAGAGGAGAGGTAGGAGAAGGCGAACGGCGCCGCTTTTTCAACACGTCCAATTAACGTTATTGGGGTTTTGTATTTGGGTTCCGCTGCCATGACGTTGTTCAACTTTAATCAGGTTTAGATGCTTCAAATGCTTCCAGTTTCCTTTATGCTGACTGCGAAAATAGCAGGAAAACACGCACAGATAAGCAGTGGTGCAGGAAGTCACATCATTTACATTACTGTCTGCAAATGCTCTTTTACAGTAAGAGTCCTTCGGAATTAAACCTCTTACTTTAGTAAACGTCAAAATATGATTACGGTCGTATGAACGTTTACTTAAAGTTTAAAAAATAAAATGACTCATTAGGCAGAGTGGCTCATTTCTAAATAATTATATTATTGCTGTATTCGTTTTGTAGGTGTATAATATCTGCCTCTGAGATGTAGTAGTAGGTAGCATAATGTAAATACTAAAGTACAGTACCTTGAATGTGTATGTACATATGTATATTGCACCATTGCAGACATGTTATGAGACAGAAACATGAACATGTGCTGCATGTTTTATGTGTGCAGACGTCATTCTAGACATTTTTATCTCAAAGTGCCGCTATTGGATCCTGTGGATGATTTAAGATGCATTAGATTAGACAATGTTCTCTCATGTAATGCGATGCAGAGGTGGAATAGATGACTGCTCATTTGATGTGAGGGGCCGTGAGGACAAAGCACACCGTTTTTAATTTAAATGCCTTTTAGGAGTTTAAGTATGAAACATTAAATCATTGTTTCTTCTATCAACCTGTTTCTTGTTTGATCAAATACTGTAACTCTTAAGGTTGCAACTAATACTTATTTACGCCCATTTTTAACCCATCTGTTGATTTCTGTAATGGAATAGTTTATTAATCATTTGTTACAGTTACTGTAACACCTGAACTAAAGATGCTAAATAGAGAAAGTCGCTGATGCTTCCATCCAAGTAACAATCGACGCAGAACTCGAGTGATCGATTGATCAACGTGATCGATAAATCAACTAACTGTTTCAAGGCCTCCTGGAGAAAACGAGTACAATGCTGAAACCATCCGCTGTCTCTTTTTTCACGGTGCACGTGCACTCATTCTGTGTCCTGGTGACCTTCCGCCATGGTCCTCGTCCTCCTCCCGCGTGGCTTTCAGCGTCTGACACGAGCATCGGGGCTGCGAGCCGGCGCAGCGGCTGCATTCGCACTCCGAGCGTTCGGCCCGTGTCAGCTGGAGGCATCGAGTGGCCCACATCAGCGCGGTTACATAACCTCCCTCCACTTGTTCAGCATCAATGGTATCTGTGTGTGTGTGAGTGAGAGGGAGAGGGAGAGAGAGAGAGAGAGAAGGGGGGGGGGTGCGCCTTCAGTCAACCGATGAGTTACCTAACCTCACCTACCTGGGTGTAACTAAGTGCTCCTTTAAGTCAAAGGCAGACGTTCTGGATCACAGCGCTGTCTGTTTTCGTTTTTTTTCCCGCTACGGAAAAAGGAAACGTCGACCTCTGTGTTACTGTGGAAGTGAGTCGAGGCTGTGAGACGGACCTCAGGTATTCGCCCACGATGGAGTCAGGAGTTAGAAACCAAAGGGACACAATACTTGGAAGCTCTCCATATTTCATGTCCTCCACACATTTTGTTCTTCGTTTGTTTTATACTTTAAATGGCAGATAGTAAAAAGTGCACAATTTTCCAAAGCCCAAGATGAAAATGTTTGAAACTAAACAATAAGAGCAAAAATGATTAATCGATCGGAAATTCATTTGAAGTGAAATTTGAGAATTTGTCTCCCGCTTCCGATCGACTAACTATTGCATAATTAGTTGCAACCACTTGATGCCCAAAATCTGTGCTGCTGTATTTTCTTATTGAACAGTTAAGCTCTTCTCATTTCAAAGGCAGAAGTTGAACAATTGAATATTGTGAGGGAAAGTTTTCGTACTCAAACATTTTAATGTTTAATCTCTTGATTTTTCTCAAGCAAAGAATAACGATTACAAATGGATGGTTTTCTGTTTCTCTTTGCTCCTGCAGCTTTTATCCAGTGACATATTCATAACCATTTTAAACCGCTCAGCGCTGCTCTGAGGCCGACACACCGTCCTAGCTGCTTCAAGCCGTCGGGTCCATGCTTTTCTTTTCTCCTGCCACAGATGGTGGTTCAGACATGCACGTTTCCAGGCTGCGTTAATGTTCTTCCCACCATTCGGTTCCAATGTCGTAACGTTAGTCATAGTTGCCTGTACCGACGAGGCCTTTGGTGAATTAAACCAACGCAGCTGTAGTAATTCACCAGTTACATTCAGACGCTGTTGTTTTTGAAATGACCACTTCCCGACTGGTGAACTTCTAACTTATAATTATTGTGACTTTTAGTTGCTTCAACACCTGGTGGCTTTGACTGCTCTGCTCTGGTTCTTCTGTGTGTGTGTGTGTGTGTGTGTGTGTGTGTCGGGTCCCGTGGTCAGCGCGACGTGCTTTTCCAGGGATGCGTCCGTCATTACCTGGAGGCACGAGGGCCCTTCCTGTCTCGTCTTTAACGGCACTCCGCCGAGCTTCCAGAGGTCAGAGGGGGTCCGGAGGCTCCTCGGTTTGCTTTCCAACCTGACCCCTTTTTCTGTAGAGGGGGGGGGGACAAGCCTGTTTATGTGTAGAGTGTGTGCTTAAGTTGAGTCTTTTTCCATCTTTGGGGGACCCTGTCGGAGCGCTTCCTGTTTTGATTGCGCCGTGTGTTTCTTGGCTTCGGGCTGCCAGCTCGTGCCCTCAAAGCGCTGAGCTGGATCGCTCCCCAGGACAACACGGCTCAGCTGTGGAAGCAGTCGTCCTTAAATCAAATAATAAAAAGTTCCCACCTGCAGACACACACGCGGGAGCCCTTTCTCTTCAAAAACAAGAGGTCCGGTTTTTGTGTGAAGCACATTTCTCGCCCTCTGGTCTTTTGGGTGTACCCGTCTGTTGGGGCTCAAGCACAAACGCATTTTTTTCTTTTCGCCAATGGTCCTCTGACAAGAATAGGAGAATTTATATCGCGGAGAGAGGCGGCGGCACGCCGCAAAGTGATATAGGCTCTGACAAAAAAAGACCTGGTTGTCTCTTTGCGCCCCCCCCCCTCTGTCTCTCTCTCTCTGTTGGCTGGCACCGTACAGATCAGGTTGTTCGGGTTACCTTTCTGCTCCGCAGGAGAAACCGGCTGCACGGCTCCTCCCCGTCCCGGATACATCTGTTGTTTGACTCGGTCCCATCAGGACATTAAAGATGGTCCCAAAAACTGTGAAGCCCCCTCCGAAGCCTCCTTTAATGTCAATGCCATCTTGTCTGGTTTGAGATGTGTAACTGAAAACCGACAGAGGTGTGTGTGCGTGTGTGTGTGCGTGTGTGTGTGTGTGTGAAGGCCGCTCGTGCTATTTGCAGAGGTGTTTACAGGTCATGTGCTTGTTTACGCCGCATGCTTTCCACCACACGCACAGCCTCTCAGCAGCTCCTTGATGCTCTGGCAAAAATCATCAAAAGAAGTCACTGCCCCGAGAGTTTGATGGCTTTGTCCTTTGTTTGTGTATTATGACTCAGATTTGTTTGAACCGGGTGTCACAGGATCAAAGACATTTGCCAAAATCTATTTATAAAGGACCAGTTGTGACTAAAAGGACCACTGGGTCTCCGAGTGTTTCATGAAGGCTTCCTTGGTAGGACCCTGAGAGCTCAGACTCAAACATGTGTGTCTCTCAGAATTGTAATTATTGTTCTCTCCTCAACTCTCCCAAACGGACATTTTACCTGGCGGATTGAAGAACACTGAAACTAAATAAAAGTCATTAAACGCTTTCTGTTGGCTCACTGTCAATCACCAACTCTGGTTTGGTCAAAATAAAGTGAGATACATATAGATTATGTTTATATTCATATTAAATGTTGTAATCTTCTGTAAAACGAGCCGCTGAAAGATTAGAACGCTGTGTGAGGCGTACGTTACTATGAAGTCAAACTGGAGGACAAATCACAAGGCCTAAAGAGGAAGACGTCGTCCTTGCCGCAGAGGTGCATTCTGTCTGCTACTGACGGGGAGAGGACGTGATGAGGTTAAAGTGGGCGAGCTGAGAGGTTCACGTCTGTAGCGCAGCGCGAGGTGATCTACGTTTAGCCCGCTGGGATTTATTGCGCCTTGTTTACATCCCTGTGAGGGCTCTTTTCGGGCCGGGCAGAATAATGTTTATTGTGAGGGATCCTTGTGTAAGAACGTTGCTACTCAGCCAGCCAGCAGTCAGACTCCTCAGTGTGCCAGTAAAGTGTAGTAAAGGTTTGACTGTCTGATTCTGCTCTAATGTGCAGTCACTGTTAATCAGGCCACAACCATAAAATGCCTTTTACTTTTATAAAAGAGGAGTAAGGAAATTACATGTAATTACTTTTTATGGATTCTTGAATATGGAAAGCAGTTAGTTCGTATTGTTCCGTTCACGTTGACGTCATCACTGGAATCGGCATTACTGAGACGTTTTACTGGCAGAGTGGACGGGATATATTTATCTAATCTTTTTACAGATGACATTCTGACCTTCTCCCCTTTCCTCCCTCTCAGTTCCTGGTTATCGGGATCCCGGTTGCCCGGCTCCATCCCTCCGTCTCCGGGGCCTCTGTGGTGCTCCTGATGTCCCTCACCCACAGCTGAAGATCCCGGGTGGGCGAGGGACGGTCAGGGATCACTCTCTCGGAGTGCTACTACACAAGGTGACACACACACACACACACACACACACACACACACACACACACACACACACACACAGAGGGGAGAGTTGAAGTGATGTTTCGGTCGGCCAGTTTAAAAGCAGAACTTGGGCCCGTAATTGTCAACGCTGTGATGAAGAGAAGAAACACACACCCAAAGTCATTATTATTATAGACGTGTCATTGTTTTTATTTTAAAGACTTTCTATTTGCTGTAAGCGCTTACAGTAACAATTAAATCACATGCTCCAACCCTCGCCGTCCCTGAGGGTTGGAGCATGTGACCTAATTGTTATTAATTATTTCGTTTAGTAGTTCCGTTCTTTCATTGGTCTCCTGCTCATCATTTGCACCTGCAGTGGATTTAATGCAGGAATTAGTTGGCTCGGTTTTACTTGGTTGGCTCACATTTGAAAGTATGGAGAAATGTAACGAGTAAACATCCACACACAAACTGCTTTGTGTGTGTGTACCATGTGACCAACTGTCCCCGGGGATTAGAGATTTAGGATCAGACGGATCTGTAATAATCACATCCTCATCCGTCCTCGGCGAGCAAAAAGTGACGGCATTCATAACGTTCTGTCTCAGACTCTGGTACACGTTGAGTCGTGCGCTTGTGCGTTGGGTCACGCGACACCGCGTCAGCTTATTGACCCCGTCGGCATTTACAGACATTTACATGACAGTTCACCCACAGGGGTCAGATGCAAATACTTTAGCTGTTATCAAACCAACAACTGCACACTTGTATCGCGCTCATCGTCGTTGCTGAATCACGAGTCGCTGAAGACAGAAGTGGTTTGACCACACGGGCCCCCAGCGCTGCGTCTGCACCGTCCGCCACCACTTCCTGTTTCATAGGTTGGCCTGCCAGCTGCTCCGGGAAGCAGAGAGCGCGCTTCACACGTCATGCCTGTTGGATCTTTAATAGACATTCGACTACATTAGCGTTGGGATGTTTCTCCCGGGATGAATGAGCACAAATGAATCGTTGATGATGAAATGCAGCACTGGACTGATGAACCAAATGTTTGTGACCCCCTCCAATGATCCAGGACGATAAGTTGACGGTGACGCAGGCTGCTCCAGCCGGTGGACGCCCCTCTTTCCTCCGCTTCCACTACCAGCTGAACGAGCGCCGCTCGGCCTCGTGGGACACGGCTCTATCAGGACACAGCCTCTTCCTGGAGATCCCTGCTGGGCTGCTGGCGGAGGGCAGCAAAGAAGGGTAGGATTGTGTTAACACCCCCCTATTTAGAACACGAGGAGGCCCCCGCTGGGTTTTCCCGACAAGAAACGTAATGGTCGTTTAAAAGGGCCGCGCTTATCGCCCATGGCTGGAAATGTGGTTTATTCACAGTAAAGTCTCTACAGGGTACAATTATTTCTCCGCCCTTTTGGGGTTTTACGAGTTTTTCTTTCTGCTATGTTGTTTCTTAATGCTACATAATTAGCTCATTGAGTGCAAGACACAGATGTGAAATGTTTTGGGATAGCAGTATTATCGACTGTAGCGAGTCTTTGTCTTTGCTCTAAGGGACGCCGAGGCAGAGTAACCTCGTCCCGCTGCGCTCACAGCTCGCCATTATGTAAAGATGAAGCTCACTTATGTAAAGAGGCAAAAAAAAAAAAAAATACTGTGTGTGCGTCATCGCCACACCCTCGCTCATCGACTCTCCCTCTCTCTCTCTCCCCCTCCATCCCCCTCTCTCCCTCCTCAGGCTAACTGCTCTGCTGGAGTTTGCGGAGGAGAAGATCAAAGTCAACTATGTGTTCCTGTGGTTCCATAAAAACAGAGAGGATCGATGTAAGAGATCTTCTTATTTCAAAATACTTTTGTATTTGTAGAGGCGGGGTTTGCTTCTTTTTCTTTAGAAAGGAGGAATACCTTAAAGTGGGTAATGCATTCAATAGTAAGGATGACTGGATTCACCAGTAATGGGCCACCAAAGGCTAGCACAGCTTAGAACAGGCTAGCACAGTTTAGCACAGCTTACACAGCTTAGAACAGGCTAGCACTGGTTAGCACAGGAACCAAAGACAGTTTCATAAAGGTCATAAAGTATTAGATTAAAGTGAATCATCTCCACGGGGACATGGATTTCATCAACGAGTGACATCAGCATAAATTATAATAAAATACATGAAACAAGGTACAAGGATATGTAAAACTAAACATTGTACATCAGTGACTTCGTATCATGAAAACACCATCATCACCGACCAGATGCTACAAAATATAAGCTAAATGTATGCTAAGCTAGGCTAACTACCCACAGCCTCGAGATGTATAGAGTACTAATGTGTTGGTCGACGTACTTTCCCTAAAAACAAATCCTTCTGAATCATGTGGACGGAGGTGATTAACAAGGTCACTCCCCCTTCCAGTGTCCATCATCAAGACGTTCCACTACATGGGCTTTGAGATGGTGAAGCCGGGCCACCCCATGGTACCGGCCCGGCCCGATCTGGCCTTCATGATTTACTCTCTGGACAACAGCAGCAGCTCGGACGAGGAGTGACCTTGGGATTTGGGCTTTTCTCCCTTTTTTCTTCTTCTTCTCTGCTCAGCGGTTCCTCTCGGCCACATTGTTTCTCTGTGCTGCCATCAACCAAAAGAACAGCTGTTTGACATTGAGGAGAAGGTGTTTTACATTATATCAGCACATCTCTCCTCACAGCCTAGACCGTTTTAAACGGAAAAGACACTTTGGTTTGTCCTTTCACATATAATATAGATTGGTGGAAGCCGGATCACATGTCACACTAAATCACATGTCAGCATTTCTTTTCACTTCTTCTCCCCGAGGCGTCATTCCAGCACACGTCAATCACAATCAGTTTATTTTTTCCTTCTTTGCTGTCATCAGCCCAAAATACCCTGTTAGTCTGTCCAGACGTGTCGAAGACAAAACACAAGCTAAATGTTGAGCTGGTAGAGGTAAACGCCTCTCCTCCTCCTCTGAGCAATAATCAACCCGTCAGGCTGGCGCTGAGTCATTGACGGGAGGGGGGGCGTCTTGTTTCACTCTGCACGTCACAGAATCAAATGCTTAGTTTTGTTTATTTTGTTATATCCAAAGCTGAATAACTGCTGGAGTGAGGTGGGCGGGTTCAAAGAGAAGATCTACATAGTGTTACATTTTTACTTTCCCCAGAATGTGCTCAGAAACTGGATGGAAGTTATAAAAGCTAAATTTCTCATCCAGGTAGTGAAAGTGGGAGATGACAGAAGTCAAGACGAACACATGGTTTTGTATGAAAAGAATAGAAATATAGGATGGAAGCGGCTCTGTGGATTCACCAGTTGAAAGCTCGACTGTAACGAGGCTTGTTTTGTGCCTAAAGAGGAGAGTGCAATGTGAATATTTTTACTCCTGAGTCTTATGTGTCCATTTCTCCCCAAACGCTTAATCACAAGCAGATTCAGACCCACGCTATGAGAGGGGGATTGGGAGGGGAGGGGGCGGGGCTTGTAAAGGTACAGCGGCAGCGCTTCAGGGGATTTACATGTATGCAGGTTTATTTTAGGTAATAAAATGCCAAAGAATCCATTCTGTCTGTTTTGAAATCATGCTTTTTAAAAATGCAGCCTCCTGAAGTTTGGTATGTAAAGCAAAAGCAATATTATAACCAACATTCCCCATGCCAGCCGCAGAGAGAGCCGACGGCAGTCAGTTCCATGTTGGGACGGGGCGGGGGTCTTTTCTTCTTCTGCATGTGTTCAGATCATACGAGTCTACTGATTGAGCCCCTGACTATAAGCTGTTAGGAAATGTCCATATGGAACTTTTCTCAGAGGTATATTTTTATGTACGTATATTTCTCAAATGTTTACTGTGATAGTTTAGGGATTTCTTTTATGGTGTCAGTGTATTAGTTAGCAACCTTTCAATGACGATCCACACTTGTATACTTTTTTTTGTCTTGGAGAGGTTTGGAAAAATAAAACTTGTTATCTTAATCGATGTTTTGGGTTTGTCTTTTGTGCCCCGAGATAAACACCACCATCACAAAACATAGAAGTTCAGCCGTGACCATGAGGCAGATTTTTGAGTCAGTTATCAACTTGGAGACATTTCACAAAAAACCACAGGGAAGTGCCTTAAACTTGCATTCTCTCTAAAGGCCACAAGGAGGCGCATTATATAAATATGAGAAAATAATCAGTTCTCACTTGATTTATACCTCAGTAACCACTCTTAACATGAGTTCAAGGCCAAGTTTTAAGTCTTCTTTGATACAATGTTCATTTTCTGAATTACGGTCCATTCAGAATTAAACGCGTATGTATAAAATGTAGAAACATGTATGAACATTTTGGTTGTAAAACCTTTCACTTTGCAAAATGTCAACATGGCGACGGCCTAAAGGCTCAAAAAGCGAGTCCACAAATAAAAAGTTGATGTGACGGTGACCTTTCCACACCTTACCGCCTATAAAATGTGTCTCCGTAAAAAAAAGGACGTCATCTTTCCGTCCAGCGCTTGGTGGGAAGGGGGCGGGGCTTCCCTTGTCACGTCACAACGGTGCGTTTTAAAAATGCGAGTCATGCCAAACTGCGTCACTAATCCGTTGGCCTTAATCTCCGTGATTTCGCCTGAACTCACCTCACATCGAGGCCGACGAGCCGTCGCCTCCTCATCGGCTCCACTCACGGGCGCGCGCACACTTCTGAGAAAGTGTCCAGTTCACACGCACGCACCTGAAAGTGCGTCCTTCCTGCCTGCAGAGCTCGGAGACGGGATGGATGGTGAGAATGCCGCTTCAAAATAAAATCTAAATATGCACGGACACAGACAGCAGTCAGAAACGTCCTGCTACAGAGAGAAGACATCCACCATTTCATAACCGATTCAAAGTTTGTGTTACATCATTTGTGCACAACACATTAAGCCCATCTGCTCCACACTAGACAGACGCACACTCAGCTGTAATCCCATAGTCACACTGAAAGTCCACGTATTACATCAGTGTCATTAACGGAAGAAGTCATTTACAGATTCATGGTTGCTGAAAGCTGACGGGATCAGTTCATTCCGCATTAGAGAGGAACCAACGATTGGACACACGATACGATAGAAGTCGGCTTTAAAACGCGCCGTGTACGGTTTCTAAATCAGCCCTGACCGTTGGAAAGCAAATGCTGACTGGGACTTTTGCATGTTTTTTACAGCCCATAGATCCTCCAGGACGCCGTATAAACGGCTTAATGTTGAGTACTTCCCCCCCTCTGTCTACCAGAGGAGCATATTGTATCCAGTTATCATGGATTTCAAATGTTTTTCAGAGTTTGTTCACAGTGAAAACATGAATTAATAAAGTCAACAATTCATCAGCTGGTTTATTTGAAAAAACTACACAGATGCAAACATTTACACTTGAGCTTACACACAAACAGAACAGAGTGGGGGTGGGGGCTACTTGTCCTTCTCTCTCTGCTCTTTCGCTTTCTTCTCCTTCTCGACTTTGGCCTCTTCGGCTTCGTGCTTCTTAATCAGCTCCTCGACTTCCTTCTGCTTCAGCACTTTGATGCAGGTCTTTCCGTTCTCGCGGGTCAGAGTGGCGATCTCCACTGAAACACACACACCTAGTATTTAATACATTTAGTACAGTCAGGAGGGCCGAGAGGACTCCGCTACGTTCATGCTTTTAGCTTGTAGAAAGTCAGCTGCTCTCGATGGAAATACGGTCTGTTTAGCTGCTAAAGTGTCGCTCTCTGGAGCCACTCGGGTCGGCACCTTTCTCTGCAGACAGCTTGCTGACGTCCATGGTCTTATTGAGAACTTTAACGGCGAGAGCGAGAGCCGCGGAGAGCGTCATCTCTCCCTCCTTGAAGTCCTGCTTCAGCATGGAGACGGCTGCCTGCGGGCGAGCAGAAGCAAAGTATTAAACAAAGAATATTACACCACGCGTCTTGTTAGTGCTGCAGAAGGAAGGACTGGCGTTGGTGCCTTTTTCCTTTGTGCAGACTGCATTTAAACCTCCGTTCTTTCTCGCAGTGGGCAAATACCTCCGGCCGCGTCCACTTCTGGCTCTGCAGTGTTGTGTTGCAGATGTGCTGAGGGGGATATTTGTTCCAACTCGGACACCTTTTTGTCATCCCTAAGGGCTTTAAAGAGCTCTGGGACAGAAGGGTTCACCGATGCTCTGAGGAGGCTCCGTTACCCATAATGCTTTGTGTGCAGCCCTGAGATTAGCGAAGGCGCAATGAATCAGGACTGGCACAATTATGGGCCCCTGGAGTCCACACTAGGTAGGCCACAGCATGTGTGTTGGTTGTTGAGGGTCCGGTCCGGTTCACGGTCAATGTGTTGTAAAAAGAACGGCGCAGCAGCGGCGCCCCCCAGTGGCACAGCGAGGAACAACACTTTCAGAATCCCCTTGTTTGCTCTGTACTCATCCCCACGGTGTTAAAACCCAAATATTCCTGTTCCACACACATTTGTATAATTTACAGCACGACTGCATTTCAAGAGAAGTAATAGTACGCCGAGAGCTCCGGAGCCTTACAGCGCTGTTGTTTCCGATGCACGTGGCCTTCCAGCCGCCGTAGTTTCCACTGGGGTCACTCTGGTAGAGCTGGAAGCCGTAGTGTTTGTCCCAGCCCATGTACAGCAGCGAGACCCCAAAGGGACGCTTTCCTGTGAGAGAACACACACACACGCACACACACACACACACAATCCCTGGAGTTTGCGTAGTAGAGATGCAAAGAGTAAACCAGATGCTGAAGAAAAATGTCCCCTAAACGAATGATTGATCTACATTATATAACAATAACTGACTAACAGACAACTTTGCAACTCGACCCGTTTGGAAAAATAAAGCAAAGTATTCTAAAGAGCAAAATGCTGTAAGGAAAATTCCTCTTTTGTCATCCTGGGTCATATTGTAACAATTACAGCCGATGCTAACTTTGCACTCCCCACTCATCGTAGCAAAGGAGGAAATTGGACTCCAGCGATAAAATGTCTTTCAGGACCAGCAGCTACGGCTTTTACAAATAAAGTACAAGGAGATTTTAGAGCGATCGCTTCTCCTGCCAAAAGGCCAGAAACTCAAACTGACAAAAGATTGCATAGATCAACCCAACAGCTGGTTTCATCTGGATGAACCACTGGTCTGTTGCTCTGTACCTCCAAACTGCGTGTAGGCCTGTTTGATGTCGCACAACACCGTGACCAGCTGCTCGCAGGGCATCGGCTCCTGGTACTGCAGCAGGTACCTGCAGCAGCAACACAGACCATCGCAAGTCCATCCAGATTTGTATTTTGTCCCACGGCAGCGACCGCGTGCCCGACTGGAGCTTACCTCTGTGCGATAAGCCTCAGCTCGTTGATCAATACGTTGGCGTCTGATGTGATTCCCGCCACACTGCACGCAATGTCTCTGCAAGGAAACGTGAGACCATTGCGAAGAGATTGCTCGTTTTTTTTCTGATGGGAATTTGATCATATGATTAGAACGATCACAAGCTAATTAATGAAAGCTGTTGACGAATCAGATCTATAAACTGAAAAAAAACGTCCGCACAGAACACCTTTTACTTCATAAAAATCAACTCACTCGTTCAGCTTGTAGATTTTCTCTGAGAAAAACACTTCGTCCAGCAGCTTGTGAATGTTCCTCCTCTCGGCCGCCAGCAGCACTCCGTCATTGGCTAAAATCCCCAGGCAGGTGCCGGCGTGGCCGATGGCCTCCATGGCGTACTCGACCTGATACAGACGCCCTGGCAATCCCACACAGCGTCGTCAACACCAGGATGCAACCACAGAACAGGAAGGGGCGAGAGATAGAAATAAACCAGGGGCGTTCGCTCCGGGCTTCAACTAAGACGGATGTGAGCGCGTCGAGGACTTGTAACTTGCAGCCGTCCATCGGTCGCTTTAGTCAAGAGCTCTTACCCTCCGGCGAGAAGATGGTGGTTCTAGAATCATATCGACGAGACTGAAAGGAAACAGAAAACACATGACAGCTAATTGGAACAAAATGTACTTGATTATTAGATATTATTTTGTTGGGACCACTTCAGGGACAAGGGACTATGTTTTCTTTTATAAACATCTTATGTGCTCAATTATAACACACGGCTGTAACTGCAAACAGTTCTGTGGGGCTTTGGCGAGCAGAATAGAATTCAATTAAACCTGCTTGATGACGAAATGACTCCTTAGGACCACCAGTATGAAATGTATTTTAGTAACTAGAAGAATTAGAATTGATATCTGATAACCGTGAAATTCAATCGATTTAGTTTGTTTCAGAGTTTAAATCCTCGAGATGTTTTTTTTAATCCTCCCAAGGAAAAGCATCCCAACATTAAAGGGAGGAAGAATCGGAGCATCATTGAACAATAACCATCATCATACAGAGTACAGTTAACTCACCATGTTTGTAGATGTTTCACTGTGAAAACAAAACAACGGTTGTGACGGTGTGAACGAAGGCAGTGAACATTAGTGGAGCTAACAGCTAAGCAGCTAGCTTTCAGTGAACAACATTTACAGATGTGCTTGGTCATCTACGGCTTGTTGTGGAAGCGAAAGAGACCAAACTAAAAGTCGCTAACGTCAGTAGTGTTTAACGACTACCAGGAAACAAGTGTTATAGTTTTTCATTTCCATAATATTTCAAATTGTTCAAGTTTACGCTAATACTAACACTAATAACTAACATTTACAGTCCTAAAAATGGCTCATTTTTCGCTTAACGTTGACTGTTAACACGAATGGGGACAAATCAACAGAATTGCTTTGACACTTAAAAGAGATTAATTGCAATAGTGTTTTGATATCATTTTTTTTTCGTATCAATTTGTGAAAATATAAATGCTTACCGCTTAAAGAGCTTTCTGTGGGGCGCGTTTATATGACATCACAGAAGTTGTGATGACGCCATAAAGCCGCGCAATTCAATTCATTCATTCAGGAACAATTGTAAATACATGTTCAAGAGAACAAACCAAGTGACGAGATTTCATAGTTTTCCGTTTGTTAAAGATGTAATTCTAGATATTTTTAACGGTTAAAGGTTTTTTGTTGTCATTGTTATACAACAAAATTCCGTTTGGTAGCCCTAAATCAGCCAGTAGCAGCAAACAACATAAACAATGTACAAGATGAAGATACACAAAAGATATAAAATCAGTGAAACATTATTAAAGATAAAAATGCAAAAAAACAATAAAAGGAATACAACCGTTACTGAAGTTTAAAGATATCAATAAAATTAATATAAAATGTGTGTGTTTGTTTGATAGCGCAAATAGAGGGATAAAGTGTCATGTGTTGCATTGTGGTAAGTACGGGACAGGATGTTTTTATATTTTGTAGTTTGCATTCAAATTCAATAAATTCTTGCTAAACTAAATGGGTTATACAATTCATAACTCAATTCCTGGTTCAAATAGATGTAAGTTATGATCCTTACATCTTACATTGCCCTTTATTTTCTTCACATCACTTGAGAGTATTTGTGTAATACATCCGTTCACCGCTGGGGGGCCCCCTCAGCTTGACTGTGTGGTAAATCTGAGACCCATTTAAAACATAACTACACGAAATGATTTAGTTCTGTCTGGGGATTACTTTATCACTCTGTATCACTCTACTTTATGGTCACTATCTTTCAGTGACCATCTTCAGCGTGAAAGCCCTTAAAGCTGCTGAGTCAGGAGTTTGTCTGTAAGGGGGCGGTGCTGTAGCTGATGCTTGACCTCTGACCTCTCTGGTTATATGGTTCTAATTGATGACACATGAACAGTCATCTCTTCTGTCAGCCAGGTAGTCAGCTGAGTTTCTCTTTACATAACACATTTCCTCACAATAGACATTTTAACAATTCACATGAATACTTAACACAGTCACATGATAAGAATTAGTCTACTAATGGATAGCCTTACTGAAAAAAAACTAGTTTGAGCTTTTCTCCATAAATTATAAATATATATATAATACATATATAAAAATGTTGCCACAGCCTGGCAGCTTACCTTGAGATTATCAAGAATAACCACATCCTCACATTGTTGTCTCAGAGGATTGGCGCAGTGAAGTACAGAGTTACAGCTGCGTCGTCTCAATAAACAAGGCTGCACTGTTTATTCAGCGATGAGGACTGTGCAGCGTTTTTCGATTTGTTGGATCTGGATCTCTGAACATCCAGAGTTTATAACTCCTTCACCATATTTATCTTTTAGAGGCCCCTGACGCAGGTCTCACATTGTCCTCACTACAGACTTCATTTCTACATTTGAGCTGAACCCAAAACATCTTTTCTACGACTTAATCGCACACCATTTTGAGGAATTGGCTTGTGGTGGTTGTGATCCGTCCAGTCTCTCCTGCCCACTGCTTTGGCATCACTAAAGTAGCTTATGTTGGTTTAATCCTTATTAAACTGTTGTAGGACAGTTTAAAGGGATTTTTATTGGCCCCTATAAAACTTATCGTGGTGGCAAAAGGTGCCGGACAGCCAGGTGAAATATAGATGGAGACGCAGATGAAACAAGCCTTCACACACACACACACACACACACACACACACACACACACACACACACACACACACACACACACACACACACACACTCGTCATACCGCATAACTCACTCTTTCACTTTCACATCTAGAATTTTGCCAACTTGAAAATACCAAGAAAATATCAAAACTCAAGAATACAACATACACTTAAGCTAGGTTACTATATTGGTTCCCCAGTGTAAAAACAACATACTGTACATCCTTCAATGTTTTGTTCCTCTTTGTCCTAAACCATTAAAAAAGTATTGATTGTCTTTAGATAGTCGCCGGACCATAAACCTCCACCAGCCTGTGCACATCATTTCTATCATTCATAAATCACATTGTATTGAAGCGTCACAAACTCATGCCACAGCAGCTGAAGCTGTTGTGCTCTTAAAAGGTTAGATATGGGTACTTAGTTCACGGGGGCCGTTTTTAAGGAATTGGCCTTCTAGTTCATTTCTTGTGTTCCTTCACTAAAAAAATTTGCTTTCAAGATTCAGGTTCAAATGAAAACAAGAGGGACAAGCCTCTACTTGGTGTTTTTAATCTGGGGAAAAAACCCGTTGTCTATGTGTGTTACTTCCCACATCACTGTGCTCAGTGGACGTGGTTTTTTAATTCTTTTTGTTTTAAATGAGTCACAACGTCGGCAGCTTCACCTCGAGACATCGTTGGGAAACCGAGACACTAAACAAAACTACAAAGGGGTTTTGAAATGGTGTCACATCCAAGGAATCATTGCTGGGAACTGAGACAGGTATCAGAACAACGGTGTGTCATCTCAGGTAGTGCGTGAGAATCTGTTTCTCAATCCCAGAAAAAAATAAGATTTATTGAGTTGGTTATATTGTTTTCATTGGGGACAAAGGCGGTGTGAGAGCAGTTTAGGGGCTTAAGCACATGAGGTCAAGTCCCCCCGTAACAGAAAAGTCTTTTAAAGGATTGTCTTATTTTTATTGGGTTGAGTCATGCTGTCTGCGGAATTCAAAGATCTAATAGCTGCCCACACACTCAAATATCTCTTTACTATAATTAGTGCCGGATTAAGTTGTTATTTGAGTAGGAAATTACACACCGTAAATAAAGAGTCACCGCCTTATTGCCCGAGTTAATTACGTTTTTGTCAGAAAAGGAATAATATTTTTGAAATGCTGACTAAAAATAGTAACATCTAACCCTAACTCTCAGCAAGAAACCAAGTGTAGTTCCCAAATATGATACTTTTTCTTGGTGTTTTTGTAGTCTGGTGTACATGAGAAATGAATTTACACACAAATCCATTTTTGTGGATGCATTCTTTTGCAGTAAAATGAATCTCACACTTGCTAAAATACCAAGAGGCCCTTTGTTGTTTCTTCGTCTCAGTTTTCTGGTCGACGGAGGTGTCCTGTCGGCCTCTGGGCTCTTCACTCTTTCTTGTCCATTGTCCCCCCGTCCCAGCCTCTGCCCTCAGCTACTGGCTCTGTTATTTTGAGAGAAGCTCCTGTCACTTTGGACGATGGCGATGGCCTGAATCTTGGCGCCGAGGGCCCCCCGATGCGGAGTTGGGTTCCAACTCCGAGGGCCGAAGGGAGGATTTCCTTTTCTAAATGTCTGGCTGGTAAATACGTCACCAGGCTGGAAACCGATCCCATGAAAAACATGGTGGGATGTTTTCCAACCCGCCACAGGAGTGTGTTGCGATCTGATTCCCCCCCTTGTGCCCACTCGAGGGTAAAGAGTGTCAATCCCAGCAGAAGTATTGTCTGTCAGGAGTGAGCTGTTGCAGTTTACTCCAGATCTGCTGCTAAAGCTTCTCGAATTAGATCCGCTACGTGTTATTTCTCAAACACAGTTGAATTTCCCGGCCCCAGGTTTAAAACAAAAATGAAACAACATTGGAATTCCCATTGACAGAGCCATTTGCACAAGGAGGAAAGAACCTGTCTTAAGTCACAGAAACAAACACCTCAGACACCCACCTCTCACATCGCCTGGACACAGTTTGAATCCCATTACCTACATCTAACCCTAACCCTAAGTAACAACCCTAAATGGGTTAGTTAGCTAAATGCTAAATATTATTCTGCTAACATGCGCACTCTGGAAACATCCAAGATAATAAGCCTGGATTCTGCAATTAAGGATAAGCAAAGTGAATAAATTAATATATAGATTAGTGTACAAAATGGGAACTTGTTTATATTTTTGGGGTCTTTTGAGCTCCAAATATCAATGAAGTTACTGGTAATTTCCTTATAAAACAAGTAGTGATGTGTACAAAGTATTCCTATATACGTAATCAAAGAGGGGAAATGTAGAAATAAGGAGCAAAAAAACTAGCCATAGAAACGCAATGTGGCTCATTTGAAAGAAATGGAACATTAAAGGCTTTTATAGTCCGGTTCATCTGACGCGCATCCTTGTGTGTGGGCGCGTGGGAGCTTTTAGCCACACCCCCATTTCATGTCATTCATGTGTTGAGTGACACTGCCTGTTATCGAATCCTACATGTTAATAAAAAATAGAAAAATCTTAATTGAATTGACAATTCCCTTGAAAACAACCACTGTTATTTGTCCCGGAGGAGGGTCCTCCTCCCCAATCCGCGATATTACAGCCCCCACCCCTACGGCCCTGATGTGAACGCGCAGTGCAAGTGCACGCGTGCTAACGACACGGAGAGCGAGCGAGAGGCAGAACGAGAGGGAGAGGAGGAGGAGGAGGACGACGTGACGGCAGCACCCGAAACAGAAGCTGTGAGGAGTGTACGACCCCCCCGCCCCCCGCAGGTACTGGACCACTACAGCCGGGTTGGAGGTCCGCATTTGGGACACTCGCTGCGGACTGTTACGCGCGGCGGGGTCTCCCTGCTTGCCGCTCTTCCTCCCCCGAAAGGAGGGCTCGTAGCGGGGGAGATCGACGGCGCGGAGGACTGACAGCGCGGTGGAGGAGGAGGTGAGCTTCCCCCCCCCCCTTCCCGTAGTATTTGCGTGACGCCGTCAGTAAATCGGAACCAGCGGGGCTCGTGGCGCGGAGTGTCGAACCTTCCGTCACCGGGACACCGGCCGCAGCCTCCGGACTCCCCATTCAAATGTGACGTCGGCCCGCGGAGCGCGTGTGAGTGGCAAAAAAGTGGGTCGACATGGTCCGAATACCCTGCAGCGTGCCCCCCCCCCCCCCTCCTCATTCCTCCTCACCTCAGCCCTCCACCACCACCACCACTGGATAAATGTCACACTGTGTCCTTACATAAGGCGTCCATGTGCCGTTACAGATGTGGTCTCGGCTTGGACGCCACATCTGGGCAGCAGTCAGAAACAGACGTGACGCACTGGTGTAAATGGAAGGTGATTCAGAGAGGAGCTGCTTTGGCTTTACTGTCGCAGAGGAAGGTTGGGGCTCTGAATGGTGCTGTGTGCAGAGCTGTGTGTGTGTGTGTGTGTGTGTGTGTGTGTGTGTGTGTGTGTCAGTCCCATTACTACGCAGTGTTGAGAGCTGTGACGGACGGATGTGAAATTCTTGGTCATGTTTGAGGCTTTAAGGATCCTTACGTCACGCGCTGCTGCCTGATGAGGTTTGGCTCAGGCTGTTATTTATATATCTTTATCTATGGACATATAAATAACTGTGTGTGCGTGTGTGAAAGGCTCAGTACATTGCTGTAGAAGATACTGTATCTCCTGTTGATCACAACAAACGCACACGTCTTGTTGTGATGCACCTTTACAGTCACGGTGGAGCTGAATTGATTAGTCAAGCAGTCGATTGGATGTTGACGGCACCTTTCAAAGGCCAGTGATTAGAGCGAAGCAGGTTACCTGTCCTGAGTCCCAGTCAGGTGACCCAGCAGGGCCCCCGAGGTCTCCGTCCACCGCCCCCCAAAAAGCTCTTCTCCGGCTCCGCAGCGGCACCGAGGAATGAAAGCGTGAAAACGGGAAGGGGGATAAAGTCATTACAGGTGCGTCATTTAAAGCCACGTCAGTGTCGGGATTGCTCCTCGCCTCGTCTCATTCAGTCACGGGCAGAATTCCCCTTCATGTGAATTCAACTTTGCTGACGTTGACATTTCAATAAGGTTCTTATGTAATTGGCCAAAGCTCTTGAGAGCGGCACTGAAAACATTGCTTTGACAGCTTCGTGAACCAAGCCCAGCAGCTCCAGAGCGTCTCAAAACGTTTAATGTTTAAACGGATGAAGGCGTCTCGGGAGAAGAAGACGGCCGCGTGTCCTACGCAGTCCCAGTCAATGGGGAGGTCGCCACAGCACCTTTTATCCGTGACGGGGAACTGTTCTGCCTCCACGCACCAGAGTGACACAGCGGCTCCATTGAGATGTGCCGTAGAATATATAAATCCAGGTCATACGGGGTCACGAAGGGATTTCCTTTAAGGGGACTGAGCTGTGCTTCTCACACCTGCACAAAGGCGAGACATCGGAGCCTTTGAATGAGGAACAGGAAGAAGCTGGAAAAGAGGTGTTCCTGCCATTCCATGCTTTTAGTGCACGTTTGTGCACGTGAGCGTGCCCAGCTGGTTAGCTCACGCCGCCGCTCTGCACCTCTCTCCTTCCGTCCTGGGCCACAAGATGTCACGGAAGCCTAAGCCCCCCCCCCCCCACCTTTAGGTTCCCCTTCAGGTGAACACTGAGCGCTGTCAGCAGCTTACAGTGCTAACGGCGCTAACAGTGCTGTTAGCCGCTGGCTCTCTGCCCACATGTTTAGGTGTCATATCTTAAACCTTTAATGATAAACAAACACGCGTTGCTGTTTAATCGCTCATGTAAGACAACACCAGGATGAGGTCGATGTTTCACATACCACATCAGTGCATATATGCATCTCCCCCGGGGTATTTATAGAGCTTTCAACAATGGCGGTGTGTGTGTGTGTGTGTGTGTGTGTGTGTGTTGCGCATCTTAAATGGCATCCGTTTTTGTCCTCACGCAGACGGGAGGACTTGAGGAGATATTACACTTAAGTAGTCAGGTGTCCATTGTTGTCACTGCCGTTGTCATTTTTTGACAGAATCCTAGTAACGTTTTTCTAGACAGACACTTTTGTTCATTGTAAATTTAAAGGAAAGCCTTCGGAGGTTGAATGCATACAAAGTTGTACCAATTCTTTAAATAAACCTATTTCTAATGTAAACGCCACTGTGCTGTTTATGTTTTAATATTGTATGAAATGTATCTCACTCTTCTGTACCATGCAGCTCAAACCTTTACAGACGTGTATTAATCCACAGCTGAAAATAACCCTCAACAAATTCACTATTTCCTGCTGCTGTTTAATGCGTCTGGTTGCGGCTGCGCGTTTGACCCCGTTGACCTCTGTGACGCTCATGTGGCAGGAAGCCCGAAAAGTGTTTGTTGGTCACAGCGTTGATGCCTCGGGTCTTCTAAGGGTTGAGGGGAAGTCGATCACATTGTACAGTCTGAATCGGACAGCCTTAAACAGACGCTCCTCTTTTCCGCTCCTAAATTTGCAGACGAGGTTAATTCACAAACGCATTCTCCTCGTTGGGTTTCACATATTCTTTAGAGAGGAACCCTCATGGAAACTATGTCCAAAACAACAGAGACAAGCCGGCTAGAAACCCTACCTCTCTCTTGTGCGCCTGTCCAACACTATTAGGATCACTTTCACGTTTCTGCAGCGTAAGATGCGTTGCATGATAGCAGAAGTCCTTTTGATTCTCACATGGCTTGTTTCTTAGCTCGGCGCTGCTGTTTTCTTATCGCTGCGGCTGTTCAAAGCCCTCTTTGAATGTCTGCATCCATAATCGCTTCTCACGTCTCTTTTGCATTATTCATTTAACCCCCTTCGATGGCTGTCGCTGCTTTAGAGCCTCAAACACCAAATAAGAAGATTTCCTGTCCATGCTAGCGCTTCGCTTTCGTTGGCCGGCGTTATTCTGACGTGAGAGTCGGAAGTGAGCGAGTCTTGAATGTTTTGCAGGGGCAGCAGGCAGCAGCTGGCGAGGCCGTCGATCCGTCCCCGCCGGCACTTCGCGGGTCAAAAGAGCCGGCGCGCCGCGTCCCGCTCTGCTGATCACAGATGGAGCGGCGAGAGGAGAGAGTTTGACGGGGACGAGTATGAGAGGGAGTGTAGGCATTAATACACGTGGGGTGATTAAATCCACCTCTCTGCGGAATATAGGAATGTGCTGCCAGCCTTCTATGCCCACTAGCTTCTGTATTAAATTTGGGTGGGTTACCTGTTCCACGTAGCTTAACCATTGACACAATAGCAATTATTGTGCAAGAAGCTTTCTGGAAAATGTTGAAGTGGCCTTTTATCTGCTTCAGGCCTCTGGTTGCAAAAATAAATCTGATTGTATAGAAGTCTATGGGTTGAGTTATTCCCTCTCTAATCATGAGATTCTGGTCTCAATCTCTTGTTTCAACTCTTCTTTATTACAGCATGATGTTCATTTAGTGCTGGATGTTTCCATTTAGAATAAAATAGACCATGAAGCAGGCTTTGTTTTAGGGCGGAGCCACCCTGTGATTGACAGGCCGTTAGCACATCTGGTCTAGGTGATGTCAGTTAATTGTAATCCTTTTTGGTTGCCTTTATCGCCCTCTTCTTCTCGACTTCTGGGTGGTTCAGTGCTCAGAGATCCCATCCGCATGATCCACGCCGAGCGTTAAGCCGGCAGTCATCTGCCCCGCTGAAGTGTCTTTGATCATTTCTCCGAATCCTTAAGAGCCTCGAGGTCACTGCCTGACAGCTGAACCTGCACTCTGAGGTCTAATGCCAAGAAAAGAGAATTTCCACGCGGCAATCAATAAAACACCTCATTCATTGCTTTGTTTGCGATCTGTGGAACATTAGTCGGGCAGCTTAGGAGCCAGACAGCGACCGTGGCAGCCGGATGTTACTTTGAGGAACCAGAAGGAAACAATCGCAGAAGGCTGTGATACACAAAATTATTCCTGGGGAATTCCATCCCGGCGCAAACTCCCATTTGCTGTGATTTTGCGTGCGGAAAACGCGCTGGGAACCGGTGGTGGACGAGCCCAAAAAAAGCCTGCTTGTTGTTGTGCCCTGCGCATGTTTCCAGCTGATGCTGCTGATGCTGCATTGTTTGTTGCCAGCAGATTGATGGAGCTGCAGCTCAGATTGACAGATCTAGCTCAGCACCCCCCCCCCCCCTCTTGGCCCAAAAGCAGCCAGAGTTTCTGCCTGTGAAAAAGCGCCTGGCAGGGTAAATCAGCAGTACTCTTGCAAACTCTTGCAATTAGCACCGTGTCATTTGAGGGTGGGAGGCAGCCGTTATTGTCACATCTCGCTCCCGTCTGCGGGTCGGGGCATAAACATTTTCTGACAGCCTGCCTGCGGACTCGGGATAATAAGCGCATGCCTCACATTTGGGCCGGCTGAACGGCGTCTGGCTTCCGTCACCGTGGAACCGACCCGGGGGCTCGTGTAGCCCAATCGACCGCCTGCACACGTGGGCGGAATTTGAATACACTGCACCAAAAGCGAGAGAGGCGGGCGGGACGAGCGTGCGAACTGCTGTCGGCCGCTGCTTTGTTGCATTACGCTGGTGGCAGAGAGAGAGAGAGAGATAGAGGGGGGGACAGGAGGGGGAGTGAGAGAGGGAGAGAGAGTAGTGGCCAGAGCCAGAACAAAGCAGTCTGCGAACGGAGGACTCGGGTGTGGCGCTTCAGTTGGGTGAAGCACCGGATGGCGGTCTGAAGTGCACTTCATCGTTCTGGGTTCAAAAGCACCGCGGCGTCGAAGGCCTTGTCAGGTCCTTGTTTCTCATCGAGGTTCTCCTGATTTTCAGTCTCCATTTTGAAACTGAATGTCATTGGCTCGTTGGTTTGGCCCGAAGGAGACGTTTAAAAGACGTCCCCTCTGGCTTTAGTGAACGTCTTTCACACGTTTTGACATTTTATGGGCCGTGTGGTGCGTTGAGAAAGTGCTCTAGCTGATGAATTGTCACTAA